TTGTTAAATTATGACAATCAGAAAACCAAGAATCCATTATTGTTAATTGTATGAGATCTCTATTCTTAGATCTCTATTCTAAGAATCCATTATTGCTGGAGTTTATATTCAGTCTTCATCAGGACAATTTTTGCATGGTTTGGCTCGTCAATTTCCCGACGTTATCGACCCTTGTCTTGCAGAAGCTCTTGCTTTATGTGAGGCATTACTACTTTGTCGAAGACGTGATCTTGTGGATGTTGTGGTTCTAGGAGATTCCTCAATCATAATACTTACTGCTGCTCAAGATTATGATAGTCCAAGCTCATGTTCCCCAGTTCTTGATGACGTGATATACATGTGCCAAAACCTTCCTGTCCGAAAGCTATCCTGGATTCGACGTGAAGAAAATGTGATTGCTCATAACTTTGTCAAATTTGCGAAATTATTTGATGTTATTGAAACAACATGGACTGACCCTCCAAGTTTTGTAAATCAATCGGTGCTGGACCTTTTTCAGTAATATGAATGCAATTCCGTTTTTCTCAAAAAAATTCTAAGGCCAAACAAAGTGTGTCAAACTTATATCAATAAAGCCTATGCTCATCATCAAAATACACATCCACAATACAGGACAACCTCCTACACTATACTTTTCATCACGAAACACGGCAACCACACAATGGGAACATTCCACTTCGATGCGTACTTGCACAACACTATGGAGGTTGAGAGGAGCAACTTCCAAATCACTTAACTTCGAAGCCTTTTCTGAAATCTGCAATCACACAATTAAGACACATATCATTAGTACATTATGGTTCAACACTCTACGAGAGTTCGTGTGTAATGTCATGTTTATTCTGTGTATATTTCATGGGTAAAAAATTTAACATATTTTTTGTGAGTAATTCGTGTGTATTGTGGTTATTTATCTACGATCAACCTTGTCATGTTTAATTTCGTAGTTAAATGGTTATTTTCTTGTAGTGCGTGCAAAGCACGTTTTAGCCCCTAGTTATCCTAGTTGTGAAACGATTTTACGATGTTGACACTTAATTTTATCAAAAACTTACATTAGCTATAAATAAACCAAATATATTTGAACGAGTATTTCATTCAACCATTGGTACTGGAAAGAGAGTTTAGTCATGTGCGATAGTAACAATTGGTTCCTGTGTACTTCTCTTATTTGTATTCCTTTTATCTCAAAATTACTGTTCAAATTTTTTTGGTAATTCTAATTTTTTTTTATTTGTTCTCACGCACGTAGATGCTATAATTTCACTAAACTAGTTTTGTCTAACAAAATTGTACATAGAGACGAAGGTTTTTTTTCCCCCCTATGATTAGATAAAGCATGAAAGATATAGTCTAAAACTCCAATCCTACATTGCCAGTAGTGTATTACTTTTGTTTTAAAATTACTAGGTGTTAGACTCGTCTGATGGACGGAGAGCACATATACATAGACATTACTACAGAAACAAATCAAAAAAATATTAATATTTGTATAGATTTTTGTATTTTTATAAAATATATAATGAATTTATTAAAAAATATAAAATACAAACATCGACAATTCTTTACCAAACGAATACACTGGTAATTTATTTAACGCAAAAAAGATTGTTAAGAAATTAAAAAAAAAGAACTTTGAATTAAATAATTATATATCTTGCAATATTTCTTGGTAGACTACATTGGTAGTCTGGGGTGGAAAGGTCGGCTAGGGTGGTTAAGAAATTATGATAAGGAATTTTTTTTTTTTGAAAAGGTTTATGATAAGGAATGCTTACTACAAAAACAACAACCCTAACTTGTTGTAGAGGCCATCCAATTTTTTAATAAGAAAAATTAAAAAAATGAAAAAGTTGGATATCAGGACCTTTATTCCTTGTTTCAGAGTGACTCTTGATTTCAGTGTTTTTATTTTATTATTTTCTTTTTTAAATATGATGCATTCTCACTTTCCTTCATTTTTTATTTTTTAGCCTCATTTGTTCGTTTGATTTATTATTTCTCATTACCTATCTAATAATTTATCTTTAATAACTTACCCGTTGTCAGAAATATTTTATTTAAAATGTGAAGGTGGGACTACGTTTTTACCCTTAAAGAATATCATTTACCTATTTTTTTTCCTTCATTAATATCTTTCTAGACACTTTCGCAAATGTCAAATCCATCCTGCTCATTTTTTTTTCGAATTAAAGTTAGATTTTTTAAGAAAATAATTTTAAAATTTGGTTCAAAAAATCATAAATTTGCCACAGAAGATTTAGTCATATGTGGCATGATACGATACCTTAGATTTTCTCTCTCTGGAGTTTGCTTTACTATAATATATATATATATATATATATATATATATATACTTCTTTTCAGGAAATAAAGGAACCAAAAATTAAGAGCCCAATATTTAGCCGCATAGACCCCTTAATATTTGTTGAAAACACGAAACATTTAGCAGTCACACACAAAAATACAAATATTTTTTTCAGGAAACAGAAACTGGAATAAAAAAAATTAAGTAGATAACTAATTCAACAGTCACTGTACCATTGTTGGAATGTAGTGTGCATCAGAAATCTATGCAAATTTTCAATGGAATGATGAACACAACCTGAACTTGAAATTCATTACCAAGATTAGCTAAATAGAGGTAATAATCAAACTATTCTAGATTTCAAAACAAATAGCACCGTTAGAATCATGATTTCATCAGCATTCAAGAAGAACCATTTCGTCAGTATTCAAAGCCGTTTCTTGATTCCCTTTCTGTATGACAAAACAAACAGCTTCGCAGCTATTTTGCTTTCTATCCATCTTCAGACCATTTTTGTGAGATCCCAAGTGTTGAGACCTCGTTACTTAGCGAGTAGTAGTTGATTCATGTATAAATTAGTATATTTATTTCTAATGTATGTACATTTTGCCATTTATGTTCAAGAAAGATAAACTAAAAATTTGGATTTCAAAACGTTAAAAAAGAAGAAGAAAGAATAGCCATAATTGAAGCCTTTTAATATTTTTATTCTTTGCCAGAGCCATTCTTAGCCCAGCTATATCAACCTATCACCATAGTATTTTAACTCAATTCCATATTTGAAACTAAATTATAGAAGTTTCAGGTTGGCCTAACTTCTTTAATTATTTTAATAAATTATTAATATAAAATTCTTTTTTCAGTTGCATTTTTTTTTTAGGAGGAAGAGATCCATCCATCGAATTTGCAGGGATTTGGTCGAATCAATATAGGGTTTGGATTTTTGCAGTTGCGTTTTTTTTTTTAGTTTTTATAATCATTTGGTTTGTGCATTTTTATATCTAAAAAATTAAGAAAATGCCACATAGGATAAAATCCTACGTGGCATGTGCTCTTTAACTTTAGATTTCTCTCTCTCGTTTTTGCCTTAGTATTGTAAGGTTGGCCTAAATTGTTTAATTATTTTAATAAATTATTAATATAAAATTCTTTTTCAGTTACGTTTTTTTTTTAGGAGGAAGAGATCCGTACATCGGATTTGCAGGGATTTGGTCGAATCAATATAGGGTTTGGATTTTTTCAGTTGCGTTTTTTTTTTGTTTTTATAATCATTTGTTTTGTGCATTTTTATATCTAAAAAATTAAAAAAAAATGCCACATAAAATAAAATCCTATGTGGCATGTGCTCATTAACTTTAGATTTCTCTCTCTGGTTTTTGCCTTAGTATAGTAAGATTGACCTAAATTCTTTAATTATTTTAATAAATTATTAATATAAAATTCTTTTTCAGTTGCGTTTTTTTAGGAGGAAGAGATCCGTCCATCGGATTTGCAGGGATTTGGTCGAATCAATATAGGGTTTGGATTTTTTTAGGTGCGTTTTTTTTTTGTTTTTATAATCATTTGTTTTGTGTATTTTTATATCTAGAAAATTAAGAAAATGCCACATAGGATAAAATTCTATGTGGCATGTGCTCCTTAACTTTAGATTTCTCTCTCTGGTTTTTGCCTTAGTATAGTATATAGATAGATTGTCCAGTTTGTATTTTCAATTTTAATATAATTTAATCTAAAAATCAAAATCTAAAATGTATAATAATTTTGGGACGGAAGTAGTACATCAAATCAAGTAGGAAAAAAAATTAGAGAGATGGTGAAATATTAACGTAAACGCATTTGCCATGTTGAAAAGATACAGAAACCCCTACTATTTTATTTTACCATGTAACAAGAAAGATTATTATCTTGTGCATTTTTTATGTATCACTCCATTTTAATAGATATTTTCACTATCTCTATATTGATTATATAATTACTTGTTTGTTTCTTCTTTACCTTGAAATGATTTTTTACTTTGAACTTTCACTTTTATTATGTTTTATATTCAAAATGAAAATCCGAACTATTTAATCGTTCCATAACAAAGTGAGTACTGTACTAATGAGGTCTTGTTTGGACATTAACTCATTTTACATTTTCACTCATTTTACCTCTTAAACATAAAACCCAATGGAAAAGAAAATATCATCCAAACAACTTTCTGATTTACATGTTAAATTCCAACTTGAAACACTTTTTGTTAGTGTAATGACCATTTTAGAACTACAAATAGTTCAATGACAAATTTGGCAGGATTCCGTTGTTGAGTGATTATTTTTGGAAAAGTTCTTTTTTGCAGTGACTATAATTGACAGTATTTAATTGTTTAATGATAACTTGTACTTGATATTTCAAAATGTAGTTCAAAATATTTTTTTTTCAAAACCAACATCCAAACAACATTTTTATTTTCCATTTAGTTTTCAATTTGAAACACTTTCCACTTTTAAGTGGTAAAATAAAATGTAAGTTGACATCCAAACAAGTATTATAGTTTCGGGAAACCAATTTTTGGATCGATTTTCCTTCCTGGATCATTTTTTTTTATTTTTTTTATATAAGATGGAACCTTCCTGGATCATTATATGACATCATAATCGAAACAATACAATATAAACTATAGCCCATATTTTCCCGAAACCATAGCCTACAACGATCAATGGACTATTTTTCGTAAAGTGGGCCTAATAAGGCCTCAAGCTGAAATGATACTTGCTGCCACCCGCGCCATTACTTTTTCCCTCTTTTTTTATTCTTGAAAAAGAAATGCTCAGGTGACACTGACAATCTACAGTCCTTCAATCAACTTCCGGCCAAAGATACTATCTTGGCAGCCGATCTCCGGCGACTAAATTATATATTGAATATAAAATTCATGGAGATTATTATAAAGACAAAATTTATTTCCGCACGTTTCCACGTACCTATGAGGAATTATAATGGCAACAACCTAAGACTTTCCAGGCTTATTTTAATCCGAAGTAAGTGTACTGGGCAGTGGGCGAGTCAACTCCTGAAGAAATCTGAAAATCATTGCCTCCTTGGAGATCTGTACTGGGCATATCTTCCGTTTTGAGGTGAACAAAGAACTATCTCTATAATCTAAACAGTTGTATTATCATTTTCCTGCATTTGCTGTGTGGGCTTTAACGAATCTGTTTTCTCTGCGTGTTTTTTTTTTCCCAACCCCAATTTGCAGTACACTTGAAATGGATTTCACACAAAAGCGTGAAAGGCCGATTTTGAGAGTAATGGGTATGTTTCTTAATCGATCAGATCATGAAGAATTTGTAGTTTATTGAGATTTGCTGCTGTTTAGAAGTTCAGTATCTTAAAGGTTCTATCTTTAACAATATTAGTTACTGGTGTTCACTGTTATAATTGAGTTTGGTCTATGTTTTGGGTTGACAGTTCTGATATGGGCTGATATGTTGACTATATATCTGCTGTGGATAATGCAAACCTATTTGACAAATGTTTGGAAATTGGGATTTACTCATGCTGCTGGAATTATGAATGTAGCTAATGGCCTCCCAAAAGTACTGCCCTTAGTCTTTTACTACTTTGTTGATGCTGGCCTTGGTAACTTCTGGATGCTGGTTCTCTCTAGTTTTTCATACACTTTTGTAAGTTCTGCTATCCGAAAAACTTTTCCCTCTTTTGTTCTACTATATTATTTGGGATAAAAATCGTCTTTCAATGTTTGAAATCATGCGTAGTTGGTCTAAATTAATGAAAACCTAATCATCTGTAGGAAAATTCATATCCAGATGTACAGCTGCAACTAATTCTAATAAGGAAAGTTGTGAATGTGTACAGGGTTTGGGGCTGTTGTATATGTCTACACCACCAGTCCTGGCGGATATCACAAAGACCTGTAAAGACTATGAGCCTCAGTGCATTGGTGACACTCAAAAGGCTCTTTTCTACACAGGTTTAGCATTGATTGCTGCTGGAATAAGTGGTCACATTGTGTCACTGGTTGCGTTCTTTGTTGATCAGCTAGGACCAAAGCCTGAAATGAAGCCTGTTGTGCGTAAAGATGTTTGTATTGAGGTACCTACGGAAGAGGAAAACCATCGACTCTTAATGAAAAAGCTGCAAGAAAGGGGAGGAGGAGCTGACAAGGCTCTTCTGGATTTTTTGTCTTCACGGCCACCAGCGGTTCCAATCATTCAAGAGACAAGTAAGCCAGAGGAGAGTTCCGAAATCAATCTGTTGGCTTTCCAATTTCAGCCAGTCGAAGCAATAATGGAGCTTGTAACCAAGAAAAAAGTGAAACAATTCCAGGCTTGTCTTGTGGTCCTTTTCCCCGTAGTTGTATTGATTATTATTCCTTACATTCAACTCTGGTCACTCAAGTTCGGCATTTCAGCAGTTTGCTCTTTGGTGGCTACACTTGTATTTTTGCTGGGCTCAGGTAAGTACGAGGATCATAGATCTAAAGGAAGTCCAGTTACAAATGTATTTCGAGTCTTGTTGGCCTCTACTTTGAATATGTTCAAAACATGTCCAAGCAGTTCAAAACTTGAGCAGAAAAACAAAAATGTCGAACATTTTTCGCATACTCTTGGACTTGGGTGAGTACAATTTTCTATTACCAGTTCCAACTTGCAAATAATTCTTGCATAGAGTTCCAGAGATTATAATCATCTATAAATGTGCTACATGTCCTAATCAACTTTGCTGTTCAATTTAGGCTCTTGGATAAGGCTGCCATAGAAGACGGAACTGGGAACAAGAGATCATGGCTAGTTTGCACACCTGAAGAAGTGGAAGATACAAAAATGGTTATCCGGATGATTCCAATTTGGATTACCCTAATCATTTGTGGGGTTGTCACTTCAATTGGAACTACATTCTTCGTGGAGCAAGCAAACCACATGAGTTACAAGTTTGGACGATTCAATCTACCAAATTCAATGCTACTTTTCCTGTATCAGACTGGGAAATCACAGTCTAAAAAGATGTACACTAGCATTTCTCAGAAGTTGGAACAAAGAAAAGCACAGTATGCTGCCCCTGCAATTGGCATTGCGCTTGCAACATTCTCTGCAGCCTTATGCTGCATACTTGCTGCAATAGTCGAAACGAGGAGATTACAAGTGATTACAGATCACGGCTTGATCGATAAACCTGATGAGCTAGTCCCAATGACTGTGTTTTGGATTGTTCCACAGTATTTTCTTCTCGCGGTCCTAGATTCGTTCTATGAAAGCAGTGTCTCTCCGTTTCTAACTGAGAACTGTCCTCCATCAATGCAGAAGTATCTTGTGTTCTTAAACCCGGGATTATCCGGGATGGGAATGGTGGGAAGCATTTCATCTGTTTATGTTGCTGGCAGAGCAAGCCGGAGGAACGGAAAACCTTGGTTCCAACACAGCTTGAATGAGAGCCGGTTGGATCGATACTATTGGACACTTGCAGGTTTGAGCGCTGTAAATTTGGTTTGGTTTGCTGGATGGGCAATGTGGTATCCTTACAGGATTGAAACATCAAATGCTGCTGATGAACAGAATCGAAGTCAGGCGACTAATCAGGAAGAGGCAGGAATTGCAGAACATGCAGAGGAAGCTACAGATATATATTAGTGTACTATGTAACTAACTGCATCACAGATTACGGAATGGGAAATTTGCCCTTTCGGGTTCCGATTGTTTTCTTTGCATTAACATCAGTGAGGGTTGATAGTACGTATCTATAGCTATATGGTAGTAGGATCAGGAATCTTTCGTGAGCTTTTCACGAATTTTCGATATGAAATAACATTTCTTTGCGTTAACATCTATGAGTGTTGATTAGTTTGCTACATATGAATATTTAGTCCATAATGATCTTGACTTGATTGTGCGAGAGTGTGAATTGATGTGATCAATCAACAAATACTTTTCAGTTACAAAATATTGGCTTACAAGTTACAAAAGCCCAGGTTTAGAATTGACGTAGTTATGCTACGTTCTGTTTTGGTGTCTGTCTTTGACAGAAACCATTTTCACATTGGTTTTATGATCAATTTCCGGCATATTTTTAGTCCGTAATAATTTGGTACTTGTACTTTAAAAACTCATGCACACGCCCAGGCGCATGTCTCGTCATGACATGTTTTGGGGAAAGTTTTGGTTTCTTTTTAATATGATAATACATTCGTCTAAGTCTGTCAATCTTTGTGTGAATTATATTTATACGAGTCAAGTCTCTTACACTTCTTTTAAGTTTTCTAATATGTTGAGAAAATATATATGCGTTTTTAACGTATTATTACACATTTAGTGTCTAAAATTATTACCCTAACTGATCCAGAATGAAAATATACCGACATTCAATTCCCTAAAAGTGGAGCAACGATATTATATTGAACCACATGTTTCAAACCTTTTTGGCGACATTCTCAAGTTGGAAGTTGAAAATTATAAGCTTATTCACTATTCAGCATACATGTCTCCATGGAAAATATCTAAAAGCTTTAACAAAACCGTGGAAAGAAAAAAAGGTCGCCTATCCTCCTTTTAAGTTCACTAAATATATATTTAGTACTAAAAGTAACATAAGCAATAAATATATTTTTAGTACTAAAAGTAACATAACCAAATAGAAATTTTCAACCAATTATTGTATTTTTCTCTTCCCTTTTAACATATCCTAATTTACTTGAAAAAACGAAAAAGAAAAAAAGATAAATTAGTCCTAAGTCCTAACTCTCCCCTCGTTCTTTCTCTCCCTCTCCTGAATGAAAAATATAATTTCTTACTCTCTCTGTTCTAAAATAAAATAATTATCCAGTCTGTATTTACTAAAATTAAAAATTGAAAACGGGCAATTACCTATGTACCAATCCCTCTTTGACTGTACTTACATCAATTGAAACTTGTGCGGAGAGGTTTGAAGTAATGGGGATCTTACACTTTTTCTTAACTTTTTTATGCATCCTGTGTTGCTGTACGATTGTGAAATAACGATTTTATCATTTTTTGGGGGGCATTTGCAGGATATGATATAAGTATATAACGGTCAATATCTGTAGGTACCATAACATAACTACCCAAATACATGAACCATTCTCTTGCTCATTAAAAACTCTTTCCCTACAATGAAATATGTCATCCTCCTATTTTTAAAAAATAAGCAATTAGATAGTGAAAATGTATATTGAAATAGAATAGTGACTCATGACACGTGCATGGATGCATAATCACCCCTTTTTATTGTTGATAGCTATTGGTAGAGTGGTGCGATTTTTTTGTCTTTTCATTAGTCACTATTTTATTTCCCTATGAAGCCACTACGTGTATTATTACTTAAAAAAATACACATTAAATTTTGAGATTTGTAGTAAAAACAATACAAATCTCAAACTTAAATGTGGACTATTCGTTCAGGAAAATGACATTGGACATTGAGTACATAATCACAAAATAATAAATAAATAATTAATAAAGGATCTCCTATGTTGAAAAATGATCACTGGATTATTTTTAGCAAAACTTTTCAATCTATTTACTGAGTAATTTGTGATAACTAAGATTTTGGGAATTTTAAAAACTAGTAGTTCATCAATAAGATTGCTTAACCTCTCCTTGAATTTAAATAATGTGGTGTTAGCATTTAGTTCCCATCCCCAAGGGCCACAAGCAACAAAATTTTAAAATATGTTCTCAGCTTCAAAATGATCATCCAGAATAATACTCTTATAATTTTAGCATTTGATTCTCATCCCAAGGGCTTTAAACATTATCAATTCTCATATATTATTCTTTCAGTCCCATAAAGAATCGAGAAGGGGAGTAATTTTCACATCAAAGGATGAGAAATTTGGGAAATTAAATAGGCAGAAAATTAAGTCGATTAGCAAAATGTATTGACACAAATTGTCGGAAATAGTTAGTGATTTTAATTCATGATACATCACCAAAGTACCCACTTCTTCCATTAAAAAAAAAAAATCCACTACTATTTAGCATCATCTTGATAAGTTCTCCTATTTGAGATGAAGGTAAAAAAAAAAAGAAAAAAAGATGGGAGAATGAAATAAATTAGTATTATAGCTAGCCAGAGTAAGTAATATTGACATTAATTGTTGAATTAATTAACCTTCCCCGCTAATTTAGTTTCACGACTAATTTGGTCATTGCAACATAATGATGAGACAAGAAGAACGCTTTCTTGACTAGCAAGCCGCGGAAGGGTGTTGCCGGCCTGGTTGAAAGAGCGGCGCCCCTTTTCCCAACAGCGTGGGGTTGTCGGAGATGGTGGTGCTGGCTGAGCTGGCGGTGGTGGTTGGACCCACGTTGTCTTGGTGGATATTTACGCTGGTGACTCTTTCACACCTAGGGCACATAGTCAGGGTGGTTGAAGGACGGTTGTTGGTACGGTGGTTCTGGGAGGCGGCAGCGGTGGCTTTCATAGCCCGGAGCTCCTCCAACTCCTTCTGCAACCTCCTGTTTTGTTCTGTTAATGAACCGAACCATCTCTTCAGATACTCGCACTCCATTTCTGTTTGCTTCAGCTTGCTCCTGTGAATTGGGAAAAAAAAGAAGAAGTAATTATTTAAGCAAAATCACATGAAAGATGCTGGATTTAATATAATTTCACAAATATTGTCGAATGGGTACTTTAGATTGATTTTCAGATTAAATTTTTTGGACTGAACCGCCTTTTATATAATCATCATGTGCCTCATGTGTATTACATAAGTTACGAATTTTTAACTTGACTAAATCATTTGATTTAATTGAATTAGAATTAGATTTCGAAAATACTAGCTATAACAACAGCGAAGGTTGATAATTAAAATTCCCGAAATGATTATTTAGTTTCAATGTTCACTTTTACTATATAAATATATATAGTTTTAAAGTTAAAGATGTAAATTAGACTATAATTAATTTTTGGAGAGAAAGAATATACATAAACAACAGTATTCTAATACTTGATTCACGTTTGATTATCCCTCACAAGAAAGGTGACTGTTTTTTTATAAAAAACTTGTGCAATAAAAAAAAAAAAAACACCTCAATTGCATCATATAATTAGTTAATTACCCATGGCTTTTAGCATGCATATGCATGTTATGTTACACAAAATTAATTTTAAGGGAAAAATAGATATTTTAATCAGCGGCCTCATTTTTTTAAAATACAATTTGGCTTGGTGCTTTCGACAACTGATTGAATGGGAAAAAAAAACATAACTCACGTTAATCTAAACCGCTAAAGTTACAACTAGTTGATGGACCCCAAAACTCCAAGCATTGGGTTCTTTTTAATTTATTGGTACTAATGATTACAGGTATAATGAGAAGACAAAATCACCTAAAGATATGCAGACATGAATCCTTCAATGTTCCTTGTCCCCAAAAGTGGGGGTAAATTCTCAGCAAATTTTTAGCAAAATTCAAACTCGAAATAAGTGTAGACACACACCCTCTACTACTTTGAAGCATTCATGATTACACCACCACACTGAATTAGATATATGGTCTTTGCCTACAAATTTCAATGACAAATCAAAAGAACCCAAAAACAAAACAAACTCCATAATCATCAACTTTCCGACGTACTATATTTACACCCAATAATAACGTATAAAATGTAGGAGTAGTATACAATAACTAAAGATGGATAATTAATTGCGCTCTAACTAAAAAAAACCGTACATTAAATACTTAGTATCCGCGATTTAAATTGTTATAACTTATAAGATAAAGTTCAGTTATATACTTATATATAGTGTTGTGTTTTTCATACGGTATGAGAATTATGGGTTGAACCGTTCGGTGTACGATGTTGTAGTATGAATGAAATGGTTTATGATTTTTGAAAAGTCTAGTCAAGCATTTATTTCAGTTAAAGGGGGAATTATTGACAATTACCAGGACAGACATTCAACCTTCCCCTCTTTTTGTTAGTACTTCTATTTTTTTTTTCCTGCCCTTTGACTACCTTAATTGGTTCCAAAGTTTGGAAGTAAATGTTCATGATTTTCTCCATCAAAATTTTCGTTTTCATCAAGACTTTGAAACCTTCAAAATATATGAGGTCATTATTTTCTAGCATAGAAATGAACTCTTGGCCGTTAATTAGCCTCATCATATATATAAAATACAGTATGATCTGGTCTTCATATATACATCATACTACCAATTCCAACTTATATGGCATTGACTTCAAACTAGGTTAAGATACTATAATTAGACACTCGAAAATGAGAGTGAACACATTGAGCCGTTTTATAAATCATTTTCCCCAACCGTTTTTTGCTATAATATGCATTTTCACCTGAAAATTAACAAGTTATAATACTATACACTCATTCTGCATCGAAATAAGAGTTTTGTATGTTAAGTTATTTTACATTCAATCAATTTAGTAATGACAGAAGCACTATATAAAAGAAATATTGAAAGAAAAAACACATAAATTTTATGAGTTAAGGTGGTTAATATAAGAATCACCAAAGTGTGAGTGTGTGCATATAATGCAAAATGGAGACACGTTTAATTTCCATGTTTCAAGTATAACAAATGACCCAGAAAAAAAAAAGAAGGGAAACAAAAAAAATACCCCACCAAGGAAACAAAATAAAAATTCAGTTAAGTCCACACGTAATTATTATTATAAATAAATAATGAAAGAATATTCAACGCGTAAAAATAAATAGAACTATGAACGTTGATAGTAGTAATATACTACCTTGCTCGACGGTTTTGAAACCAGACCTCCACCTGTCGTGGCTTTAGCTTTAATTGCATGGCCAAAACTTCCTTTTGTCTCTACACAATCAATTCAGTAAGTTACATTTATGTTGACAACATTAATAATCCAGTCTTCCAAATTTATTATGAAACTGCAGTTGAAGAAGTAATAAGAGAACAAATAAAGAAAAAAAACAAAATGAATACAATTTGATTTTTAAAAATGAAATTATAAATAAAGAAAAAAAAAAAGCACGCACACACACACACACACACTAGAATAATTAAGGAAGAATGGGTTGCCTTACAGGGTTCAAGGTGTGGTTTAGCCGGAAACTTTCCTCAAGGAGACGAGATTGTTCTTTGGTGAGCCGGAGTTTCTTCCGGGGAACTCCTCCGGCGGCACCGTTATTCGTCGTGATACTCGGGCAGCTTTCGTCTTCGTCTTCCATGCTATCATCTCCTTCTTCGGATGGGATTCGATTCATGTCCAAATCTTTCGTGTTATTGACTCCACCGCCACCACCTTTATCATCATCAGAATAGCCTTCATTTATTGTTTAGTTTTCAAACACTTGATGACACACATTATACATGACAAGAACATTTTAATCAAATTAGTCAAATGTATTTATTGATTGAAATTAAGGGCCTCATGTGTTCCGGTATATATACTAAGACCAAAACAAAATGTCTAAATGTTCATCTATTCACATGATCTAAAAATCTTAAAACACACACACACACACACATACACACGCAGACACACAAAAACAAAAATACAAGTCAAAATCCGGAAAATCTTCACATATGATTTGTTCTTAGTCGGGCCGCAAAGAGAAACCCTTAATCCGGGATTTCCTTGTTAAAAAAAAATTCATCGGAAAATAAAATTTCTATGAGATATACTCGATCCGACCAAGAGAATAGCTCAGTTTTCTTAGAGAAAATGAGTTAGAGTTTTACCTTATGACAGTATATCATTTCGTTGCTATTTTTATATTTAGTTATGTAATTAAGTGGACTGTTTTAATATCTCAACTTGAAATCCGGCAACAAGTTTTACAATTAACCCGCTGAAAGGGATGGATTCAATTGATAAGTATGATAGGCGTGGAAAACACATCAAAAACATAATATTTCACCACTTTTTTTGGGTTGACATCTCGAATTAAATATAGAATCAGAAGTGAAATATCAAACTGTATTCAAGAATTGTCCATTTTTTGACAGGATATATAAACCCTTTGAGATTTACCTGAAGAAGGAAAAGATGAAGAAAAGCCAGGCATGGATATGGATAGCTCCAAACAAGTAGCGATTTCCGACATGTTTTTTGCTGATGAAAAGCCTCCTCCCAAACCCTAATTACACAGATTATATAACCAATATTGTTTTTATGAGGGATTTGTTAGTGAAAGGAGAAAGAGACAAGAAGAAGGAGAAGAAGAAGGATTTAAGGAGGGAGAGAAGTTGTTGGAAAGAATACCATGAGCTTGGAATTAAATAACCAAATTAAGAAGCAAACTAATTAAGTGTAAAATGGGCATATGTATATATGTATATTTATGGGGGAGAACTTGACTAAAAAGTCATAAAGTCAAATGTTATGATGACTCCACCTGATGCACAACACGTGTCGTTTAGTATGTTTCAGAGTTTGAAGAATTCCAATTTGTTGAATGTTGTTGTTGTTGTTGCAGGTGAATAAGCAGCAAGGTTATTGTCTAATCTTCTTCCTGTTGTTTTGTTTTTGCAACTTTTTTTTTTTTTAATAAGCAAAGAAAAAGAAAAAAAAGGGGAGAAATGTTGCGCCCCATGGGCATGGGCTTGTCGGTTCAGTGGTCAGCTGCCAAAATGATTGGGAATTGACTTTAAACCTCAGACATACAAAAAAACACTTCAGTTTGTGCTGTATTTTTGTTTTGGTCCTTCAATTCATACTATGCAAAACGTACGACTGACTATTACTACTCATACGATTGTTGTTTATTTAATCCTATGTCTCCGCTTAGAATCGTTTCATCGTTATAAGCCACTCTCAAACTCACACATAAACTCTAGTGTCTATTTACGATACGATGACACGATTTTCAGAGACAACTCTATACGACACGATACGATTAATCTGATTTGAATATTCATCACATTTTTGTTAAAAATTATTACTAATCACGTGAAATGCATAATATGAAATTAACCCGATAACTCGAATTGATACCCCTACACAAAATAAAAGTGTACATATTTTTATACCTTTATTTGTATTATTATCGGGAAAAAAAAAAGAAGAAAAACCAGTAAAATGTAAAAGATGTTATCTGTTACATCACATTTGTGTTAGCTGCTTCTACGTTATTTAATTTTGAATTTTATTATTTGAATTCCTAATCTGATAAAAACCCTTTGTCACCATAAGATGGGTTATTGTTAAACATTGAATTTGTAAATTGAAAATGGAAATCTCCATTTGTTTCTTTCCCCTTCACTTGGATTTCTTTCCTTGCTCCATTTGTATGGATCCATTTCTCTTTTGAGAAAAGGAAAGAAGATTTTTTTCGGTAGATCTCCCTTGTTGTTTAGTCCCGATACCGATTTGAATGAATCAAATCATGAAGGTCATTCCAAATTTTGATAATCGTGACATGATTTGGATCATAAGAATGGTTAATTGGAATCTTGTTGTGAAGAAAAATTAAGAAAAAATCCGCTTGCCATTCGTCGACTATTTCGTCCATCTATACAAGTCAACATAACCAAAGAGGAACATCCGTCGACCTATACGTCGACATAATGAAGACGACTAATAAGTCGACAACTAGAATTTCCTAATTTTTTTAATTAAATTTTTTTTTTGTATTATTCAATTTTAGAAGTTTTTTGTAGTTATTTTAGTCCCTATAGATCTATTAGAATATTTTTTACATTCAATAATTTTTTAAATAATTTTAACAAAGTAATTTATTTATTTTTAAGTTATTTTTTTAGGTCTTTTGATTCGCAGTTATATTTGAATTTTTTTTTTTTTATGGACAGAGGAGAGTAGTACATTTACATCCTTTAATCACTACCATCAATCTTTACCTACCTAGATCTTCACATTTTTCCTTTACTACTAAAAGAAATAAAGATTATGACTTCAACAAATAGAGTGCGCACGATTTTTTTTTTTTTTTATTTTTAGGGTCACCCCAAAAAGGAGCACTCTAATTGAACTAATTAATTGTACATTTAAATATGTGTACCCCTAGTCACACGATTCGCTTCTCAAATCTTTCCTCTGAGATATTATAATACTCCCTCTGTCCCAAAATTATTGTCTAATTTGAAATTTCACTTTTAGTACAATTTGAACTAGAAGTGAAAATTCAAACTGGATAATAATTATGGGACGGAGGGAGTATAAAAGTCCAAAATGATTATTTTAGACGTAGGACCAAACGGAGAACCTATAGCGAAATAACTCGTCAAAGATCTCAATGATCTCCCGATGCTAACGTGGGAATATCTACAACTAAATCTGTCCAATCCCATTGGACAGCTTAAACTACTTCACGACACAAAGTGTGTACTGTTATTTAAGTTAGTAGTAGTATATTATATAGATTAGGGCTCATGCAAGAATCCATAATTATGGAAGATATAAGTGTTTTTTGCTCTTGTTTTTTCGGCGCATATCACGTAATCTACGTACTAGGATTATTTTGTGTTTTTAATACTGATGAATTAATTAAAAATGCAAAAGCTAATCGCACTTTTGGAAATTACTCGTGGATTTTAAGCCTATGTTTTTGATGATTATGATTGGGAAAGATTATACAGATATATAGGAAAGGCAGCAAAACAAAGCGGCAAACCAAGAAATGCGCGTTGGGGGATTGAGGAGACAATTTTGGGACAACATGTTCGATTGTTTGTCTCTCCATTTGTGGGATTGTGTCTTGTACAAATTTTTCTTCGTTGTGAATCGTGTGGTTTTGTCGTTGCGGATAACACGTGAGCTCCAATACTACCAAATTTAAAAAATTTACTTAAAATCTTTTATAAGTTATACCATTATATTACAATAATGATCAATTTCAATAACGTTATAATAATGAACTAGATGCTTGGCCCAGGCAGATGCCCGGACGCCCCCTCTACTTTAATTTTGTGTTAATAGATAAATGAATTTTTGATTTAGAAAAAATAAAATAGCTACACATTTATTGTTTTCCCCTTTTTAGCCAAAAATAATATAAAAATAAAAATCATCTACAAAAGGAGAAAAAATATTGAAAAGTACACCGATGCAGAAATCATACAAAAGAATGTGGAGTAATAAAGGGGATAATTTTATGGACAAATTTAAATCCTATCTTAATTTGATTGATAAATGATAAGTGTTAGGAGTTAAAATTGTGTAGCTATCTTTGTAAATTAGTTTTTGTTTTTCTGGATAAGAAGTTTTTTTTCTTTTAAAAAGGGATGACGCGTGGCAGAATGGTTAAAGCAATATGGTGCATTTGGAGCCAAAATTTTTTTAATAAGAAATTGCCACATCAACATCATGTATTCTGCTTTAATAGGGTAAAAGAGATTACGGTATAATGTTCTCGAAAGCACCGTTCAATCGCGCTCTAACAAATAGTCAACTATTAATTTCTTTTGTTTTTTAGATGATTTTTTCATAATAATAAAATAATAACTGTCTCATTCCAGCATATCTTTTTACATTTCCAATACACCTTTTTACATTTTCAACAAAAAAAACACCTAAAAACACACACTAAAAAAACGAAACAAACATACCCCTGTGACTACTTATAAAAGCCGGGATGGTCAAGACCAAACATTCATAGGGACAAGATAACAGTACTAGTTTTAAAAATGAAAATATAAAGAAAAATAACCAAACAAATCTCGTTTTAATTACTCTTTTCTTTATAATTTTATCTACTCCCCATCACGGGTAAAAGATCTCAGAACAACCAAAGTGAAGTTAGTGCTTTCTTTCATCATATAGCTGAAGTTTTACATTTGAAAAACACTTCCTATACACTACCTTTCCTGCTCTAAGCTAGCAGACTGACGAGCAGTAGCGAGATCTTAACTTGTTGACTGCTTTGTCCCGGAACTATGTACACAAAACCAAGACGCATGGCCTCATTAACCCAACAACTACTCCAAAATTTCAAGGCCTTCTTTTCATGTTCGATGGAGACGTTACAAATCATCAATCGCCTAGGGGACAAAGAGGTTGTCGCATACTAAGTTCGGCTTTAAGATTTGGAAAGCTCTCCAAATCATGAGATATTCCCAATATTTTCTGCATAAACAGCAAACCAGATTACGATAAGGTGCTAGATAGACTCTGGTATATTCTCTATTGTTGGTTAAAAGTACAAAGGTAGCCTGGCACATATAAGCAACCACTATGAGTGAGTCCTAGAGAAACTAGTATTTGTAAACACAAGCTAATTGTTAACAAAGCACAAACCATACATTACTTACCAGTGCCGCAAGATGTGCATCTTGTAGAATGTTTCCGTCTATCTCTAATCTAGTGATTGGAAACTCTGGTAGATGGCCCGACTGTCTTTTCCCAAGCAAGTCCCCGGGACCTCGAAGGATGAGGTCCATGTTTGCAAGGTGGAAACCATCTAATGATTTCTCCAGAACCTTCAACCGATTTAAGCAATTCACAGTAGACGCTACTAAAATACATTTAGACTTCCTATCACCACGTCCAACTCGACCTCTAATTTGGTGTAGCTGAGCTATTCCAAACCTCTCTGCATTCATTACGACCATCATAGATGCATCTGGAATGTCAACACCAATCTCAATTACTTGCGTGGAAAGCAGAATATCCGTTTCTCCAGATCTAAATCGCCTCAGTGCGTCATCTTTAACATCACTTTTCATCTTTCCATGCAGCAATCCACAACTATAGCCAGGAAATCTACTGGATACTGTTTCAAGCTCAGCTGCAGCAGCACGCAACTGAGGCAGTTGCTCAGATTGCTCAATTACTGGATATACTACATAAACTTTCCCACCTGCTTCCAATTCATCCAGCATCATCTGTTGTAGTTCAGTCCACAGCAGACAGATATTAATCGTTTCTAATGAACAACACTGCCACATATTTGATTTCCAATGTAGTTAAAACATGCATGGAATTTTGCTTAGTAGTTATATTCAAAACTTCTCATCATCTACTAGGTAGAATTTGCGAGTCATAGTTTTCAGCCACGACCATAAAATAACACGTCTGATGAGTATTCATCAACTTCAAATTCTCAGATCAACAAAGATGGTCTTCAAAGAGCTACACATGCATTGAATCTCTAACCACACAAATTTTTGCCGTACAATGGTCAATTACTGTACATTTCCTTTTGATCTTTGACATCTCAGAAATTATCAACAGAAAAATACAATGCAATAAATGGTCGACTTCACAAGATTTTATGGCTGATTTCATAGGGGCACAACTATACGTTTATAATCAACATCTAATAAAAGATGATCACTACAAAGACATACGATAGAATTGGTCAGTGAAAAATATGTACCTGATAAACCTTCTCTATTCCAGATTCATTTCCTTCAACTATTTCTGTTTCGATAGGTATCCTCCCAGGAGGTAGATCAGTAATCTGGAATTGCAGAGAACTTTTTAGAAAATTTATAAACTTATTAGAAGGTGAGAAAAGGGGAAAAAAGCAGGTGCGAAAGGAGAATGGTTACAATCAACCAAATTATATCAGTGATAATATGTTTATTAAAAAAGAATCTTGATTTCGGACTAAGAAAGGACTAGTAAATCGGTTTTATACACGTATTCATTTGTAGCCAATGAATAGTCTCTACTTCGCTTGTGGACTCCATCTTTCCACATTATATGACTACATCGACTACTGCCCACTATGAAATGAGAAACCAACTCAACAGGGAAGTACTAACTAGAACATCAAAAGACAGTCCTTTAGGCAATGCTGGATTTCATTTTACAGAGAAAATTAAACATGCTAAGTGCAAAAACCACAGGAAAAGTGCCAAACTGAAGAAAACTCATCTTACAGGGTTGATCTAACAACAAAATCTATATGACATTATATCCTATTTGATCTTTTGCAGTAGGTCAAGTAACAGTGCATCACTGAACATATTTAGCGCCATGTACCTGTGTCAGAGACATGTCCCCGTACAAAGCCAAAGCAAGAGTTCTTGGGATTGGAGTGGCTGACATAGTTAAAACATGTGGAGCCATAACGCCATCACATTTCACGGAATCAGAAGACCTGTTTGACTCCAGCTTACAAGTGGTGGGGTTGTAATACAGCTGTATAAGCACCAGAAATCAAACTCTAGAAAGAGTAACATACACAAAGATGAAAAGAAAATTGCGAAGGGTGCACAAAGCAGTTAGGTTCTAATGTTGTTCTGGGTTTGTCCATCGATTATGAGCCACTTAAGTGTAACGCTCATCTCTTGAGCTATGCATCTTATGCTTCAAATCCCTTTAAACTAATCACAATTGACAAAAAGTTTAAAAAGTGAAGATGAAAAGAGAAATGTGCCAAGAAAGAGAGCCTATGGGCAATGCTTTCCATGTCGCCTGATCCGTGTGCAGGAAGAACCACAAGTACAATATACTGATTCAGGAAATTTTACCAGACCAAATAAGGAACTCAGATCATCTCTCTACTTCAGTACACATGCCATTCCAGAAACACAGTGGGAAGGTGCAGACAAGGAAAAGGATCAAAAGAGGCTGAATAACCATGACAAGTGAAAAAGCAGAAACAAAGAAGAGTAGTCTGGATATATAAAGCCACATGCTCAGAAGCAAGAAAATCTATAAAGCAACAACTACAAGCCTTTATCCCATTACATGGGGCGGCTATATGGATCATATTTCGCTTTCATGCTAAGTCCACACACATTCATTCAAATTCGAATGAAGAATACTAAAACATAAGGTAAAACCTAGACACTAAAACCCAAGCTAAATTCACTTTCCAGCTGATTCGAGATGGTTGCGAACATCATAGAGCTTAGATAAACTTCACAGTTACAACAAACTAGGATCTTTTGGTTTATGTATTTTTGCACTGATAAATTACCTTGCTGTTAAAGAGTCCTCTCTGGATGACACCAAAGCGATGTTGCTCATCTATAATAGCAATGCGTAAAGATGCAAATTCCACCTTGTCAGCTATTAAACTGTGAGTACCAATCACCAAGGAGATTTCTCCACTTTTCAGACCCTGCAACCCAATTAATTCAGATAAAAGCTTTGAACCTGTAGTTTAAATTAGATTGAAAGCTTTCTTTAATCTTGCCTCACGAATTAGATTTGACTGCCTTGATGGGGTTGATCCTGTCAACAAAGCAATGGATGGTTTTCCATTGGTGTCTTCCGTACTCTCTAGCAATTTAAGAAGGTGCTCATAATGCTGAACTGCAAGCAACTCAGTTGGAACCATAAAAGCTGCCTAAAAGCACAAAAGTAACCACATCACTTTTTGATCTAATCTATCATATTCAAAAATCTTCAAATGCGAATAGAAGTTGTAAGAAACAAATTTTGTCTTGCATTTAAAATTGACTACTTTCAGGTCTTGAGATTCATTTGAAGGAATTTATTTCGATTTTTACAAAAAAACTTTTATTCAACAGTCTTTGGATATCATGGACAAAGAAGAAATACTCGAATAGGGAAGGCAGCGCGCAGTGTACCTGATATCCTGAGCCAATGACCTCCATGCAAGCCAAAAATGCTACAATAGTTTTTCCACATCCAACGTCCCCCTGTTAAGAAACAAAGTTCTTCGTATCAGCTGCAAACTAAATAGTATTGCTACTTAATTAAAGATAACTCAGCCTAGAAGTCCAAGATGTCAATACCAGAATCAAGTGGCAGTAAGCAAGATCATCTACAAGAAAGACTAATCGAGCAAAATTCCCAATTTCACTCATGACACAATTGGTAACAAACATGTAAAACATCCATCAATTTTTGAGTGAATGGGCAATTAAGACCGTATGAATGTGATCTTAAGCACAAAACCACTACACTTAATTTAATGATGTATAGCAGTCTGTAGGGTAAACAAGAGAAAAGGAAATCAATAAATGAAATAGGAAAGAAGTGAAACCTGCAGCAGTCGGTTCATTGGAACAGGTCGTTTCAAATCCCAAATAATTTCTGAAACAGCAGTCAGCTGACTGCGTGTCAGAGTATACGGCAAAGCCCTTAAAAATGCCCTAGTCAAATTGGACCATTCTTCTACAAATACTTCATTAAGGTGAGGATTCCGGTACTTCTCCAGTAATCCATCTTTCTCTAGTTTGGTTCCAAGACCTTCTAGCATCTGATACAACCTACCCAACTTGAAAAGGAAAAAGAGACAGAAATTTGGTCCATACAGTCAAAGTAGAACAAAAAACTAGCATCAAAACCACTGCACAATAGTATTACCTGAAGATAAAAGAACTCATCAAATATAAGCCTCCTGCGAGCTAAATCAGCCTGAACTAAAGTCTTTGGTTGGTGTATCCCAAGATAAGCCTACAATTCCATTCAAACATCACTACCAGGTGAAAATCCTTTACTTATCTTGAAATAAAAAAGCTCGCACATTAAGCTGACCAGTGACATTCAGCTGTAGACACTCATTAAATAATGTCTTCATTCTTAATAAACTGTACAGCTCAGGACAAGTTTGCAGCGAAAAGAAAATGAACAAGGTTGCTTGCATTAAGAATACACCAATGATGGTGCCAAAGAAAACAATATTGTTGATGGCTATCTTATTTCAATCTTAAAGAAAATTTCCTTCATCGAAGACTAAAATTAAAGATAAAAATAAGAAGAGCAGGCAGGAAGCCGGCTATCCTTTAATTTTTTATACCTAATTATTGAAAAATAAGATTGATGAACAATTCCAAATAACCATAACCATGAATAGCTTCTCATTTGGAGTAGAATTACAGTTTCTAGTCCCATTTTCCACCCATTAATAGTACACTATCAAGCCAATGACATCCAGATCATTTATCTCATTTTGTATGCTATTTATCAAGAGGGAAGAAAAACTGCAAAAATTAGGCGCAAGAGAACCTAAGGGAGGACATGATTTAGCTGCTTACATCTCGTAGGCTTACAAGCGCAAAATCCTCTCTGATAACTTCAGGGATAGGATCATCATAGCCAGGCAATGACTGTAAGCCTCTGAAAGATTTAACAGAAAAAAGATCTTACCAAACAAACTTCATAAAGAAATTGAAGAAATGAAAAAACTCTGAAACTTGTATGCTTCAGCTCCTAGTCTGTTTCTATTGATGTTATACATATGTTTAACAGAAACAGAGAGAGAGAGAGAGAGAGAGAGAGAGAGAGAGAGAGAGAGAGAACCAGTAACACAAGGACACATACAGAAGCATCTCCGTAAATTTCAAAAACGAAAAGATAACTATCCTATAACTCCTGTCTTATAGTGATTATTAGTGATGAATTAAATAAAGAAACAACAACAACAACAAGCCTTTTCCCACTGGGTGGGATCGGCTAAACAAAATCAACAAATGACCAAAAATTATGGGAAACGTCATGCTGATCAGTATCGCAACACTGGGGTTCTGGGAGCTAAAGAATTCTCGATTTTACCTCCCAGCAAGTAAAAACAAACAAAATGGAAACCAATGATAGGTTAGCAGCACTGATTGGGAACAGGATACAACACCCACGGGTCTAGTTCTAACAATGAAAAGCTCTGAGCATATAGGATCCCATGATACAGATTTTAAAATCAAGTTATTACTACGATCAGCATTTTATCAAGGCCACAAAATTTGGCACAACAAACCTTGAGATAATATCTCTAAGAAAGTTTGGCTTTAGTCCTCCTTTTGAGGGATATATTGGATAGAGTTTCTCTTTTCCAAAAGCGGCCGAATCTCCTTCGTCCTGAAGTATATCCAGAGTATACTCCCTCATTTCATAATGATCCTTTGTACGCATCACCCGGACCTGAACGTAACAAATCAGATATGATTATCCAAGGCAAAAGCAAATGAAACATGAGGCGGACAAAAAATACCGGACATGATAGGAACAATGCAATGCTGAAGAAAGGTATGGAGTCTGTTCAGGTCATTGACCGACAAGATTAAGGGCAAAAAGGGGAAATGCTGAGGAAAAGAAATGCAGAAATGAAGTTCTAAATTCTGCATTGCAACGCACAAAACCAAACTCTGTCGAGTTGAAGGCCAATAAATGACTCAGACATAGACTATTGGAGCACAGAGACCAGCAACCGGCACTAACTTAAAACGGCATTCTGAGCATTTACTCATACACTGTATATTGCATCAGTAAATCAGAACACATTTAATAGGTAATCAGTAAGAAGATTATAAAAAGAAAAAAAATGCAATCATTATTTTCAAACATCATAGAAACAACTGTCTCTTTGTGCTACACCTTTATGTCAGGATAATCATCAGAAAGATCCCAAGACAAGGATTGCTACTGTATATAATGTTCAAAATCATTGGAAGCATTCTCCAAAAAATGTGCAAAATAATGAGCGCTCACCTTACCACTTACGCAGACAATCTCTCCTTCCTGGTGCTTCGACTCAAGACTTTTAAGAAACGGCAGGAATGTGAAACGAGCACCGCGGAAGAACTTCTTCAAATGGATGTACATTGTTCTTGTTCTACTTTCTTCAGTTCCATCAATCATACATTCAGAATTCAAACTACTTTCCCCAACTTCACAAGCTACTACAACCTCTAGAAATGAAAATGAACTGCTAGCTCTTATTCCCCTGCAATCAATCAAACCAGGCAAACGTTAAGGCCTGGACTAGGTTCATGAGCTTGTGTTGCAAAAAAAAATCCTCCTATCCAGTGCAATGTCTGATAAAACTAGGGTAGATAACAGAAAATTCTAGCAGATTTATCCTTTCAGTTACGTATTATGCACAATCGGGGACCAAATAATTAAACTGAGGTATGAAAAATTGATATTCAAAATCAGTCACGCAATATGAGACGATAAATTTCTGAAAATCAGGGACAACCTTGAAGATAGTATTTTCCCGACAAAGATCATATATTGCCCATCAACAATGGTGACTTCTGGATTTTGTAGATCAGCATAAGTCCGAGGATAATGGTATAGTAATTTCCGCAACTGAAACCCAAAATGCACAACCAGTCACACGCTGAAGGCGATACAAAAAGCAGTCATCTTTAACTGAAGCTCACCGTATAGAAGCCACAATTTTCCAACTGATTAGATTGCCTTTTCGTGAGTCCAGGTACAAGTTTTATCGGTTTATCCAAAATTTCTTGGATCGATGTAGAGGCATTTGGAGTATCAATAACGGCAGAACTTGTAGAAGACTTGTTGACATTAAGTTCATCGTCTTGTCTTGACTCTGGCTTCAAAATTGGCAAGGAACACACAGGAGAAGTATCCAATTCTTCTCCAACAGAAGAAGAGTTACTGGGACGTAGTGATGGCCATGTTTCATAGAGATGATTAGGATCTACCACCTTAGACTCACTGGTATGGAGGAGATATTGCTGATAAAACTGAGATGCTAAAAGCCCCCCATGTATGGAGCTAGTTGATCCATCATATAGTTCAATTGGTGGGGCAAAACCCAATGATATAGATGGGAAGCGTTTACATGCCAACAAGACATCAAAATCGTCATTTTCGTCCTTGCACTTCTCACAAAGGTCATCTTTGATATAGTCATCAATACCATCATAACCAACTACTGCAGTTACCTACATGGAATTCAGGATTTTCAAAGCACAATAATTACAATCACAAAGAGTGAACGAAGCAGCATATGGAAATACAATGCAGACCAAATGTAATCAAACTGGTTGACTAGCAAAATCATAACCACCCATTTGAACCAACATTACCAACATGGGAATTAGATAGTAAAGATATTAGTCATTTCAATTGCACTCTTATCAAGTAATTTTATTCTCTCCAGCAACAGCAGTATCTTAGAAACAGAGAATAACCACCCATTGGGTTCCGACCAAAATATCTTGTCGTCCAAATTCACATGTAGATTAGGACATGGCGAGTTGGACATATTTCAAATATGGATGAAATGCTTATTCTGTTTGGAATAGTTTTTATCATAAACACATGTGTTAGTACTAATCACTAGATTACTGAGGACAACTGGTTTTATCACAAGTAACTGGTGCTGCAGAAGCAACCATGAAGGGGACTAGTAAAAACACTAAAAAAAATCATCCCATCCAATATAAACAAATTAAGTCTTGCATGCACAAAACTAAAACAGAAATCAAGATAAATGGGAAACTAAAGTCACCAAATTCTTACATTATTGTAAGGAGAGAACTTTATTGGGACAGTAACCAGGTAGCACTAACCTTCTTAAGCAACTTTAACTCAGGAATCGTCACATTGTCAAATGCATCCACTTTCCCCAGAAACTTCCTTGGTAATTTATGTTTTGATCGACAACACAAGTGTGAAATTTTAGGAAAGATGAAAGTACCCAACCTGGTTTGCATAAAATAAACCCAGATTAAACAACAACAACAACAACAAGCCTTTTTCCCACTAGGTGGGGTTGGCTATATGGATCATATGTCGCCATCGTGCTCGATCATAAAATAAACCCAGATTATTAAAAAAAAAAAAAAAAGCGGGTCAAATCCATATGTTTGTCTAAAAGTTTTATGATTTTACCTCATGTTCCCACCCCTGAAGCATCTCTGCATTACGAATAGATCTGTATACCTCAAGCTCCTTTGATTTAAGAACTGAAAAAGGACTCAATTTAGCTATAATTATCCAGTATCCATGAGAAAGATAAAGACCAAACAACAGCATACACGCATTTGAAAAACTTCAGAATTCATGACATGCATTAAACATACAGTAAGCTCAGCTGCATATTTATAACATAAAGGCTAGCAAGGTTTATAGCATTTCAGATTCCACATCTCATTCATACCACAGTAGATTAAAGTTAGAAGAAATAAAAGCCACAGAATGGTAACCACTCATTTCTTCCTAATAAGGGAAACTAAACAGCCACTAAAATATTCTTACATGAACACACAAGAACAAGAGGGATCACTCCCAGCATTCTGCAGTAAACTTTACCAGCCTCTAAAAAAGGGCAATAAAGTAGCCACACAAAGGTAGAAAACACTACATTTGAGACTAACTGCATCTGCAAGCTTCACAAATATTGCTCTATCTGTTTCTTTCTTTTCCAATTTCCTATGCAATTTGCAGGCAATCCCAACAAAATCATCAATTTGTGTGAAGAATCCGTCATTGACATCAATGACTCCCAAGCAAAAACAACACCACCATCCCAACCACCCCTCCCCCAAACAAAACCAATTATAAAAAGGAGTCTTTTACACTCTTAAATCTTTTGCATAAATCCTATGGTTATCCAATATAGTTGAGAAGGAAGAAAAGTTGACTTGATAAATACGGCCGACATTCACCAATATTCATACTGCAAGCAAGCAACAGACACTCCAAAAACATGCATAAAGATTCAAACTTTAAATTTCTGAAAAGATAGTAGCAACGATGATAAAGACTGCCACCAATAACTGAGAGCTGAAGCACGAAAAGAGAGGGAAAAATAGCAAAAGAAAAAAAGCATGATTGAGTTTTCTGTAGGTGAAACCCACCATATGGTGATCGATAATTCTTCGAACTGGAGAGTTATCCGTAACTTGTCTTCACTTTTGCCTGTTATGGAAAAATTTCCAAGTGGGTTTTTCTTTTGAGAGTGTAAAGGTTTAAGCCATTGCTACGGGAATTTTGAAGAACCTGAGAACTGATAAGTGGAAGGAAGAAGTTGGTCAGTAGACATTCAAATGAAGATGAACGATTTTTAGCTACACAAAAAATTGTAAAGATTCCGACCCCCCAAGTTCAGTTTATTTTTTAAATGTATAATAAAAGAAAATAAACTATAGAAGGATAAAATTGAGAATTTGATCAAATCTGGGTACCTTTCTTTTTTTTCTATAAATTTGATTCAGTTCATGGGCTAACTGTTTGAGATGGTCTTTTGGCCAAGCAAAAGCATTTCCAAACCCTAGCGCCGCTCCCTTCTTCAACCAATCTTCCCTTCTTCCATGTCTTCTTTTCTGACTATTTATGATTCAAGTTTCAATCTTTTCCGGTATTAATGATTCATTTCAGTGTTCGATCTTTGTTTTGTGTTATTAAATGATGATTGTGAGAAGTAAAAAAGTCGAAGTTTTTATTTGTGATACGAAATGGGCTGGATGCTTCTTAATCAGGGGAGAGTTTAAAACTCAGTGGCTCTGAAATACCTGCAGGTTCTCTGCAGGGTGCCCTGTTATATCCATGCCCTCTACAGCAAACTAATGGCATCATAGTACGGGTTTGTTTTGCTTTCATCTGGGCAATAATGTGGTAGAGAAACTGATGTTATTGGTCTCCTTTTTGGGGCCAATTTCTATTTAGATTTCTCTTCACTGCTCATTTGGGATTTCTATTTTCACGAACCTGCCTCCAATTGCCATTACATTTTTTTTTTTGGTTGGTTGTTTTGCACTCATGATTTGGATTAATGTTTATGAATATGGGATTCATGCTGCTTCAAACACATCCCAGAACAGTTTTTGTTCTTGCTGAAACAGGATTATTAGTATCAACCGGCAAACAAAACCAATATGCTGTTCTGGAAAAGAAAATGGTCAACAAGTTTATTGCTAATGGCTATCTGAACTATTGAACAAAAACCAAATGAATTGGTCACCTAAAAATTTGATTCAGGGAAAGATTCAGTCTTTAATTTGATTGAATTGGAAGGTAAGTGAGGAAATTGCAGAATTCATTTTATAAATGTTGATACATTGCTAATAAAGTTCTGGTTAATTGTAATTGTAAAACAAATTATTTGTTGGCAGTACTAAAGCACTACTAACTTGACAAGAAACATTTGACATCAATGTTCAGCAGATCCCCTAAAGATCTATGACCATTCTGTCTTTCTGCCCATCATTGCTAAACAATCCCTTCTCCAGAACCCAATCTTCAATCATGGCTTGAGAATTAACAGCCTGATCAGTAGGCACTAGATGTCCAGCTCCCAGGACAATTACGTGGCTCAAACTCCCCAACTTCTGCACATAACCAGCTAACTCATTGTTCACTTTCCAAACCTTCCTCTCAGCCTCCAAGAACTCTCCAATTCTCTCCCATTTCATCTTCTTCACCCATGCCTCCGTTGATACCACGCCGTCTCTCAAATCGCAGTGCCCCTGATACAACAGCACCTTAGTATTCTTAACCAAGTATTCAACCATGTACTTCACACTCTTCATCACATCCTCATGCAATGCCGTACCAACTACATCACTACAAACTTGAAACACTGCATTGTCCTTCACCCCTAATTGCTTTCTCACCTCTGCATTCTTCAAAAACTCGGCTACTAAATCATCTTGATAAGGAATCAGCCTTCTAAAATCATACAGCGTCGCCAAGCCAGTCATGTTCTGCAATTTATTCAGCACCTTATTTCTTGCATTGGTGGCCTCACTCCAATTCGCTCTTTGAGTTAACCCAATAGCCTCTTTTTGAAGATCCTCCAACACTTTCCTCTGCTTATCATTAACCAGCCCTGAATAATAAGCATTCAAAGCATGAGTTCCCACTTGTGTGATAGGATCAGTTAGGCCATTCCCTATTGCAACACCCTGCAAATTGATCCTACTATCAACAGGCAATCTGGCATTCCTCTTCAATGCATAGTACCCAAAACCTGGAACATACTTTCCAGCATAACTCTCACCAGTAACATAAACCGGCCTTGTTTTGTACGACCCATCAAGGCTAATGAACTTCTTGATTGCTATAAACAGATGTTTAGCAATATCATGCTGATTTCTTGGGATTTCTTCAACTGAGCTTGCAATGCTAAAGCCAACCCCAATTGGGTTATCAATAAAAAGAACGCCAAAGACTCTGTTCCAGGGGCCAGGATTCGGCTCAACTGTTACATTGGAAGAAACCCGCCACGGGCCGAGTTCATAGAAGTTCCCAAGCATAGATGAACAACCAGGGCCACCTTGAAGCCATATGAGAATTGGGGTTTGGGAGAGGGGAAAGATGGGCTTTTGTGCTTCATAATATGTGTAGAAAATGGATGATCCTGTGGAGGAGTTGACTTTAAGGTAGCCGGATCTTGTGGGCAGGGCTTCTTTGGGAAGTGGGGAGGTGGTTACCGGTGGAAGCTGGTAGTGGAGGACTGTGAAGATGAGAAGAGTGAGTTTGACGAGGCTGTGGTGGTGAAGCTTTGGAAGTGTTGACTCCATTGATTGAGAGGACAGTGAGCAAATGGAAATGATTTATGGACTTGGAAAACTTTGAGATTAGTAGTTAAGTCATAAGAAAGAACAATGTTTGTTCTAACATTAATTTAACAGAGCACATTGGGAAGTCCTTTAAAAAATCTTCTATTTGGTTGCACTTGGCAAAATTACTAACCAAAATTTGTTTTAAGTTTTGTTTTTGCATAATCACAGGTTATATCCATCGGCATAAAATCATTCCTAAGCACTTTTGCGGGAGAGCATGATAAAATCCTCAAAAAAATTCTGATTTTTTTTTTACTTTTAGGATGATGAATCGAGTAAAAAGTTTAGAACTTGGAACAAAGAAATGTCCTTTAGCGTTTGGAAGTGAGTGGGGAAGCAATTGACAATGGCATCTGTATTCTGTCACGCTGCCTTTAACTGTTAGCGAGATCAAATTGACCAGCGAATATGGTATTATTCTGAAGATGAAGAAACAAGCAGAAGCATCAGAAGTTAATTGGAAAAGCTTTTATAGAATTTACAATACTGTTAAGGGATACAGAGAAACAACAGTGATGGAATTGTTAAAACAATATAGTGATACATCAGAGAATGAACTTGCAAATATTACACTTGTGAAACACTGGCCCTAAATGAATTATCAAAGACAAGATTTCAACTTTCAAGCATACAATGCTGGCACCTTCTCTGAGAATCCGCCAATTCCATTCATTTTTTGCTTGGTGAGTGTATCCTGGAGTCCATGCAGACAAGAGACAAACGTTCAGAACATAAAATTTTATGCTAAGATTCCAGTCCTTTTTGGTCTTACATCATTAAAGGGGCGAAAATAAAAAGAATAAATCCACAAGAACATTGTTATCCGCCCTTCCCAACTGAGACCGAAATGGAGAAGGGGTCTTTCTAGCCCTTACCGATTGAAGAGGATGCCAAAACTTGGATGAGTTTCATGCACAATGGTTAAATTTTGGTTTTTTACTTCGGAATGTGAAGAAAAGTTTGATTGAAAATGGAAATTTAGTTTTTGAAAACTTGCCAAAGGTGCTTTACTTAATCACGGAAACCAAAAACAAGGTCACAAAACGAAAATTGCCACAGGTTTCTTTCAAAGGAGGTCTCTGATTTTTCATCTCAATTTACTGTACCAGAGCACTGAGCTTTAGAACTAGGTTTAGTAGCAAATTTTACCCAGCTTCTTTTCATCTATTTTTTTGTTTTCTTTACTTATTAATATCCATTTTCCCTACTATAGTAACATTGAGAAGGCTATATGCCAAGGTCATAGAACACTTACCTCACAGCCGCCACTTTTAACTTCAATGCACTTGGATGCACTAATACTAGAACTTCTTAATATACAACGTGCACTATAGCATGGTCTACTACGGCAATTTGGCAAAGCAACCATACTAGAATTTGCAGAGTCTGATTCCTTATGCTCTTCTGATCGAGGAGGGCTATTGAGGCAGGTACGCGCAACGACATCCTTCGTGTGCCTCTCAAATTCTTCCTTCTGGTCTGGATCCTCATCGATGGGTATACAGACCCTCTCCCTGCGGAATACATACACATTTGAAGCGAACCTTTCAAGGAGCAAATTAGTAATCCTCTCATGTACAGAAGGAAATTTCACCTGGGCAATGACGCATACCGCCTGAGGAGTGGAGGCCTTCTTAATCCGTTACCATATTGTCCCTCCAGATGATCAAATTGCTGTTTGAATTGCTCAATCCCGCTGAAGAAGAAACAACTAACCAAAAATTAAAACAAGTTTCAATAGGCATTGCAAATTAAAGCAACATAGCCTTTAAAAGTCAACATCAAGAATAATTAACATGGAAAGGATAAGCCGGCTAATTCCCAGATGAATTATCAGGCAGCCTTCAACCTGGGAAGTTTCAATTTTGAAAACCACAAACTCTGTTGAAATATTATGGTATTTGGTAAAGCAAAATATAGTGGGCCCTAAAAGTGGCTAGTCTTCAGAAATGGGTTCCTCAAAATGCTCCTGTGTAACCTTATAGACGTAAATACTGGCTACTAAAAGATGAGCAAATTTTTTTAACTCGCGGAGAGATAAGGAACCCATGAGCAAAATTTTCAAAATAGAAATGCTGCTGTACAACTAAAAATGAAAAATACTTGACTGTAAGTAAATACGTATCCACCAAGTAGGAATTATTTTAAAAGGTCCAACCTGGGATACATAAAGCTAGTATGATCCACGCCTTGAAGGTACTCCTGGAGCATCTGGGGATGATACTCCAAGATCTGTTTGCTTTTTAAGTTAGGATCCGGGTGAAAGGAAAAGAAAGATGCCAACAATTATTCCAACAAATACAAACTAAGATGACCTCACCTCCCTGTAGATTAGCTCTCTTACATCATCTTTTGTAATCTTTCTCCTTTCGAATGCAAACTCGAATTTTGAAATGTGATGGGTAGATGGTTCCTCTTCCACATTCGCCAAACCATAAAAGTATGGATCTGCTAATGCCTGGATTATAATAAAGCCCCATTGGTGTCAGGAATAAAATTCAACAGACAGCCACTAAAATGGAGAGGTTTGAAGCAATATAAGTATAAAATTTATTACCTGTTCAGCAGAGATACGATCTCTGGGATCAAATGCAATCAAACGTTCCAACAAGTTAAGAGCTAGAGGGTCAGCGTTTGGGATTTTCTGAGAGAGAGGTACTGGTGTTTTCTTTCTCATATTACTTAAATATCGTCTAGCCTTTTCATTTTTAATCTGCATATGATATCAATCAAAAAAATTATATCACGGGATTGATTGATGATTGTAAAAGATACAACATGACTGAAAATGAAAGACATCAATACAAGAACTAACCCTTGCAATGGCTTCAGGAGAAGGAGTGCCCAGAAGATCTGTTATAATATCCAACTGATGAACCACATTTTTTCCAGGAAACAGTGGCTTTCCCAGTAACATTTCAGCAAAGATGCACCCTATGCTCCATATATCAATGGCAGGGGTATACTGTAAAATTAAAGGGAAAGGAAGTAAAAGACGTTAAAACTTAACCAGAAAAAAGATACAATAGCAACAACTAGGTGGAAAAATCTTCATTAAACAAGATCAGAAGAAGAAGTGGTCTCCTACATTCATCACATGAAAGCAAACTTCTTTTAAGGACATGATCATTAACGAGAAAAAAACTAGGACAGATTAGGTAAATCATTTATCGGACCAAAACTCCTTAGTTGGAGTTAATAGGCCTTTGTGGCAGAGCGAAGGAGATAGTAAGTTTATCCTTCTAAGAGTTTTTGACTGATACAATTTCTCTTTTTGAGAGCAAGAATGCGTACAATTTCTCAATTGTTCAGGCTTTATGATTAAAAACACAAAACCAGCACTGTAAAAAAAAATGTTAGGGGGGAGCAGGATAAATAGTTGGCTCGTGAAAACAAATTTTCCAAGCATTTCAGGAAGCAGAACAAAAAACAGATAATCACTACTCCAAGCTAGCAAAATTGGCACTAGCATCACCGGGTGCTTTAAGAGTACTTGAAATTGAATGATTCAGAAAGACTGGTATACTAGCTAGAATTTATATTACAAGATGCCAAATCAGGATTCTGTGAAAGGACAGTTTTGTACACAAACTTACCACCAAGGTGCCATCACTTACCTTCGAGAAAAAGGACCCACAGAGTTCAGGAGCACGGTACCACCGGGTTGCTACATAGTCCTTTAAATGATCAATGTATAAGTGGAAATACTCTCATTAAAACTAAATAGAGGTTTCATAATACAAATCAGGTGTCACTAGCACAATGGCTTGTGCAAAATTTTAAAGTTCATCTTTTTAAATAAGTCACAAGTATGCAAATCTTTAATGTACAAAAGACATACAGTCCAAAACACTGCAGAGGGCGTATCACCGAATGATGCACGAGCAAGTCCAAAGTCACAAATCTTCAACTTGCAGTCTGCATTGGCAAGGATGTTTTTTGGCTTTAAATCTCGATGGAAAACATTAGCTGCAAAAAGAGAGTTTATCAGAAAACCTTCCAGTAATAATGCCAATAAAACTGCTATAATAAATACTGAAAAAAATCCGACCTGAATGTATATACTTCAAAGCTCTAAGTAACTGATACAGAAAGAACTGGTGATGTCCTGGAGTGAGATCATCATTTGTCTTAATTACATGGTGAAGGTCAGTTTCCATCAACTCGAACACCACGAATATATCTTTAAACTCCCTTCTACATGGAGGTAACATTATATGCTTGATTTCTACAATGTCAGGATGCCGAAGCAACCTCAGCAGCTTGATTTCTCTAAGAATTCGAGTGGCCTCAGAGACATGCTCAAAAACATCTGTTATCTTTTTTATGGCCACCTTCTCCCCAGTGTGAGTATCAATTGCCGCAGCAACAACCCCATAACTTCCCTTGCCAACAACCTCTTGAATTTCATACTGGTTTGCTTCACCATATTCAGTGAAGAAATCCTTGAAACACATATGCTGTAACAAAGGCAACATATTCAGCTTGAGCAAAACAATTCCTCCTATGCCATCATTGATTACACATGCATAGTGTTTGTAGAAACGCTTGAAACTTTTCATTTGAAGCATAACAAGTTAATCAAAGAAATATGGCCCCTCCCCCCTCCCCAAAAAAAATTTTATGTGAGAGAATTGGGGCAATTTCACAGGAGAGTTCATGCAGAATTTGATCAAAGGCTGACACAAAGACTCCGGTTTCTGACGAGCTTCATGGTAGAAAATTATGAAATGATTAAAAAATTATCTTTTATTCTTGAATATGTTGCAGCTGTGTGTTAGTTTTTAAGAAATTGGAAGGGAATGTCAGCCTAATAATGACCAGGAGTTCTAGATCTATCATTAACCATTTGTCCTTTGCTTCAACTCTGAATGGGAAGCTAACTCCTTATCTGGTAGCTAATCTTTCTCGGGATTCATAAGACATTAGCCAAAGGACATTACCAAGCTATGTCAGATTCTTTCACCAGTAAAAAAGCTTGATTTTGAAACAGAATAAAACCCATATGAATGAAGTAAAATAAAATCACCAGATCTCGTAAAAAAGGGATCTTGGAAGGGGATAAAAACTCAACATGGCAGGCTAATGATGTTATAATCCGATGAAGGAATTTAAAATTCATTAGACACCAGAGAGATTCACTATGTAACAAAAGAGAAGATTAAACAATTCAAGTACAACCGAACCCCCAAAAGTGCATCTCTTAACAAACCAGAAGGCTAGAAACAACAGGAACGAAGAATTAAATCCCCCCCAGAAAAATGAAAAAAAGGAATCAAACAAATCTCCAATGACAATATGACATGATAAATTTCTACAACTTTCAAATCCCTCAAGACTATGTTCACCGGCAACCAAAACAACAAAAACATTGAAAGATAACCCATTTTTACCAGACATAAGAATAGTTTTCAAAGAACACAAGCAGATAATTCAAAGAATAGAAATTGGGTTGAAAAAAAAGCTCACCATTTTGTCAAAAGGTGGTAGCTTTGAGAACCCTTTACTCCCTTCTTTTCTGGAATCAATTTGACACAAGAAGCAAAAGGGTTCTGAGGAGAATGAATATAGTCCTACCCCCCAAAAAGGGTTGTTTCGGGGAAGACAGTTTGTATAAGAAGAAGTAAAATGGAGCAAAGAAAATAGGAAGAACTGTTATGACTCCATTAACAAAGCAGCACGCGAAATGCTTTGGACCTATTACTCAATTTTTATACACCGTATATATGCATCCATTAGAGAAAAGTCTGATTTTCATTTATTATTTTTATTATTAATTTATTTTTTTGTCTGTAAGACTTGGGAATGACCACTTCAAAAGCTTCATTCCTGAATTCCACTAACCGTTGAATTTGATTACAACTTGTTTATAGTGAGTAATTGTGAATTTCATATTTTTCTGCAAAAAGGATGACTGGTCAGGATTTGTGTACTATAACAGTGGAATTGTCATTTGTCAGATCAGTCCATTTTCATCATGATGAAATCCTCACAATTTTGCTACTACTAATCTTTTTCTCCATATTTTTGGAGGCAGATATTGATTTCCTTTCCAGAGTTCACTTTTGACATCAAAAAAATCTTAGCAGGAAAATGAGGGAGGATTCTGTCATCGCCACAGAAAGTAGGTCCCCATAAACACATCATTAATTTCTTTTTATTTATTTTTCTGAAAAAAGAAATTTGTGATCTACGACTACAACTCTACAAGTACACATGAGTGCTTCAGATTTATGTAATCTATATCGGTTTAGTCTCACAATATTAATTGTTCGGAGTTTTATATATTACTAATAAATTTTCCATTTCTAGGAGTATTGTACAGTATTGTACTCTATAAAGAAGAACAAAATTGGGGGTTTAAATATGCCAATAATAAAAATCAGTTGTTTGGGAAGTGGGCAATTTTGGGTAAATTCTGGTTCTCATAATAACACAGAGACGTGCTGGAATAAACCACTAACAAGAAATACTCATTCGTCACTGACGAGACCAAATTACCTGTTACAAAATTTAGACACACATGATCACACAGACATTAAGGCTTAATATTTCATATTTGTTATTGTCAATTTCATTTTTTTTATTTTTATTTTGGGCACTAGATTCAGATCATACCAAATTGAAATGTTGACGAAATAGAAGTAGAGATTGGTGCTTGAAGTTTCGCAATTTGGTCCACACTCCACACTATACTAAAGGTTGGGATGTTGATGTTTCAAAACTAGTTTGTCCTAAAAAAAAAAAAATTGTATGGAGTGAACTGTCAACTCAGAGTATGTTTTTAATGACCTCACAACTTACAACTTACAACTATGAATAAATCTGTCACTGAAATTTGAGTTCCAACTTCTCCGTGTATATCTTACCCCTTATTATCAGTGACGGATTTAGGGGTGGTCGATCGACCCCCCGGTTGGCCGGATTTGGCTAAATTTTTTCTTAGTAGGGTGTCCGTTATTTGAAATTTTTTCAGTTCGATCCTCCGGTGACGGTTAAATAATCCTATTTTCGACTCCGCGATTTGAAAATTCTCGTTCCGTCACTGCTTATTATCTCTCATTAATTCTCATATTTTTATTTGTAATCTTGACATCCGAAACAAATACTAGTCCATATAATTTTGAGATTTATAAACAACTAATACAAATGTGAAAATTCAGTATAAATTATTTTTTCTGGAAAGAATAGAGTACCGTCAATTTAAGGCTAATGATCGAGTTACTATTATTATCTTTTGCAGAAATCCCGTAACACAACAGGATATGTATCATAAATGCGATGTGATCGATGATAATTGAAGAATGAATACCAAAATAAGAAGGCAAAATTCCAAACACGTCCGAGCAAAATATGGCGTCCTGCAAAGTGATGAGCAAAATTTTGTAGAGATGTATTTTCTTTAACTAAAACATCAAAATTATTAAAAAAAAAAAAAAAAGAGTTATTCCCACAACCCGAAACCATTTATTATCTTACATTTTCTTATCTACTGAGCCTAAATAGCCACATCAATTTTAAATAAAGTAGGGTTATGGTTTACGATATTGTCTCCCAAAATTCTTGCGCTAGATTGATTGTTAAAGAGTTGACAAAGCTTAAATTATACTTTATAATAATTAAAATAAAAAACTGAAACCAACCGATAACAATAGAAATGGTCACAAAATTACAACACTTTTGGTTGTGCATGCATCATCATTCCAATTCTTTTGCTTATCTTTCTTCTTTTTTTAAAAAAAAATTGGAGTTGACAAATTTTGGTTGCATAAATATTATCACAGCACAGGAAACAATCAGCCAATTAATTTGATCATATCTCATTCCCAGCTAGTCTTAAAAATTTTCTTTTCAAATGAATTTGTACTATGTATATCAACGTACGGAATTAGACAGAAGGTACCTCTACCGTACATCTAAGGTCAGTTCTAGGCATTTTGAAAAAAAAAAAAAAAGATTCAATTTCTTATTGTAAAAATATGAGGGAGTACTACTTATTCTCCCTCCGTCCCATAATTATTGTCCTGTTTAATTTTTTATTTTTAGTTCAAATTATACTAAAAGTGAAAAACCAAACTGGATAATAATTATGGGACAAAGGGAGTATTATTTGAGAAGAAATTTCTTTTTCGTTGACCTTCTTTTAGTTTTACAATTTTCGGCACGTGTTTTTATATTTATTTTTTTAAAAAAAAAAACTAAATGTTACAAATAGACTACTACAAAAGAGGGGGAAAAAAATGATTTTAACTTGTTTTCACTTGGTGATTCAGGAACTCAAATCTCCTTTTTAAAGTCGCAAGTATGAAAAATTATCTTTATTTATTATTGTTTCTCGAAAATAACTTATCAAAACTCGAACAAGAAATTAATCTGAGGGTACTCCATTGTGACTAGAATAACAAGGTAGTCAACCCTCCTTTAATAAGTAGGGGAAAATACTCAACTGTGGGCTCTTTGTAAAGTTCAATAGCCAAAGAAGAGCATTTCCAACTTTTATATAAATCTAAATTGTTAATATAATAATTATCTTTAATCCTCATTTGAACTTCAATAACTGACTAAATTCGACTAATGTACTCCGACTAGTTTTGCCTTTTGGCTATGGAATTGTTGACTCACCGTCACCCTTTTTTTTTTTTTTGAATCAAATTATAATAATTATATTAATTACGTTGTGCGTACGTTAAATGTGCTCTGCTAACCTGTAACTACTTTTCTAATATACCCAAAAAAAGAAAAGAAAAAAAAAGTTACGTGATTGAAGATATATGCGATTTTTGTTTCTTCTTAAAAAAAAAAAAAAAAGCAGCGCTAGGAGAAACAAATTTGTCACAAAACATCTTACATCATTTCCCCCCTTATTCTTCTTAAATAAATAGATGTTGAATGAGTGAATGCTATGGTGTAACATTTAAAACAAAATAATAATAACCGGGATTCATTTTTTAAAGTGCATGATGGGAGGTTTAGTAATAATTAGAAAACGGGATAATTGTAAACTTATTCATGCTTCAAATTTTTGTTAAGAGCTTTATTAGTTTGTGATTTTCTCTCTTTTTTACACATCACATGATTTTTTTTTTAATCAATTAGTTCCTTTTATTGCTTGAAAAAGTTGTGAATTATAACCACGTACAGTAAAGAAATTACCATATCTCCAATCCTGTCCATGCTGTAGTCTTTTTCAGTCAGTCGGAACTCAGAACTCCTCCCTTCAATTTTTCATCTATACTTACTTATTACTGTTGCTGTAAGGAAATCATTCTTATCCTGACCTGATGGGCAAAATTTCATCATGCTGTTTTATTGCATTCAAGGTTGCAGTTTAGAAGACTTCCACTGTATACTCCCTCCGTCCCATAATTATGGTTCAATTTTACTAAAATGAAAGATTTTATTTTGTTAAACTTAACTATATTTTACCTTAAACAACCGGATATACTTCTACATAAGTAATTGTGTAACCACTAAGATTTTATGGATAATGTTTTTTACTAAGGACAAATGTGTAACTTGATCCATAAAAAGTCAAATTGGATAATAATTTTGGAACAAAATTTTTTGGGCAAAGTGGACAATAATTATGGGACGGAGGGAGTATATGTTATCAAAATATAAATAATAGTGATGATGACAATAATAAGAAATAAATAGAGTTCCAGTAATTTTCTAATGAAAACATGTTTTATTATAAGATAGACACAATCTGCAAACAGACAAAAGTGCATGGTAACATGAACGTAACGTACATATAGCTTTTCTTTTTTCCAAAAAAAGAAAAATAAAGAACAAAAAAAAAACAATGAATCATATGCCCTCGTTCTGTGAGCCTTATCTCTTATCCCAGGGGGATCGAGTTTCCACCGAAAATACACATAATATTGGATTGGGAGGCATATATATGCTGACCCAATTCTTTTTCTATTTAAGTGTAAATTGGTGGAGGTAGCATCTAGGGTAGTTGTCTCATTCCTCTGGTGGTTATTGTAGTGTAGTCTGGCTACATCGTTTTGGTTGGTGTGTGACTGTGTGTAAAAAAAATGAGAGGACTTTTAAAAACCTTTCACTTTATGCACGAATGGACGAATTCAGGGAATTTATGAATTTCGACCATCTCTTTCACAGCATGGTAAATTGGTAATCTACATATTCACATAAAAAAACTCATAAAACCTCCAACTATCACCGAGTCTATATCTCTAGCTACACTCAATCCACATGGAAGGAAAACATAAACATTCAGGTCTTAATCATTTTGATTAGAACTTGTTAGTGTACATAATTGAGGTTATAATTGTAATTATGTATTCATGATCGTACTATATATATCCAACATATCAATACAACAATCTTAAAGATTTTCACACTTTCATGGTATCAGTCACTTCGTGATGTTAGTGTATGTGATTCGAGTTATAAATGTATTTATATATCCAAGATTGTACCATATGTATTCATGTATCAATACCTTAAGGGTTTTCGCACTTTCAGACAACTGAAACAAAATTGTTTGGCAATCAAAGAGAGACATCCAATACTATATCCGTTGAGTTTGAAGTTTTTTGAACCACGGACTTCATATATGAATGTATATGACTATCTGTCGATATTGGTTGGGGCAAAAACTTATCTAATTGCGTTTGAACTAATTTTGCAAGTAAAGGATAAAGAGTGTTAGCGGAGGGTTAGTCTCAGATATGCAGCAGCTAAAGCAACTATAGATACAAAAATGATTTTCCCCTTTATGAAACAATGTTAAAGCTTTGTTTGAAATGTACTACCTCCGTCCCAAAAAAATTATCCACATTGAGTTTTCAAATTTGTACTAAAAAGAGTACAAAACTCAAAATCAAAGTGAACTTTTTTTTTGGGACGGAGGTAGTATTAATTTAAGATCATTATTTTCAAAACAAAAACAATTAAACTGAGATGATAAATTGACCGGATCATAAAATTGGAGCCTCCAGCTGGAGTATATTAATTAAGGATTCGCCATTTGACCCTAATCTTTTTTTCGACCTCATTTTGCCAACTTTTTGTGTAAATTGGTGGAGGTAGCATTTAGGGTAGTAGTGTCTTTCCTCTTTGGCAAACGGTGTGGTGGTTGTTGTAGTAGTAGTTTTGGTTGGTGTGTGACTGTGTGTTAATGAGAGGACTTTTAAAACGATGGAGTATCATTTATTCACCTTTCAATTTATGCACGAACAAAATTCATGGAGCATATGGATTTCAACCATCTCTTTCACAGCATGGTAACCTTTATATCCACATCAACCTCAGATTCCCTTCAACCATCACAAAGTCTATATCTACTCTCCAATCGTTGCTTTTAGGAATGGGATGTGCTTGATGTTTGCTTTCTTGTTTCCTTTTCATTTTATGTTTAGAAAGAAATAAAATGGTCAAATATGTAGCAACATATACAACATCATTTGTGCCCTCCCTGGACATAATCAGTTGTTACCTTGCCAAATTGACGATCGAGAAAGACCGTAATGTTTATAATTCAGTAAAAAGTTCATTAAGTATAACGATTTCATATATAAATTGAAACTATGATCTAATTGTCTAAATCATTCAATTATACGACCACCAAATTCCATTGCAATTTTCAACTAGGTTATGAATCTTTGAGTTATGGATCTAAATCAACCAGTTAATTAATATGTAGTTGTTGGGTGTATATGTAACAAACAACAGTAGAGCCGTATTTTTCAGTAGGTTGGGTAGGACTACAGCAATCTCGAGCGCAATATTCAAGATTTTAGGGTTTCAACTTAAACCTCGAAACTTCAAATGAGATGAGATCTAAGCTTTGGTTCAATGTTACTGAGAGGAAAAATTCAATAAAAATATTTTTGGAGGCTTTTTCTCGGGAAGGCGATTGTCATTTTCGGCTCTCCTTCGCCATACGTTACCGGCCAGGAATTATATAATTCCTGAATTTTTTTTTTAAAAAAAATACAACAATTTTAAAAAGCTCTTTTTAAGTAGTGTACAGTGTACACTGAAATTCAGTTAAAGCAAGACAAGTTCGCAGTAGCTTCCCATAATCATCGGAAAAGACAGTTCAGCCGCCGCGTCAATGAAGTTGTCTCACAAGGTGGCATTTTATTTTATTCATTTATATTATTTTTTTACGGTAAAGGATCTTCTCTTACATTTTAATATTCGAACCTAATTACATTTTTCGTAATACTAAAGACTAAACGCTTATTCAATCACGTATTCGTTTAACTTTCATGTACTACCAATATTAGTATTAAATTGTTTAGAATATTTAATATAATGACACAGAAAAACGTACACAAATATATAATAAAAGAAAAATGATATTCTTAGTAAAATAATATAGTGGGAAAGTATAGTAGTGACTGATGTGTACCTCTTATTTTGTTGCCACTTTACCGTTAAAATTTTTTCTTTTCCCTTAAAATTATCCTTTTACCTTTAATTACTATTGACACTCACTATATATTTTCACCATTTTTTCTTGTATTAGTGCTCTATAACAAAGTAGCCAATCCGACTCTTAACGCTCTTTTTGGTAGTAGGCTGGTACAGTAATTTGGCAATTTGCGCATAACCTTTGCCGTATAGTAAATTCTAGTGGAAGAGTCAAAATTTGTGCGGCCAGTACTTTAAAACTAAAGATTAATATAACTGGAATCACACCATCAAATAAATAGATACAACTTGATTTTGCAATTTGCACACTGAATCTTGAGCCTCCAAGCTCTGCTTACCAAAGCAAAATGGAAAAGAAGTGAAGCTGTTGCGTTTGGATTTGCATTTGTCGCGTCTAATTATATATGAAATCAAACACAATAAATTTGAAAAATATCCATTTATTTGTAGTATATTTTTTTATGTCTGTCATGAACTTTTAAAATCAAGTAATTTTACAAAATATACGCAAAATAATGTTGGTTTGTACCCACATGGGACAATAGAATTAATTCATATATGCTGTCGCTATCATTTTCCTTCAAGTTTATTTATTAGAGATCGACGAGTTGACTCGTCGGTGCTCATCATTTGGCCATACTGCTGTTGGGATTTCTTAATCTAAGGTCAAACTAACTCCATTCTAAAATTATCATCCACTTAACATGCATCAACTTGTAAATGGCCATCAAATTCAACCAACCCTACTCTCGCTTTTCCTGGACGATTTAGTCAGGGACACACCTATAAAACTTTGTGTGGATGTGTGGATCGCGGTGAGAGTAGGCCACTAGGGTGGGGGGAAGAAGAATATAACTTAGTTTGGGACGTCTGGAAAATAAGTTTAACAATATTAGTTCAATAACGTTGTTACAAGACTTCATTATACCTCTTCAAAGTAATAGTTTCTTAGTATACTGATTCATATGAAATTGTCCGACTTATTATTTTAAGAGCAATGATAGAGCTAGTGAAAACAATATAATAAAAATTTATTGCAAGTGATTTGCTATTTATTTTCACAATTAAAATTTTTGATACTGATAGTGGATATATCGGAGAATTCAACCATATAATTACATTTCCAACATCTTATTGTTTTACATTCTCAACAACTGGAGTTAAGATAGCATCTCAGCCTATCTAACTAGAAGGAGCTTTATATAGCATGTTGGTAACTTTAAGTCAGCTTGTTGTACTCAAAGTTGGCATTCACGAAGAGATGTTGCTAGTAGTAAACCTAATATTCCTTCAAATCAACTTACGCGCTCAGACTTCAGAACTAATGTGAATATATTTAACCCGACTATAAAAAAAAAATAAAAAAAATACTCACTATGTCAATCAAAGGGTCCAGCAAATCTCATCGATCAGTCAATCGTGGCCTTCCCCGACACTTATTGGTGGTTTTCTTCTTCAAACTGGATTTCACTGCTGTAATGACAGGTGCTTTGTGCTTAGGAGGCCTTCCAAGTTTTGGTATCATCAAGCTGGATTCCACTGCAGGACTCACAGGTCCTTTTGGCTTAAGAGGCCTTCCAAGTTTTGGTTTTTCCAAACTTGATTCCGATGCTGCACCCTTACGAGGCCTTCCAAGTTTTGGTTTTGTCAAACTTGATTGTGCTGCTGAATCCTTGGGAGGCCTTCCAAGTTTTGGTTTTGTCAAACTGGACTCCACTGCTTCACTCACTGGTCCTTTTGGCTTAGGAGGCCTTCCACGTTTTCGTTTCGTCAAACTGGTTTCCACTTCTGAACTGACAGGTTCTATCAGCTTACGAGGCCTTCCAAGTTTCTGCTTCTTCAAACTGGATTCCTCTTCTGCACTGACAGGCTCTTTCAGCTTAGGAAGCCTTCCATGTCTCGCTTTCATCAAAATCGATTTCACTGCTGTATGTAAGGATCCTTTGGATTTAGGAGGCCTTCCACGTCCTGCTTTCGTTAGCTTCTGCTCCCGCTTAGGGTTATCAGCAGGTTTTGGAGCTAACATCTCAACTATTGTGACATCTAACTTCTCCAGTGAAGGATGCAGTGGACGCTCATGATGTTCCTGGTCTTGATCATTTGAAGGAGCTATATCACCCAAAAGAATCCTATCAGGTACATCTTTAGCAGGCATACTAGATTTTGGAGGTCGTCCTCCAGGTTTAAGCCCTGACTTCTTCTTCCTGAGATCATCCGTCAGATTGTTTCTAACTGCATGATGAGATGGCTCAGATTTGGGGCCTTTGTGAAGCCGGCCTACGATCTGATGGGTTGTTAGGGTCAACTCGGTCGTGACCTCAGCATCCAGTTTTTCGTGAAGGATTCCCCCGTGGATCGGATACTCTGATTTCGGTCCTTCAGATTGATTTTGTTTGCAAGTCTGAGATCGCAAAACCCTAGTGCTTTGATTACCTTGAGCAACTTTCTCTTCTCTCTGATGCTCCGGTGATGTCTGCCCTCGGCTGTGTGCTTTATCCTGATGAGGGAACTCTGGTTTTTGAGGAGTTTTCTCCTGGATCTCTGCAGGAGGCAATGAAAGAGTCTTACCAACAACAGGTTGCCTTTTCTTCTGTCTACTATACCTTTTGGTACAATATCTAGTATTTGACTCCTTAAAGATCAAAACTTCAGGCTCCGAACATTTTCCATGAGCATCACCAAAATCAAGCACATCATTTTGTTTGAACCGTTGTAACTGAGAAGATTGCTCAAAAGTCACCAACTCAAAACCTGGGGGCCTTTCTGTAGCTGCGAGCTCTGGATCATTATATTCAGCCTCTTCCAAAACCAGATGCATCTGTGCATCTGAGCTGTCACTGTCAGTTATACCTGCAATGGGGTCACATCTTGGCTCCTCCGTCCTGCAGTTTGAAAAATCATTCTCCCCATTGATCTTCACCAAGCCAGGAGCTATGTTCAATGGAACATCTGTGTCGCCATAGGAATCATTGTCTTCAACAATACCAGTAAAAAATTTAGCTTTAGCCTCCTGCTGTTTGGTTTCTTTCATTATACAGTCCCTCTCCTCATTACTATCTTTTGAGGCTCCATGATTATTTTCTTGGAACAAAAGTAACCCTACTTTATCACCCTCCAGCATCTGCTGGCTATTTCCTTCAATCGTACGGGCTCCGTGCTTATTAATTTCCTTTGAGATCAATTGATCTTTATGTTGGCTGCAAAGCAATTCAACATAATGATTCTGTGGTTTCTTCTGTTTATTTCCGTCTATTGTACATTCTTCCTCTCGACTTAATACATTTGAAATTACACGATCCTTTTGCTGGCTAAGCAGCAATCCAACAATATTATCGGCGTTCAAATTGTTGTCCCCTTTATTGACTTTCTTGTGTCGCTTGCTACGCATTATTTCCCGATCTGACCCTCTCTTTCTCTTCAATTTCCTGTGTTTTGTTCTTTCTTTTCTCTCCGAAATTGCAGCAGCAAGTAAATACCTCTGTCCAGAAGTTAGAACAAGTTCACCTGATTGACAAAGCCTAGCAAGATGATATTTCAACATGGTCAAGTGAGACCAGGGCAGATCATGGTATTCATTCTTAATAAAGTTTGATATTGAGTCCTCTGAAGAACCCTGCCTCTCATTTAATTCCCGCAGTGCCCTCTCTATCATCTACAGCAGAAATTCATTGTTCAAATAAATATATAATAAAGAAGACCAGCAACAGGTGTCTCTAAGAAACTACTAAGAGAACTCAGCTCAATAAAAAATCAACAAAGAATTGCTATGACAGTACAAAGAGTCACAGCCTATATTATTCAGACAAAAATTGTTTCATTAAGCACTCATAGAATTGCATACCTTCAACACCAAAATCAAGTCAATCAGGACATCTCTTACTTTTTTACGAATACAGACATGAGCTAATTGGTTCGTATGACTTGAGACAGTGTAAATTCACAAAATACCTAAGCCTTTTGAGTTGCGATGGATCTCCAGAATGTGATGAAACTGGAATCCTTTCGAAGAACAGCAAAGCTAATATTTTTGCGACAGCCATTAGTGAAAGAAGTTAAACTCATGGTGCAAGAACATGTTTCATTTTACCTTATAAAGAACTCGCTTCTTTAAATGGCTTCGAGAAAACTGAGAGCAAATCATGTACCTTTGTTAAGAGAAGAAAGAATCTTCGTCACCACAACTTAATTGCTGGTCTATTTACGTTTTATGTTCACCGGTGTTCTAATGTGTTCTGTGGGTAATATTCAACCTTCATCTCTTCTGGTTGTTAATTTGATAATTAAACATATTCTCTTCTCACTGGACATGCTTTTCAATCTACCTTTCGTTAGGCCTTAGCTTTCCCTACATGAGAAGCAAATCAAATGACACTTTGACCGTGTGTTCATGCTAAGGTTTAAAGGATCCTCACTAGTGCTACAAACTATCAAGGAACGAAGCTTCTTTTGTGTACTGCTCACAGAGAGAAAAGCCCTATATTTCCATTCAGTGAGTTGTCTAGGCTTAAACATTCCTATTTGTTCAACGAAATATTTGGAGCTAGTGATGTTTTAAGCCAAAACAATTATTTACTAGATTGAAACCAGTCTCGGAAATGCAACTTCTGTTTTCCATACAATCCAAGAATCCAACCTATCAGATCAAACACTACTGAATCTCAGAAAAATCATGTTTCAAACAGACCTAAATATAGCTACATTAACACTTGGTTCCTAAATAAAGGTGTAAATCCTGAGAAACAATATCGTGATTAAGCCTACGACATTCGTGGGATCAGAACTAAACTTATAGCAAGCATAATTCTACTAGCAGAAAATAAAAATCGAAATCGCAGGCAATTCTGAAGAAACCACCAGGAGGACTGTAAATACTTACAATTATACCGAGCATAATTCTAATAACACAAAAAAAACAAACAAACAACCAACGAAATTGACAAAAAAAAAAACTTACCCAGGCATAGGGGGGGTGATCGGGGCTGTGAAGGCGGGAGACGAAGTGGGAAACTCTATCTTGCAAAAGGGCTCGGCGCGATTCCGGCAACGAACCGCCGGAAGCAGCCGTGAAGACTTCCATCACAACTGCTGTAAACTTCTTCATGGGACTGAACAAATTACGAGTAGTAGGCCTGACGGCTTCCGGTTTCTTCTTCTTCTTCTTCTTGTGGGGAGGGAGGATTTTGTGTGGGTAAGGAGAAGAAGGGTCTTTGCATACCATTTTGGTGTGGGATTTGGAATCGCCGTCGTCGTGATCATCCGTTATTCTCGCAACTGAATTCTTCCAGACTCATGCACCAAAAAAAAAACAACTTACTCATATCAAAACCGCGCGGGACCCCACCAACTTATCCGGACCGTCCGTTTTTCAGTTTCCATTTAATCATCGGATTAATTTTTTTTATATATATAGACTAAGATAATAATATAAGAAAGAAAAAGTGGTAAATAAAATCACTTTGAATTTCCTCATTAAAATCAATTATAAATGAAATTTTCATCTTCTAACGAACCCTTCCCATGTAAGTATGTAGGGCAAAACTTACCTCAATTTCATGTTTAAGATAATTTGGAAAAAAAAATTAAATTTATAAATTAGATTATTTTGGAAATGAGTCCAAATTTAATATTTAAATTTCCAAAATTAAACTATCTTTTCAGAACGGAAGGAATACTCAAGATAGGACAGAGGGTGCATAGAAGATTGACTAATGACTAGAAGGTGAAAAATGACATTCTCAACTTTACAGGCTCTAAATTTACACCCTGAATGATATCATCTCTGTCTAACGTTTCTGATCTACCCTATGTTTTTGAGTTAAAGAGAAAAGGGTGTTGCTATAAATAGAGAAATACCCCTCTCTGCCTAAACATGTGTGTTATTCGATCGTTATGAACTAAAATTAGTCCGAGGTTTTGTTGAAAGAATGAAATCTTATTGAAGCTGTTTCATATCCTAAACCAGAATCATCACAGTCCCGGAGTTCTGACTATCGCCGCTTCCTTTGGTAGAGGGAATAACCAACAAAAGCAGACATAAGAAATGTCCATAGCACCTGTCCAACAACCGATGAATACATTAACAAGCAGAAAGTACATCTCTTTGCTCATTTCCCAGAGTGTGAGGATGTTAAGGAAGTAAGAGAGTTACGGTATTGATCGCCTGCCATCTTTCAAGTCTTCTGATCCTTGTTTGCATCTCTTCAATCATGCATTCTACTGAAGACACTTCTCTACTTTGTGAAGACTCTGAAGCTGAATTACTACCCTGTATTTTTTGAAACTTGTGGAGTGAGATGTTGCCAAATGGCAAACAATTTATTCTTCAACAGATATTCATGTAAGCCAAGCCAATTATTACGGAGCACCTGGGATTGGATGAATTCCAAAAGTTCTTGCAGTTTTGCCGAATGCTGAGAATGAATCCCACCCAAACCTCCAGGCAGTCTTTCCAGAATTATTTCAAGATAACTCTGAGGAGGACAAATAAAGTGAGGCCAACTGACATAGAGTTATGCCATTATTCTAGTTCTGGCTCTTATTGGAGGACATGACATAGAGTTACAGGATGAGGAGACATGCTGGAATGACCAACCTTTGTTGTGTAGGAATCATCCAGCTTCAGTGCAGAACCAGCAGCAGTAACAATCTCTTTATTAACCCCTTTTATCTGAATATAAGGACTCGAGACATCTTGGAGATGATCAACCTCAACAAGGATCTATGGAACAAATCATAAATCAAGGTCATAAAGTACCAATAAGATAAAATGGGAAAAGCATACAAAATACAACTAGCAACACACTAAGGCAAATGTGGTTAAAAAAACAAAAAAAGAAAATTACCTTTCCATCCTGATAAATGTAAGCGGAAGCCTCAATAGATGCAACAGCTTGATACCTGAACCAGGAAACGTTAAAACATTAGTATGAACCAGTTCCCTAAGAAAATAATGAGGACTTAACTTGAAATTTAGAAAGCCAGTTAGGAAACCCCAGGGCATGTTAGCATTCAATAATGGCTGACATCTACGGGTTGCCAGAAACACAACTACAATGCAGCAGATAAGAACATATCCTAAAAAGCATGCTAATTGTATGTTGCAATATTTGCTGAACTAGACAAAGCAAAATCGTGTCTATTGCTCCCTCTACTCCTATTTATAAAGCACAAATTTAAAACAATGGCCAGAAGGAGTATCATTAAGTTGTAACAGAAATTGAAAAACATTATAGACAGTAAAAGTAAGTGAAGCAAATGCAAGTATTCATCACAGATGTCTGTAAAAGAGCAGCACATATGTAACAGATAAGGATAGTCATGCTTCTGGGCATTATTCAATCACTTCACATGACAAACACATTCACAAAAACAACATAGGCATTGAGGAAAAGGATGGCATGGGTTTTCTAGAAATTTGTGTAAACACAGTATTGATCTGCTTGGATTTAATGAATTGCCTTAGTAGCCTATACCAAAAAGGGGGGGAGATAATGTTAAAAAAGGAACCCAAGATTCAAAAGAAAGATTAAGATAAGATATTCCAGTAAGCCCACTCAAGGAAACTCCGAAGAAGCCGAACACATGATTTCATTTTAGATTTCAACATACCCAAGATTTAGAAGCCCAGCAACAGTACTAATGCTGATGTCAAAATCCACCTTCGGCTGTATGATAAAATTTCCTTCTCGTATAGGCTTGAGATGGCAAAACAAGAGAGTAGCCCAATCAGAAATTCAAAGAGCAATCCAATGACGTTCGAGCAAAAGGAATCATAATAACTGAGACATAGTTACAAACCTCCCGAATCAGCAATGCAAACCTCCCTTCACATATTCTGACTCTTATGCAATCACTCTCTTTTAAATGGCCATTAGCTGGCAGTCCAGGAAGGCATAAATATATATCTGTAAAGCTTTGAACAGAACTGTACAGCTTACCAGAATCCAGGATTTTCAGAATGTCTTGATAAGCAACCTATTTGTAAACATAACTATGTCAAGGAATATCAAAAGTTTGAAGTTTATTTACAAGAAGAATTGATGATACATACTTGCTTATCACTTTTCAACACAAATAACGAACTCTCAGGAGAAAGCACCGGATCAAAGTCATTCCGAATTTTCAGCTGCAATAAAATACATCAAGATAGAGTCAGGCACCTATCATATTTCCTACTAACAAGAGAGAAGAACATCCTGGGTGATCTAGGATTGTGGAGTAGCTATAAAATCAGAAATATGGGACTAAACTTAGTTTCAGTACAAATGGACCTTGTGAAGCCAAAGTAAGGTGTAGCTAGATCTTTTATGGCTTTAAATCACGTCCTACTAAATATTTATTCTTTTAGTATAAGCTTTCTAAACTCTCATTGTAGACACTAGTTCCTTCAGTAAGGAACTCCTAACATGTACTCTCACAGCTACGACTTACATGAACTGCTTTACACTTCAGGAACTTTAGTTATATTATCTTTAATGTAGGCAATAAATTCCAGTCTAATTACATCGGCAAACTATCAGAACCAAACATCAATGAAAAGCAAGCCACAGCATAATGTTTATTAGACACAACAGAAACAATTCTTGAAATGCTCAAAATAACTTACATGTGCATGAACAAGATGTGACACAACAGAAACAATTCTTGAAATGCTCAAAATAACTTACATGGGCATGAACAAGATGTGGTTCAATATGCTGCTGGAAGATTGGAAAGACGGTTGTCATGATTTCATCATGAGACATTAAGCAGCCAACTTTACTTTTATCCCTTTGAACACGAGAAATTAGATGGGAATGGACTCCTCCAACCTGATCTCAGATAAATAATAATGGATTCATGACCTAGTCAAATTACTAAAAAATTGGTATCGACCTCAAGATCAAGCAAATCACAAATAAAAAAAATGAATAGAGACTATATACTTACAACAGCAATCCACAAGTCAAGCGACCTCCGAATACGCGGGTGCAAAGCATAAACACCTTCGAAAATTACCTTCCATCAAAGTAGGAATATTTGTAAGAGCAAGAAAACATGCAAACAAATAAAGGCGAGAAATCCTATAAACCACACTTTCTATGACAGTATAATAAGATGGATAATAAGTGATGAACAATGCACAATTAAGATTGATGATAGATTACAACTGCCTTGCATGCATTGCTAGGAAGTCATAGATGAAAATTTTCTGCCTGCCTCCAATATTGAAAGTTGTTTCTTTTTCTTTTAGCATTAAATACAAAGACTAGGTTCACAATATGCGTATCAGACACACACACACACACACACACACACACAAACACACAAAACCCTCACACACTACACACACATGCACAAACACACACATTATAAAGACCACATCTATACAGGCTCTAGAATTTTTCAAGTTATATTGAGGAATACAGGCAATCTAGACATAGTGAAGAAGTTGCTTATCATACCACACCACAATCTTCCAGTACTTCAAAATCTCTAAAGCCACTTCTAGTACCATTCTCCAGGTCAAATACAGGAACTTTTGTTCTACGTCGGTTCCTTATGTCATCAATATTCTGTGAAATAAAGAGGGTAAAACTCATAACCAAAATTGGGAACATAAACAGAACTGAAATATTTGCCACATCTTCTTGATGAAATGAGGCAAACATTCAGCCGGCAGAGTTCCACAATGACAAATGTAAACAAGGACCTCCCACCTTAGACAGCAGAGCTAGATCAAGGGAGCTAAAGTCATCATACTTAAAGTCCTTTACTTGTTCAGATTTGTAATAGCTTTCAAGGGAAACCACTTCACAACCAACAATGTTAGCCATCTTACGAGCCAAACTTGTTTTCCCAGATCCACTTGGACCTCCTACAAAGGTAAAACAATCACAAAGCTTATTATAGGACAAGTAGAATAACTTACTGCCAATATAACCATGCAATAAACCTATTACACCTCCACATTCTTTTGATGCAAAAAAATCCCCAAGTGAATGAATCAGCAATTTGTAGATGAGAAATCTTCAGAACAAATTATTTATCTACTCTTTTTAAAAAGAATAAAACAAAGCTAATGTGCATAACTAGTGCTAAGGTAGGTAGTATATGTTGCTTAAAATTCCAAAACAGTGAGTATGACAAGAAAGCATTTCCCATATAACCACAATAAAAAACCTCAAATGAGTATGGGATTTTGAAGGATAAGCTGTGTACAATACCTATCCCAACTACAACAGGGGCCCCCTTGTTCTCCAGTAGAGCCTGTAACAAACAGTAATTAATGTTACTAGGTTTTATTTTTCAAAGATTGCAATAAGGAATATTACTCAAATTCACCCAAGCCATATTAACCAGTATTGCTTGAACAGCAAGAAGCAATCCCCTGTCCAGATCATATGAATCAGGCAGTGGAGCAAGCTGCAGAGGAGGCCTGGAAGAAGATGGATCTGTGGTTGTTTCATGAAAGGAATATGGGAAAGCAAACAAACGCTAAATGGCAAACCCTTTGTACTTGTAGAAGATTATATACCAATAATTGAACCATCAGAAAGTGGCTCATCTGGCGCGACAAATTGCCATCTTGCTACAACTGGTTCCATTTTGGACTTAGTTGGGGATCTTGTCCATGGCAGAGATAAATCTTCAAGCTGGTTAACCAGGTTAGGCGTGATGCGAACTGGCTTTGGAGCTGCTATCAACCTTTCCCGATTACTGGGCGCAGGTGCAGCAGCCAGTGGTGGAGGTGTGTTAAGACGAGGTACACCTGCAAGCAAAAGTAAATCTCAGAATATTAACCAAAAAAAAAAAAGAATCATTCCATTTGTTGTTCAAAGTAATCTACCCATATGTAGTAGAAGGACCAACAAGTGTATAGTCACAGAAAGCGGGGTTTGAAGAGTAAAATAGATTAAAACATATTGCTGATGATTGATTTGTAGCATCGCACATTCAGATATTAATCAAGCTGCTTTTCACATATCAAAATAGCAAATTCCTTCTCATAAAATGACAAGCACAGCCAGCAACATGACACTCGTACAGAATCCATTCAATAATCTTCCCCTCAAGAACAGCAAAGTCATCAGGTAAACAGAGCTTGGAATGGATGCATTACTCATAAAACAACAAATGACTTATGCCAAAAACAATTTAAGAGTTTTAACCATAAAAAAAGAAAAACCAATTTAAGAGTGACTAATGAGTTCTTCATTTAACAGCAGAAACCATGTTAACACAATTTCCACTCTTATACGTAGGTTAATATTTATACTTTCTGATATCACCAGATCAGTCTGGCCTAGCCAAAGGATGGTCAACCTATTACATTCTAACTTTTAAAGGATAGGGGCTTGCATCCTGTTGAAGCCTAGGTCTTCTTTATAGTATTTATTAGCAAGTGTGCAAGTAAATAAATCAGCATACCAATAGGCTTCCCTGTAACGATGCATGTGATTTTAACTAGTGGAAATCGGCAAAGACAAACCTTTACTCTCAAGTATCAGCTCCAGATATGACTTAGTGATCCATGGCCCATTGATACCCATCCTTGAAGCCTCAGTTCCAACCATCTAAAGAGCAAGTAGGGAACGACAGTGAACAGTTAGGTCAAAAAGTGCTGTAGTCCCTTTTCGGTAAAATATATCTATAGTAACACTTGCATATTTTAGCTACTTAAAATCACAGCTGAGCAGTAAGAAGACCCCTAAGATATTTTGAAAAAATATAAAAGAAGGATGTTTTACACTTCAGATTAACGTAGACTTATCATGAAGGAGTACAGAATAAAAATCAAACGTCACAAGAATGCTCTGGTGATAAGCTAATCACATTTTGCGCAAAAATAAAGCTGAAGAAAGCCACGTCAAAGTGAAACTAATCATAGAGATATTTATTGCATCCAATGGTTAAATTCACCCGATTGATAAACTTGCCAAAACCAATCTAACAAAGGTAATATCAAAGCATGAAAAGAACTCCATCACAGAAATCAAAAAAAAAAACAGAAATCTGTCAAGCTAAGAATGCTAACATTATGACTAACAGACTACATAGAACAAGCATAACATGAAAAAAAGAAGAAGAAGAAGAAGAAGAAGAAGAAGAAGCCTTTATCCTCATATATAAGTCCTCTATATATGTTGCCGCCTTGCTCTTCAAATCTCAATACACATATTTCTTTTAAAATTTAATAAATTATGTCTTTATGATAGTTTCATCATAGACCAACTTGAGCGAAAATTCATACCTTTCGATTTGTACCTCTCAGCACCATGTATGTCTCCCCAAGAGTATCAATTGTCTCCAAAGAAATTGAAAGGTTGCCCTCGTTAACTGAAGTTGATGTGCGTTTATAGCTTACCACAACAGAGTAACCAAGGGCTAAAAGGCCACCCAAAGTCATCCGTCCAACCTATAACAATTGGAAAAAAGAAAAAAATTATTCCTTACCACATAAACCTGCAGTATAACACCCGAGACAATTTCTTTCCAAATACCAAAAGCTAATGTTTATGTTGTTTCAATAACCAAGTACATAGGCAGAAAGAAAAAAAAAAACATTTCTTCGTGCAAACTAATGAGTACACAGGAAGAGAGATTAAAGATGACGATTCATGATGGGGAAGGGCAGAAATCAGAAAAAGAAAGTATCTTAGTTAAACTGCGGCTGGTGCAAACAACCGTCTACCCTAATGCACTGAAATGCACAAAATAATGGCCATTGGGCCAAGTTGTAGCTTATAGTAACAATGTTAGAACTCACAATGGATAAAAGAAAGTCAAGAGATAAAACAGAAAGGTAATCAACCTCAAATTCAGCTTTTGGCCTGATGATAAAGTTTTTATCAACTATCCTCTGGTCACCTAGTGACAGGTAGTATTTGATACCAGATTGCCGCACCTTAATCCAATCATTTATTTGTGCTTCTTCACTTGCAGATGGAGGTCTCAGGTACATCTCAATGAAACTAAGAACAAAACTCAAAGTTACAGTTTATAGCTTAAAGGATAATTCCAAAGAATCCATGTTCTTCAGTAAGGCAAATATGAGCAGATATGACTTACTTATCTACAATTGCCTCCTTTCCCTGAAAAATGTAGGCTTCATGTCCAATTTGAGACTGGAAAAAGGAAATTAGACATCTTAAGATTGGTTTCTGAACCAAATCGTAAGTTCATAAACTTGGGAACATTTTTTGTACGTGAAACTTGATTACTTTGACAAAACACTATTCAAAGTCGAGAGCACATCAGACACAATAAAATCACCCATGAACGAGCATCAGCTAGTATACTTAAGTAGCAAGCAATGATTTTACATTTCAAGCTGCAGAGAAGGATGTTGCAACAAACCTCACTTTTGCACTTTAGCTTATATATTGGCTCTCTAAATGATGAAACAAAACTGTTGTTAATCCTGATCTGCACCACAAGTCAGCAAGTCAATATAACATGGAGAATGGATGCACAATGACATGAGAAACCAACCTGTGCGTGATGAAGGTCAGGCTCAATATGTTTCCTAAACTGTGGGAATATACTGTCAATGAGATGGTCCAGTGAACAAGACTCCCCTATATCATATTGAACTTTAGAAAGAAGACTGAAGTGGACACCACCAACCTAATTAATCAATGAGAAAACATATTAGTATAGTTTCGACAAAAAGCATGAAAGGAAGAAAAAGTTACCATATAATTAAACACATCCAACAATCATATACTTTACCACTGCGACACGTATGTCTAGCAAAGAGCGCAGTCGTGAATGCAATGCATAAGTGCCATCAACAATGATCTGCATCACACATAAGATATGTAAGTACAACACATTTACAAGGATTATCTGAACCAGAACAACAAACCAAACAAAGCGCACTCACCACCCCTGAGGAAGTGCTCCTAATTTTTTCAGAACCAACACGTTTTCTTCCTTGATAATCAAACAAAGGAATAAATGCATCTATACCATTCATCAAATCCTGTATCATGACAGCAAGTTTAGATACAGTTCAGAAATATGGAAACCACAACAATCACACAAGTTAAGTTTTAGGAAAATACAGAAAAGACAGCGAAAACAAGTTTTCCAAAGAGCACCACAGAAAAACGCTTCAAGGTAATTACAGAAACACAAACCAGGAAGGGGGGAAAAAAAATTTATTACCTCAATGTTCTGAACCAGGAGATCAAAATCAATTAAGTCTAAATCATTGCCGTCCTCCAGTCCCATGCGATAATTCTCCATTGATATGACCGTACAACCAATCACTGAGGCTACTTTATCGGCTAAGCTTCAAAAACCATCAGATTCACAGGGTCAGTTCTATACAGAGTTACACCCTTACCACATCAAAGCAAATTACGCATCAAATAAGAGTTCACAAATATCTACCTTGATTTACCAGAACCACTAGGACCGCCAATGCCAACAGTTACCAGACCATCCTTTTTTGATCTAAGCTCCTGAATGGATTTCACTAACAAGTAGTAACCGTGATCAAAAGTCTGCATAAATTACAGAACCAGGTCAAACTCCCAAAGGGAAATGAAGGATGTACCTTTTATAAAACAAAATTAAGGAAAAAAAAAATCATCAGCAATTTAAGTACAAAGACGAATAAATCTCTTTTATGACAGTTTCCAAGGGAAAAAAGAAAAGCCATTCACTTGATCAAACAATGGCAGTTCCAACAACAGAACCCCAATGCAAAGAGTTGCAAGATTGGTTCAATAGAATAATCATCTATCGAATTGCCAGACAAAATTCCTTATGCCAAGTTTGTATCCGTCTTTTCGTAAGACTCCTTATTACACACAAGTATGAATAAACAGTACTATGCACCAATGGAGTTTACCAGAATCCTAACAATCCATCAAAACTGCACCATCAACAACTATTACTCATTTCACATAAAGTCCAGAAACACATTTAAGCAGTGCAAGCATTATATGCAAACGTATTATCAAACTAAACTAAATAACACCAACAAAACTCGAATTGGAAATAAAACCCTCCATCAACAGAAACCAAAAAGATTAAAAAAAACTCAACCGTACCACATGAAGCGGGAGGGATTGGAGTATGGAGGAAGAAGACGAGGAAGTTGAGGGCGGTTGTTGATAATAATCCCTTCCTCCTCCTTCAAACACTCTCTTCACCAATTCATCATCCATTTCTACGAAAATTTCCCCTTAAACAGATTAGGCCTCTAACTCCAGTTTTCAACTTTCTTCAATTGAGGGCTATGCTATAAAAATTTGATCTTGAACATCCAAGCGTACAGAAGGGGCAGATGAGGAATCTTGCTTCCTGGGATTTTTTTTTTCCTTTTGTTTTTATTTTAATCTCGTTTGATCGTGTGATTAAGGACAAAAGAGATACTCCGCACTTTGGAGGGGATGTAATGAGGAAGAAGATTCTGTTTTTCATCAAATTTTAGGCTGGTGGTTTGGTATTGCTTGTGTAGGTGAGTTTTCAGTTTTTCAAGAAAATATGGAAAATTAAGAGGGAAAATAATCACTTAAGGGGGCGTTTGGTTCTTCCTCCAAAAATGTAAATCGGAATGGGCTTTATGAAAGATTGTATGTGGATTGTGAAATGAATGCTCCCCTTCTTTTCTTGATGCAGTGTCAGTTATTCTTTTCATTTCGAAATTATAGTTTTGTTTTTTTTTCTAAATACAATATTTCTTATCTAAATAATTATAAATATACTGCAAATAATGTAAAAATTGATAATATAAATAAATAATACTTCATCTACTCCCAAAAAATAATTTATAATGTAATTTGTGATTTGTACTAAACACAGTATGATTACGAATTATAATGTGAACTATATTTTCTGAAACAAAAATAGTATGAATTATTAAAAAACTAGTTTTGGGACAAAAGAAATGTAAATGAGGAAATATGAAAACTATTGGTAATCATAATAGGACCTACTTTGCCTCAGCCTTGATATTGCAGGATTCAGGAAGGGAAGAACCATGAAGCAAACGCAACAAAAGTAATTGAGCGAACTACATTTAACCCCGAGTTTTGGTTTGATTTATCATAAACTTCATAAATTAAATAATAATACCATTTACCGATTGTGAGGTCCTATCATGTGACCTTGAATCGCATCAGATGCTATTGGAATCACGAGAAGTTTTTTTACTTTTACAGACTTTAATTTCTTCTTTTACCTTTTGCACACTGACTAATTGAGTCACCAGGATGTAATAAAAATGCATAATCTAGCCTATAATCATATGCGATGTAATAGACTAGTATCTTTACGCTAATAATATAGGTACTTTCTTAAAAAAAAGGATTAGACATTGAAATAATTAAAATGACTATGATTTCCATTCTAGTCATTTTTTTTTCTTTTTTCTTTTTTATCGGGTTTGATTTTTCATTTTTTTTTTTGAACGGTTAAAGATAAACACTATTTAGTTTACCATTTTCATATTTAATTATACCATAATTCAATCAAATTCAATCCATGATTGATAACAATATAAATTATTATGCTTAAAAAATATGTTAATAAATGAAAATTTTTTATTTCGAAATTCATATATAGTTAATCTTGAAAATATATAATTTAAGTGAATTAATATTAAAAGAAAAAATATGAAAATTTTTTAACTTAATTTATGATATATTTTTTAAAAAAATTTAAATTGTATAATTTAAAAAATATGAAGTGAATCATTTTTTTCTTTATCGTTTGCACAAAATTGATGGTGATTTTTGACCATGAGTCAAAAAATTATATGATAGTATTACCAAAACTCATGAAACTTATGGTAGATTGAGCAAAAAGTCGACGGGTAAAATGTGGTTCACCCAAAGTAATTTTCATTGCTTTTTTTCATGCATTTGAAGTTGGCGAGTGTTGATTAGAAGTCGATCAGATATTCAGTATAGTGCTTCCAAAAATTAAAAAAATGGAAATTAAAAAAAATAACAGAAAACCTCTCACAAACAGTTACGATACCCATTCTCTTTTACACATCGTCACGTGAAGAAAGAAAGTTGGATGAAATTATTTTTAAGAAATTTAAATTGAACAATCATTTCAAGATAAAAAATATTGATTATTACATTGAGATATATGTTGAATTAAATTAAACATATTAATTTATATCCTTTAGATTTCATGAAAACAAATGACACCTAAGACACATGTCAGCTTCACATAAATTTTTTTCCACGTAAACCAAAAAAAACACATCTTTTGCAAAAGAATGATGTCACGTGTCCTTTGTTCATCTAAAAAAAAAAAACAAGATTCCACAATTCTGTAAATATAAAAATGATCACGTTAAACACACCTCAATTTAAGGGACTTACATTCTGTAAAAATAAATGTTAACCTTTAACACCCTCAGTTTAAGGATTTTACATCCAACTGTTACATTTGAGTTTAAATTTTAAAAATAAATCTACCCTTATTTCCTTCATTCATGAATGTTTCAAATCCATATTTTAATTTGGCATCTAATCCCTAAAATCACTCTCACTTATCTTAAATTTAAATGTTTCAAATCCCTACAAAAAAGACGGATAAATTTTAATTATTATAAAATATATACGGGGGTGTTATTGTGTATTTATCACCATTACCATCCCTTTCCTCTTCCAATGCTCACCGCCGACCTTCCTCCTCCATCCTTCAAAATCTGACCAACAAAAAAATTACCAACAGAGGCAATATTGGCTATGAGGAGATTTTATCGTATGAATCCCCTTTTTATTCAACTCCAAAAATTTTCAAGGTTGGTAGTAAAAGCTTTTTTTTTTAATTCTCTGCAATTGATTAATTTTATCTTCAATATTTTCTTTGATTCAATTCAGGTGCATTTTGTATGATCTTGATTTGTCTAGGACCTTCCTATGGACTGTCTTTTGCATTTTGGAATAAATTTTCTTCTCATTGAATTATTGAATTTTGTTTTTGGATATAGATTTTGAGAGAAAGATATGTTTTTGATTATTGGTTGGGCAAAAAAATTGAAAAGAAGTACTGCTTTTTCTTTTTTCTAGGTTGGACCGTTATTCTTAGAGTTCATATAAATAATATCGTGATAATGAAGGTCATAAATACAAAAAATGAGGCTGGTCAATTGTAGACTAACTCCAATTGGCAATTATTGAGGAGACTGATTAACGGGCGCTGCAGCAGCAGCTTCGTCAGTAGATCTTGGAGTGGAGCCATTGGTAGTGGTATCTTTTATAGGGGCAGTAGATGCTTCAACATCAACAGAATCATTAGAAGTAGCTTCAGGTGCTTTTGGGATTCTCAAAAATTCAGTTAAGTGATTGGCGAAGTTGTGTTCTTTGCAGATTCTTACACAATCTGCCGATGCTCGGCTATTCATCGATTCTGCATGAATTCAATGATATTGAAACTATATCTATTTGCGGCTGTGATGGTAATTTGCTTAGTTGTCAAACTATTTATATGCCACCTTTTATTGGCATGAGTTTGTTGCATTTGATTTTGCCTGAAGAACTTGGTTTATTTGAATTTTTTCAAATGCAGCAGTGAGGTTTTTTAAAAAAAAAAAAAAATTGTGTCCAAATTTAGAGGCACGATTGTATGCAGACATGTAATTTACTATAATCTAATTGCAGTTTGATGACTGGACATGCAGGGTATTGACGAAAATTCAGGCTAAGACCGAAGTCAAGATTGTACAAGCATTTATTAGATGTGCACAAGGGATCTGGAGTTAGTGATTTTCATACATCTAACAGATATCTGTGTGCTACGAACAGAACACTTAAAACTGTGTAGGCAACAACTACTACAATATACTGCAATCACAACAATAAACCATTTTATCTCAAAGGCCTTCAAAAGGACTCAAGTATCATGTATGATTTTACTTCACATACCATAACACTATAATATTGGTTGGGGTTGAGGATGGTTCAGACAATTATGTAGTTGTCGCAAGATTTCATTTTTGTTAGTTAGCTGGGTAAATCATAAATGTTTATGTTTTTAGAGAGTTTGGGAATTATACTTCACTAATATTTGGGGATTTAGGTTTTCAGGTCTCGAATTAGTAAAGGAAGTAAATTGTAATATATCTTGAATGTATTGAGGTTTGATCTTAGAGAGCTACAACATTATCTGAATTTAAATTTCTACGTTTGATAGCTAATTTTGGAAATATGTCTAAGCATTACTATTTCCTCCATCAAGAGAATAATCTATATTTTATAATTAAGCATTTATTAAAATTACGGGGCCTTCTCCGGGCATTTGCCCATGGTAAGCATCTAGTTATATATTAAAGGAGTGTTTTCAATTAATACATGTCACGCAATAGGATAGTCTAGAGCTATTTGTGTCACTTGTCATTACGGAATCCTCCTTCATTAAAGTATAAAAAAGTTTTGTAAATAAGTTAATTTAAATTTACTGTTTAACATGTTCATTAATTAACAATAGATTATTACTCACATAGCCCAAATCGGCCGGTTGTGTCTCAAGTACGCTTCTTTTAATACTTGTATATCAATGTAATTAATGATTTTCATAAAGAATATATTTAGATACCCTTTAACCCCCACATTAATGATAATTTTGAATAATAATTTTTTTAATATTATTAATGTTTTTACTCTTTAAATTTTCATTTTTATTGTATATTCATGTTAGATTACATTAAGTTTGAAAAAAATTTAGCGTAGGATAAAGTAAAATGAGTTTGTAAAGATTTGATTTTAACGTAAAAAATTTATTTTAACCTTTAATATTTACATTAATTGTAAAATTTATTTCATTTCGAGTTCACTAAAATCTATAGTGACTTTACTAAAATTATTTGAAAAAAATTATGAATTTATTATAAACTTGTTATTATGTAATTTAACAATTATTATTTCAAAAATTGTATCATAAATGAGTCATAATATTATAAGTTATTTAAAATATAGACTAACTTGAATATTGAATATAGAATTTTTTTTAAAAAAATAAATATAATTTCAAAGAACACAACAAGGTCAAGAATTATTATATGACAAAACTCGATAGAAATTATGTTATGTTTCGACAGTAATACTTCACTGAAACACAAGAAGAATTATGCAATATTACACCATATATTTAATACAATCTGCACGGAAATAATTCTAGTTTCCTTTTATGCAACTGATCACTAATAATTAAGTTTCATATAAAAATGAGTTTTCTAAACGCAGATTGATTTTACTTGGCGCAGCTTGTGAAAAGACTAAAATATCCCTAAGTCCTAAACTCTCCCCATAAGTCGCAGGAGCACGAAATAGATAGTAAGACGACGATTTATTAGGACAAATATAAGAGTAGATTGATTGAAACACTGAGTACATGATTTGTATTGTGTTAATTAAGTCGCTCCGGGTATTCTTTTTTATCGCAATTTATCGTGCGTTTTAAGAGCTTGAATTTCATGAAGTTGCTGGATACGGCAGGCTTCTGCATCAATGTGTTTCAGTTTGACTCGGAATCCTATTGTTTGTGCATTTTTTTCTCAAATAATCCTGCAAAATTTTTTGATTGCAAAAGGAATAAAACTACGGTTAATGATGCAAGAAGAATTAGCACTAACGAAGAACAAGCCATTTCTTGTAATCTATGGAAAGTTCTTGTATATGATCATTTAAAAAAAGGAACAGTGTACAAATGTATTTACGAAATGAATGATGTAGATGATGTGAATATAATGCTCTTAACAAACAAATTAAAAGGGTTTTTTTGTTGAAGAAAAATAAAAGTAGTCATAGAATCTGATCTTACCATCGTGCGCAAAAAAAAAAAAAAAAAAAGGAATAAGGTGGAATGAAGTAAAAGGTATATTTCGGTGAAATGTGGAGTTTAGGATTTAAAGATAATTTAGTCTTTTTCACAAGTTACATGAAGTAAAATTAAGTTGCATTTAGCAATTTACTATAAAAATTTCTTGCATCACTCTTGGTGTAACACATCCAGGTCATGTAACAATGAATTTCCAATCCAATTACACAAATCGCTTAATTATCCAAAAAATCCTATAACTTGGGGTGTTATATTCGTTTGGTCCTAATTGACCAATATCGTATTTGTTAGGTCCCATAACTTGTAAAATTACTCTTTTTTAAGTTTCCATCCGTTGACCGTTTAGAAGTTCACGGTCAACAATTCAAACATTGCTTTTCATAAGGGTATTTTGTCCATCTATTAAATTTATTATTATTTCTTCGTTCTTTCAATTTTTAACATTTGGGCCAACTCCCCTATACCATCTTCCTCGTTTCCTCATCTTTCTACCCCTCCACCACCACCACCTCCACATTCACCACATTTTCATTTCTTCCCCATCGAAATACAAGCAAATCACCATTTTAATCACCTACTCATCTTCCTCTTTATGACCACAGGAATCCTTAAATCAATATGGCTCCAACACCCACATTTAGTTCATAGTACTGGTCCACACCACCACCACCACCACCATCACCATCACCGCCGCCGCCGCCTCCACCACTCATGGACTATAAGGGCTATCATCTTCAACTCACCACCACAATCATCTTCTTCCTGAAACCCATCATAATTGCATTTCAAACCGAGCCACATCATCCCCCCTCCCCCCCAATTCAATCCCTTGACAGTTGACACCGTAGCCCCATACCGTAAATCACCATAGATTCCCAAAGCCACATTTTTTTTAATTTCATAGTTAAATCTTAAATAATTCATTGATCTAAACTTCACAAATTTGGGTTACTCAGTTCCAGATATATGTACTTTTAGAGCCAGTGTCATGTTTCAAATGGAGGTTGTGGGAGAAGTGTAAGCTCGTAATTTTTCAATCGATTTTGTTGCTCCGATGAAAAAGATGATTCCATCGTTTGTCTTTCTTAGGCTGAAATCGGAGGATTGTGTGAGTTTTAGAATTGGAAGGAGATGGTTGGAGCTGGAGAAACATGTTTGTAATTTTTTAATTTTTGGAATATTTACAATTTTTATAGTTAAAATAATGATAGTATTAAACAGTGATAATAATTCAAATTAAATCTTAGAAACAATTTATTCAGGAAGAAATAAATGAAAATAGAAGTGTATAAAGATGAAAATTTTGAAGTAATTTTTAAAAAGGAATTGAACTAAATAAAGTGAGTAAAATGAAATTAAATTTTTAAAAGGAATTGAATTACAATAAAGGGAGAAAAATAAATAAATGTTCTAAGAACCAAAACAAAATTTCAGGACAAAAATAACCTTATGACTTGAGTTTGACCGTTTGTTTGTTAATGGTCAACTGACGAAAAAGTAAAAAGGAAGTTATAAGACTTGACAAATACAATTTTGATCAACTAGGACCAAATGAATATAGCACCCCAAGTTATGGAATTTTTTAGATAATTAAACATACACAAATTTTCATTCATTTAAAAGGCAGATATGAAGAATGATGATTTATAATGGAGAATACTTTATGTTCTCATAGATTAAGTTGAAGCTCGCTGTTTGTTTGCTTTTTTTAATGGTTTTTTTCAGTTTATTTTATTAATAATCATTCCATCTCAGTATACTTTTTTACATTTTTAATACATTGTTTTACATTTTTAATACAAAAAATACTTTAAAACATATACTAAAAAAACGAACCAAACATACAACATGATTTAAATACTCGAATACTAACTAGTACATCCTAGCTTGACCTAATAATATCACTATATGTATCACTATACATTTACTCTGAACACCATTTGATGGTTAATTGACAGCGCTACCAATTAATGGTTTGACAATATGATTAAAAAGGTTGGAAATACTTTTGACATTATGCTGACTGTGAAACAGTTGTTGAATTATTTTATTCTTTTTTTTTTTTTTTTGGCATAACCGTGGGATACAGGAAAGTATATGCTAACATTGAAAATAGATTCAAGTATTCAACAACAACTGGGAACTACAACGTTTCTCGTAGTTTCCTTCTCACCTTTTTTTTAGAGGTAAAGTCAACTTGCAATTTCTTTTCAATGTCATCCCAAAGTACAATACAAATAAGAAGCTGTAAACGCAAACTCGAACTGTTTTTTCTTTTAATTACAAATTTTAATTTTCAGTGGACATTTGAAAATGCTAATTACAAAACGCAATTGATATAATATTTGCAATTTTGTGGAAAAACAGATACTTTCATTGAAATGTCCTTAATTATCACAATGTAAGATTTGTATATTTTATGCACTGTTTGAATCGTTTTCTAAAGCTTTTTCACATAACTTTTGTACTACGTTAGAAACAATTTTCATATGACTATTTGTGTTTAAACCATACATATGATGTAAAGAAACTACAAAGAGAATCAGCATCATTCATATCATAAAGTAAGAGTGAAACCAACAAAGTCAAAATCAAAAGACACAAAAAAGTAAACTACTATCAATGATGCTTCATTGCCTGCCTTCAAAGTTCAAACAAAAGGACATGAAACCAAAAAAAAAAAAAAAAAAAAAACCCTCCAGAATGATGCTACATTAATACAACAGATACATCTACAAAAGCCCAAAGAATCTTATACAAAAACAAAACAGAAAGAAAAGAATCCATACACAGGGCACAGGCTGCAGCCCCCCCAAATACAATTCAGTTGAGTGAGTCTTTCCTGTTCCCTCCACAAATGGGATTTAAGGCCCCCCACACCATCATCATCATTACATATTGCATCCACAAAATATACAAAATTTTCCAAACCATTTTGTATTATAATATTATATAATGGGGGTTGACTTTCAGTTAGTGTTATTATGATAGTGATCCCATCATTAGAATACAAATTTGTCCTTATATTCTTCTTCTTTCTCTCTGTCTACCCTTTTCCATCCAAGTCTCAGCCTTTCTTTTGATGGGTATGACCTTTTTCCTAAGGCTGAACAACCCAGAACAGAAAACTTTAAGCAATGGAGGGACTTCCCTCTGGCTACCGCCCCAATGTTGGAGTTTGTCTCATCAATGATGATAATCTGGTATTCTTCCTTTCCCTTTACTGCTGAATTTTTTTTTCTCAATCTGCTAATCAAGAAAAAAGATTCCTTTTTGTTGAAAAAGAAGAAGAAAAAACTCGTCTTTTTCATTCGTTGGAAGTGCCTATGGTTAGTTTTAGTTATATCATGGTTTTGATTATGACTTTTTATCCTTGAGGATTGTATTAGTTAGTTGTTGATTAACGCTCTTTTTTTCCCCTGAATTTTTTTTGCCTTCTTCTGTTATATCTGTTGGGAGTGTTCTTCCTTTCTTATGACAAGGGAAAATGAAGAGGTCGAAAGTTTTCTGCTTTTTTGGTTAGAGGTCAATGATGTCTGTCATGAATTTGATCCGGGTTGGATTTTGGGTTTCTTTAATTAAGATATGGAAAGTGAGGATTGGAAATGAATTTTACTTGGGATCAGTTTTGAGAGCTGAAAGTGAAAGAAATCTCCCCTTATAGAGAGTGGTACTGAAAATTAAGTAGAGATTTAAGTGGAGTTATGCATTTGAAATTTTTTCTAAAAATGGAGTTTCTTTTGTATTGCTTTTCTGGCAGCTTTTCATATATGCAGTTGCTGTGGATCTTGTGAAAATATCCTTTAAAGCAAATGATATGGTTTATGTTTTTAGATGTTAATCTTTAAAGAATTCTTTTCCAAGGATTCTTTAAGGCATCATAAAAGACCTTATTGTAGTCTCTGATATTTCTTGATCTTATGTGCAGAAATAAGAATAGTGATGGAATTTTGATTTTGCTTGTTTTGAGTGAAATTTTGTAATTGATTGCTTGGATTGTAGGTCCAAATGGGTCTGAAGTTCCTACAAAGTAAGATGACAGAATCCTTTCTTATTAGCTTCTGATGTTAAATTTACATTTGAAAAGTGTGAATTAAGTTTATGAAACAGCTGTGCATTCACCAAGATGATCTGCTAAGAAGCATCTTCTGATTTTTGTTAGTTCTTTTGGGTGGTAACGGTTTTTTTAATCCCCTGTGAGATTATCTTGCTGGGAAAATTAAATTCTTTAGAAGGACCAAAACTAAGCTCTTTGGCAGGGAATTTGAGTTAGTTGTGAAGCTAAATGACCAGTCCAAAGAAATTCTTTGCACAAGATTCTATTCTGCTTCGTCATGGGAAGAATAAGAGTTGGATTTTTTATTCAATGCAGGTGTTTGTAGCCTCCAGATTGAATGTTCCTGGAGCATGGCAGATGCCACAGGTGATGCCTTCTAGTCCTTTTTGTTTCTTTTGGCCCTTGGTGATGAAAGATATGATCAACCTTTTTTCAGGTCCAAATGGACAACCTTATTATTTTCTTTTCTCCTTTATGAAATTAAATAGTCGTCTCCTCCTTTTCCGAGCTTTGTTTTGTCTATGTGGAATGATTTTCATTGTTTTTGTGCCAACCAATAAGCGCAATGAGTATGATACTTTCTTACAAATTCTTGTTGCCTATTAGATGAGGTTATTCTGGTCTTGCTCAAAATATTTTTGTATTAGTTCTGACTAATTTTGTGGTGCTCTACGGTGAAGGTATTTCTGCCGTCTTACTGATACATGCTTGGTTATATTGGTTAGGGAGGTATTGAAGATGGTGAGGACCCTAAGTCTGCAGCCGTTAGAGAATTGCGAGAAGAAACTGGCATTGTGTCAGCTGAAATTGTTGATGAGGTTCGTATAATTTATTGGGTCAATAAGAATCAAATTATATACTCATATATTGACATGTATGGCAACATAAATGTGGCCTGAATTTGCTTTTCGTTCGTATTATGTGGATTCAGTTGGAAAAGAATTGTAAATTTGATTTGTTGCCTTTCTGGAAAAAGCAAACTTTTCCAAATTGAATCTGTAGATACCTGTAATTTTGTGTGCCTCATGGTAATGAATGTACAGTAACTAACGAGTTCCCTGCAACCGAATAGGTAGATTTTCGTGTCATGATTTTTTTATCTGCATGTACCTATCGAAGTTTGTCTAACATATTTTCCAGGATTGAAATAATTAGCTTCTAATACGTAGTGTTCCATCGTGGTGATGATGTTGCGTGACGCCTTTTGATTGACCAGGTTCCTCAGTGGTTGACATATGATTTTCCCCCAGCTGTTAAGGCAAAAGTAAATCGTCTTTGGGGAGGAGGAGAATGGCATGGTCAGGCACAAAAATGGTCAGTAAGGTTCCATTATTTCCAACATGGCCTGTTAGGTTTCTTTCCACATTGTTGACTAAATACATGAACAAATTCATCTGTTCGCAAGTGATTTACTTTGTTGGTTTGTGCTCTGCATTTGCTTTAAAACCTGCTTTCTGATAAATAATAGAGTCTGAAAGTTTTCGACGACTTACTAGTGATGAAACACATGTTAGATCTTTGGTTTATGGTAATGATTTAAATAAAACATCAGTACCTCAAAGCAAATATCTCTTTGAACTTGTATTTATCACACTGATTTCTGGAATTTTTCTCCATTTGCTGGCCTATTTACTTTTTCTTTTGATGTTGTAATGTTTACCTGAAACTCTGCAGTTCTACTGGTTTGCTGATGTGTATTTCACTTGAGCCTCTGCCCATCTATTTATGCTCTTATCATTTACTCGAACCACTGATAATATATGTTGTTCAGGTGTACGTGACATGAGTCTTTAAGTCTTACATCCTCTCGTGTGATTGTCATGTACCATGAACTCATTTAAAACTCATTCTTATCAGTGCATAACAATATAAACAACTGCTGCAACACACAGGTTCCTAATGAGACTCACAAAAGACGAAAGCGAGATCAATCTGGCAAATGGCGAAGTGGAGCCAGAATTCTCGGAGTGGAAATGGGCCCGGCCTGAAGAGGTCATTGAACAGGTTTCGCTACACCTTCATAGATTCAGCTATCAAATCTTGTCTTGAAATTAGCTTTAGCAGGGTTTATATAGTAATGTTTGTTATTGATTACAGGCAGTAGATTACAAGAGGCCTACCTATGAGGAAGTTATGAGAACCTTCGAACGCTACTTTAACGATAATGGAAAAGCAGCTAAATGCCAATCGACCAAGTGGTGAAAACATTTGTGCACAGATGTGATGCAGCTATTCCTTATGTTTTCTACTTGAGTTTGTGTTTAGATTTCATTCTGCCTCTGTAAATGGATGTTTGCAACTGAAGGTTTTAGCTAGCTCTCAAATTTTATGATATATTATTGTCTAAAGTTTTCAAGGGTGTATAAGTGTAGTTGGAAAAATGTAATGCTACACAATCTCAAATTTACCATTATACCTGTTCAGAGTAAATGTATGAAATATCTTTCTGAACCTTTTTGTGTACTTGGCTATGTTTGTAGCTTTTCTATTGGTGCTCAAAAATCTGTTGCTTTTTCATATGCGAGTAAATGAGAAATGGGATCGACATTCTCAAAAAGAAATGGGATCGATGAAGAAAAGTGGTGAAGAGTGTCTGATGAGCAAATGTTTGTACTTCTTGTAAGTTTGCTACTAAAAAAGGCAGAAAAATTATTTTCTCTGTTAAAAAAAAAAAAAGAATTCAATTATGTTGTATTGTTTAAGTTCAACAAAATAAATTATTTTCTTAAAACAAAAAGAGTAATTAAATAAAGTAAATTCTTTTCCCGATATGAATACATAATTATCTAAGCCAGTCGCATAATATTAGTTCTTCACCTCTCGTTCTAACGACTTTTATTTCATTATGAACAAAAGGTGAATAAAGAGATTCAGGCAATACACATTCATTTGATTATGAATAAAATTCAAGTAAAATTTGAGTAACACTTTATCAAGAATCGAGTCGTGTCCTGATAGTAGAGTATTTTACCTTTAACCGCGAAATTGCGGGTTCGATTCTTACTACAGACGGTGAAAAGTTCGATTCTTACAGCAGACGTGGAAAGTAGGTAGCTGAGGAAGGAAGGAGGTACTTGACCAACAGTCTGATCAAGTAGATAGATAGTCTGTCATCATTGGCCACGGAAGACCGGACACATAAAGCAAGAGGTGACCGAACACACCAAACAAGAGGTGCACACGAATAGTCTCTCTCTAGTAATACTAGCCTCTTCCTTAGTAGACTCTATTCTTTTCCCAGTAGGCTCTACCCCACTGTAATAGTCTAGGTACTTCTAAACCACCAATAAGTGTGGCCTATAAAAAAAAGTACTCCCTCCATTTTTTTTATATGTCTTTCTAGAGAATTCATTAAAACCAAAAAGACATTAATTCATTTAGTTAAAATACAAAAACACCCCTATTAATTGTCTACACAATTCATCACAAACCAATAGAAATTCATTATAAATATTATTTCATTTCCAATGCAAGGGTAATTTTGGTAAAAAGTGGTCAAATGTGCGTCGATTTGTGAAAACGACATATATTTAAAAAAAATTTACCAAATCCTAAAACGACATATATTTCAAAATGGAGGGAGTAACACTTTCATTTGCATAAAACCACATTGGACTAATTGGTTGAACTAACGAACCGAATTAATTTATCCGTCTTTTCGAATTGGTCAATCAATGACCCAATTATGTTATTGCTTGCCCTTTCGTTCGATTTGAAAACATGAATCTTATACATTATAGAAATTTCATTTGTTAAACCATATTTTACCTTGCAAGCTATGACTAAATGGTTTAAATATTAAATTAAGATAAATTTTGTCCTATATACTTAATTGGGAAGATTTGGTTAAAGGATAAAATTCTATTGACAAATCAGCTCATTATCATAAGATTTTACATTAGTAACTAAAGATTGACAAGTTTTGTCATACAAGTTTCGACAAGTAACCAATATATGACATTGGCTATTCCGCCCGAATTAATTCTCAGTTGGCAAATTGAAGACTATTCACACTTTGACCTGGTTGTAGTACGACTTGTGCTCACCTACTATGGAAAAAGGACTATTTGTATCAGCTCGTGTTACTCTCCTTAATACCATATTTGTACAATAAGATGATAAATGTCCTAATACTAATGATAACACTAATAATTTTCCCATCCATATGATCCAATTATGCTTCATTCAACACTTGAGCTACAACAATGTATCTTACCAAGCAACTAAATGCACTCCTACTGTCAATGTGCAGATTCTTTCTTCTTCATTTGAAAGACATGTCAAAGTTATTGCCTTTATGCCGGTTCCATGAAAACTCTTTTAAATTCTGATGTTCTTTTCAAAACGCATCGAAAACCCATTATGATTAATAGTTTCTCCATTTCTTGCCATTAATGCCCTTAATCTTCTTCGTAGTATATTTCTTTCTTTAGATCTTCTACTTCATCAGATTTGCTGATGAGAACATTTAAAATATAAAAATTAAAAAAAAAACCCTCCATAAAGAACGGGCCAAACTTCCAGATCAGATGAAAATAAAAATTCAAAAAGGATGGGCAAAAACTCTTACATAAAGGAGATTAACTGGAAAGTAAAATAAGAAAATTAAATTTGGACCTCCCCATCCACTAGAAGGAAAAAGGGAAAAAAAAAAATTGGATGAGGAGAAGGTAGAGAGAAAGGGAAAGAGAGAAAATGGGGTTGATTTTTTTATTTATTTTTTTAAAAAAAATGAGTAGCAAGAGTCTATTCTCAGAGCAAGCACAATCCAGGTAATTGTCACTTAAAATCTGTGCCAGTTACCCCTAAATCTAAATCTGCTCAAAAAAAATTTCTCTTTACCATAAATGGTCAAAAAAGTGAGCCTACCAACATGCTTTTGGAATGCTGACATTGTCATAAAATAAAGATTTAATTAAAAATGAGTCATAAGTGGGTCACATATTTAACCAGATTTTAAGTGATAAGTATTGGAGAAAAAACTCATTTTAGTTGAAACTGACAGCGACCGAGCTAGAGACAATCGAGATCACATTTACATTACTGCATTGAGAATGCTCTCAGAGCGCCATCAGAACAAGGATCATTGTTTCTTTCCAATTTCCAAAATCAATTGTATTGTCTTTTCAAATAAATGGTCGTTTTTCATGTTGGGTAGGACACATTTGTCATGTTTAGTCGGGCACCTCTTGCTTGTCATGTTATGAAAATCATCTTTGCCATGTTAAGGAGAACACTTCTTGTTTCTCTTATTAGATTGGGTAGTATTATTAGTGCTGATAAAAGCAACCACAACGCATTTGGTAATTGATGTGGTTCCAGATTTACCACATAAGCAATTTATACCCCACCCATCAATTCAACTATTGTCTCCAATGATTTTACCACTTATTATAAGAAACCGGTCTCAGAAATTTTAAATTACTATCTTTCAGGCACAATGCCAAGTTTGGCCCTACTCCAAAACAACTTTTTCAGAAAAGTGAAGTCGTGTATAACTATACACCGGTGACCTTCTGTAGTACTTCTCTCTCCTCTGACAAGTGGGCATCCCAAAATCTTTTTTTCGGAATCTTTTCAGCCTTTTCTTTATTTTGCTTTGCTTTGGCGGGCCAGTTGTGCCCAAAGTTTTAGCACCTTTGTCCTATAACTAGCATTGTTAGGAAATTTTTTTTTACTTGCATATGACATTCATTGGTGAGGTGGAGGCATTGGGGGACCACTTTTCTCCCTTAGAGCAACAACAATTCTTAGTAATTGGTATTGAAACTCGGTTCTATTCTTATTATTGTTACTTACTTCCATTGAGCATCAGAGACAGAAATGAGAATGAAGCTTCTTTTATTACCTGACACTTGGGATCAGATGATGGGTCATCCATTGCTTTAATACAGGCTGGTCCTTACCTTATTTTTTCTAAAAAAAACTTTTTATTTGTAGAAAATGAGAAAAAATGGCTAGTGTGTAGTAATTGCCATTGGGCAAAAGAATTTTTAAGTATAAATTGTCAAGTGGCTGATATGGCATTACTGTTGCTCTAAGACAATTTATTCATTTGGATGAGATTTTTATTTAGAGTCTGGACCTATAAATAGAGCATTAATGTAACGGATTTTGAGAAATAAATATTCTTGTTCTTAAATTTTCAATTTTTTTTTTTTAATGTTTTAGTCTTTTTCTACATTTTCTCCATAAGTATTTATAGTTTATATATGGATGTGCCTCGTTCAATTTTCGAATAATTTTCCTTCCGCATACAATTTCTTCTGAATACAATAGTTTATATTTTCAAATAGCTCTATTTTTCAGTACATACAATATGAAGTTGAATGAACGAGTGCTGGAAAGTGGGATTTTTTTTATTTCTCTAAATTGAGAGAATTTCTCTCTCTACGTGAGAGCCCAGCCCTCCCCCAATAGGCGGGAGTTATTGTCTTTACAAAATTTTCAAAAAAATTCAAGACTTTTCAAAAATTTCAAACTTTTTAAAGATAATTTAGACTGAAAATCGATTTAAAAACTACATGCATTCATGGGTGTTTTGTTATTGCACTGTACTTTGGATAACTTTGGTCTGTGTTAAAGTCTAAGTGTCTTATGTAATACTTTACCCCAAGCACTTTGCTTCTTTTTTAACTCAAAAAGGGCCTAACTTTGTTCCTTTGATCGTACATTTAATACCTTTCAGATCTTGAGCAGCCATTATTAGGCAGCATCTGTGTGAAAGTCTTTTACAGATAAAATAGTACTATGGGCGTTGACGGGAAATTTTTGGAAAAATTTGAAACCTTCTCTCTCTCAATCAATGAACGAGGAAGAGTCGATCTGAGTGAGGGGATACCAAAAAAGGGACAGATGAAGGGAACCGGAGTCTAGTTAGGAAGGTGTATGGAGACAAGAAGATGAACTATTTCGGGGTTAAAAACGCCATGGAGAAATCTTGGGGCCAGAAGGGGCTAATACGGGTAGACAAACTGCAAGCGAATAATTTCCAATTCATCTTCGCTAAAGAAGGGGATTGAGAGGTTGTTCTAAGACAACGACCCTGGTCATTCGACAGCCACTATCTGGTGTTGGAAAATGGGAGGAGAACATAGACTTGGAGGCAGAATCTTTCAATCTTACGCAAATCTGGATCCAGATCTGTAATGTGCCAGTCTGTTAGATCTCTAAAGAAACGGGTATGAAGCCTGGGACAACTTTGGGCAAAGTATGAGATGTGATTATTACAAAAAATAGTAACTTGGAGCACTGTCACATCAAGGTTCTGGTGGAGATTGATCTCCGGAAGAGACTAGAAAGAGGGATTTGGCTGAGTTAAAAGGGAAAAGAGGTAAGAGTCTTTTTTAAGTATGAAAACTTGGCTGCCTTTTGTTTTTACTGTGGGCATGTAGGACATGTAGAGAAAAGTTGTGATAAGAGAAGTCTGGATGTTAAAAATAATAATCTCATAGAAGGGGAGTTTGGCCCTTTCTGAGAGCTGGATATGTGAAAGATTAGGGGAGAGAATCTTAAGTGGGGGGAGGTACAGAAAAGAGAAAAGGGGAGGTAGATGTATTGAGTTTAGGTAAAGAAAAGGTGAAGGGAAGGGATTACCAACGGGAGGAGAAATCAACAGGCGAAGAGAGTGTGCAGGAGGGGACTAAGACAGGGTAAAACAACAACATGGTGAGGCAGAAAATGAGGGAAGGAAGTAAAGGGATAGATTCGCAATATGAACTGAAATTAGGGGAGAGGGTGACTGTGACGGAGGAAGGAAATGTAGTAAAGTGATCAAATGGTCTGATGTGGTAAGGAAAGGAGTGGTGGAGGTGGCTAGGAAGTGTACTGTAATAGCAGTTATGACACAAGATACAAATATAGAGACTCAGAAACCAAAAAGTACGACACTGGCTAACTATATGGAAAGGGCAAGAAGGAAAGGGGTTGTTCCAATTAGAGGGGGAGGTCAGGGTGGGGAGATGGACGATATGGAGATGCAACAACATGATGAAGATGAGTACATGTCTGATGATATCTTTGAAGTGGATTGGAATGATGACAGTGAAGGGAATGGGGATAGGCAAGTTCTAGGAGACATTACGAATGTCAACCATCAAAGTTTTAAACAGGTGTCTGGAGGGACTGGGAGGGGGAAGAAGGGGCAATGGAAGAAGCAAGAAAGACTTATGAAAGAGGATAAATATGATAAAAAGAAAAGGAAAGATGGGGTACTATTTGGAGGGGCAGGGAAGAGAAGAAGAGAAGGGGTGCAAGATGGTGATAGAGATGAACTAGCAGGGAACAAACATAAGAAGGTCTAGCTAAATAATAAGGAGCCTAGTATCAGTTTAGTTAAGAACCTTGCAGACCGGAACAGTAACATACAGGTGGAGGAGACCAGCCTAAACTGGGCTCAAAATGTCCAATAAGAGCCATTATATGGAACTGTAGAGGACTGGGAAGCTCGTCTACAATTTCATACCTAAAAGAGTCGTGTAGGCTCTACAAACCAGAGTTGGTATTCTTATGCGAAACAATGTGTAAGAGTGGGTTTGTGAATACAGTAGGGAAGAAGTTAAAGTTTGGAAATAGATGGTATATGGTGGATCCAATTGGGAGAAGTGGGGGGATGGTTCTAGGTTAGGGAGGATGTAATTATTCATAGTATTGAAGTGTCGGGATTTAGTATAGAAGTGGAATTTGAAACAAAAGAGACAGATGGGCATGTATGGGGAGTGTTTGTGTATGCTAGTACCGATAGTGAAATTAGGAGTCAACAGTGGCAAATGTTAATGGAAAAAAAATAAATGGGGGATAGATGGTTTTTTTTTTTGGGAGGGGGGGGAGGGGGGAGACTTTAATGACATTAGAGAAGGTAAGGAGAAAAGGGGAGGGGGAGACAGAGAAATGAGAGAAGTTTTTCAGTGTTTAGAGGGTTCATTGAAAGAATGCAGATGGAGGGAATGGAGTTCAAAGGGAAGTTGTGGACATAGACTAATAATAGGACTGGGGAGAGATATATAGAAGAAAGATTAGATAGGGTGTTTGGCTCAATTAAGTTGCTGTTAGAAATGGGGCAGGCAGTTGTGCATCATATAGACAGGCATTCTTTTGATCACTGCATGTTGGTGTTGGATACTAAGCCTGATATAAGAAAAAAACATCAGAGGTTTTTTTTTGATAAGAGGTGGATAAATAGAGAGGGATTAACAGAAGTGGTCAAAAGAGTTTGAAAAAAAGAAAAGGAGGGATCTCCAATGTATAAGCTGTCCAGAAAGATTAAGAATTGTAGGTTGGAGATGCTGAAGTGGAATAGGGGTCATGTACAGAATGCCAGCAAGGAAATATCAAAAGTCTCAGCTGAGTTTTGATTCTCTAAAGAGTCTGGGGGAGATAGGGACTAGGTAAAATGGAAAGAACTGAAGGAGAAGCTGGACTTAGTATACTCGGAGGAGGAAGCTTATTGGGCTCAAAAAAGCAGGAATACATGGTTGAAGAAGGGAGATAGGAGGAAAATGAATAGAATAGAGAGGTTAGAAAGAGATGAAAGATTTTGGTGTGAAACAGATCAAGAAGTAGAAGAAGAGGTTAAGCAATTCTATCAACGGTTGTTCACATCAGAGGACATGTTTGGATGGGAAGATATGTTAAAAGAGGTCCCCAAGTACTATCACAGCTGAGATGAATTCCACACTGATTTGCTTGATAGAGAATGGAGAGATCAAAAGTGCTTTGTTCATCATAAACCCATCTAAAGCTCAAGGGCTTGACGGTATGACCCCTTTGTTCTTTCAAACCTACTGGAATATTGTTCAACATGATGTTTGTACTGCAGTTAAGAGTTTTTTCCGCTCAAATTACATGCTTAATTCCTTCAATCATACACTTGTCTCCTTTACTCCTAAACTAGAAAATGCTACCAAAATATCTCAATACAGAACAATAAATTTGTGCAATGTAACTTATAAAATTATTTTCAAAATCTTAGCTGAAAAGTTAAAACCTTTCTTTCTTTTTGTGTGAGTGATAATCAGTCTGCCTTTCTTGCGAGTAGTCAAATTTTGGATAACGTCACTATAGCATATGAGTATTTACATTACTTTAATAATTTAAGGAAAAAAAAAGAAGGGTATGTTGCTATCAAACTAGATATGGCGAAAGTCTATGATAGGGTTGAATGGAGGTTTTTGGCACTCATGCTTATAAAAATGGGTTTTGAGTTACAATTTGTTGGTTGGGTATCACAATGTATTAAAACGACATCTTTTTCATTTAATATTAATGGAGAGACTAAAGGATACATTAAACCCTCTCGAGGGATTAGACAAGGGGACCCACTGTCCCCTTACCTCTTTCTAATTTGTTCTGACTTTCAAATTTTATTAAGTTAGCAGTTAGAAAAAATGAGCTAAATGGAGTGAGAATTAGCAAGTTTGGGCTCGAGATTACCCACATGTTGTTTGATGATGATGCTTTATTATTCTGTAAAGCTGAAAGTAGTCAGATAGAGAGTGTTCAAAAAATCTTGGGAAATTATGGGGTTTGTTCTGGATAGAAAGTTAATTGGGACAAATCATCAATATTCTTTAGTAAAAATGTATCTGTTGTAAATAGGACTGTTCATTATGCAGCTAAATAATATTAAAATACAATGTAAGTCTAAGTACTTAGGTTGTCACTTGTAATAGGAAGGTCTAAGGTGGAAGTTTTCGAATATATTGAAGAAGCTGCTTCTAACAGGATTAAAAACTGGAAAAATAAATTGTTTTCTAATGCAGGAAAAGAAGTGCTGCTAAAGTTTGTAGTCCAAGCTTTACCGATTTATGTTATGTCCTGTTATAAGCGAACTGAGACGGCCTGTCGTAGCATTGAGAGGAATATGGCCAGTTTTTGGTGGGGTGATGGGGAGGAAAAGAAGAGAGTACATTGGGGTTCCTGGGAGAAGCTAGCCAAGGAAAAGGAAAAAAAGATTAGTGTTCAGAAGTTTAGCATCAATGAACGAGGCATTATTATCTAAACAAGTTTGGAGGCTGATTACTGAGCCTAATTCCTTGATGGCTAAAGTAATGAAAAAAAAGAATTATGCTAATGGCTCTCTTTTTAAAGTAAAACAAAAGGGCATTGATTTCTGGCTGTGGAAAAAGTGGTTAGGGGCTAATAAAGGGGTGTAGAGGAGATGGAAATGGAAAATAGGGGATGGTAGGTCAGTATACACCTGGAAAGATAATTAGCACCCAGAAGGGTGTTAAGTGAGATTGCAGGAAAAAGAGGGAAGAAATCAAAATCCAGGTTTGATTACAGTGTCACAGCTGATTGATCCTAGGATACTGTAATGGGATCCGGGACTTCTAAATCAGATTTTACTACCCCATGAGGCAGACTTAATGTAACAAATACCAATTAGCAAGTGCGGGGGATGTGATGTGCAGATGTGTGGTGGGGAAATAAATGGAATGTTCACGATACAATCTACCTTTAAAGGAGTAGAAAATAATAGAGAAGATGGGAGAAGAATGGGTGAATCAAGTGGGGGAAGAGAGATAATGAGGAGAATATGGTCCAAGTCTTAACAGCTATCTGCCAAAGCCAAGTTTCGACACTTTATATAGAAGTTGTTTAAAGGATGGGTTTCAGTTAACACTATGCTAAGAAATAGAGGGATGAAGGTTGATGAGGTTTGTAAAACGTGTGGTTTGGAGGCTGAAAATATAGAACACATGTAATTCTCATGTGAGTTGGCTAAGCTAGTCTGGAAAACAGCACTGGTGAAATGGGATGAGTTGCAAAGTATGGAAGGAAATTTTGCAGACTGGTGGGGGGCACTGATGAAGATTGAATCAGGGCAAGAAATGCAAGCAAGAATTGAGCTGACTGTTTATATCTTGTGGCATCTGTGGAAAGCCAGAAACTCATGGCAATTCGGAGGACAGAAAATGGAAACACATGAAGTAATACAGAAGGCAGAAAGAGAATGGATTGAGTTTCTACAAGCTCATCCAAGAAAGCAGGTGCAGAGTAGAGAAGAGCAAAGAGAGAAGGCAACCCAGGCTGGCAAGTTCCTGCAAATGGGATGATCAGAGTTAATGTAGGGTCTGAAATGCAACAAGAAGACAGGACAGTCGGCTTGGGAATACCATCAGAGATGATAAAGGTACTCTGATTTTAGCACAAGCTATTTTCAGTCACATGCTCAGAGTCACATTGCAGCTTAACTTGAGGCAGTAAGGACATCATTATTTGAAGCCCAACGTGGAGATGTTAAGCATGTGTAAGTCCAATTAGATGCTAAGGTTATGGTTACTTGGCTACAGGGGAACATTTCTCCTATGGCAGATGAGATCACCATAACCAAGGACATCTTATTGATGAAAATGTATTTTGATAGCTGTAAATTTCTGTTCATAAAGAAGGATTAAAATTTAACTTGTCACAATCTTGTTAAATTAGGCTTAGCTAGAAAATGTACACAGAGTTGGGATAATAACTCCTTTTTTTGGCTAGAAAAGTTGTCTAAGACAGATTGTCTTGGCCTTTTGTAATTACGCTTTGTTTATCTATAAATATGATTATCGCTTTTGAAAAAAAAAAAAAACGAGTGCTGGGAAGTGGGAAGTGGGAACCATTACAAATTTGCAATATGTATTTGACCTGTTTTGACCACAGAACCGGATTATAAGCCGGAGGTCCTATATATGTATTTTATTTTGGAATGGACCGCCTCCGCCGTCCTAGCTGCCGAGTTTCTTCTATTCGTAATCGCCAACCGCCCATCCCTGAAAGCTGAAACCACCATTTTCTCTCGTCAAAACCGAATTGTGAAATCTCCGCTTGGCCTTCAAATCAATATTCAATTCAGGTTGCATTTGTGTGTTTTTTTTTTTTTATTTTGTTTTCCGAATTAGGAAATTCTAACTCAAATTTGAAGCTCGTAAGCTTCCACCACCTTGTTCCTCTCTACTTGCATCTACTATTAAGTTCCGTATGTATTTTTTTTGTGTGAAGATGCCTTAAATTTTGGAGTCCTTTCATTTTCTATTCACTTTTAAGCAAAACCCTTCATTCATTTATTTCTATCCGATAAAGATTTCAAACAATCTACGATCACTAGGGTGACTTGTTGGATTTGAACCCTTCTTTTTAGTTAAACATGCAATTTGTTCCTTAAAATTTGAATGACGATTTGCATTATTATATCTTTGGGGCTCACCTTTTCTAATCGAAAGTGTTAGTAGTTTCTGAGATGATGAAGTGTTTGATAAAATGCCTGAACGGGTGCTTACTTGCAGGAATTTTAGATGGAACCAGGATGGTTCTTGAACCTGAATATGAGGCTTTATGATGGATGTAAAGAAATTGTCAGAATTCAGAAATTTAGGAGATTTGTCTCTTACACTGGATTTTTTGCCTTTACTGCTCTCATCAGCTATGCCTACACTAACAACACGTAAGTTCACTCTCACTTAAATCATTTCTAGATTGCAAACTGTAAATAAAGATTTTTTGCTGAGATTGTCTGATTACCCCCAAGTTTGTTAGAGAGTTGAAGCTGTTCCAGTTATTGGCTCACTGTCTTTGGAACAACTGTAAATATGTGATCTTCATTCCATCTATCTGTTTGATATGGTGTTTCAGAACAAGGGCAGGATACTCGAGGAGCGACCAATTTTATGCATCTTACCCAGCTGGCACTGAGCTTTTAACTGACACCACAAAGGTATGTTGTTGTTAAGCATTATTGTTAAACATTCTTTTCTCGTCATTTTTTACTTTATGAACTGTTTTTTGATTGTGAAATTTCTGCATGGTTACAGCTATACAAAGCAGCCCTTGGCAATTGTTTTGAAGTGGAAGAATGGGGACCTATTGAATGGTTGATAATGACTAAACATTTCGAGCGTCAAGGAAAATCTCCATATGCCTACCATGCGGTAAGTTGGCTTTTGGCAATGGTATCATTAGTTTAGATTGTCATCGTTGGTTATAACACTTGAGTCTATCCGTTTTGGCATCGTTTTGGAAGTTTTGAGTTATGAGTTTTGACGGAATGTGGTGTATTCCATGTTGCTGACCAGTAAGCATGTGACCTTTGGTTATGGTGACTTTCATGACGATAGATGGTAGTATAATGAAGTGGTGGTGATCATAGCCAAAATGTATTGTTCCTGAGGAATAAGTTACTCCTGGAAACAATTGACAATTGATAAGAACTTGAGTTGATTATTGAATAGAACCTTGGTGAGGCCGTAGGTTGGTTTTGGGGGTGGTATGGGTTGGAGTTTGTAACCTGGCATCCTGAGTCAAATATCGGGTGATGCTACCAAGAACAGGAAGTTGACATGTTGTGATTTGGAGATAGATGGTTGGAGATGGTTGCTAGGAAAATAGCAATCTTTGTCTGTCCAAGATGTTTCAAATCTGCTCGACCAGTTTTTTTGTGCTATTTGTTTTGTATTTGTTTTTTTTTTTTTGTGTTTTTCTTTTTCTTTTTTGGACAGAGATAGTTCTCTTACAAACTTGAAAAATTGACATCCTTCAATGGCCTTGACTTTGATTTAATCATTTGTATGAACACAATAGTTGTAATTTATCAAGTCCTGCGCTCTTTATTTGTCATAGATTGACCGATGCAGTTTAACATTCCACTCTCTTTCATTTTAAACAATGACATAAGCATTTTGTGTTGCAGCAATACATGGCGCACCTTGCCTCACATGGACAAGTTGATGGAAGTGGCTAGTGCAAGATCAATGTTTTCCCTTTTGCATCAATGAGCATTTGAGGATGTTCTCCGGCCTCAGCACATAGGACCTGAAGATGAAAGAAAGACTTCTTGGAGCTTCAGGAGAATCACCACCCTCCAGCAAAAGAAGTTGTAATATAAAGCTGATGGATATTTTTACAGGAAACAGCGGTTTTGTCTGAGTTTGTTTACTTCATGTGTCAAGACGATCAGTAGTGACTGGGTTATACTGTAGAATATAATGGCAGGAAGAAGAACAACTTAAGTGCAATACAGAAAATTATTTCTTGTCACAACAAGCAGCTTTTTTCTCCCCTTTCCTTTCCACTTGCGTTATTGTATTTGTCTTCGGGATGAAATAAATGAGGTTTTGATTTTGAGACTAATTTGGTTTGAGTTCTTTTTATACATGGAGATAAAAAAAAACAGGATCATTAGGCCAATGTTTTCCATCATTTTATGTTAAAAACTTTACTGATGGTTGTAATTGTGAAAATTCAGGTAAATGGTGATTCTGTTTCTGTTTACGATTTTTTTTTTTTTTTTTAACCACCGCCGTTGGACCACCGTTGGCTTGTATTTTGTTTCTTTTCTGAAAACAGAGGGTCCAATTGACTGTAGTTAAAAGTTACCCAACCAGTAACCACCCAAGCTTGGTCAGGCCAGTTAGACTTTTACTATCAATTACACTACCAAGGAAGAAATTGCCACTTTACTTGATTTCATTTCCCCAGAAAATGGATGACCGGAATTCAGTCCCACCACCATATTCTTCAAGAAATCCACTTCCGGATCCATATCCACAACCCATATCCTGGAAATTCAGCGACGATGAGGTCTTCCCTGTTCTTAATGAACCGGCAAATGATGACAGGGAGGCTGTTAGAATGGGAAAGTTCAAAGCTTTCGTCTTTAAGGCTGCCCTGTTATCTTTCAAAAACAAGTTTTTGTCTCCCAAGCTAAGGTCCCTCATTGAGAAACGCATTGATGAATTCTTCCCTGATTTTCACACCCCTGATCACCCTCCTTATGCAGCTGTAAGTCTGGAGTTTCTTTCCCCCTTTTTTTCTCGGGCCAATTTGGTGTTCTATTTGTTGGCTGTATGTAGACATGCATGTTTATTTTTTGTAAATAATGTCTCTTAGATGCTGATTATTTTTATATGAAATTCCCTGCATTTGATGTTATTTCTCCAGTTATTTTAAAGCATGCATTGCTGTATAGGAATCGGGATGCGTATTTCTTCGACGGCAATTTTTATTTTATTTTTTTTACGAAATTGCATGCATTTATGTGAAATACGAGTTTGAGGATGAATTGAGTTAGTAATCTTTGTCCAGCAATTTCAAAGAATGCAATGTTGTCAGGAATAGGGATGTAACGTTGTGGATCATCTGTCGTTCAAAAATATTGAAACTTTCAGTTTCAGGTTTCCTCAGATCAATGTGTTGTTCAAATGATCTGAATTTTGACAGCAGAACTAAAAAATTCGGTGTCTCAGGTTGCTTGGAATGCTATTGCTTGTCCAAATAAGTCTCGCTTATGCTGCTTTTGATGTTTGCTAATGCTAAAATGTAGGATTTAGAGAGCATTTTAACAGGATTTATAAACTTTGTTCTTCCATCTCTACCAAAGAGATTGGGCAGGTTATTATACAAATGCTTTATCTTCACTAGTATTTTTCATGACTTTTATAGATGATCTCTACTGCAATTACTAAGCTAAACGAAGATGGGGGATCTACTGCTGAAGCAATATCACAGTTCATTCAGAATGAGTACACCCACTTACCAAGGGCCCATGAATATTTCCTCAAACACCATCTGAAGAATCTTTGTGCGGAAGGAGTTCTTGGTGAGGTTGGTAAAAGGTTCTATGTGCTGGATCATGATGTAGTTACAGAAGGAACTCCTGAGAGATCCTGTAGGCATAGTCAGTCAGTCGTCAGTTGTCCTGATCTCAGTCCAATCAGTCCAGCTGATGACAAGTCCAACTCTAGCCTCATCAGCTCTAGTTCTAGCTGGAATTCAAATGGCAGCTGGGGATCGAACACTTCTTTTGACAGGTCCCATGTTCCGAAAAGGGAGCCTCAATCTTCACGAGGGAAGAAGAGGGTGAGCAAAAGGGAGACAAAGCACAGCCATGCAGTGAAGAGAATGGGTACTAAGGGTAAAAAGGTTACGATGGAAACAGAAATTGAACTGAATGCTGAAAGAAAGAGGAGAAAGTGCAGACAGAAAGACTCGAGATGTTCACTAGTGCAGAAAAGTGCAAGAGAAGGGGGCAAAAAGCGCAAGAGTAGTAGTACTGAGGCATCAGAATTTGGTAAAAAGACAGGAAAAGGTGATTCGTTGAATGCTAACATTGTGATGTTAGAAGGTGAGATTAAATTACAAGAGCAGGCAACTGATGGGCAGGAAGTGGGTCAATACTCGGAAGGGCAGGCGAAAGGGAGAAAATTGGGAAGAAAGAACAAGAGAACTATTAAAGAAACTCAAATCCATCTTGAATGTGAAGTGACGAGACAGAATACAGTGTGTGGAAATACCAAGATTGGAAAGGAAATTCTTGGAAATTCTGATGTTCCGATCTTAAAAGATGGGGCCAAAGAATCAGAAGAACGAACTGATGGGAAGGTCAGACATCATGCTGTGGTTGAGTGCCGGGACCCTGTAACTGGAGAAAGACGAACAGTGATTGACATTGACCTTGACGAACTTCAAGATATGGTGAATGAGGAACCATGTGATTTACCTGAAAGATCAGCCAAAGAAGATTATAATCAAGCTGGTTCTCTAGAATCACAAGTGCCAGCTCAATCTGATGGGACTGTCGAAAAAGAACTGGGTTTCTCACCTCTCAAACAAACTAAAATGATTTCTACATTTGAGTTGCATCAGATGGGTGAAGCTAAAGTTGCTGGGAAAGAATATTATGTTGCAGATGAACAAAGGGAAACAGCTGCCAAAGATAAGCAACAGCTAATTGTAAAAGAGAGTTTTGTGAGAGATACGAATAGTGGAGAACAGAGTTTATTGCAAGAATTTGGCTTTGATATTGTAAAGGGGAAGCTAAAGAATAAGAAGAAAAGGTTTCATCCTTGTAAGAAAAATGTGAGAGGAGAAAAGGTTCATTCCAAGGATAGGGCTGTACGAGGGAGGGGTAAACATAGCTCTGGGCAATGTACAAAGAATTTGTCCGTTGAACCAAGTCAATCTCAAACTCAAATGAGTGAAGCTATTTCAACTGAAGATCTTTCGCTTGAGAAGTCACCTGAAGTAACTCAGCAACAAACTGTGGTAAATCAAAATGAATTTCAAGGAAATGAATGTGACAATTCAGTATGCTGTCAAGCTGAGGATTTCAATACAGAGATTCAGAATGGAACACCTTCTGCCACTGTGGAAGTGCATGAATCATCAGGACAGCCTGACTTATTGATGGAGGGAGAGTCGCATGTACTTGAAGGTGTTGCAGGATGTGATGATGAGCAGCAAGAACATGGAACCTTGATGCACAGGAAGGGTGGTTCTATTGGAATGCTTACAAATGAAGTTTCTGAAGCGCAAAGTGAGCCCCAAAGGATGGGAAGCGGAGAGCAAAACCATCAGATTGTAAAGCTTTCTGGTTCTAACACAATGCAACAGAGTAACCCTCTTGCAGAAGAGCAGGGAGCCCTGGGTAAAGTGTCAGCATTAGGTCATGATGCCAAGGAAAACAGTTACAATGAAGGTACTGCTTTGGCCAGAGAGTCAGTTAGTCTAGAATTTGAAAGAGAGACAGAAAATACTTCCAGGACAAACACGGAGAAAGCAAGTGAATGCCTTGAAGAAGAAGAAACTATCAATACGTGTGGCAGGCATACACAACAGAAATCTGAGTTCCTCAGCCCAGAGTCGTCTTCAAAATTTCCTTCTCCAAACTTTCTTCCACAGTACGGTCAACAACATGAAAATGAGGAAGAAGAGATGCCAAAATATGCCACAGAGCAGAAAGGGGAAGGTCCTGGAGAAGAAGGAAATGAAGATATTGGTAGCCAGGATACACAAACGGAGCCACACGGCGCAAGCTCCCAGTGTGCTGAGTTGAAATCACAAGAAATATCATCTCAACCACAATCTCTACTGCCGCATGCAAAAGCAACTCCACAGGGTAAATTTTGGCATTGGTTTCTAAAACCTTTTAACTTCTCTTGTTAGGCTCTGTCTGACACCACAGGAGCTGCAATGCATTGGTAATTTAGTTTTGAGTCTCTAGAGTTGAAGTTATGGATTATAGGTATAATCCAACATCTGACTCCTGAATAGCATCTCTCAGAACTAGAATTGATGGTGGATCATCTTTTGGATTGTTTAGAAAGAACCCCTTGTGTAGTATTAGTACACTGGATCATCTTTTGGGTTTTTTTAGAATTGATGGTGGATCATCTTTGGCTAATCTTATGTTGTAAAGGACAATATTATATCTTGATGATCATGCAATTTAGAATGGTATTCAGTGTACCTAAAATTTCCTTGTTATTAACTTGGGAAGGTTTCGTGAGAAATTTTCCCCTGGATCAGTAGTTACTAACAACCTGAACAATGAATTGTTAATAGATTAAGGTGGATTCCAAGAGTAGTAATTGTGATATATGTATTTGTTTTAGTAACAGTGCTGGCCAATTCCTACAGACAACATCTTCCGCACTGGTCTTCATTCTTCTTGGGGACTCGGATTGTGAGCTAATTCCGGCATGGCCTAATTATTTGAACACAAAAACTTTCATTTTCAGGATTTCGTCTTTCTTCGCTATTGCGACGAGAACTTGATCCGTAGCATCGTAACAACATTGTCCAAGACAGCAAGAGTAATAATATTAGGAAATTTGTGAGGCTTGATTTTATTAGTTACAACCAACATATACATAATGTATGTTTCTATCTCATGGGTTTTTCTCATGTAATTTGTCAATCTTTTATTGTACTCTCTCGATCATAAACTAAACATCATTAGAGATTAGATAACTTGTACACAGACAGGGAAACACTTAAAATAGGATAATTGAAGGTAATTTGTCAATTTTTTTTTGTTGGGCTAAAAACACATTGGAATAAGAAAAATGATATTTATTTTGATATTTCTCTATTTTACTAAAACGATATTTAGTGAATAGTGAAATTATTTAGCATTACGTGTATTTTGCTCGGATAACTTTATATCTTGGTCATGTAATTTTGGATTGCCAGTGTAGTAGCAATTTGCTACATCCCAAACACCAAATTTGTTGTTTTGCTACTTGTTACCATCTCTAACTTATAGCATTTACTTTTTATATAAAAAAGGAATATCCCTAATATATTCTTTTTTACTATCAGTTTTTACCAATTTACAAAAGAATCTAACTAACTAAATTAATTATATTATATAATAACCAAAACATTCCTTTTATATTTTTGGAACACATATCCACTCAATATGAAAATAATTATTTCAATATCAATTGGAAAAAAAAACAATGTGTCAACCGATTAATAATTAAAAATAATAAGAGCGATAATAAGTGCGCTTATGTATGTTTGGTATGTTGAATGTTGTCTTACATTTTCTTCATTTCATTGTTTAGTACTGAACTATTTGTGTTTTATTTTCTTTTCTTTAATATAGTGTAATTGCTATGAATTTATGATAAGCATTTTTTTCTATTACATATTTAATTTAATTATTTACTTTTTAAAAAAAATTAGATAACCCTAGTAAGAATTTGAACCTTCCATCGAGCATTTGATGATAAACTATCTCTATCCTAATCCTTTAAGTTTTAGCACCTCACCAACCCTCCTACCCTCAATTTTTATTAGTTACTCAAAATTAAATAATAATTGAGAATCCTTGTACATTAAGTAAATTAAAATTATTTATTAAAATAATTATTACTGTGAAAAATTTTTAATCTCATTATTAATTTTACAGATATACTCCCTCCGTCCCATAATTATTGTCCACTTTGCCCAAAAATTTTGTCCCAAAATTATTGTCCAATTTGACTTTTTATGGATTAAGTTACACATTTGTCCTTAGTAAAAAACATTACCCATAAAATCTTAATGGTTAAACAATTACTTATGTATGGGTATATCCGGTTGTTTAAGATAAAATATAGTTAAGTTTGACCAAAAATAAAATCTTTCATTTTAGTAAAATTAGACAATAATTATGGGACGGAGGGAGTATCATATAAGTTACAAATTTGTAAAATATTTATATAAACAAAGTTATAGTAAAACATAAATGGAAGGACCTATTAATAAATTCAAAAGTAAATGGGTGACGCAGCACTGTAGCTCCAGCGCCAAATAGGTGCGCCTTATGCTGTTTTGCTGGAGCGCTTTTTTAGCAAAACCTACACGAAATTGGTGTTTTGCAAAGTAATGATAAACCTTGCAATCAATGTAAGGGCTGTATAGCTAGTGACAAATCCTAATCCAATTCTGATTTGGTTGATCTCATTCCCTTCGGGGAGGACGAGGACAAAGTTTCGGCTGATGAGTTAAAGAAGATTGAAAAGATTAAGAAGTGGGATGAGGTGGTGAAGAGGATGAAAGACGAGTGTCGATCGGCGAGGCGGTGGTGGACGGAGGAATGGCCGGATTACGTGCTCTCCGACGAGAAGATCCGGTGTGGGACGTTTCAGGCGTTTTTGGCACACAAGCTGGCCACCAAATTGCTCTATGATGAAGCTTTTTGTTGTTAAAATTAGCCACGAGATTGTCTTAGTAGTTAAAAGTAGGCAGGATCTTTCTTTTGCCTTTCTATGAATAGGATCATGACTTGATCTCTCTTTGAATAATTGTTTGCTTTAGTTTTAACCCAACAAGGGCTGTTAAGTTTTCCTCTGTGCTCTGGCACTAGATTTGCTAAGATGAACCATGTTTTGATTGTGCTTTATAATCAGATGATAATTGATCACTTTGTAAAAATGTCCTGCAAATCCAGTATTATATTATTAGTCAAGCATAAATCCAGTAGTACAAGCAAATTTAAGTGGTCTTCTTCTTCAGTAAGGTACTAGGGTAAAATGTAAATGGCATAACACAGAGATAAGACAATGTAGTATGTATAAATTCATGGATAATACTGATATCTCTCACAAAAACCTGCATTTACTATACCAATATTACCAACTAATAATCCACAGTGCCACTGAGTTTCCACTTCAAAGAAGAAAAGAGGACTGTTTACATGTGGAAATGAATCTATACTCTCTTCCAAAATTCTTGTCAGTAGTTCAAAAGCTGGTCTATACTGTATTTGTTTACACAAGCTTTTTCCCATAGCTTCCTGACCAAACCTAAATCATTCATATAATCCGGCCTTCAACTTTGCAAATTGCTCCAAATCTAGTAGTTCTGGGAGTAGATCTTTGCTTTTGACAACACATGCTACTGCTACTGCCAACAATATGATCAGGAAAACCATCCACCATTTCAAACCTGCATGCGCACAATGTTATCAGGGAGATATATTCACCTTAGACACTAATGTAGCATAGTGGCCAAATATTATGAAATGCGATGCAAATAAAGCAAGATTGTACCACTTTTCTTCTCATCCTTAATTTTTGTCACCCTGGTACTTGAATCCATGGATGCTGAGACCACATACCTGATTCACAATCAAACTTAAGGTTTCAGCAATAATAAGATTTGTCCAGGCAAATGATATGGTATAACAAAATTAGGGACTATAACCTCGAATCATGTGAGAAGGATAACGCTGTTACAAGGCCAAGATGTGCTTTCTTCACCAGAGTGTTCACCTTCAAGTTTTTTGAACTTATAACTCGAATGTCCCCATTGATTGTTCCTCTGCAAATTGAAAAGATTTTAAAACAGAATATAACAAACATTAATCTTTGACTTGATGAGCATCATGGATGCAAAATTTGTTACGTGTAAGAAATAAAAATAGTAATAGAATAGAAAGAGTTTCTATTGCAAAATTAGTTTTGTGTGATCATGTAATAGTAAAAAATAGGTAGCCTGATACACAGAACCTCCTCGATGCACAAGGTCCGGAGCCAATCTATGCAGGCTTACACATTATTTCAATACAAGGCAAGTTTGTTTGACTCCGAACCAGTGACACTTCATGTCACAAGCAACATACTGCTGGGTATAATTATCAACCATGATTATTAAAGGCAAGTAACTGAACCTCATGATTATGTTATTGTATGTTAAGCAACTTTGATATGCAAATCACATAGGCAGTTGGACTATATACTTTACACAAGGACATTAACACTCAACTAAACCAAAATCAACCTAATGTAAAACCTCTCTTATACATTTTGGGAGAATAACTATAAACAAGCAGTGAAAGCAGAAGCACTCTTACAATGCTAAGAGGTTTCCATCAGGAGAAACATCGAAAGAACAAACAGCATCTTTGACAACGCGATTTGAACTGATCTTCTTCCATGAATTAGTGCTCCACTTCGAAACATAACCACCCTGACCTGTGAGCAACAAAAATGCATGATGCATGTCCATATGGAACTAAGAGAACCATGTTAAATGCAAAGCATAACAAAATTTTTTACAGAATACCGACTTTGCATCGCAATGATGTAGAGCACCTGGTTGTCATCACTGGACCCAGAAAATTTGCAATAGCAAAACCTCTCATCCTATCACGGTATTATAGGTTTATTTAGTCAAATAACATAATCCAAAATCATATTGTATAACACATTGAAAAGGAAGGAAACAATAATCTCACATTTCCTTTGGGCAATGAAGCTACAGCAGTTAAGCTGGTCAAATCCCAAACCCTAGCAGGGCCACTTCCGACAGAGACAAGAAATTTCCCATCCAGGCTACACAAAACAGTGGAGACAATTCAATCACTTCTGATCGATAAAAAATCAAAGGTCTCTTATTACAAATGAAAAATGGACAAATAAGAAGCCTCATTAATCTGTTTTTAAAACGAATTACAGTGCTTTTTTCAAGTGTTGTCTAAAAAATTCAAATCAAGAATGCAGTTGATTGAACCTGAAATGCAAATCCTTCACAGAAGTATATGCATTATCTTCATTGAGTACAATTTCCATGCTTGGCCACTTGAAAACCCTCAACTTACCGTCCTGCGATGCAAAGAGCACTATTGTGAGGGGGAGAAAAACATGAACAACTGTTTCCAAATCGACAAACATAGAATGTACAAAGTCTATGGTTGATGGAGCTTGTTTGCCTTTGAACAACAAAATCCGAAAAAAGTTTAAGAATGGAAAGCAGAAAAACAACAAAAAAAAAGAAGAGCAAAGTCACCAGAAAGCTTTGAGAGATATATAACTCAGAAAGCAAGTACAACGTAGACTAAAGAAAACGTTCAGCAATCAATAAACAAAGTAAGATAATCAGAATTCAGAAATATGAACTGAAAAGCGAAATCTAAATCATCACCCTAGTACATCTGTAAAGAATACTGCAGAATTGGATGGGCAGACTTTCATACCACGACATCCACAATAAAAGACCTCCAAGGAGGATTTTAAAAGACGATGCAATTCATGACGGTAAAACTCCATTACTAAAAGCGAATATGAATATGTGAAATACGCTATGCTAGTTAGACATATGAGAAACCCAACTCAAAAAGAGACAGAATGACCTTTCACGGGTCACACAATTTGCAAATTTTATACTTTGATTAGTACGTTTTAAGATCTCAATGAAAACAGTTTTCAAACTACCAAGCAGAAGACACTTGTACTAAGAAAGGTTTAAATATTCAAATATCATAACAGCCGACAAATTGCCATTGAAAACTCAAAGCTTGACGGTTGTAATGCTGGGCTTAGCAAATTTAACAGTTTACCAAACTTATTTAGATCTAAACACTTCTTGTGGATTTCCTTTTTCCTGGGGGATTTTTTCCCTGGATAGAAGAAAATATTTGAAGAACCAAATTTCGTAAACAATGTGATGAAAATTTGGAGGGAATTAACCTGTTCGATTTTTATTTCAACAGAGGATAAAAAGTTGTTCGATGTTTTATTTTCCATACAGCATCTCTTAACAGAAGTACAAAACCAAACATGATTTTATAAACGACGGCTATTCTATCTCTTCCACAATCAATTTTTCGTAAGTAGCATCTTACCTCACCACCAGTTGCAAGTAATGAACCTTCACCGTTAAATGCTAAAGCTAATTGTTGGCCGACAGCTTCCAAGTGGGTAAGTCTTTTCTCAGATGATCTTAAATTCAATGAACGAGCATCATCATTCCTTGCTGCGCCCCATTCATACCATCTACGTGAGAAAAAGTTCTCTTTCAGTAAAAATGTAATACTTTGGCCAGGAAAATGTCCATGCACCCATAAGAAACTATATTGTTACGCCTCTCCTCATCAGGCAAACTAACTGTAAATAATATATGCACAGATGGATCATCAATTACGCATGGAAAACAACACAAATCAAGCTAACAAGATCATAGATGAATTGAACTAATCATTTTCACTAATCAATGTTTTTTAAGATTGACCATCTCTACTTAGGAAATCGTGCATTAAAAAAAATGCTCAATTCATCTCAATGCAAGAAGGAAGCATGTTTTTTAGGAGCAGAACAGTAACTTTTCAGAGGAGGCGACTCACATAGAAGCATTCGAAAAGTCAAATTAATCTCCAACAGGACAGCCTCCTACTGCGCCAGAGGAAAAATAACTCTATCCTAGCATGACAGGCCCAGAACCATTTTACAGAGATTAACACACAGTGAACCTAGTCTCTTCAACAGGGTGCCATTTGAAGAACAGATAAATACAAAAACATTCTTCAACCAGTTGATCACTTTTTACTTTATCTCCGCACTGAAATATGAGGCATGAGTCAATGAATTAACTCATTTGTTGATTATATCTTTCTCATAAGTTATTTAGCACTCGCATAGTATATTTAAACCTCGGCGAGAATATGAACCATCAACGATTTAAACAGGCAATCCCAGATAATGAGATAAAAGCTCATTGGTTCTTGTTATTATAATTTATAAGTAATAACAACCAAAAAAAATAAAGAGACCAATACTGTATTTGCTTTCATCTTCAGCTCCCCCATATCAACTCTTTACATTACATTGAAAGACAAGAAAGTTTCCAGTCTCTAAAGTTCATTTATGATGAGGTAAACTCAAAAGAATTTTGCACATTACAGATAGAATTGTAAGAAAGCAGAATGAGGAACAAGTACCGGCAAGATTCAGGAAAGGAACAAATCAGGCCTTCGCCTCCCGGGTGAACAGCAATCCGATACGGTAAATCTTGTCCAGTTTCCAACCTTGCAACCTTCCGGAACAAAATATTTAATGGTTAAAACAGGAGACGCTATCTTTAATTCCAATATAGAAAAGAAAAACAAGGACGAGCAATTAGGGGACTCACCGGCTGATCAGAAAGAGAATTAGACTCGAAGTCGAATTTCGCGAGGAGGAGAGCATTCCGGATGCCGCTGTGGCCTTCACCGCCGCCTCCGGCGATTACAACGTGGTCCTGAACCGTAGGCGCGGTCGACGGAGGAGCAACGGTCGAATCTTCTTGAGAGGATTCAAGAACGGAATTCGCCGCAGATTTCGGAACCCAGCCGGCGCCGTACAACGGGACACCATACTTCTGGGCAACAACTTCTCCGATCTTCGAAGACTTGTTTCCCATCTTCTTCTTTCTTCAGCGAATGAATTTTTGTCTTTTCGGATCCAAAGTCGCAGCAATTCTCGGTTTTGAACTTTTTGAAGCTTGAATTGAATGAACCCAGTTAAATCTCAGAAATTACTGTTATTGTGAGTCTACTGACTGGAGTAGTTTGGATTTCACAGTTACTATATTGCACACCTGAAATTACCTCCTCTTTCTACACGTAATAGGTCCAATAGGATCTGCCCATGTGATTGATTTCCCCCTCCCAATTAGATTATTAGATTACGCATATTATAAATTTGAGTATTATTTATTTTTGTCCAAGTGTAACAAACAAATAATATCATACACATTATTTTAATTGATCTCAGTAAATAATGTAATTGTCTTAGTATTTTTTAGTAGGTATAAGAATTATTTTTAGCTAATAAGAATTACAAAAACAGGGTCATTCTTCTAATTTTGTCCTCTACTTAATTACATTTTTTTTTTTGTAGATTTTATATTTTGATTCGGTGGCTTGTTTGATGTTTCATAATTTGAAGTGTAATTTAGTACCCCTGAGATGATTATTTGTGTTCGATTTTTAATAATACAATAATAAATACCATAATGTGAGAGAGGGAGTAGTTTATACTTTGTTCATTTTTATGTGTAACAAAATTGATTGTTTCATCAGCTATTCTCTTCCTTTTTTTTTCTCCCAAAAAAAAAAAAAAAAACCAAATAAAAATTGTTTTTCCAACCCAAGAAGTTTAAGAAATGGTTGTACGTAAATGGGAAAAAAGAAGCAAACCTCTTTTTAACAAAAATTCTCTAGGATGGAACAAAGCATTACACAGCACAATAAACTACAGAGGAGAAAAATGAAAATAGGAGCTCCAGAATAAGCCACTTTGAATGCCTTATATATACAAAGAGTTCATTCCGAGTCGAGTGGAGTTTTAACAGACTAGCACTGGTTGATCAAATGGATGTGTTCTTCTGCTTCTAAAGTAGCTTGGTTAACAAAATTTTATTGATCAATTTTTCTGAGAATGATTTTGGAATGCAGAGGAACTGAAAGAAGGTGATGCAGGGCTTATAAAATCCTCCCCAAAATCATCACACGAGATCTGATGGTTTGCTCTTGATTGATGATGAGAGTGAAACTACAGCTTCCCCAACTGTCAAGAACAGGCTATCAGGTCTTGCAAGTTCTTCTCCGTCCTCGGCTCGTTGCATTTTCTCCATCACTTCACCAATGGGATTGACCAACACAAGCTGTGATGCCAGAAAACTCATTTTCAGAATCCATGACATTTTTGCAGAAATGACTTATGATGTTGCATTGATGAAAATATTATTGACCCTTGATTGGTAATTTCATTGTATTTTTGTCAATGTTGGGTTTGATATATGATTCTTTACTAATGATGTGTACAATGCAGTATGAAAATGACGGTGCAGAAAACGAAATTCGGCACTTACCTGAATACCCTTCTTGTCTAGCAGAAGTCTTAAATCCGTGAAGAATGCAACTCCACTTGTATCAATGGCACTCACAGCTGAAAATGAAGGTCAAAGACAAGTAATGGTCAGCAATCTTTGAATTTGTTGTTCTGCATTATTACATTTTGTGCCGATAAGCCTCTTATATTTCTTGTGTATTCTATAACTGAGGCAGAGTTTTGAGTATGAATAATATTGAGTGGTGACTGATGAAATTCAGTCAATTTCATCATATGACTTACCAGACAAATCAATGAGCAGAAACTTGAGTCCACACTCGTTCTTAGTTTCCTCTTGTTCAGCATACTCTTCGATCCATCTCAAGATCCTTTCAACAATAATAAGGATGATTATAGTTTCTAAAACTCGACGTATCAAGTGTCATCAAATCTTGAAAGAAAGTGGCTAAGTACCTTTCCTTGAGGTAGGTTGTGTTGGCGAAGTTAATGGGAGCTTCGACGCTTAAGATGAGAAATCCAGGCACTTTGACAGCATCCTTGTACTGGTGAATACTACGGTAAATATCTGTTCTTGGAATATTCCCCAACATCACAGTTTTAGGCCTGGTGATTTGCAGCAAGACCTTGAAAATAGATATCCCTACCTGATGATAATAAACATATTTGGTGAGAAGTAGAACAGAATTGAGTCATTTGGCAATGGATACTTTTGAGATGTTGAAAAACTTTCACTTACTGCAATAGCGAGACCGCCCTGAACAGAGATAAACAGAACTCCCAAGAAAGCGCAAAGAAGTACGATGAAATCAAATTTGTCAATCTTCCAAATTTGATAAGCAGCAGGGATATCGATCAGGCCAACAACTGCAGTCACGATAATCGCTCCCAATACAACATTTGGAGTGTATTGGAAAAGAGGCATTAGTAACATGAGAGTGACCATGACAGTTATGGCCATTACAATGTTGGAAACTGCTGTTTTACAGCCAGCATTGTGATTCACTGCAGACCTGGAGAAAGCGCCTGTAAAGCATGCACGGATTGAATCATTTGATTTCAACTCTTGAAAAATACAGCAAAAAAGATCTGCGACTAGCAAAACAGTAGGCTGTGACACTGTACCTGTTGTGACATAGCACGATGTACAAGAGCCGACGATGTTCATTAGGCCAATTGCAATCATCTCCTTGTTTCCATCGACTTGATAGTTCTTTAAAGCTGCAAAAGTTCTTCCAACTGCAATGCCTTCCTGTGTAATTTAATCCCAACATAAACTCAAGAAGGCTTCTTCATGGTTACAACTTAGTGAATCCAAGAAAGTACTATATGGTTTGAATGAAGAAAACTTACAGTAAGTGAAATAATGCCAGTAATCAATCCAGTTTTCATTACCAATCCCAAGTGACTTCCATTAAAACGCAACATGTTCCACGAAAGAGGATTTAGCCCCACTGGCAATTTCCCAATCTGGTACATCAACCATATCAATAAGATTAGCTACAAGACATATGTAGTATTTTCATAGTGAATTTGTGTAGTATTTACATGTTTCACTATAAATGACTAGTTATTTTATCGTGATTTTGTCTTTTCATCAATGTCACATTGTTCCAAGGTCATTGAGTTTCCATCACTCGCGGAGATAATTAATTGACGATCTGAAAAGGGAACTTACAACACTGATGCCATGATTTTCAGCTTTCACTAAAAACACTATGAGAGTTGCAAGTATAACTGAGACAAGAGGTGCTCCAGCTGACACCCAAAATACCCTTGGCTTTTTAATACTCTGCAAAAGGAGAATCAATTAATAATCATTTTTCAAAGATTTTAATTACAAATTAGAATTTAATTAATTAAAGTTTGGAAAAGTGGTACAAGCAAAAAACAGGTACAGATTCCAGATAGGAAGACTTGTACCAGCTGAAATATCTTTTACCGATTAAGCAAGATCTAACCCAATAAAGCTATTTTAGTACTTTTGGACTACCACTTTAAACTTAGTTTAAAGCTATTTTGTTTGTTTCAATTTTTTTTTATGGTATTTTTAAATTAATATATTAATAACTGTCCCATCCTAGCATATTTTTTTCTACATTTTCAATACGCCTTTTTACATCATCAATACAAAAAACACCTAAAAACACACACTAAAAAAACGAAACAAGCATAAAACTTGATGTCACATGTTCTTCATCTGAAACGCCTGCCATCTTTTGTGACAAAAATTAAAATTTTGTGAAAATGAGTATATTAATATGGAGGAGAAAAATATCACGTACAATATGTCTGGTCAGGAGAAGGAAAACCAGGAAGCAGACGCCCATTAAGATTGTTTGCCATGACCACTGCAAAATGAACCAAAAAAAAATAAAGAGGCCAATTAATTAGATCGCAAAATCACAAAGGAATAATCTTTGATTATGACAATTCACACAAAAGAGAAAAAAAATAAAATAAAATAATGGAAGATTCAGAATTTCGTTAGGTTCTTTTTTCTAGTGACCAATTTCTTTGGAAGTGAACGATTATGATTAGTTAGCAAAAAAAGCCTGGAGCGGCACCCCACCAATTATTATTTGCCTTTTAGCATTATGGATGCTAAAGTAACAAAACTTTAAAAAAAAACTCAACACGTTATAAGTCAATTTGCTTAATGGCAGGGGTACTATGTTGGAATAACTTCTGCACCATCACAAATTTATTTAAATAAAAAAAAAATGTCACTCACAAAGTGGACGTATTACCATCGAAAAAATCAAAAATTAATTTTTCTTTTTTTAAAAAAAAAAGAATTATTCAAATAGTTAATAATTTGGAAAATGCTTGAAGCATACACCCTAACTACGTAATACTGCTACCCCAAAAAGAAAAGACAAGTTTGCGCAAGCAATAGTTTATAAATTCCAACCCAATATTTTGTCTACTATAAAATGCAATAATAATCAAGATTATTTTGGATAAAAGTAATATACTAGTAGAATAAGATGGACTGACCTCTCTGGTCTCATGGAAAACCGAGCTCAAAACAGGAACTAAGCCCATTTGTTTTGTGAAATGTGTAATACCAAGAAGACTCTTTAATTGTTGCAGGGAAACAATAATAGCCGCACCAGCCATGAATCCAATCAGTGTGGCCTTGGACAGGAAGTCAATAATGAATCCCAATCTGCAAAAATTAAAAAACATGATTTACATATTCTCATACTATTTAAAAGAAACTTTTTCATTTTCTTTTGCTTCTTTCTCTTTTTTTAAAAAATGGCTAAATAACATATTACAACTTCTTCTAATATGATTTTGATACTGGCTGGCTGTCGACTTAACGTAACCCTAAGATTAGACTTTGGAACCGACAAGTACGAGTCCGGAAACTTGTAGGGGGCGGAGTTTTTTGGCAAAAGGACAAAGAAAACGGAAAAAGGTGATGCCATGATGAAAAAAGAAATTAAAATATGTACCGCAGTATGCCAAGAGAAGACTGGATAAGACCAGCAAAGAAAGTTGAAGTAAGAGCAAGTTGAAGAAACAAGATAGGATCTTTAGCCGGATTAACTTCTTGTCTCAGCATTGAGCCCATAATCAGTGAAGCAATCGAAACTGGTCCAACTGCTAGATCTCTTGAGCTCCCCAACACAGCATATATTAACGGAGGAACAAAACTCGAATCTACAAAAAAAAACCACCAACAAAAATAGTCAATACCATTTCGCTAACAACAACATGCAAAACTCATAACTATGTTAAGTACTTACAGAGGCCGATGATTGGAGGTAAGTTAGCCAACTTGGCATAGCTGATTCCCTGAGGAATGGCTAAGCTGGCAATGGTGAGACCGGAGACTATATCGGATTTGAAGAGCTGAAAGCTATAGTTAGGACCCCATTGGAAGATAGGGAAGATGTACTGAATAGCAAGTGAGAACTTGGTGTTTGGTGGTTTGCCTTTGAATTGGCGGAAAGGGTCATCAGGGAAGAATGTTTCTTTGAGCCTGTTCTTGAGTTTGTGGAGGGAGCTGGTGTAAGGCGGTGGAACAACCTGGTGTAACTCCATGGGAGTATTCATTTCCAAGCATTGTTGATGATGATGATGTTGGGAAGAATCAAAATTGCTCATGTTATTTTTTGATTGGCAAATTTGGCACTATCTGTTGTTGTTTGTTGTGTTTTTTGAGAGATTTCGGTGAATGGAGGAAAACGTAGAGGAAAAATGTGTCCCTATTTATTGGTAACGTTTTAGTGAGTCTATTGCCTATTGGGACTTGGGAGGTGTAGGCAACTTGGCAAACCCCACAAGTCAATCAACTTTCAACATGGCGTCTACTAGTAAATTAGAACTTGACCATTCGATGACTCCACGGAGAAGAAAACAGGGATTTTTATTGTTTTATTAATATATATTCGATATCCAAAATTATCCGAAATAAATAACTTTTAAGGCAGAACTCTCTTCTTGTTGAAGGAATTTGGTTGCTTATTAACTGTTTTTTCACTTCTTTTGCTATGTCTGTTACGGAGATTACATCGTTGTTTATTAATTGAGTAATGATTATTTCAGAAAACAATTATTAGGAAAACATACAAGAAATGAATCATAACCGGACACATAAATTTATGCATTTAAGAGTTAAGGAATGTAGTTAAGATTCAACCACATCATTTCCTATTAAAATTTTCGTTAAATTTTTTTTGTATGTATCACTAATATTTAGTGTGTTACGTTCTGCCTTTTTTTAAAAGATTTTTTTTTTTTTGAAAAAATAAAACTTATGTATGCTAATGTTAAATTCGAACCCTTATCTTATAATTAAAATATAAAAAAAATTTAAAAAAACTGATGCATGCTAATGTTGAATTCGAACCCTTATCTTATAATTAAACTGGATCAATATATTTACTCGTTAGCACGTCCACTAAATATTTGTTGGTAGAGAAAACGGGACTTGGTGATTAATACCGGTGAGTCATACCAGATAGCCTAATGTCAGCATCACTGGTATAATATGTCTGTATCAGCTCAGCACATACCGAATCCTATCTTGGAAAGCCAAAATACAACACTCAACTCGAATTTGTAATCCCGGATGGAGTAAAATGACCCAATATGGTTTATCTGATATGTAAATGTAGTCGGTTACTTATGATCACATGTGGAGGAAAAGTGACTTGGACAAAAAAAGAAAACATTTCAAATGTAAAAGTCTTCTTAATAAATTTTCTAACTAATCAGTATTTGTCATTTACTACCATGATGGTACGCAGTAGTAGTAGTATAGGAAGAATATGACAATGAGAGAAGATTGAATGTTGTGGACACACAAGAAAAGAAAGTATTTGTATTTCTCTGTCCCAAAATTATTATCCAAATTTCATTTTCAGTACAATTTAAACTAGAAATGAAAACTCAAACTGGACAATCATTATTGGACGGAGGGAGTATTAGTTTTTGACTCGCTCTTTCAATTTTCAACTATTATTCTTATTTCATGCACTATAACATTCATCGCGATTTAATAAGACAAGAATAGAGCTTTTCATTAAAAAAAAAAGAAAAAAGAAGAAGAAGTTTAATTCGATATGTTACATAGATGGAGAAAGTATAAATTCTTTAAAACTAGCAAGCGTACACTCAAGCTATTTATGAAACCAGATTTTGAATGATTCCTCCAATCATCCAATTCCATTTTGGCTTCTTCTCTGTTTCTGGGGAGGAGGAATTTAGCCATTTGCGTTTGATAAGTAGTATAATCAAGCCGACTTTCAGAATTTTAGAAAGCTCGATTTCAAAATTTTGTTAAGATGAATCAGTTCATAACACAAAAATAAAAAATAAAAAAATAAAAAAAATTTGTGAGAAGTTGATTTGTTCTACGTGCCAAAACAGATACTTTTAGGAGGAACCAAATGTTGAGACCTTTTGCCAAAGCCTCAATTATCTAAATTAATGGGCTAATATGTCACACCGAATCACCGATGTTCTTAATAGTGGTACCAAATCAGAAAAAATAAATAAAAATTGGTTAATCGCTTTTTGTTTGTAGTAATTATTACTTTCTTTTGATCTGAAAGAACTCTTTACCGGTACGTACACTATTATAGTACTCCTCCCCTTTACTGCGTCAGCTGATTTATTATGCAGTAAAGTTTTTTATTTATTTGTCAAAAATAAAGAAGTTTTCATGTGAATGTAGGCAAAGAATCCATCTCAGAACATTCACAATCTTTTCTTCATCATTAATGTAAAGGTGCACTTCTCTAAGCCGGTTATGAAATTCATGCATCATAAATGAAATAGTCCAGCCACAATACTTTTCCCCGTTTACAAGAAGAGCCATAAGTATATTTATAGTATTCTAATACTACTACTACTATTTTATTTCAAAAAACATGATTGAAAAAAAGACATGGAGAAACTACTACTCTCTCCGTTCCAAAATAAGTGTCGTTTTAGTAAAATGAAAAAATTTCAAAATAATTATCGTTCTCACATTTCAATGTATTTTTTGTCCAAAATTTTCAAAATTATCCTCAAAAGAATTAATACTATTAGTGGACATTTTTTTAATGGACTTAGTTGAGGATATTCAAGTAATTTTATTACTTTATTTACGAATTTTTTAAACTATGTGCAAAGTGTAGGATAACACTAAATTTGGAAAGGAGGGAATACTTTTCTTTTTTTTTTCTTTTTTTTTTTTTTGGTACAAAGACATGATAGTGCTAAGTTGATCGATTGATGATCTTTTGGCCCTAACTAAAGTCGGTTATATGTGGCGATTGGTGCTAAACAAGTTGACTAAGCCTTTAAGGACCTTATCAGCAATTTTGTTGTCACTTGTCACATATGGCCTCTTATTACCATTCACTTTGACACAATGTTGTTGGAATTGAAACGAATCCGAGAAATTAACATTATTAAAGTTGATTACCTGTTAATTGTGATAAAGTAGAATCACAAGCTTTACATAAGTGGTAAGTGATGTATATTTTATCACCTTCACTAAATTAATGTAAATGGGAATTCTTCTGAATGAATACTTTGCTTATATCCGAATTAAGATTGAAATTTTTACTTCTTATTACAACCGAGAAAAATTTGCAAATAAGTGTGCACTCTTCAAAATATCCATCGTATTTTAAAACGGTAGAAACAAACCAGACATTAATTCGAGCAATAGTGCACGGACGTAGGAAAATTTCTTGATTAGCTATCATTTCCCCAATATAAACAGTTTTTTTTTTTTTTTTCCTTTTTGTGAACTCCTTTAAGGTGGTAGTATTTATTTAGAATTTAAATTTGAGAACATGCCAAGAGCTAGGGTACAACTTACTGTATATTAGTTGTTAGTTGTAGTTTACAATAAGGCCTATAGCTATAATTTGTTTGTCCAGATATTACCACATGAGTATGGACCCTTTGGTGTCCTGAATTTATGTGGAATAATGGACCCTCACTTTACTTTTGAATTTCAATTTGGCAGTATTACAGTCACCTTGCATCGCGAATTATGTATGCATCAAGTTCCGATAGCCATTCGTGTTGTGATGAGTATTCACTCTTCCGGCTGAGGAGAGTTGCTGAAGCTTAGACGTGTATGCCTCATATATAGGCTGATTTTTTTTTCCTTAATAGATGTAGGTGTTACACGTACCACTTATCGTTAAATTTCTTACAACCGTACAATATTTATTGAATTAAAATAGTATATCGGATGAAATAAATTATCATAAAATAGATGAAGTACGAAATTAGATACTGTTTCAGTTCTATTTATCCTAGTTATTAGTTAATATTAGAATTCACTACAAAAAATTCAATTAAACAAAAAAAAAAGTAAAAAGATACGCTTGTCAATTCATGAATCGTTCTGTATATCTTTCCTGTTTAGGCAACAAAAGATGCATCATATCATTGTTCTTGCCCATTACAACTTGACTATAGGCTCTCAAGCTAGGGCCTATGTACATATATTCGGTTTTTCCCATTTGATCACAAAATAAATGGATTAGATTCAACAGATATATAGTACCCCAAAGGATACATGGAATGTGTATCACGGAAAAGTAGAGTAGAACGAATCCAAAGGGATCAAATTCAAAGGTAAAAAAGCAATCATCACTTTAGTTCAAGTTCTGACAGAAAGAAATAAAGAAAGAAGAATCGAATGTAAGACAAAAACAAAAGGTAGGAAAAAAAAAGAGGGAGAGATCAATGAATGGAGAAGATAATCTCTTATAGAGATTATGATTCTAATTTGTGCATATATTGGGTAGGCATATCTATCTTCATCGATCGCGCACTTGCATGATCAATCATAACCACCCGAACGTAAGGTCCCCTAAAAGGCCCGCCGTCTTTGGTTCTTCTCCACTCAACTTTCATTCTATCTCACTTAATTGCATGATTGTCCATGCAATATGCTTCCTTGTTTTTGCTTTCGGTTCCTAACCCTAAGTTTCTTGTCATTTTGATTTGTTGAGGTTTCTTATCATTTTGATTTGGTTTTGGAAGAGATAACATGCGAACACGTGTTACCATGATCGATGCTACTAAAACTGTCCATGTATAGTAAGCAATAAAAATATAAATATGAGATAAGGGTATTATTCGAATCAGTCTATTAACGATATCTATGTATAGTTTTGATTTTTGTCTCGTGTATCATTCTCAAGAATACTTTTTGTTCTGCACAACAAATATAGTGTGTATATCGGTTTTATGGCTTACAAAATGTTTGAGGTCAATTCAAATGGTCGGACTTGAGAAAGGGAAGAAAGGAAAAAAATTTAATTAAAAAAAAAAGGAGAAGGAAAAAAAGAACCCAAAAGACGTGGTCGGCAGGATTCGAACCTGCGCGGGCAAAGCCCACATGATTTCTAGTCATGCCCGATAACCACTCCGGCACGACCACCTATTTGCTAAAAGAACAAATAATCATTATATTTTATCTTTACGCATAACATTGTGGGAATCAGGAATCTGTACGCATCTTTCGTATCTTGGGAAGACATATGGAAGAAGATTCTGTAGGAGCACTTTAGTCACATCTGAGAGATAAAGTAACAATTATATAATAAAGTTGATGGTTCAACTAAAGTCTGAAAAAACGAAAACCACGAAACTTTTTATTTAATGGCAAAACTTCAAATTAAGCTCATCACTCATCAAGTCATCATTCTCTCCATGTCCAAATCCAAGTTACAGTTCAGATATATAAAATGCAACAACAAACGCCCATACTTCAAAAGGGCCATTCCATTTTGTTGATTTATGGTTATCTCTTCCTGCTTTACTCCATTCTCCCCACTGTAGCCTAAATTTGACCATTGGAGACAGGTGTGAATTGGTGAAGGTGACATTTATGGACGTGGGCTGTCGCTACAACTTGTAATCACTGTACTCCATGCGTGCTTACCGGAAACGAAGTCCTATCTACCAATTCACTCTTATGATTTTAAGGTTCAAAATCATCAATTAAAATATTGTTTAAAACACTGTCGGAGATTATCATTTCGATAAAATCATGATCTAACTCACGGTCTAACACTAACAAACGCATTGATTTGCTAGGCGTTTTGAACTGTAACCCGCTAATAATAACTTCAATTAATTAGTTACTCCCTCCGTTCTAAAGTTATTTTCCAGTTTGATATTTTATTTTTAGTACAATTTGAACTAAAAATAAAAATTTAAACTGGACACTAATTTCGGAACGGAAGGAGTACAATTTAGAAAAAATTCACCAACGCACATACCTAGTGAGAAGCAGTAATTTGTTTAATTAGTTGCAGAACATATATATTGGAGATATAAGATTCACTTCACCTTTTTTTTTAAAGCACATACACACCAACATGCGATGGTCCTAAGATTTACCAACTTTTAGGTTTCCATTTGTTTGGACTACATATAGTTCCTAGTGGTGGTCGGCTACAAGTCACATTCTATGTAGCATTGGCACAAAAAAGATGATCGAAACCTATAAAAAAAAAAGCCGATTTGCTTCGAAAAAAGTGGTCGTAGGATTTGCAAACATGTTTTTTTTTTTTCCTTTTTTTTTAATCAAGTTGAAATAGATAAACGATCGACCTTTTTTTTTTTTTTTTGTTGCTAGATCACGTAATGATGTAAGCCAAATTCAGTGGTGGAAAGAGGAAAGAAGAATATTATGGCTCGCTCTGTTGAACCACGTTTTGTAAGGACAATGTTGTTTGGTTTTCTTTGAAGTTTTGAAGTCAGCTTCTCTTGAGTGGATGTCAATTTCGATCCCACATAACTACTATTTTACGGGAACTTCCTTCACCTTTTAATCTTCCTTGCCATAATGATTTTGGCTTTGTACTTACGTGTTTCTTTAATTTTCCTTACATTTTCATTAATGGTTTTTTTTTTTTAGTGGATGAGCAAAATTTATTATACTTTTTGGTTCGTCGATCCATATCATTAGGCCGAAGCTAGCTTTCCAAATTTGTGGCTAATCATGATCTCAAAATTGGAATCAAGTGCATGCGTGAATGTACATGTACATTTTCCTTGAAGAATTAAAGGGATGAAAATGCCTGGCATGGCATGGCATACTAATTTGGTGGTTCAGATGAACGTTGACATAAACCGAAAGATAGATGTGAATGTTAGTCCCACCCTGGTCATGTAAAACTTAATTAGCATAATAAACGTGACAATTATTTAAAAAAATAATAATAATAAAATTCATGCATACACCTTTTGATTGACTTGTCCTCCCATCATGACCACATCGATCGATCACTACTGTATTAATTCTTGGACTAGGTAAATATTTCTTCCATTCCAATATAAAATATTTTGATTTGTCCTAAGTTTCACATAGTATGCATTTCTAATGAAAAAAAACTTTAAAATTATATTTTCACTTTCGTTGTATTTTTTTTCATTGTTAGGAAATATTTTTAAAGGTTTCTTTGTTAATTAAAAATACGTATTAGGTGAAACCTAAGACCAATCAAAATATTTTATATTAAAGATCCGAAGAAATGTTTATTATTAACCAACTGGTATGGGATAAGCAATCCTCGACCAAAGTTGGAGGATTGTTTAATTTCTTGTTCTCTCTCTATTTTTATTGTAGTAAGAAATTTCTCCCTTGTGCAAGGGGCTTGTCCCATTTTGAGTCTAGATTACCAAAACATGTTTACAATTTTATTGATGGAGTCTGGATTTTTTTTTTTCTTCTCCTTTTTGGTCGTCTGGGTCTTTTCAGTTTATGTTCTATCTTGCAGTAAACAGTTAATACTGACGAGCTTTCTCGATCTGATGATTTTTTTGGCCATCTTGATGAGAATTGAGATCATAATAATCGCTACAAACTATATATATAAAACGCCAACAACAAGTAAGTGGGTGAATGGATTAAATCATATCGATTAAAGATGTTTATGATCAGAAGATTGGAAGAGAGAGGGGAAGTGTTGGTGAAAAGAAAACTATAATGTGGGAGAACAATTCTGGAAAAAAAACGTAATAAGTTGTTTTGGATGCCAATTATTATTTTGGCGATAATAACACCTTATTTTAAATTCTTTTAACGCTGAAAGATCGTTTTTTTTAGAGATTTGATGATGCGGGTAATTTCCTCCATAATATAAAAGCCTGCAACTTCGAAACTGATGTAAATGCTGAGCTATACCTGGAAACCTTATGTAAAATCTGTACGATCGGAGGCTTTAAATATAAGGTTTACTCGTTTGATGATTTTTTTTTTTTGGGATTCTTAAGGCAGATAATGGAGAAGTTCATCATGCAATCCCCATTTTGTGAAATTCGAAATTGTCGACATTATATTTTGATCTTCACCGACGTGAGTATTATTTGTTTCAATCAAGCTCAGTTGATTTCCGCAAAAATTAATGAAGTATTTTTCCTTAAAAAAAAAAAATTACTCCAACTGATTTTACATGAGCAACAAATATCACAACTATATTAGACTTGTAGGTATGTATTTATTTCTTTTCTTTTCCTTCCCCCTCCTTAATCCTACTCTACTGTAGGTGTTTTGACTGGTCTTGATAATTCCTTGCTAGTTGCCAAAACTAAAGATCATGTTGGTAGAATTGTATATTGTTCTTTTTTCTTACTTATTCCACCAATCTTATACTGATGATGTTTAATTCAACAAAATAATTTATTTTCTTTTCAATATAAGATAGATGGAATAAATTTTCAAAGTCCTGAGGTTGTCTGTGTTATGTCTTGACAATGTCCGCCAAAATCCTTTTTTCAATTAAGCTAGCTGATTTTCAACAAATTTAATAAAATTATATTCCTAATAGAATGATAAATTTTTTAAGCGAAATTGTTCCATGGATACAAAATGTATAGTTCATAGACGCTTTTTAATCAAATTTTAAAATTTTCCTCGTGTATAGTAGACACTCTTTAAACAATTTCCTTGGTTATAGAGCCTTAAAAACAGCAAAAGAAAGGGGGAAAAATAAAAGAAGAAGAAATCCAGATAGTCATAAATTCTCAGAAAATGTTATCTCAACATCTAAAGCCCAGTTCGGAAAAGTTGTAGGCCCAATTTTGCCCAAAGTCCAAATACCCAGCCCCTTAAACGGTTAAACCATCCTAAAACCCTACACAAACGCCCTAGAACCTTCTACCCTCTTCGATAAAGCTCGTTTTCCGATTGAACTCTCTCTCGTTCCAGAAAGCTCTCAACCCGTTGTCAATCGCATTTCCGATTCCGATACCATGGCCAAGCGTTTGATCCCAACTCTCAACCGAGTTCTCATCGAGAAGCTTGTCCAGCCTGCCAAGACTAATGCTGGAATTCTCCTTCCTGAGAAATCCGCCAAGGTATGTCCTCCGATTACGTTCTCAGCTTCGCTTGGAAAATGTTTCCGATGCTCGATTTTGAGTTTTGAATGTTGATGAATTGGTCCAGGAAGTTCCGTAATTTGGCTGGAAAATCATTAATTTTGTGTTCGTGCTGGGTTTTCTTCTTATTATAATTGTCAAACTTATCGGATTGATGGGATTTCGATTTGGATGCAGCTCAACTCAGGGAAAGTCGTGGCTGTTGGGCCAGGGTTACGCGACAAGTCCGGCAATGCCATCCCTGTTGCCGTGAAGGAGGGAGACACTGTTCTGTTGCCTGAGTACGGTGGTACTCAAGTCAAATTGGGGGAGAAAGAGTAAGTTCTAATAATTTCCTTAGAGAGCTATTCGAATTTAATTTGTTTTTCTTCTTTTACTTCTATGTGATCTGTATTCCAAAATTGTGTGTTCTTGTTGGCTTGTTTTCTGCAGGTTCCACTTGTATAGGGATGAGGACATCTTGGGTATTCTTCACGACTGATCATTTATGCGGGATAAATAGATGTTTAGGGTTCTGTTTTTTTGCTACGATTGTTCCTAGCGTAACTCTCTAAGACGTTTTTACCTGGATTTTCATTCTAATCTTGGAGATCACAGACTAATCCTGGATGCATTATGCCTTTTGTCTTAATATGATTGATATTATGATTTATGTGGTTTATCAAAGTTAAGAATTAATTGTGAAATGTCTTGTTTCATTTTGTCTTATTGATTTCCAGTTGATGATGCTCCTACAACCTTGCATGACCCATCATTGATATATTGTATTCAAAGCAATCACGTATTCTTGTTTCTCAGAATTGCATGTTTTTCTAGGATATCAACAATCGGTTTAGTATTGACCACGGCTAGTTACTTTTCTGGGTTTTGGTTATGTTATATGTTGTTCAAAATGGATGTTGAGGTTTAAGACACAAACGGGTAGAAGCACCCCCCAGGTGGTGAACCATAGCTGAGCTTTGGCACTTGCCTGACTTGATTAATCCTTGGGGGGAATACTGTTGTTGCCTTGGTGCGAATCCTAATGTGCTACTAGTGTTTTGGATGACTTCTAGGACTTTAATGGGTGGATTAGAACTTCCCTACGAACCCACGGTTGACCAATTGAGCCAAGAATTCAGAGCTTGGTAGTTGTTTTATCTTAGTTTATGCCTTCCATGGTTTCAAAATCAATTATGGTTTTCAATGTATTGTGTGGGTGAGGCATTTGGCATGGTAAACTCTTGTCTTATAATTCTTAAAGTTTGATTTCTCTTCCTGTTCTGTATCAAGATGTGCCTTTGTGAGGGGTGGATAATGAATTGATAAATAAATTGGCTTCCACATATATGTTACTAGTTCTGGAAACGGAGGTTAATGGAGGTGTTTTTGATCTCAAATTTCATGTAAGAAGGGAGTATTGAAGAAGAAAGAAATCTGAGGATTTTATATCGTTACTCCCTTGTTGTAGTAGGTCCGGAGATAGATCCAAATGTTTACAAGGTACCGAAATAGTCAATTTGGTTTCACTGCTTTGTTATTGAACCTCTGATTTCCAATCAGGGATTTAGAGTCAGCTCTGGTTGGGGTCTTTTTGAAGTAGTAGTACTTGGTGCACTGCGTCTTAAATAGTGAAGGTTGATTTCTTTCTCTGTTCTCTATCAAGATGTGGCTTCTTGAGGATAAGTGAGAACTGAGAAGTATGATCTCCTTCAACCAAGGCTCATCAGAGACAAGAATGTACGGGGTTGAGAAGTTTGTTTCTGACTATGTTACATGCTATATAGTTTTTGGAATAGGAGTTAACGGGGTGGGGAGTATGTATAAGGCTATCATGCCGGCGTAGATCAGGTGTAAACTATAAAGAGGAGTAATGTGCATCGTTGATCTCTAGTTTTTCTTACCGAAGGAAAACTCCAATCATGAAGAAGATGGCATCATAAAATTGTTGAGGATTGTACTTTGCGGGAATGGTATATGAGTCTGTTCTATATCACGTCACAGGCGATCCTTGTTACCCTATTGGCAAGCCTTTTCTAGGGAGAATGAAATTTGAGCCATGGATGACTCTTATTTTACTTTCAGTGCTGCTAAATTTTGATTTTTAAATTTTTGAGTATCTTCGTCACTATCTCTGAAAAGGAATAGCTAAACACTACTCTGGTCAAATTTTGATTAACAAGCAGGAAAAATAGTAATCATAAAATAGGCTTGTTAGCTTCCCATATGGAAATATAAACAGCTGAGATTACGCAAATGAGTCACGCTTGTGTGACTAACGATTGCCCAGATGTGAACTTATTTCTAGAATAATAGAACATGGATCACTGAGTCATAGATACTCTCTAATGCGATCAAATCTGTAGTCAGACAGAGATCAATGTTAAATTGGTGTGACAAACTATCTCTAAAAGTTTGTTAGATTTTTGTGCGTATTAAAATGATTTTATTGTTCAATGGAATGTCAAATTTAGGGGTAAAAGTGGTTAAGCCCACTGGATTGTTGACAACTTTGCAACAACAACAATTTCACAAACAATAGTGAATTTTTATACTTGTAGTATCATTAGTGCTACTCAGTACCCGTCTCAGACAAGATTGGTGATGGTCATGTTCGTGTAATAACTATAGTTAATTTTATAAGAAGACGGCAACTGTTATGTTTAGTCAAGTGACTGCAAATCACGTCCCAAAAAAAGAATGTTTCCATGTTATCCGATTCCCAGAACCTCCTCCAAAAGAAAACGGAAACACAAAAAGCAGAGAAAAAGGGAAAAAAACAAAGTTATTTGTTTTAGAAATTGTAAGAAATGGATGGCCAAATTGGAGTCGTGATCAAGATTGAGGAACAGGGCAAACGGATGAATTAGGAGCTTAAAGACACAACTGACAACACCTTTTCCCTCCTTAATCATAACTATAGATAAAGTAAGCCCCCTTTTCACATCTAATAATCACTGCAACTATATAAACTTCCGCCACGGGCGTATTTTCTCATGAAAGAAACTAATCTTAATCTAAATCACAACACAAAACTACGCACATTATGCACAAAAACAAAATATATTACTATTGTTATTAACTTAACTTTCACATCGTCGTGATGAATTACGTATTGATGATAAACACATAATTCATCCAAAAAAAAAAAAAAGATTTTAAAGTGAGAATTCTGAATTCCCTCTAATTTTAGAACACAAGGCACCTTATTATGCTCCAAGTACTACTAGAAGCATTGCATCAAAATTTTGATTTGACTTGAAAAAAGATTCGTTGCTTCTAAAAATAGACTGAAACCCTAAAAAAGTTGCACCAAAATTCGTTGCCTCCATAAACAAAAACACACAGCAGGGCAACTCTTCATCCTGAATATTTTCAGTTGTGTTGTAAAGTAAAATTAAACAGAAGATAAAGTTAAATAACAATAATGAATAAATAAATAATAAATAAATCCACGTCTCATCCCATCCCCCAACAATAAAACATTACGCACACCAATCTCCCTCTTCACCTTCATCATCATCATCCTTCTGTCAGTGTTCCACCCCAGCACGTGCCTTCTTTCCTTACATCACATTACCTCACCTTCCCAAGTCACGTGCGCCTTCCTCCATTGTTGCAAGGAAAAAATTAGAGCATTGAGGAGAGAATTTTGGTTTTCCTTTCTCCCAGATTATATCAAGAAGGAAAAAAAGTTGATGAAAGTTTTGAATTTTTGATTTCCATTAAGGAAATTTTGGTGGGTTATGATGTGAAGGGGGGTCAAGGGGGCGAGATGCACGCAAAAATACGGATCCCAAGTAGCGGACACAACAGCCCATCACCGCCGCAATCCCCGCTTTCCCGCTCGCCCCGCCTCCGACGTAAACAGGGCCGCTTCACTCCGTCGGGTCAACCCGGTGCCCGAACTTTTGCCCAGCGTGTTGCCTGGCTCATCCTCTCAGTTCTTCTCCGTAGGCAGGGCGTCTTCCTCTTTGCCCCATTGCTCTACATCTCCGGGATGCTCTTTTACATGGGTACGGTGTCGTTTGATGTAGTCCCAGTCATCCCCCATCGGGCCGCCCCTGGCTCCGTTTACCGGAGTAACCAAATTTATGAGAAACTCAAAGCCGAAATTCAATCCGATAACTCTTCAGCTGATGCGGTTAGTTGGCTGAAATTCGAATGCAGTTTTGTTTTGGGATCTCCGCCTTCATCCAGATGTTGTTGAATTTTACTTCATTTTATGTGTATTTTCACTTGTTCAGTCTTTGTGTGTGTGGTAATTCGGGTTTCGGGGTTGCTTAGGATGAGAATGTGGGTATATATCGATTGCAATTGATGCGGACATTGAGAGTGTTTTTTTGGTTGATCTCTGATGGGCTTGGTTCTTGCTGCCACAGTTCCGAGTAATTTGTCAAAGTAGTGTGACACTGTCACATTTTTTGTGGTAACTTAATTTGGCAATGAATTATTTCTTTCGTGTATGGATTTTGAATGTGCACTGGAAGTTTAGAACTTCCTAAGGAATTAGGAGACTGGAATTCTTTTTGAATTTTATGCTAGAAGCATTATTGGTAGATCTGGAATCTCACAATGTTAAAGAAAGAATCTTGCTGGAAATTGTTATAAATTTGATTCTCCATGGAGTAGTCATATTTGTGATCAGTCTGAATTCCTTTACTTATATGAGAACACAATTTAGAGCAAACCGCTGATTTATAATGTGATGGAATCCTTACATTTATGGCTGATGCCGGGACTTATGGGACTTAGTAAAGCTACTCAGACATTGTTTATGTTTTAGATATTGATACCTTGTGAGCCGGATAACAGTGAAGCTGATTCATTTGATGGTATAGGCACATTAATCTTTGGTTTTTGAATATATTGTTCCAAAGGGCAATGTAAGTTCAGATTTTCTATGACTAGGGTTTGTACCCTTCGTACATTTTACAATATATACACTTTTATGTTATTGCCTTGGTCAAAATATTTAGCTGATCCGATTTTGGCTTGGCAGTTTAGTTGTAATAATTCTTGTGGATGAACGTAGGTTAATATGTTATGTTATGCTTTGGAAAGAAAGTATTTGATTTGGTGAAATAGTTCACTAGGCAGTTGCCGTAAACCTGGACAAGGAAAGTGGCAGTTTAAGCGGCATGTTAGGTAAATAGATCATGGCACTTGCAGGAGGAACAGCTTGCTCTTATCCAGTCCCATTAAGGACCAGTGAAATTGGTGTTAGTTTCTTCATGTTGAAGTAGTGCGTTAAAGATTTGAGACAGTTATATGCTTATGATATGAATGTTTTGAGAATTTTCTTGTTGGTGTTGTTGTCATGTTGAGCACTTATTCATAGTTGCCATGTGCTCTTCATCTATATTGAAGCATGCATAAACACATCTCTTGAAGTAATATGAATAGCCAGCAATATCATCTTCTTTATGCCCGTTGACTCGTCTTTTGCAGATAGCTTTATTGCATTTATCTGGATTGGGATGTTAAGTCTTTCAACTGTCCTCTATGATAAACTCGTAGCATTAGGAACTGCGGTTGAGATGTGGCAAGCATTTCTATCATGCCAAATTGGTTTCTTATTTTTTTTGAAAATTTTCTTGCAGATATCAACAATTTGGAAGCATTCTTATAAAGGTGGTGAGTGGAAATCATGCATAAGCACATCTTCTGAAGGTAAGATATACAGCCAGCAGTATCATCTTCTTTATGTTAAGTTCATTTTACCCTTTTTACACAGTAATAAAAGAAGTTACTTCAAGTATTTATGGTTTTGGCTTGTAATGTGCAGGAGTGAGTAGTATAGCTTAAAGTACCATCTGGTTCTAGTTTTCTTGACTTTAATCTTCAGGTTGTTGATTGGATAAACATAAACAAAGCCTTTGCTTTATTCTCTCGAGTCTTGTGTGTGCAACTCAGTTTAATTTACTATCTTCTCACGCGCGATCTTCTCTTCCCCGTATTATTGGTTAACTATTGTAATCTGATAGGCTCTATCATTCGTAGATTTGCCTGAGTCAAATGGATACATTTATATTGAGGCCAATGGTGGTTTGAACCAACAGAGAGGATCGGTAATTTCAAAATCTTTTCAATATTCAGTCTTCTGACTCTTCCCATTTCAATTCACGCCTTCTTATTGCAAGACGAGCCCCTTAACTCCTAGGTTCTGATTTATGCTTTCAGATTTGCAATGCTGTTGCAGTCGCTGGGTATCTTAATGCGACTCTTGTAATTCCACACTTTCACTTCCATAGTATTTGGAGAGATCCCAGGTGGGTACAAATAAAAGTTCTTTTGCTTCAATATTTGGTGGAAATGTGTTGAAAATTAAAAAAAATCCCTTCATGGGTGTCGTTAGTCTGTGTGAAAACCATGCATAATCAGGATTTCTTTTTCAGTATGAGCTATTTCTTTCATTGGTATTCCAGTGTTGCTTGGTTACTGTTAGTTCACGTGTGTACATTACAGATCCACTTTTCTGATGTGGGTTTTTACATATGCAGCAAGTTTGGGGAAATTTTTGATCAAGACTATTTTATTAAGACACTTGGAAATGATGTCCGAATTGTGGATACAATTCCTGAGTATATAATGGAAAGGTTCGACTTCAACATGAGCAATGTGTTCAATTTTAGAATAAAGGCATGGTCCTCAATCCAATACTACAAAGATAATGTCCTGCCAAAGCTACTCGAAGAAAAGTGAGTTACCACGCTTTCTGTATTCTCTTGATCATTCATGTTTCACTGTCAGTTGGTCTTTCTCAAAGATGATTATCATGTTATCTACTAGTTTTGTGGTCTCTTCTAAATAATTTCATAAATTTCTTCTTATGAGGTGGATCTCTGCTGGTATCAATAGATTAGTTATAATTGGGATGCCGGGCTAAACCATTTGGACAATTTCAGGTTTTTTTTTTTTTTTGTTTTGTTTTTTTTAATCAAAAAAGCCAAAAGAGCTTCCTGGTCCTTTTCCTAGGTTTTTCTTTTCAAAACTGTATCTGTTGTAAGTTTCCTGATTTCCTTGACTGGTATATCATTCTGATGTGGAAGAAATTACTTTGATTGCATGCCATAACCTACTTCTCAGCTGTGTTTTGAAATCAATAACATGTTTCTTTCATCGTGTTGATCACGTTTTTATTAATTCAGGATCATAAGGATTTCTCCATTTGCAAATCGATTGTCATTTGATGCTCCTCCTGCAGTCCAACGCCTTAGGTGTCTGGCAAACTATCAGGCATTAAGATTTTCTCCTCCTATTTTAAGCATGGCTGAAACTTTGGTTGCGAGAATGAGAGAACGCAGTTTAAGCAATGGTGGAAAATATATTTCTGTGCATCTTCGCTTTGAGGAGGTTGGTATTACTATCCGGGACTTCTTTTCTTCTTATTTTCGGAGGCATAAATAAACTTTGAAATTTTTGATGGGCATTAGTTATTTCCTGCAGGATATGGTTGCCTTTTCTTGTTGTGTATATGATGGCGGGGAAAGTGAGAAAAGGGACATGGATGCTGCTAGGGAGAGAGGTTGGAAAGGAAAGTTTACAAAACCTGGTAGAGTAATCAGTCCCGGAGCAATCAGGCTTAACGGAAAGTGTCCCTTGACTCCTTTAGAGGTACTAGCTTTGCCTTGCTCAGTATATTTTTTATTTTTCCTTGAATCATAAAATCTTCTTCTTGGAATAGTTTCTTTTCTATATTTATGTTACTGGTTTTTATGTGACTGGTAAACCTTCAATTTCTCGGTTCTAAACCTGGGATAAGGAGGAGGATTGCTTTAGGTTGACAGCATAAAACTTCTCATAGATATGGATCATATAAGAGATCGTGCTAATAGTAAAACACGATGGCAACGCGTGATCCATAGAACCGATCCAACTTAGGAGGATAAATCCTAAGTTATCGTTAGTCTTTTTTGAGGATTTAACGTGTTGCCTGTATGAAATTATTCAATGTTACTCTTAATGCACTATTTTCTTTTTTCTATTTATTCTTCTCTCTTTTGTTTGGGTTGTTGTTCATTTCAGATGAATTTTCTTGTGTGTGTTGCTTTGGTGTCAAAGTATCTTGTGTTACTATTAGTTTTAAACTTTTCTGTTCTTATTCAGGTTGGCTTGATGCTACGAGGTATGGGTTTTGATAAAAATACAGCAATATATTTGGCATCTGGAAAGATATATGATTCGGAAAGATATATGGCTCCTCTTCTTGAAATGTTTCCTCTTCTACAAACGAAAGAAATGCTAGCGTCTGCTGAGGAACTTGATTCTTTTCAGGTAAGATTGATTGGTGTATCTTTTCAAATTACTGCCAGCATAGTTGAAGTTGCACTAAATCCAATTTTTGGTTCCAGAATTTCTCTTCCAGGATGGCTGCGATTGACTATACTGTTTGTCTTCATAGTGAAGTATTTGTGACTACCCAAGGTGGAAACTTTCCACATTTTCTTTTGGGTCACAGGAGATTTTTGTATGGTGGACATTCGCGGACAATCAAGCCTGACAAGCGAAAGTTGGCTGTGATATTTGATAATGCCAATATCGGGTACGCTATTGTCATAGCTTGGTTTTCTTCTGGGTCAGACATTTCTGGCATCCTTGAGTGTAGAGTCCACCTTATTTGTTCTTGGTTTGTCAGCAGCACAATAGTTGCTTGGGTTTAAACATACTGACAATTTATCCATGATATCAATCCTTAATTCTATAGTGTTACTTTCAGATGGAGAAGCTTCAAGCGGCAAATGCTGAGCATACGAGCTCACAGTGACTCTAAAGGGATGCAGCTCAAAAGACCAAGTGATTCACCGTATTCATTTCCATGCCCAGATTGCATGTGTCGGTCAAACAAAACAGAAGAGTCAAAGCCAGCATCCGTTACATGAACTCAGACAGGAAAGCCTTTAAGACAGTAAAAGTTTTTAAGGTTTCCTGTAATTTGTGTGCACATTGGCTGCTCCACTGACCCCGCTGTTGCGATTTTGATTCTTTCATTTTTTGCCTCTTGGATTTGGCGAGGACCTAGCTTTGCATTTTTTTTGGAGCTGCGCTAAGGATTGTTGATGACAGATTTGAACTTAGGTTTTACATCCTTAGGCGTAATTGGAGGAGTAATTGCATCTATTTGTACATGATAAATACCAGAAGAGAACCACACAGATTTTGCTAGTGCAGTGAGTTTATCCAGGCATTGACTTTAACATCAATACTTCTTGCAGCTGCTGTATCTAACAAGATGTAGAGTAACTGGAACCTCTTCCTCTCTCGTCGCCGTGTTTGTATCTTTGTACATTAGTAGTTTAGAGGTTAGAATCAGGGTGAACAGTCTATTGTTTGTAAAAGTTGGGTTCCATTTTTCCCTTATGTGGAAGATAAATTATCAGTGACAGGTTGTTTTATAGCTTCAATGTCTCCATTCAACTGTTGTAGCTTCTCTTCGAGTGCGAAGTTTGTAATGTGAGACCTGGAAAGGCACTTTCAGATAGTGTCAGTTTTGATCCTTCACCTTTGGAGTATTTACTTTAGTGGCATTTTTTTAGTAAAAGTTCGGGTAAAAAGTATGGACAACTCAAAATCAAATAAGATTATTATTTTGAGATGACTATATCCGACGGCAATTTGGGGGTTTAATTCATACAATAAGTTAGTAGTTGTCGCTTTTCTTTTTTGCAATTTTAAATGTTAGTTTTTCTTGTAAAAGAAATATTGTTGAAGGTTTGCTTTGCTAAATTACCAATATTTTGAAAGTACGTGTGAGAATAATTTAATTATACTCCTTTCGTCCTAAAAAAAATCAAGACAGGTTTTTGCTAAACTTTTTAGCAAGGTTCAACCGACTTGTTACACCTACTTACTTGGATGAAATTTATGTCATTACTCCAAATGCAATGATGAACCAAATATACATCTCAATTCAAACTTAATCAATTTTGTTTTAAATTTTGGTAATAAAAAAGGTGGCCATGGATAAATATATGCTGGAGTTAATTTTAAATATCAACTAATCTCTTTCGAATTTAGTGATTAATTAATGATAATGGCTAATAAGACAAAACTGAATGATTGACCGTCAACGTAGAAAAGTAAAAATCGCAGTAAAAAAGGGCGCGGAAACGGTAAATAAAAGCACCATATATATAATCGAGCAGAGCCGGTGGATTATACCAACAAGTAAAAACCGATAACAAGTCTTTTGGAAGTTTGATACCTTTCAGAGAGGATTCAACATGGGCGTTCATGGAAACCTCAGTTCAGAGCAACTAGACTTCTTCAAATCTCAAGGTAATTCAGTATTCCCCTCTTGGCCATTTGTTCTTTTGATTAATCTAAACCGCAGATGATGATGATTTATCTGGTTGGTTTTTTTAGGGTACTTGGTGTTGGAATCCTTCTGCAGCCCAGAAGAGATACAATCCATGAGAAATAGGATGGCTGATTTACTTGATGAATTTGACCCTTCAACAACTGCTACAATATTTTCAACCAAAACTCATGTAAGAACTAAGAGCTATTGCAGCATAAGAAAAGTAAAATCAACCCATTAAATTTTTAGTTTTAGTTATCGGTAAAGGTTGGCTACTTGGCTTTTTTCAATTTGTATTCACTTTTTTTTTTTTTTTTTTCTGTTTTTTCAGCAACATGCGACTAATGACTACTTTTTTGAAAGTGCTGAGAAGATTTCATTTTTCTTTGAAGGTATGATATCCTGCTTACTGAGATATCATTACTGTTTGATTTATTTATTTATTATTATTATCTTTTTGTGGGAGGAATGAAAATGAATAATGAGATGGGATAAGCTTGCAATCGAATTCAATGGAGAAACATTTCTAAAGTTTGTAACTTGAGCTTTCCTTGTCATTCCTGTTAGTTGAATAGGTTATGGTTTAGTATTGTCTTGGTCAGTTGCTTTGATGTGTCAGAATAAAGCATTTATGTTGATTAGTGCGATGTTTTTAAGCTATTAATTAAGTTCAGACACCAAAGGGTGAATACTCATTTGTGTGGTATAGCTACGTGTGTAGCAATTATGGATATTGCAAAAAGTATGGTTTTACCCTTTGTTTTGGGATATCAATATAGTAGCATTGAATTGAGTTTATCTATTGAGTTGAAAAGTTTTACATCTTCATATGGCCAACAGTTTTAAGTTTGTCTTGATTCCTTTGTTGGTTTAGAAATGCACTAGGTAGATGCACAATATTTTTTATAGGTTCTTATGATGTAAATTCTGTTTGCAAGATGTCTCCGAAATGTTTGGTTTCTCTATGAACATATGTTATTTCAGTTTCCTCACAAAGCAAGAGTGAGTGATTCTTCTTTACACAAGTCTGTTTGGATGCCTTTAGCTTCATTTTTGTGTTGCATATAATGATGTTCCCTGATGGGTAATTGCCCTTGCAGAGAAAGCATTTGATGATGAAGGTAACTTGAAGCAACCAAAGCAATTATCAATCAACAAAGTTGGGCATGGTATGCTGATTTTAAGATCTTTTTCTCTCAGTTGTTTGTATTACACAAGTGGGCAGGAGTGCATTATAAAGAAAGAAAACATTTTCTCTTGCAGCTTTGGATGAGCTCGATCCTGTATTTAAGAAGTTCTCTAAGTCAGATAAGCTGTCCGGTTTATTACTCTCTTTGGATTACAAGAGACCCGTTATTATCCAGTCCATGTACATCTTCAAGGTACCAAAATCATATTGCCAATGAAAAGGATTTCACTTTTGATGTTATGTATACTCAAAAAGTGTGTTAGCTGACACTTGTATTGGATCTTATCACCAAATCTCATATATCATCTGCAGATATTTGTTGGCATTGCAAATTTACTAAAGGTTTGTAGAATTTAAATTGTCAGTTGCTCCAAAATGTCGTGCAGCCTGCCATAGACATAAAATCCAAAAGATTTTGAAAATACTCATTAAAACGGTTGAAGTATTCGTGTGATTGTTCGTGTTCTGAACAAATGAGTATCCTTTTGGTTAATTGATGGTTGGTTGAGGCCCTGTGATAGTTTGAATTAACAGGAAATATGCAATGGCCTGTATTCATTTATTGGCGGTTGAACTGATGACTTTCTTGAGTTTTGAGTCTTTTTGTTGCCATGCATGCTTCCCCTTCATCATAATGTGTAATAATTTTTATTTCAGCAACCAGGTATTGGTGGTGAAGTGGTACCACACCAGGATAACTCATTTTTGTATACCCATCCATCAACATGCACGGGACTTTGGCTTGCTTTGGAGGATGCAACCATTGAAAATGGCTGCCTTTGGGCTATTCCTGGATCCCACAAAAGTAATAAAAGAAAGAGAAATCCTTACTTGGTTTCACTTGTCCTTGCATCGTAATTTAGATTATGAAGTTCTATTTTGTCTCTTTCAGATGGGCTTGTGAGGAGATTTGTTAGAGACGAGAATGGGATTCATTTTGATAAGCCATCTCCACACTACGATCAGAAAGATTTTGTTTCTGTTGAAGTGAAAGCTGGCTCCTTAGTAGTCATTCATGGAGATCTCATTCACCAAAGGTTGATTTTTACGGGAAAAAAAGTTCCGTGATGGAGATGTTTTTTATTTATTGTGTTCATTTTTATGTGTACTCTCATGTTAGCAACCTTACGTCTTCATTTCCTTGATCTACAGTTTTGAGAATCGGTCCCCGAAATCAAGGCATGCTTATAGTTTACACGTGGTTGATACAGAAGGTTGCAAGTGGGCAGATGACAATTGGTAAGTTGCTGTAACATGACCTTGTAATATTGCTGAATCTTCTCTGAATTGTGAGGTTTTGTTTGTTATTGGCGTGCCGTACAAGATGATAACATCAACACCCTTGCTTTTAAAATAAAATTGATAGCAAAAAGTTGAAATCAGTTCTTGGCTGCATTGTCCTCTGTTTACCTATTACTCATCTTATTATATAAAATCTGCATTTCTTCTCTAAACTATGCTTAAACCGTTGGTACTTTTCAGGATAAAGAGGAAAGTCCAACCAGAGCCCGTTTACGGTTGAACTTTGACTTGAGACTGGCTGAGTAGATACATGCATTTTCACACATAAAAGCCGAACGGGTGCAGCTTCTCTACATGGTTGAACTTATGTAACTCAGTTGCACATTTTATAACGCTTGTAAATCGTGTCTTCACAAAGTTATTTTCTTTTGATTAGTGTAAACTGTAGGGTTTGTATACCTCACTTTGTCAATGTTACAAGTTTTCTGGCGTATTCAGTCAATGGTTATCTGGTTTCTGGACTAAAGTTTGTTTTTGAAACCCTTTGTTTGAGTTGCTGCAGATGAAATCCCTCAGGTAGTTTAAGATGTTTGGTCAGTGTATTTACCTGAAATGTGAAATAAAAAAAATTCAAAAAACAAATCATATAAACAATACTTGCTTCATCTTAAAATGGTTGTTCTATTTGTACTCTCTTTGTTTCAAAATTATTGTCCAGTTTGAGATTTCACTTTCAGTAGATTTTGAACTAGAATTGAAAACTAAAACTGGACACAAATTATGGGACAGAGGGAGTACTAAAAGTAGAAATCTAAAATGGACAAGCATTGAGAGAGAGCAAAAATTTCTTCCATATAAATAGAAAGAATAACAAGTTCCCCATGAGTAAATGATGTATGGGTAAGTAAATGGGCAATGACAAAATGTACATTGTACAACGTTTTAGATACAACAATGGGTGGAGACTGAAGAGTTGGAAGTTGGAACTGAAGGACATTAATTAATGTAGGAAGCACTAGAAAACACACTGAAACATTGGGCTGTTTGGAGTACAATAATTCATGTTCTAATTTTATCTTTGTTGGATTCGGAACTGTAAAAGCTAAGATTGAGAAACACCTCGTAAAGGGACTACATTCTATGTACATTTATTACCACCCCCTATAAGTTTTTCACTTCTTTTACTCTCTCTGTCTCATAATTATTGTCCAATTTAAAATTTTACTTTTAGTAAAATTTGAACTAGAAATGACAATTCAAAGTGGACAATAATTATGGAATGGAGAGGAGAGGAGTATTATTTTTCCAAAGTAAAATGTGCTCATTTCATGAGAAATCTTGGCGTGAACAATGTATATGTACAATGTATCTAAGAGTGTAAAATCTAGAGGTTATTTAGCAAAGCAAGCGACAACGAAATATATGATTCATGATTTCATGTGCAAGAAAAGGATATGGCGTTTGATACAACAGAAACTGCACAAACTCACACCAATGTCTATTTTTGTTTATTGCTCTTCAAAACCTAGGGATCACAATCTATAGCGACTTGCAATAAGTTAAAGCACATTTCTAGTGGTAAACAAAATGTATTTGCCTAATGTCAAAAAAATGATTCGTATGGTGGAAATATTTTTTCCTTCTTGTTTTTTGGTACTATATAAAAAAGACTATATCTGATAAGTTTAAATTACAACGTTATGTGGATGAGAAACGAAGTTGAAGTAGTTACTTACTTCCCTTTCTGCAGATGTGTACTTGTATTAATTTTGCGTGCTCTACATTACAAAATTAATACAATGACGCAAAAACACTCAAAACTTAATAATGCCCAATCCCCAATAATGCAATATACATATTCAATGACACACCTTCTCTAGCTTAGGAGTTAGGGGCGACAACAGGACAAGTCCTTAGTAATGAATGGCTCAATTATCACTTTCATTTTAACCTTAAAATTTATAGGAAGAATATACTCCTTTTTTTTTGGTGTTGAAAAGCTTGTTGAATCTTTTAAACTTTTCTAATACAACATCAACATCACACAATACCACTAAATATTATATACATTGTAAGTATAAAATTTTAAAAATAAATTATAATTTAACTTGTTGTACTAAAATTGAAAATACAATAAGGGACGAACAATGTCTTTTCGTCAAATAACTAATGAACTATCAATGTATAGAGTAAATGAATCTTTCAACTGTCATTAAACAGAAGGCAGAATATTAAAAACCCAAAAATGGAAAGAACATAAAAAAAAGGAAGTTACAATTCATGAAATACCATATGGGAAAGGGGAAAATACTATGATAAATCACACTTGACAGTTGACACACAGTAAACTTTCTACCGGCTTAGGTTCTTAGATTACATCACATCAATCCATCTTTCACATCAAATATCCATTAGATGATCAACTTCCCCTCTAGCTCCTTATATGTCATATCATATCATTTAATATACCTAATTAACTTAAAAAAAAAACAAATTTCATTTTTTTTTTTTTGGGTATATAGGAAAACCTTAAAGGAACTCATAAAATTGGTTTGGTGGGAGATTGGGATTCATGGTGTCCATAAACTCTTGAAAATCTGCATCATTGGCTACTGTATCAGAACAATGATCATTATAACCATCTTTCTGAAGAGGAAATAACTCAAGTGTCCGATGGTCTCTAGGCATTTCATCTTCATGCTTGGTAACATCATGATCATCTGCATAGAAAGATGATGGAGAAGAGAATATGCTGAAATTTAATGCACTAAGCATCTTCTGCTGTGCTTCTGCTGCTTCTCTTGAACTTTCTGCTGGAAAGGTTGCATTTATGTTGTTTAATAATATGTCAGAGTTTGAAGAAGAAGCCCTACAAGGCAACTCCAATGTTTGTTTGGTTGCTCCCTTTGCCATTTCCCATTGGTTCATCTGTTGTTGCATTTCTCCCTCATATTCCAATTCGGTTTCCGCTGGTTTTTGCATTGTTTTAGGCTCCTGAAGTATTTTAAGTAAATGATTAGATTGAACTTGCCCCAAATATGTAGAGACTAACCCTTACAAAAATGTGTGAAAGCCTTTCTCCCTCTTAAACCTTAATTGATGTTCTTTTTTTTTTTTCAAAAAGAAAAGGAAAAAAAAACCCTTTTGTGTCTAGTTATTTATGAGGTTACAAAGACAAAGAAATGAAAAGAGAAAAGGAATAGCATTACTTTATATGGATTCCCTTCATCTTTCCAGACAAGGAAAAAAAAGTATGAAGAAACATAGTGTAACATAAGGGCTTATTGATCACTTTCAAGGGTTCAAGACAAAAAGCATACACACCTTTGGACTGGTAGTCAAATTCTGGTCTTCACCCTCCAAATATTTGCAGCTAAAACCTGGAGAAAAACGAATGTAAGAATCTTGACATACTTTTTTCGCAATATGATCAACAGGGTTAGCTATCTATATATGTGTACCTTTGTGATCATTTCCTTCTAGGGTTTCATTGTTCTCATTTTCAAGCTTCTTTGATGATGAAGTTGTTGATGACTCAGGTGGTGGTTGGCGACGTCGTTTTTGTCGCTCTCTCGCTTTGTGGTTTTGAAACCAGTAGAACACATTCTTCCCTTCGATCTTTCCAAACTGCCTTAGCTTTGCAGAGATGAGCTTGATCTCTTCAGATGAAGGTGTTCTTACTCCTCTTCTATACATTTCTTCCAAGGCCATTAACTGCTCCGGAGTTGGATTCCACCTTGAAGTACTCACTATATTCTCCATATGATTATGTTTCTCATCTTTGCTTGATTTATCAACTATGGAAGAAGCTATATAACACAACCAAAAAACATTAGTACAAAGGAAAAAAACATGAATAGGAAGAATTCAACTATGAAGATTACAATGGTAAGATCCATATTTCATGACTTTTCTGACCTACCTTGATGTTGAGGATTCATGGAAAATTGAATATTGTTGTTGTGGTTGTTGATGCAACCACAGAAACTAGATGAAACGAGGGAGTATGGAGTATTTTTGGGGATCGAAGTAGGCTTTGGCAAAAGATGGCGGAGCCTCCTTGTACTGCCGTATAGTGCACCGCATGATCTGGATTCCTTTGGATTGCCTTGACAATCTTGTAGCCACATTATAGAGGATTTGCTTCTGTGTGTGTGTGTGTGTGTGTGTGTGAAGAGGAAGATGAGATGTGGTGAGGAATTAATGGAAGAAATGGAGGTGTGTCTATAGCTTAGAGAAAGTACTACTAGTTGAAGAAAGAGATGGTTCCATTATAACATAGTAAAAGAAATTAAAAAATAAAAAAATAAAAAAATACAGTAAAACCTCCCTAAATTAATTCTCTATTAATTAATAACCTCTATTAAATAATATTTTTATCCTGTCCTAACTCGGGACCAGTACAAAAAAAAAAACTCGATTAATTTATAAGATAATAATTTTTCAAGAATCTCCTATGTAAATATAAGTTCATAAATTAATAAATACTTAAAATAATAAATTAGATTTGAAGATTAACATAGATTTTAACTTCAATATTTTTGTTTATGTTTGAAAATAACATGTTTTTGTTCCACTAAAAAATTATAATGCATGACTAGAGCTGCAGCGGTCTTTTCTTGATATAAAAATAATAAGTTTTTTTTTTTTGTATTTTCTTATTAATAGGATTGAAAAAACTCTTAAAATTAATAAAATATTAATTTATCGATAAATTAATAACTCTATAAATAAATAAATTTTTGGAGGCCCAAGTATATTAATTTAGAGAGGTTTTACTGTAATAGTGTTACCTCATTCCCTTATATTATTATACTACTAAGTTCTTTTCTTGAACAACTAAAAAATTGCCCGTAAGAGTTTTGAACTCAATCTTGTGATAATAACAACTTAACCTTGGCAAGTCACTCGCCCAATAAAGCAAATTAATATTGAAATGACTAAGTACAGAATCATATAATGAACTTAAACTATATATATTTCGAAAGTGAAAAGTGGCACTGTTAAAATGAAAGTAACAAATTAAAGTGAAAAACAATAGTGTCGTTCACTAAAGTCATGAATTTGAGGCGATTGCATGTCTAAGTAAAATTATTTTTTTAATTTACGAGTATATTTTCTACAAATATCTTAATTATATCATAATGTAGTAGAAATGTAACAGATCGTGGTTCTGTAAAATATTAGACGATATTACAGTTTTAGTAAAAAAATCGGACTGAGGTTAGATTTGAAGGAAATGAGTTAGTGTGCTAGTGAACTAGTAGTAGTACAAAAGTGTGGCACGCAAAATATTGTGTGCGAGAAAAACAAATCATCACGTTTATACAATGTTAGAAGGGCTTATTATACCTAAAATAAGTTGAAAACACGTCAAGAAATAAATGCATTTGGTTTACAGGGACAGAGACGCAAAGATTAGTGCAAAATAATTGAATGGTTCCCACCACAGCCCATTTCTTTCTTTCTCTTTTACCCCCCTTTGGTCGGTTTATATGGTTTTGTGGGAAAAAGAAAGGAATTGGATCAGCAGCGCAGGCCCTCTAATGTCAAAACTGTACTGAGTGAGGAAGGAGACATATTGAAAAAAAAAATCTTGAGTTTCAGTGATAGAGATGGAACAATAGGGTAAATAAAGGAATGGGAGGCAGTGAATTAAAGGGGGGAATGGTTTTTTGTTTATAAAAGAAAGAAACAGAGAGACACAAAAGCGAAAGAGAACTGCACTGATTGCTGCAGTAATAGTAGTACTAGTTCATAAATAGGTCGACCATGCTATGGGGGTGTGGTCAGACAAAATATATATATATATATATATATATATATATGACAAGTGCCTAAACATATTATATACTCTTACTCTCTGTCCGTCCCAAAATAATTTCTGAGTTTTTTTTTTCCCATATTGTATAGCGTCTATCATCTATATCAGTAATTATTCTCTCTCGCTTATAGTAAGCATCTCGATAGATAAAAGAACTAGTCAAAAAATTTAAAATTACTTCATGTTTATGAAGAGGTTAACCATGATTATTATTCCAATTGTAATACTACAGCAAGCAAACATGATAATATTATGAAAAAAAAAAAAAGAGAGAGAAGAAGCGTGAAATCTGGGAGGTATTGGGAGTAGAGAAGTAAAAGCGACATTTCAATGATGAGAAAGTGTTTTAAAAAAAAAAAATAAGGCCACAATATTCTAACCCTTTTATGCCATTTTCACTCGTGCTCATGCATGCACTCTCTCTTCCCTTTTCCCCTTCTCTACCGAACCCATAGAAGGTCGGCCGATGGGATCCCTCCACCACGTCCCTTACGTGATAAACCAATTGGTCTCTAAATGTTGTTTTTCTTTTAAAAAAAAATAAAAAATAAATAAATAATAAAATTGGTGATCGAGATTTTAGATCCCTTACGAAGTTTGTCAATGTACGTATATTCGAGATCCTTCTCAAATAAGATTCTGATGTACTGTATATATGTCACATTGTTGTATTATTATATATTCACTTCAATGCAATTCATTTATTTGAGTATCAATTATGTGTCAATGTAAAACATCTTACAGTACCTCCATGTTGAAAAAAAATCCGATTCACCCAAAGATGTCTTCACATCTTTGATCAATTGATTAGACTGTGAAATTAGTATCTTGTTTAAAAATGCTGCTAAATCAATAACGACTGTTCCACCAAAATCAACGAGTATGGCCATCATTTTAATTTTCTCAGAAGATTTGTTTTACCGACTCTTTGTGTGACACACATTGATTAAATATAATAATTATGAGTTGGGAGGACGAACACTATAAAGAATGGCTGCTGATTGAAACAAAAAAAAAAAATGAAGGAGAGGAGCTGGCGTGCTTATTAGGTTAACTTTACAGTTCATTGTAGTAAATCACATTCAAGAATCAAAGACTGACTCTGCCAAACTGCTCAGCTCGAGTCAGCAATCTTTTGGAAGAAAATCAGAAATGGAGAAACAGTAGAAAACAGTCCTACCAACAGTTTTACATCCAGGGGAAAGGGCCGTACATACCTTCCCGGTGTTCCCCCTCCTTCCTTCTTGACTTTCTGCCGTCTGAATGGCCCCATGGGGAAGTACCGCGTTTCGAGTAGCATTTCTCCGTCTGCTTCACATTAATAGTCCGCTTTGTTGAACTTATCATAGCTTAAATAAATAAAGCTGATTTTATAAACGGAAGAATAAACTAGAGTTCGGAAAATCAAATGAGGGGGGCTGTCCTTGGCACTTTGCCCCTTATAGATATATATATAGTACATGGCAACGACAATTGCCGTTGGTTTACAATACAGTGCCTAACACAGAGGCCATGAATGCCTTATCTAACTCTTATCTGATTCTGATCTAATACATATCTTACAGATAAGCTGAACAGAATGAAGGGAAACCCAATGTGGGTTGAATAATGGAGCTGGCTCACCGGTAAATGAGCTCTCTTGGCGCACACATATATATGAGGAATTGCAGCATTTTCGACAAATTAATGTAGGTGATTTGGAGTCACTCTAGGAGCTTGTTGCAAGTGCTGACACCAATTGCAGCAGCTAAGTGCCAACCGGCATGAAGAAAGGGAGTCTCAGGGAATACATCATCCGCAATGAACAGAGCGCCACCTAAAATTGATGACATCTTATGCACATTGTGTGCCATCCTTAGTTCTGGTTCTTCAAATGCTCTTTTTGCAAAAGAAACCTGAATGTTCAGGAAAATACGAAAAGCAGAAATTTTCCTTCAGCAAATCCAGAATGTAGATAACGAGATTTGGTCACTGGGGGCAAACACAACCAAGAATAGGAAATGTAGTCAAAAAACGAGCGAACTTGTTCATGGATTCATTCAGACATACATAAAGAGTACAAGTAATTCTCTTATGCTCAATCCTGACAAATGACACTAAAAGCTGACTGTGAAGAAAAATAACTCCAGTTCACGTGGAACTATAAGATAAGTCGACAACAATACGGGTAATATTTCCTTCACGCTACCCTGCCCTTCAAACCCAAGTAACAAAATTTTAACATTATTGTCAGTGCCATAAGCAGTTGAGCACATTAAAAAAGCAAAAAAAAAAAAAAGAAAAGAAGCGTAGATTGAAGTAAACACTAAAACACATGGATCAAATTATTACTTCAAACATACAATGAAGATGCATTACCTCCATCATTCCAGTATGAACAGCAGAAACCATCAGAGGCTGGATGGGCAGGAAGACAGCAGAGGCCGCCATCAACAACTTGGGATTCTCATTACGAAGAGCCCTTGTCAGACACTGCGATAAAAACAGGACCAAATGTTTATGCAAAGGCTTCGATAGAAACAATTCTCCAGATACAGATGTCAAGATCCATAAGAACTATGATAAGCTATTGTAAGGTTAACTATAAAGTAAAGATCCATAAAAATAATATAATCTTGAAAATAATGAGAAAAACATCATATAAATATGTTGAAAAATACAAAGGAATTATACATACTGCAACTGGAAGATTATCTTTCTTAAATTAAAAGAATGTTTTCAAAATCACAGTATCAACACAGAGATCCTCAAACATCAAAATTTTCAAAAACTAAGTGAGAATAACAACCACTTCAATGCTGCTCCATGTGATGCCACTAATCAGAATAAAACCATTAAAAACTCTAAGAAGCAGGCTATGCAGGTACAAAGTAAAGCATGATGAATACTAACAAAAAATATTTGTCAAATCCCAGTCAGATCAATGAAACAGGTCGAGAAATCTCTAAGTAGAAACCCAAGATTCCCCACTCCAATCATCCAATGCGAATTACAATGGTTACATTATCAATTGAGTAGTTACATCAAATGCTTCCAATTTCACATAGAAGCAATAGTCTCCAAAAGCAATCCAAAGCAGAATGACACTATTCTGCTTGGCATTAATAAAGAAGCAAAAAGAACAATAGCTCGGGACATACCACTGTTGCTGTGGCTATCATCGTGTAATCAGCCCATCTCAAATACTTCCTCAATTTTCCTCTAGAACAATGGTACAAACTGGAGGCGATTCCCACTCCAATTAATGAATTAGCATAGAGTTTGCAGTTAAGGTTTTTCCTACATGATGAGAAAAACAAGTACTTTAGACACAACCCAGTGACATGAACCTCCAGGACCCTCTACTTAAGCTTCTGTTTTTTAATGCCTGTGTGCGGAGCAAGATCAAACCTCAAACAGAGACAAAAATAGCCCATCCTCGTCCATTAATTTAAATAATTCATGAAAATGATAAACTAGAAGAAAAGTCTGTACCTTGGGGCCTGGACTCCAAGAGCAATAAAAGGAAGTGAAGTGAGCACATTGGCTATGGTCTCTACAACAGTCTTGTCACCTAAAACCAGAAATCTGGTCTTAGCATGAATTGAATCACAAGCATAAAGAAGAGTAAACCCAAAGAAGCATGCACAACCCAGAACATTGAGTCTAAATGAAGTTCATTGAAATACCAGAACCACAGGAATGGATGGGTCTAAGACAAGGTGGTCTCTGCTGCCATGCTCGCCTGATAAATGAATTAATGTAGTGAGATACATGACGTTTGCGAACACTTACACTATCAGTTAAGCAATCGAACACGTAATAACCAAGTGCTATTATTTATCAATGACTTACTGCACAGTTAGACGTTGGCGAGTCCCAAAAGAGAAACTTTCACAGGTTGATTGCAGTAGATCCCCATGTTTCATCTCTTCCAACATAAATGGTGAATGAGGAGCCAGATGTACGCCATGCACACCTTCTAAGAAATTACTAGGTTTCAATGCCGTTTGGGTAGTCATAAGCTCTGCTGGCAATCAGTCAAGTCCGTTGACTGATTGCCACCAAGAGCATGCAAGTTCAGATAAAGTCTCTCAGGTTGCAGCCAGAAACCTGGCAACTGGAACAAATTATGGGCCTTATGAACAGGAACAAGGACCCTAAAAACATAAAAAAAATAAAAAATAAAACGAAAAAGAAAGAAAGAAAGAAAGAGATGAGAACTTATAAAGAAGGGACAATGAAGTTCCAGGCCTTTAAAAAACAGAAACCTCCCCGAGTTTTATCTGATATCAAACAATAACACCATACAAATTTAGTTCCTGCTTGGATCCCCCATTGATAAATTTTTACCAATTCAGAAAAAAATAACTAAAACTTAACATCCCAAATCAAGTAGGCTTCCCATTTACTTCAAGCATTCGGGCACAAAATCTAAGAAGCATTTGTACAAAAGAATATACCTTTAAAAAAGAATCAGCAGATAACTCATAATTAGACAGGACTTTTTCTGGGATTCCCTTATTTGAGCAACAAAGATTAAAAAGTTTCAAAGACACTTGCTTCAACGAATTCCAAACTAATCTTTTCTCGCATTCACTTTTCATTTTTAAACAATTAATCATCACCTAATTTCCCCCAACCCATATCCTGATATCCATCAAGAACTCAAACCTTCGATCAAATTCCTACAACATGCAGGCCTTAAAACAGTCCAGAAACACCAACTTCTTTCCTCCATTGAGCTTATAAATGGGGAACACAGAACATTTTTAACTTCCAATTGGAAGCAGCAAAGAGCATATAAAAAGAAAATAAATGTTTGAAAAAGAAAAATCCCAAATCAATGACATACCAAGCAAGAACAGACACAATCGGATTGTTTATCTGAAAACACAGAGAAGAATGGGAAACAAATTTTACCTGGAGAGAAGGGATCACAGCAACCCCAGAGAGTTCCTTCCTCTGGGAATTATTATTATTATTTTTTTTCTTTTTATTTAATTTTTCTGCTCCAGAATGACGGTTTTGAAAGTTGGGGGAAGGAAGGGTGGGCGTGCAATTTGAAAAGAGAGGGAAGGGTATATATGGAAAATAAGATGCGAATTAGAAACACGAATCTTCCTAAATGCTTACAGTTTGTCCGGATATTCGGGGTGTTTCTCTTTTAGCCCATGGGCCATCTTACATTTGGACTTTGGACACTTCCCCGATCTCTTTTCCTCTCAATTCTTTGCACTTTCTCGTTGATTTGTATACCAAAGCTTTGACAGTGATGTGGTAGAAAATAATTGTTACCGTCGTCATCGTGATTATTTCGAATGAATTCCATTCTAAAAATATTGTCAACTTATCAAACTAAAACTAGTGTAATGAAATTGACTATTTTTCTAGGATCGAGAAAGTTTAAGTTATCATTATACATTAATATATGGTGTTTGATAGATAGAAAATTTCACCCTGATTTTTTGATTGATTCATTAAAATCTATCCAATAAACATTTGACACATCAGTATATGGTGAGAAACACAATAATAACTCCTTTATTAATTGTTGACTTTTTTATCACACTGAATATTCTTTTCAGTTCTTTTTGTTACCACTGAATATTCTCTTAAAATAATTACCAATATAAAATTAAATTCAACTTAAAATAAAGAAATATTTAATTAAGAGCGATTTAATTAAGAGAAAGAGAGAATTGATCTATCTATTATTGTGCAGAGATTTTATAAGTAAAGTAGATACAATGATAAGATCAACAATTATAAGATCTAGCCATCTAGCCAACTAAATATTATCTCTAAATATTAATTGCTTGTATAACTTGTAAACATGCACATTAAATATTCATAACAATTATTATAAAGTATGATTCCCGAATTATTTATCAAAAAAAAAACCTAGTGATACTGCCAACACAATTTTTAGCATACAGAGCACAAATGACACTTTCTTTCACAATTGCCCTTATGAGGTCAAACCCACAGCAATCATCGTCTTCTTTTTATCTCATGCTTCCATTGTCTCCTTCTCTCCCTCTTTCAGAACTTATAAAATTGTTTCTTCGATGCGTGTACCATTTTCATATATAGTTCATACTTCATTTTGGAATTCAAAATTTTAGTTATTAATCAATTCACAAACAACCTTCATGAATAAATTCATTAATTCTTTGTTGATATACAAGTTAGCGCTACGACCAAATTAATAAAATTCTAAGTGCCATCGTTCATAAAATTGAAAGATTTCATATTAGCCAATAAATCTCACAGTTAAGTTCTTAATTATATCGAAGCGCCATGATCTTTCCAAAGTTTTCATAAGAGTGTATGCCATATCAATTAAATGGAATTTGAAAGTTCAAATTATCTCCCTACTTGTATTTTTCTCATTGCCCTCAAAGAAAGGTTTTCTTTACTTTCTTGATTTTCAGGAAATCCAACAATCTTTCTCTATATCTTGCCAGGTTCCTGCAATTGTGCATCTCATACTGCCTGGTTTCTAGCCAGCCATATATGCCAAAAAATAAAGAAAAATCGTTGGATAGTCTATTTACTTGGCGCTATAGTTAGCCAACCCTCAAACTACTCACCTAGACATACTTTGGAGTCTAGAGCCAGCATTAAAATCAAAACTTAACGGGAGTTTCTCCATATTCCTTGTGAATGATCTCAATAGTAAAAATAAAATAAAAACTTAGGTGTTTTCTTCATGCCTTTTGCAACTGACACAAATAATTGTAGTGCTACACCCCATTTTTTTTATTTCAAATATTATTTATTTTAAAAAAAAATTAAATTGGATGACCCCAATAAGAATCGAACCCTTATCTCGTGAAAATAAATCATCCACATCCTAAATTCCTAACTGCTCCACCCATCCCTCCCACCCAATATTAGATAAGAAGAAATCAGATTAGAGGATTAGGCATCATTAAAAAAAAGGAAAAGTTAAAAGATAAGAAACTAAAATTAGGGGAGATCATCAGAAAGGGAGAAATTCCAATATTAGTCCTAATACAATAAGAGCAACAAACTAATTGTTGCAATTTGATCTTCTAATAAATACTAGATGCTCTGGGCGTCCCCCTCCATTAAATTTTTTGCTAATGTAAAGAGAAATTCCTAATCTAAGTAAAATACATAGGTATATATGTGTATATATATATATATTTTAGTTTTTCAATTATAATGTGAAATGATGGAATAATAATTATATATATAAGTGGATTGGATATTAGATGAGGTTGAAAAGATATTTATTTGAAATAAGAAGGCAATAATATGTAAATTACTCCCTTTATCATGCAATATGGTCATTCTTTTTAGGTGTGACTATATTTGGATTTCAGATATGGAACATACACAATAATGAGAGATCAAAATATACATATCAAATTTAATGAGCCTTGAGATTTGGAATTACATTTGTCCCAGTCAAAATATAAATATCAGGTGCATATTATATGAGCCAAGCTTTTGGGCAATACTCCATCTTCCTGTGGTTGCTGCCCGTGTAGCACTTCAATTTTTCAATACACTGAAATTCATATAGACATTAGACACAACCACTTTCTATTTCGCGTGATTTTTTCTTCCGCACCATAATTGAGCAGGTTTCTCAAAACAGACGTCCATCCTCAAAGAGAGCTACATGAGTTTAGCTTATACACATCCATAAAAGTATTTCACTCAATATACGCACATACGGAATTGGAAGACTACTTTAGAGTCAGATTATATTTGATCACTTTATAACTTCAAATACTAATTGAAGGAGATGCGATTTAAGTCAGTTAAATAAAAATAAATAAATTATGTGGAAATGAAAAAACATATCAGGGAGAGGGATAAAGAAGATGGCGAACCTGTTCAGCCGAAACTACTTGAATAGGTCCAATGTTTAGAGATACATATTTGCCTCTTGAAGAAAGTTTTTGTTTTTCCTAGCCCTGATTGCAACAAAACAGAATCAGCTGCAATGGGATCGAATAACTTGGAAATGTTTGCAAATCAATTTGAATAGACAAAAGCAGCAGATTATAGAGCAAAAACTTTACTGCAAAATCAATCTAACATAAGTAAATATTATTCTACTGAATAACCCCAAGCCCCTGAAATAAAACCTAAAAAGGAAGAGACACAAACCAATTTGATGACCTGCAATAATAGAAAAATTTTGCCAGCTATGAACAGAATGAGCTTCCATTATAAATGAGTCAATCACAAAAAATGGACAAAATCTAAACTGAAATATTATCAAATAAAGATTGAAGCTTCCCTTCCTTCATAAACTTTCTTATTCCCTTTTACTTGAAGACCGATAGCATGGTGGAAATTATCCATCAAAACTTCAGTTTTTTTTTTTTTCCAATCTAGTTGTATTCTTGTATACTTGCCCCGGACAAAAGTCCAGGGGCCACTCAGTAATCAATATTTAACTAAAAAATAATACACTCCATAATCCAAAAAAAAGAAATAGAATGAACCAAGTACGTGCATTAGAGAGCCATAACGCAACCAAAAAAAAAAAAAAAAAGAGCCATAAGCAATTAGCAGTTGTAAGTACTTTAGAGTTCGTTTGTAAGTACATTTTTAACTCTCAAGTTCCTAAAGAGAATGAGGGAGATTGAAAATGCATAATAAAAATCCGATGTGCAATGGCTGCTAATTTAGAGATTTGTGTAGGCCTCTTTTTTTTTTTTTGTTTTCTCTTCAGGAGCGGAAACGACACGGAGAGTTATAAACACAAGTTAATCCCTCCACTTACGCCATGACTACACCAGAGCAATATTGTCGAGAATTCCAATTCCACCACGAATTCGAACCCAGAAAACGAATTTTAACCCAGAAAACTTTATGATTCACAGCCAACACAAAGCATGGATTAGCAGAGATATAATTCTTACATCAAAGAATAACTGCATTGCATAAATTAGATAATTAGGGTCATATTGGGACAAAGTAGTGGACCTAAAGTTTTATACGCACAAACTCCTTACATTACCAAATTAGGGCTTAATCATAAGTCGCCTTTTTTGCATTTCCATTTTTGGATAATTGCAATTTTCGAGAGGCTTTGTATTAAATGGGTTTGTAAATCATTTGGCTTAGAACTATAATGAGAAATTATAGATTTTTTTGACCAATTTCAATTGCTTCCCTATCCTCTCGAATCTTTTTCTCTTTCTCTCAACTGCTCTTTTCCCTCATATGAGCTATGAACTCTTCAATTCAGAGTTATATTGAGGAAAGTGAACGAGAAGTTGATAAATATTCTAAATTTGATAAAAATTGATAATCTGAAGTAATATAAAATCTGCAGTAATATATTTTTTTAAATAATATAATGGTAGAAAAAGTTAACATTACGATGATAAACCAAAACGTGGAGATCAATAGGAAGAAATTTTTCCAAAATGAGGAAAAAAAAATAAAAGTCTCTGTGAGAGATAAATAATAAAAGAAAAGCATATTGAGAATCGAAATAATTATATGGAGAAAAAACATTATGTAGAGAATAAGAAAAATATGAAAAAAGAAACCGAGATAATAGTCAAAATGAAATAATTATTACAAATTTTTCATGAAATAAAACTTTAAAGAGATGTTATCAAATGTAGGAAAAGAAAAGGTGAAAACTATGCAATCAAAAAAAAAAAACAAATGAAATAAACACTATATTATAGGAAATATGTACGACTAAACTTTTAAAGAAAGGTTGCAAAATATATATAGAGAGATGGAAATAAAGATAAGTTTATGGAAAGAAATAATGAGAAAATTTTCTGTTAGAGGAGAGTTTAAAACATATGAAAAATTTATAAAAAGGAAATTATGAAAAATTAAGAGAATACTTTAAAAAAATATAAAGCCTCAAATCACCAAATGGAAAAGATGGACAATTAATTACATTAGATGATTTTGAATACTGAAATTTATTTCAAATGGACTTAAAATAACAAAACAGTTTTATTACATTAAAAATTACACAATTGCAATTTATATTAATAATTTTTTTTTTACATATATCATTGTGTCAAAAATATTATGTAATCATTAAATCATTAAACTCATATATATATATATATATTGAACAACCCGTACAACGCGGGGTAAACACTAGTATGAATATAAAGATTCATATATTTTTTTCCTTAAAATATGTATCTATAGTGATCATTTAAAAAGTTGAATATATATCCCAAACTCGACTTGTGAGGACTCGGTTCTCTATTTAGACTCGTTAAAACAAGTTTTACACGAATTAATCCCATTTACCTAATAAGCATAAAGAGGGGGGGGGGGGGTTCAATTGGGCCATTTGGAAACATGAATTTCAGTGGTAAAGTAGAACATATAGATGTCATCTTTAAATTCAGATTTGATTAGCTATCTTGTAGGTTCTGATGCTTTCGTATTATGGTTTTTGTTGTGTATATCTTTCTTATCAAACCCTTCCTGAAATATCAGGTTTGTGTTGGTTTGTATGGTCTACAAAATAGTTACACTAATCTTAAGAAATTCTGCTTGAGTATAGTCTTGTTTGCAGTAGTGTTCAGAATTCCAGTTTTTCTGTCCCCTGTTTAGATGCGTTTTTCTCTTAGCCCACTGAAGCTTTTCAAGGTTTTCTTTTTATGAAAATCATTTTTGTTCAGTGTAGTTTTTGGCTGTTTTTACGGATTTCAAAACGGAGTTGTGAATTATCCAAAAACATGATTTGAACACGACATGTCTGAACTGAAAATCTGCAGAAAAATCCAGCTTTTGAGTTCCTGTTTAGGAGCTAGTCACTCCTATATTTGAGTTGTTTTCTGAGGTTCCTGTACCTCCCCTATGTTTGTAGTTGTTTATTTCAGTTTAAGCGGCTCATGAATCGGAGTTATAGTTGTCCATAAACTCGATTTGAATGTGACATAAAATCTGAAAGTTTTAAGTATGAAATTCTGTCAGGTTACTGTTTTGAAGGACTTGCTTCTCCTAGTTTCCAAACTTCTTTTTCTTATTTCTTTTGATAAAATTCTTCTTTGTTTATCCGAGTTTATTGTAGTTTGACCGTTCATTAAAACCACTAACAGTTTGCTCATAAATAGTTTTTGAACTTGACCCCTTGTCACCCTAGTGCTGAACCTGAATTAATCTTGTACCTTCTGTCATTGAACCTGAAATTCTTTCTTATGAAGTTTCATTAGTTGTTTTGCTGTTCATCAAGGTATATGGTGCAACCTCTAGGTTAGTGGGACTTTTAGTTAGTTAACTCATAGGAGGGCAATTGCAAGACGGGCCAGGTGAGTGTTCTAATTCTGTTCTTAGATTGTATTATTGTTACTTGTCTGTTCCTTGCCTGTGTAATTTTCACAACTTGATGTATATAAATATATGAATATTGTGGCATCAAAAATTATTTGTGTACTACTATTATGTCGAGACTATTATGTCCCTATTATGTCAAGACTATTATGTCAGAACTATTATATCCACATTATGTCAATTATGTCCACTATTATATATGGCTATTAGGCCATGTTATTATGTATGACCACTATTATATTTGGCTCTTAAGTCAAGATTATGTCATTATGTCCACATTATGTCAATTATGTCCACTATTATATACGGCTATTAAGCCAAGATTATGTCAAGAATATATGTCCACATTATGTCAATATTGTGTCAAGAAATCCTTATATAAGTTTTGTTTCTTTTGAGTTTTGGAAGTGGTATGTTTGATTATACTTTGTGATGACATCAAACTTTATAGTTGGAACTTGTGTGAAGGTCGTCCAATGAGACCACAGAGGTCCATGACGGCTTTACAGTGTGAACTATTGTTTGCTTATATTTGATGGTCTTGGATTTGGCCATCTTTTTGTTTGTTAATTTTTTCGTTATTGTTTATTTCTGAAAATTCGTTTCCTCTCTGTATGTACACTTACACTCGCATGTTGTGGGCTGGTAATAATAATACGGTCTGAATTAGACCTCACTAAGCGTAAGCTTTACCCTTTTCCTTTCTCCCCATCTACAGTTTCCTCAGACGAAGTCTTGGGATTATGAGCCATGTTGGTGAGAGTTGAGCAGCTTAGAATTGGATTAATGGTGTAGGTATAGATTCATATATTAATAGTTAAAGTTGTGAATTTATTTTTGCATTTGTTTTTAATGATCAAAGTTAGAATCCTTAGCCGTTTAGCAATGGAACAAGAATTTTATATGGGATGACAATTTTGCTGTAAATTTATTTGTAAAATTATAAATTGTGTTTTAGTCCTGGTGTGAGTTGGGCAAACGTCCGACTAGACCACCGTAAATGATAGAGGGTTTGGTTGGGGCGTCACACGACTTATCTCCTGGTTCTTGTTAATATGATTTTTTTTATTTCAAAAGAATTTCTCCAAAATTAATAAGTTATTAATTTATCGTAATTAAGGTCACATTGGGGCAAAGTTGTGGATCTAAAGTTCTATACACATAAACTCCTTATATTACCAAATTAGGGCTTAATCATAAGCCGCTTATATTGTATTTCTATTTTTGGATAATTGTCATTTTCAAGAGATTTTGTATTAAATGAATTTGTAATAATTTGGTTTAGAATTAATGAGAAATTTTAGATTTTTTTTGTTGTTAAATGTTAATTTCTTCTCGATCCTCTCGAATCTTCTTATCTTTCTCTCAACTGCTCTTCTCCCTTATCTGAACTCTGAACTCTTCGATTGGAAATTATGTTAGAAAACCATCTTTGTACTTGCATAATCTTAATTTATAGTTTAGAACAGAGCCTAACAAAAAGACCAACAGACTTTGCTCCTTTCATTTAAACTTTGTAATTCGTCATATAATTTAGTAATGAGTTTCTTTCTTCTTTTTTTTTGGTTCGAATAATTGGTAGGTTATGCCTCTTATCTTCATCTTGCAGCTGTATAATTACCAATAAATCGGTGATAATTTGAGTGCTTTTCGACGACCTTGGACATAGTCACCTCCAATGTCTTCTTCATTACCAAATCTTAAGATGATTTTTTTTGGTAAATTCGTCCCAGGATTATTACCCTCTTATCATCTTAAAATATTAAGCCGAATCAATTAACTACTGGTGCACCCATCTGGATCATAAACTCCGAAATGCGAGCAAAAGTAGCTGTAACAATGAATTTAATCGGTTGGGTATTCCTTCCCGCTAAATTCTGTTGGCACTGCCAAATCACGGTCGACACACAAGACTAATATATCAAAAGATTCCATGCTTAACATCAATTTAAAGCTATCAAACATTTCAAGAACCGAGGAAAACGGTTAAAAAATCAACAACTCTGAATATCTAATGTGATGATATGGATATACTCCCTCGGTCCCAATTCAACATGCTTATACCAATTTTCACACAAATTAATAAAACAAACTTAACTAACAATTTTTCCTAAAATACCTTTATGAAAACATTAATAAATTTAGTGAACTAATACTTTAATTTGTTCTTGAAAATTTTTAACCAACATAGTTTATTAATTCGAAATTCAAAACATCTCATCTCATCTCGTTGGAAAAAAAAATGTTTTATCTCATATCATTGGTCCCAATACTTTCAAGAATGTTTGAGGGGTTAAGTGCGTTAAGGGCACATTTAGAATTTCATTGGAAAAATAAATCCTATGTATAGAAATTAACCTTTTTAAAAGGATACCCTAAAATGGAAAGCCATTCTATTAAATTAGGACGGAGGGAGTATTTGGAAAAACAAAATTAAAATGAAGAAGAGGCGAGAGAAATTCCAAAATATTTTCATCCCTAATCTGATTACTAGTATTTAACCCTAATAAAAGTATTTAAAATTTACAATCTCATGATCACCACTTTAATCTAATTCTAAATAAACCATTAAAGCATGGCATGTTGCTTCTCGTTCCACTTGATGACTAAGTTTAAGGTTAATGGGTTCTTTATTTTTTCTTTCCAAAAACCACGGTTTTATATTTGTTTTCCACCTCTCTACAAAAGGTTTAATCTGGGAGCTCTTTATTAGGAAGTTCAGAAATGCATTGGTAGATTCCTCATCTTAAATTTTCAGCTCGTAATTTTGATTATTATAACATCTCATCATATAAGGCCACGCGAGCTTTTTTTTTTTTTTTTCCGTTGATAATCATAATACAAAAATTTACATACATTTGAGGAAACATTCTAAACGTCCGCCCTGACATTCAAACCTTAAGCTTCCCGAAACTCTCAAGATTTTCTCTAACATACGTGACAGAGATCGAACCGGCCTGATGTAGCTGTTTTGCATCAGAAGTATCATCATGATTCTCTTCTCTTTCTTGTGTGTCTTCTGCAACAATTTCCCATTCATCCCTGCGGACGGAAGAAGCCACTTTCATTCCCTGCTCATGTTCTTGATCAAGCTCAAAATGAGTTGGAAGTATAACAAAATCATGCGTCGGATTATAGTAAGGATCATGATCTGCTTTCAACCAGTGTTTCAGAATCCTAAAAACATGGCGATTACAGAGGATTCCCCGATGCTCTCCGGCTGGGATTCCAATTCTTGCAACCGCATTGAGCCCATCAGCCATTGCAGACTCAGCTGGAACAGTACCATCGCCATTAACATAAACATAATTCGGAAGGAAACGAACTGGTAAGCGGCTTAGATCGGAAACAGGGGAATTCGGATTTCCATAACAAACACTGTGGGGTGTGTCAAGGTTAGTTCCGTATATGTTGTAGAATTTCACTCCCTCAGGAACCTTAGCTGAATTCAGTACTTTTCGTGTTTCGTTAGCCCAGTTCAGAATATCAACATTGAATGGTAATGGAATGTTTAATCCACAACAGCTTACCTTGTTGCAAGCAAGTGCTTCTGTAAATATGGTTGGAGCTTCCCCTGGCAAATAAGACTCCAAGTTGGCCAAATCGTGGGCTAATTTCTTCCTCCAAACTTGTAAAAGCGGAGGATTTTCCCAGTTGAAGTCTGGGCAAGCCATTAGTTCATACATGGATGGACATTCAATCAGCAATTGGTGCATGCTCCATTTCGATACGAAGAAATTCTGCTGCCAACCACCCACGAAAGACACCCCGTTCAACAGAGCAGAAGTAACATATCCCGGAGCTCCCCTGAATGGTGCAGCTATGGCGATCCAATCCTTCACGTACTTCTCAAACAAATCACTGTGCAAAGACATGAAACATTTAACAAGTAACCCCCCCATAGAATGGCTGATTATGTTTACTTTTCGCCCACCCGATGCAGTATACACTGCTTCCAGCTTCTCAGCGAGCCGATCCAGAGTGCCCTGAAACCTGTTACTCTGCCGGAAATCATAACCGAACCCGAACAGAGTTTCTCCTTCTTTAAAACCCCATTGAAGCATTTCAACAATCATGTCGTGGAAGTAATAAACACTGTCACGCCCGAGAACCAAGTCGGGATCCAACACATCAATGGCGTACAACCCGAACCGGTCATCCGGGACCTCAATCTTCCAGTTGGAATTCGAATCTATGGACACAGTTTGACCTGTGGAAGGGTCGAAGAAAGAACCCAACTTGGTCCGAAATTCACGGTCCGCCCCGAGTATCCGAACCCAGACTCGTTCTTCTCTGCCCGTTTTCTCATCGACGGCTTTGAGAATGGAGCCGGCAATTCCAGGCACCAAAAGCACAGGATCAAGATTCGGGTCTACGTAAACCTCCTCCTGAGGGGATTTCTTAATCAGCCTCATCCATAGCTCCATCGACCTCATCAAATCCTATGCTAATTAACGCAGGCAATTTTTTACATGCAAAATTGAATTCTGTCGCATTAAGAAGGAAATTTCTGCCCGTTTATAAAATTTACAGGGGTTTTTGGGAGAAGGTGGCGGTGGGCGGAGGAGTGGCTGCGGAGATGAAATCAAATTGTAAAAGAATTGAGATAGGCTCTGCCAAAGAGATTATGTCAGGGTTTTTCGGAGCAAAAACCTGGGAGAATTCTGACACTTGTAGAATTTGTTAGTGATGATTCATTGATTCTTCTCAGACCGAGTGCTGTGGGAATGTCACGTGTAATCATGCAATTTAATTTGGATTAATATCAAAGATACCCCCAATATTTAGTCTATTATCAAAAATTTCCTCTCCCTTTGGAGAAATATCGAAAACTTCCCCCGACTGGCAAAACCGAGAAATATCGAAAACCTCCTCCTAAATCACCCCAAAAACCGTCCGAGTATATTTAAGACGAACGAATTTTTTTGGTTTCCCTCCGCCCGTTCCAGCAGTGCCGAGCTGAGCAAAGCCACCGGGAGAAATCAGCATTTTTCAGATTCAAAGTGACTTCCTTTCGAGCTATTTAAGGTAATTGAGACATTTGTATTGCTCAAAATTTCTTACATTACATCAGTACAAGATTCGAAGTTGGTGTTTGGGTGGGTCTGCCATAAAGTAGGATATCTTTAAATTGCATCTGTCGTTCGCAATAGGAAAATTTTCAGTCTTTTTGGGTCGATTATGGAGATGGTATTTGTGGGATTTCTAATCTTTTGTTTGCTGATTCAAAAAAGGTTTGGCAAGAAATTAAAAGGGCCTTATTTGATTGGTGGTGATTGGTAATCATTATTCTTTTAATCCGTTGCTTCTTTGCTAACTTATTTACTGTCTTATGTGGTACCTACATCAAGTCTTTAGTATATTTTGCTCAAGATTAAGCTATGCTGTCTGGGGATTTTATGTCTTGCACGATGAAACTGTATGTGAACCCTTACTATCATCTGCTCAGGATTAAGTCATGGAGCAAGCATCAATCTTTATGTTAATTTAAGTTGAGACTAATAGTTATGCTTGCAAGCTGATTGTACCAATGCTCGGTATAGATGGATAATAAGTCCAAAGTTATGGTACACTATACTGGTGCCAAGTTTGCTTCTCTTCCCAAATATTGTACATTGAACATACATTTGCAATTGTGTCTTGATCTTTCGCAATTATTTCTGTTTTGACCTAGCAGATATGCTTGTCTGGACCTATAACACAAAACTCTTGTAGTTGTAGCTGTTCATTAAATGGAACATAAGAATAATAAAGAAGGGGAAGTAGAGGATTCAACGATAGAGTATGTAAGCTATGGAGGAGAACATCATCTTCCGCTTATAATGAATTTGGTTGATGAAGAACTCAGCGAGCCCTACTCAATCTTCACATACCGCTATTTTGTCTATCTCTGGCCTCAACTATCCTTTCTGGTTTGTAAATTTTATTCCCCTTATTTTCCTCTATCTTTTCCTTGTTCCCCATAAATGTTACTTCTTTTTTGGCACAAGTGCATCCTGTCTCATGATTGAATGTTTGTATTGTTTGGCAGGCTTTTCACAAAGGAAAATGTGTGGGGACGGTTGTGTGCAAAATGGGTGACCATCGAAATGTTTTGAGGGGCTACATTGGAATGCTTGTTGTACTTAAGCCGTACAGGGGAAGAGGCATTGGTAAGGAGGTTCTTTTTCACCAGTTATGCATCTTATCTAGTCAGACATACCATGCTCCTTTTTTTTTTCCTTGATTATGGTGTTATATCAGTTCATCCATTGTAGTAACACTTGGAGTAGCTTAAACAGTTACTAATGAGGCTGGATGTTTGATTGCCTGTCCGAATACATCATCTGAATTTTCTAACATCCTCTGATGCGCAATTTCCTTTTCCCTATAAATTGCTTCAATATTTATCAACCTAGCATACATTTGCTTTATTTACTTGGACATGGACCTATAGACAGTATGTTTGGCTGTTATAAGTATGTCGAACTCTCAGGATTTTTGCGAATAAGATATACTTCTGTATAGGGTAATCACTGATTAAAGCTATTTCCCAGCTTATAAATCAGTGATTCATTTTGCTTTCGCGAATACCAGAGATCAGTTCTTTTACTAGAAGCAGTTAATACCTTGGGATGCAACCTAAATATGCTTTCTGATTGCAGCTACAGAACTAGTAACGCGATCAATTAGAGCAATGATGGAATCAGGGTGCGAAGAGGTATGACTTTGATCTGCTATCTTTACATTTGAAGTTCTTTGCTGAGTTGAATTCAATTCAGTTCTTCCTTGTTTCGTTCCCTTAATTTGAGATAAGATAGTAAAAATCATATGCTGTAATGTTTTTGGCGTGAGAGCTCAAAGAGCATGACTGTAAACTGGCTTAGATGTTGCGAAGTTTTGAGCTTTATCCAGAAGCATTGTGTTGTATGAAATGTGTGGAGCTATTGGTCTGTCCTTAGATTGCATGAGGTTAAATCTGATTAAGCTGCTTGCTGCTGGTTAACCATCTTTTGAATCTTGCATGTCTGTGATCTATGTTTAAAAAGTGGCATGCTTCTGTTTTGTTTACGGTTGAAATAAACTTGGGTATATAAAATCTGTTATGTTTTGCTTAAAAAGCTTTTTAGGGGTCTAGAGAGTGAGCCAATTTTAGTTTCTTTGAGAGAGGTAATAATGTTTGTACTTCATTATTCTTCACTAAAACACTTTAGTATCAACCAGGTGGAATGACCGTGGTCCATCATTCTTTTTAGGCTCACTATTAGTTTGATGTTTGTCAATCATTGTGCAAACTGGGCCACATTTGTGTTTGATCCGTTATTAATGTATTTTACACAAGATACGCAGCCTTTGTGTTTTTGGCTAAAAGGAATTTGTGGAATCTTTTGAAGGTGACTTTAGAAGCAGAAGTTACAAATAAGGGAGCACTAGCTCTATATGGACGCCTCGGTTTTATCAGATCTAAGAGGCTTTTCAGATACTATTTGAATGGAGTGGACGCATTCCGGCTGAAACTATTGTTTCCTCGTCCTGAGGTATACCATTGCGAGTCCTTGATGGGGCTTGGCTCCTCTGAATTCGAAAATGATCATCAACAACAAAAGGAAGATACGACTCGCCGATGAATTCATTATGTTGACAGATGCCAACTGCAACTGTCAAAGAGGACAGAGTAACTTGTACAAAAGCTTTTTGGTTGTGAAGACTGTTGGTTGGTTCTACTTCTTTGCTAGTTTATTTTTATTTTTTTAAGTGCATTTTCATTGATAAGTTGAACAAATTAATCAATGAATATACTACTACTACTTGACTAATACTAGTAGTAGTATAATGGAAGGCACATGATAGTCTGGGATAGAGCATTTAAGTGTCAACGCCTTTCAAGCTGTCATTCTTTTACATTGGTCATCTTCCTATCTAATAATACTATTATTACTTTAGCCCGGTTTTTATTTTGTCTGTACTTGATTGTCGTTTGCTGATTCATTGACTGAGGCCGGGGTTCAGTTTCTCTGGTAAAAGCCTCTTCTCACGATTCGTGCAAAACAGCGTCGCACCTTCCGTTCAAAACTAAATGATTATTCAGAACAAACTCAATAATAATCAGTTCAACTTAAGACAATTATCATATATAGTATATGAAAGTAGCACCTTCGTACTCTTTCTGTCCCATAATTATTGTCCGGTTTGGGGTTTCATTTCTAGTTTAAATTGTACTAAAAATGAAATTTTAAATTGGACAATAATTTTGGAACAGAGGAAGTATCAGAACAAGCCCTTCCACAGCTTACAAACGGTGATAAACATTTTTACTCCGTTGTACCGATAAATGTAGACCAAGTCGATGAACATTTATTTTCTTAAAAAAAGTTTTATGGTTTTTTTTCTTGGTAAATAAAGTTATATGGTTGGATTTAAAATTAATTACAACAATGACTTTGGACACTTGAAATGTAATAACCATTTCCATTTTCCAGCTTACTAATTTAGTTCCAGAAGAGTAGGTCACAACAATTCATAGGATTCCTTCCATCCAAATCAAAATATGATTTCTCGCTGAACCATTTTACGTTGATACTTTGGAGTTTTTCACATGCTACATTACTTCTTTTTTGTCAAATAACGAGAAATTCACGACAAAAAAATTGTTCAACATTTTTGTTTGAATCACAATAAATACATAAACCAAACAACACATATATTTTGGACGACACTAATCTAACCTAGAAAACCCAAAGACCAACTTGTCTGAAACATTACCTTAAGGCTTAAACAATACATTGTCAACACTGAAGAATCAAGCTTAATTAATTACCATAGCCTGCCCATATGTTTTGTAGAGTAATTGTATAAGTATTCACTAGGGTTCTCTACTTATAAGACACGTATATATTTGAAATTTTAAACTACATTTAGTCGTAATGTATACCTCACAAACATGATCGGAGCCAATTAATATATATATATATATGATTTTTAAAAGTTAGTACAAAATTTTTGTTTTCCCGCAGACAACGGCTATTAATACTGGACAGTCCCACCCTCCCACACTCTTCCACTCCACCACTCTCGAAGTGCATCCATCATCAACAACTCAAACACTACCAAAAACCCCTAAAAAAAACAAACCTTATTGTCATTTTTTAAAGGTTCTGAATATAAGAAGGAGAGATTAAAAAAAAAAAAAAAGGGGTTCAGACTTCAGAGTTGGAAAATTCAGAGGAGAGAAAAACATAAACATATAGTGTACTGCATAAGAAGGTTCCAGGAATCAAGGGTCAAGATCCATCATCATGTTACTAAAACCCTGAAGATAAGGAAGAATCCAGCAACTATACATTGTAGAAGTATAGAAGAAGAATTCTCTCTTTCTTTCTTTCTTTGTCTCTTTCTGATTGTCTTCTTCTTCTTCTTCAACTTCACTCACTCACTCACACAAAAGATACAGACAAAGCAAAAAAAACAGTTGTTTTCTACGACGTTTGAAAGTCAGAGATCTCTCTCTCTCTCTCTCTCACAATCTGTCAAATGTTGGTCTCCATTTAGACTGGTCAAAATATCAAAAAAGAAACTAAAGAAGAAGAAGCCAATGAAAGTTGTTGTTGTTGTAGAAGCTGAAACAGGCGTCAGAGGGAGAACAGGACATGGAAATGCCAGATTAGCAGCATTCGTCGTGGGATTTTTGTTATTGTTGAGCTTGTTTTGTTGTACGGAATCATCATCAGTTTCAGCTCCTTCATCTCATTGGTCTCCAGCAAGAAAAGCCCGTCATCATTTCCACGCAAAATCATCATCATCATTCTCCAAAGATCATGCAAGAAAAAGAAGTAGTTCAAGAAGAAATGGTGACACTTTCGAAGATGATAAGAGATTAATTCATACGGGTCCAAACCCTCTTCACAATTAGTGACAACAAATAGCATATAAGAGCTAGTTTTGCTACCATTAATTCTACCAAGAAAGAATTCATAGTTTTTTTTTTTTTTTGGGTTCAATTTCCTTGTTGAGAAAAAGAGTACTGTAAAAAGTACTAGTGTCTGCAGCCTTCGTGGTTATATGCTTTTGAATCAGAATTAATGGTAGCAAAGCTTTAAATTTTTGCTTTTTTTTTTAGTCAAGCTTCAATGAGGTAGGGGAAAAGAAAGGTGTGTGGCAATGTTGATGAAAAATTTGGAAAGGTTGAAGTCCAAGGCTGTTTCTGGTAATCTTATTAAATGCTCTTGTTTACTTTTCTCAGTGTTCCTTTCTTACACCCTTCTATGCTTCCATTTCTCTGCACTTTTGTATTGAATATTGCAGTGTAGAGTTATTTCTGTTCATCTACTTCCTTCTCCTAGTCAACCATCCACAATAGAGATTTTTGAATCTTTCATCTCGTTTTAATATGCATTGTTTCATCAACCGTGTAATAAGTTGTTCAAATTTGTTATTCTAATTTCCTAATGAAATTACTCAGAGTCCACTTTGTTGAAATGTCGATGTCAACATCAGTTATAGAAGTAATGACTTGTAATAATCAAGAAGTAAGATAAACTCAAAAACCTACAAAATTTAGATTTCTAAGGTTTGAAACTAGATTCTGACTTACTTATTTGACTTTTATAATGTTGGATCAATCTCTGATTCAGTCAAACAGTGGCAGTAGTGCACTAGTGTGGTAGTGAAACAGTGATTGATCCAATTGAGGAAAAACCCTAGCTAGTTATGAATCATTGGAAAATCCTGTCTTGCTAAAAGAAACAAGAACTGAATAGAAATACTAATGGGCATTGCAATGTTGACTCGGGGGGAAGAATCAAGAGATTCAGAATTCTGAAATTTCACCATTTATGGCTATGTAGCTTGATATTAGTTCATTGCATGACTGAAGGGATAACCATCATAATATTCTTCATTTTCTTTCTTTCTGTATTCAGCGTTTACCCTGTCAAAACCCCTTTTATGAGGTTCAGAAATAAGTAATCAGAACCCAGAAAAGGCAAAAAACAGAAATTCATCAAATGAATATATGATAAAGTTCAGGCAGCACATGCATGGAGGTTAGAGCATATGATGAAGCTATTCTCAATTTGGTTCGTTTCCCAAAGAGGGAAAAAAATGTAGCAAAACCAAGTCATGAAGTCTTTTTAGGCAAATGTGCAGATTTTCATTGAATTTTGAAGTTTTACATTTTTTTTTTTTTTGTTTCAATACACAACTATTGGAGATTTCTTCTCTGAGTGTGCCACAACGATATATATAGTTAAGGGCTTAACATAATATCATTTCACAAACTACAATCATATCTTACTTTTTTAACATATTTTAAAAAGGTTTTAAAAGAATAACAACAAAGGGAAATACTACAAAAACAATATTAGTTCAGATTTATCAAAACTGTTGTCCCGTAGATCTTCAACTGTCTATGAGCATAACTGCATAATAAAACGTGGGCTATTGATTGATTATTCCCAGAAGTCACTATCACTTTTAAGTTGCATCATGCATTTAAATGCTTCATTTTCCGCAACGGGTATGTATGCCTGTCGTCTTCGGGCCAACGCGCATTCTCATGGTTAATTACCAATGGACCCCCTTAACTCCTTAATTACAGTACTACTTATTGCTAGCCTGTTAGTGTCCTCTTTTTCCCTACTACACTTTTTTTTATATATAATTGCAAACACCTAATCTATTACATGTGGGAGAAGTTTATAAAGAAGGAGATAGTATTATTAAGAGGGAAACTCCATACGCACACGCCTCAAACTCGAACTGATATTTGAAAAGTCTCTTGACGATGCAAGCTGAAAAATCTACACAAACTCAACACTGAAAGTATTGTTAGTGAAATTCAAACCCGGTCTCCTGGGTGTGATGTCAAAGCCCCAACCAATTAGGCTACCCCTTTGTTGGCCCCCTAGTACACTTGTTGCTCATTCTAAGTTTCTAACTTAAAAACCTTATTTTTTGTGTGTGGACATTTTCCCCCTTCATTTAATTTGCAACACTATAATGTTACTATGGTACGATGAGTGATACATATGGTACACTTTACATACTTGTAGTGACACAGTATATATTAAAAACCCCCCAATTAATTTTCGTGTTCAACTTACACGTTTTGTTAAAGCGTAGGCAAATAAATTTACAAACTTTAATATATATTGACTCATGGGAATGATATTGTAACAATAGACACATCTTTATTTGTATACATACACACATTTTGTACACATCTTTATTTTTTTTTAAGCGTTAGTATTTAGAGTTTGCAATGTCGTTGCGATCCTACACAATTGTTATGTACAGGACTATAGGTTCAACAAGATCGGATCAGATCTCAAAAGTCCACAAAATCAGCTAAAGTTTGTATGTTTATGTAGGATCCTAAGATTGTTATAGTACTTCTTTTCAATTAGAAGTAACCTTAAAAAATGTCAAATCTGCGGACATGTTTATCTGTGTATTTCTGTTGCTTCCTAAAAGCCAAACAGATTAGTTATGATGGTTTACTGTTTCAATGTCAACAGTACTGTACAAGTTTCACATATTTTTTTCAGCAATTTCATCGTTCTCAAGGCGACTTCAAAAAAAAATGAAAAAAAAAAAAGAACCGCAAAAGAAGCTTCTTTGAATGAGTTTCCAAGACCAAAGACGTTAAAAAAAAAGAAAGAAGTGAAGTTGTGGTTTTTCTTGAAACAAAAGCTTTGCACCGATTCCAATTTGAAAGATTCTTTGAAGTGATCAGGAGAGTTAAGTCCATCTCTCCTGTATTAATGTTTGTGCCGGACCCTAGGAAGATGGTTCTATTTCTCTTCTACCATGATGAAATGAATGTTTTGCTTGTTGTTGTTGACTATTTACGTTTTGCCGTATGTATGTAATTTGGTGTGTACAAAATGGAGTTAAATTTTGGATTGTGATATTTTGGCCCAACAATTTAGATCAAAAGTCTACCTTTATCGCTCCACCTACCTAAACGGGGAATGACTAGTGACAATAATATATTGAAGAAAATATCTTACTATTTTTAAATATCGCAAGTTATGCGTCACTTTACTGTAGTATCGTTGATAATAATTATCAATTGAAATAGTTAAATTGTCTACCGGGAGGTCAATTTTGAGGCAAATTCAATGGCAAAATGGATAGAATTGAATAACAGGAGAAATTATTGTTTTGTAAACCCATAGGCCAGCGTTAAGCCGTAGTCAGTTCATGATATAATCGGGTATCATACCCCCTTAATGTAATCACAACTTCTTAGGCTTTTGGCTCTCTTGAATCCAAAAAAGAAAAATGAAATAGTTGAGTTGTAGGCTTAAATTTGTCTTTTACCTGATGTAAAATACCCTTTGGTATTGAAAGATGTCAGAGAGCTAGCACTACCAAGTTGGTAGATTTCTTTTTGAAAGGATAAAAAAGGTAAAACTATATATTTTGGGTTGAAAGGGTAAAAAAAAAAAGGGGTGGTAGAAACTTTTTTAGAATGAGTTCCAGACTTCCAGCTTACAAATGCAGGTCTTCCTACTAAGGGTAGATATATGCCCCAAGTAACTTATTTATGGTGGGAAAAGAAAACAATAAAATTATTTCGTAGATACTTCATGCAAAACTAACTAAAACTACTTTACAAATCACTCATTCATTAAAGTTTACTTAAGATTCATTTTAGAATTTGTACTAATTGAAACGACAAGTATTAAATCATAAAGAGTGTCATACAAGTGTAACACTAACAATACCACTGAAGATCTTATCTACTATGATAACTGACACAAATGAAATTAAGGAAAGTACATATTGCATATATAGTGTCACAGTTCCCATATTTTCACATAGAAAAAAGAGGATATCACTAGTCATGAATATTGTTTATATATATATATTTTTTTTTTGGAAGCAGAGTGATAGAAATTTCACGTAAGAACATTAAGAAAAAAAAAGGAAAAATATCTAAAATGCTTTTAAAGTAGTGCCCAATCCCCTTTTACTACTACCAATTTCTAAATACTAGCATTTTCTTTACGTATTGTTTGAAAACCAAAACTGTATAATAAGTTCATGGAGTTAAAATTACACCCAGTAGGTGGTAAAAATTCCCCAAAAATATCCGAAGAAAATATCAATTTAAAAATATCCTCAAACTACCCAACCTACCAATCAGTCTACGCCACGTGATAGTCGATATCTCCTGTAATTTCATGGGCTTTAGCCGACCCACATCTATCTACGTGGCACGTTACTGTTAATTTCATTTCCTGAGTGACCCAAAATTTTTTATGTAGTGAGAGAAAAGATTGAGGTTCAACTGTTCCACCGGAAAACATGGCGGCACCGCCGTCTTCCTCCGGGATCAAGCTCTCACACAGCTGCTCCAAATTCATCCCAAACCGAGGCGTATTCTTCAAGCCAACATTCCGGAATGCTTCTTGTTTTACCTGCTCTTGCAGTTCCACTCCAGCAGATAGTGAGAGGAAAACGTCGTCGTCTGTCAGCACAATCACGAAACCTAATCGTAAAGTCTACGTCGGAGCTCAATTTACCGAGCTTTCGAGTATTGACGATTCTGAAATCTCTAATGTCGGCGGCGGCGCTAAATCATGGGGGAACCGAAAATTTACTTTTGATGTGGGGTTGGAAAAGCGAGCTTTCTGGAGAAGGATTTGGTTTGAATCGAAGAAAGTTCGGAGTATAATTCTGCTCAACTGTATCACAGTTATTTACGGTATTCATCTATTTCCTTTTTCATTTTTAGTCGGTGTAGTTTCATTGTTGAAGTTTATAACTTTGTGCTAAAGGAATGTTTATGGATAGTTAACTTTTATCTCAATTGACATTTCCTTCCATTTTCGTCAACACGGATTAGACTGTTGTGAAAAGCATTTCAATGAAATTGTACCAGGAAAAATTTGATTGCGGAATGGATGTGACAACCAATAAACCTTGATTTCTCTAGTAGAATTATCCTAGAGTTTGAAAAGGGCTGAATGACATAAAGAAGTGAATTAAGATTTATAATATGCCATTAGAAGTGATTATATCTTTCCTGAGCTCATAAAGCTAAAGCTACAATTTGGCTTAAGTTTTAGCTAGCATTATGTTGTGCTGTGTAATTAGCTAACATAGAGATTCTTTTGTTCTGCAGCAAGCAATATTCCTGTAGTGAAACAAGTCGAAGCTTATATCAAACCCGAAGCCTTTACTATTGTTCGGTTCTCTTTGGCTGCGCTTTTATTTTCCCCATTTGTATTTAAAGCCAGAGGTGATAATAGAACCCGTAATGCTGGTATTGAATTGGGATTTTGGGTCAGCTTAGGCTATCTTATGCAAGCACTTGGACTGCAAACTTCTGGTGCTGGACGTGCATCTTTTCTTACAATGTTCACAGTAAGAATATCATAGAAAGACTCCTTTTTCAAGTTTTTTACAGTGTAGCTTTTGTCTTTTGGTAGAAACTTAAAATAGCCTTCAAATGTCACTTGTTCAGGTTATTGTGGTTCCATTGCTTGATGGTTTGCTAGGATCTGAAATCCCAGCTGTTACATGGTTTGGAGCCTTCATGTCTATTGTAGGAGTTGGCATGCTGGAAACCAGTGGAGCAGCTCCTTGTGTAAGTATTTTCTTTGGTTCTTGATTAACTCTGTGTCCATTAGTATATCCTTTTCATTTCAAACTTTAGAAATGAAGTTGACCCTATTGATTGTATGTTTGAAGACATAAGTGCCAGCAGTTCTGCATTCTTACTGATTACACTAATTATGTAGGTTGGTGACTTTTTAAATTTTTCAAGTGCTGTATTTTTTGGGGTTCACATGCTAAGAACTCAACACATTTCGAGAAGTACTCACAAAGACAATTTCTTAGCTCTTCTCGGATATCAGGTTAGCTTTCAGAACAAGGGTCTTCTAGTTTATAATCTAATATTTGAGATACTTTTGTTTTTCTATTTTTCATTAATGTTTAATTTTTGTTTGCATTATTTGAACCTTCATTCCTCTAGGTATCTGTGGTTGCTTTTCTATCAACACTGTTGTATATATTTGGTGCTTCTTTTGGTGGCGACCAAACATTAAATCCTTCATCCTGGACGTGGGCGAAAATTTCAGACTGGATGTTAGCATTTCCATGGGTGCCAGCAGTTTACACTGGCATTGTATCAACTGGTTTATGTTTATGGGCAGAGGTATGGTATCCAGTGATTTGAATTTCAACTAGGAGCTTTTTACTTTCACAATTCCTTGAAAATCACTTTCTTGTATGAGGGGAGTATCATCTATGTTTCACATTCAGCTTGTTCAATAAACCTACCCTGAAAGAAATGATGAATCCATCTCCACAAGATGATTGACACAAAGAAGAAACAACCTAGTTTTAGAGCTGAAAGAAGCTGAACGGGTATCTTGAGAATTTACCAGGTTCCTCTCCTCTATGAACTCTGAGGTTCTGGTGAATCTTAAGCATCCTTCCCTCAATTGTTGAAATAATGCTAAGGGGTTAAACAAATGTGTCATACACGCTCCAATGCTCAGTCTAGGTCATATTGCTTATACTGTCACCTGAAGTCTTCAACTCCATTATGCTGATATCAAGAAAACTACTTCTCTATTCTTATACTTCCTACTCTATGATGTTTATTTTTAATTCTTATTAAATCACTTTGTATGATATGAAGTTAGCAGCCATGCGAGATGTTTCAGCCACAGAAACCGCAATAATCTATGGATTGGAACCACTCTGGGGTGCTGGATTTGCGTGGTTACTGCTTGGTGAGAGATGGGGTGTTAGTGGCTGGATTGGAGCCGCTTTGGTGCTTGGTAAGTAATCTTCCATCTGCTTTCTTTTCGACAACTTATCTAATTCATCGTCGAGTACAACAAACTGCAACGGCTTTCTGTTCAACAAACTGCAATTGTTCCTGAACGTTATCTCCTCCTATCTACTGTTTAGAATTGGGGCCTAACGATGTCTAATATTCATGTGCTGCTTTTGGTAAAGAGGTTCGTTTAAAAGTGTTCTGTTTCCAGTGTTGGTGATTCTCTAAGTCTCTGTTCAGAATAACAGGGTCATCTTCTCATCTGGGTAGCATATTGACGGTTTGAGAGACAAAGAATATGAAATGCTTTCGCAAATATCAAATGTCCTCTAAGCCATTGAACTTGTTTAAAGTTAAAGCCTCATGTTTTAATTTTAATTTCTGAGAGCTTCTTGGAGATTATTGTCTTATTTGTAGCTCAAAAATTTGAGGTCACCTCTATTACTACCATAGATCATCTGACTCTTAATGGTCTCACCGAATGAATCCAACCTGATAAAATAATCATTAGGACGGTGCTTAGTATATATCTTACTAATTTGCTTTTATTCTGTAGGTGGAAGTTTAATGGTGCAGATACATGGTGCATCCTCGACAGCAGCATCTTCAAGAGATGACATATCTGTGAATACAAAAGATGATCTGTTGACTGCAGGCGATGAAAACTGCTACACTTCCTCTGAAATTTTTGCTAATTCTAGGAAGGAGTCACAGAAATCGCTGAAGAAGCAAAGCTGATAGTTATAGTTCGACTTGAGTGCGCCTGTAGATACCTTTATAGAGATTTATGAACCAGAGTACTGACAACTTCATCGATCGCAATTTTGTTCCGACGAGAATTTTTCCTGCTTGCCAGGCGGCTGGATGTAAGATGGAGGCCTGATCCTTCATGTAAATTTTGTTTGATAAAATAATGATAAATTATCAACTGAAAATTTACATGCATTGGCTTTGATATTCCTTTCAGTGGACGGAGACCATCCATTATAACTTGTTACATGCTACGTTGATTTCTGATCGACTATGTATGTAAAGAGCTGAATTATTCTTTTTTCACGTCTACTGTTTGGTTCTTAACACATATTCATTGGCGGAACCAAGATTTCATCCCCACAGGTGCTTCATTATACGGATGACTTACCGTGAACCAATTCGTTCCACAGCCATGGAGTTGGAAAATTCTTTTTCACCCAACAATTATGGATTCGAATTTTTTATTTTATTTTATTTTATTTCGTTTCAAAATATTGTCCAGTCTCTTAAAAGGTTAAAAAAAGAAGAAGAAGAAGAAAGCATTACTCACGTCCTAGTATGGATAAATAAGACTTTAAAATGTTGCATAACCTTCTCATTTAAAATGCTGGTCCACTAGGTGAAAATGTCTGAAAACTTGAGGGCTTTGACTGGACTTTTTTTTATTAACAGCTATCAAATCTACAGTAGTTTCTAGCTTTTTAAACATACATATAAACACCACGAATGATAAAATTTGAAATTATGACAATATTAGATTTCAGATCTAAAACTGATGTGCACTCGTCTTCGCCATCGAAACTTTGCTCTCTGTCGCCGAAATCCATGGTTGCCAAATTAACTTGAATTTGCCTCTTATTTTGTTCTTTGCTTCACCAGAACTATATTGGAATCACTTGGCACCAGTCACGCTTCTCCGGAAGTGCTCAAAAGAATTGGGGTTTGTATAGGTTGTCGGAAAATTTTTTGGCCGGGTCTGCCAGAGGTACTCCGGTCTATCCAAGCCCTACACTAGATATGTGAATGCACATATTTTTGTATATTTTACGTAGCAAGGAGATAATCCACATTACAATTTGTAGATTGTACTACTTTTAGTATGATTAAATTAAAATTTAGTTTTTTAGGATAGAGAAAGTAATAGAATTGAGTGCAACATTTCTTAAATATGGGAAAATAATGCGGTCTGCGGATGATAGAAATGCTGACATGCTACATGGTAAATGGTTCAAAAAAGTGCAGTAACAATATGGCACGAATTGGGACTACTAGTATTTCACCCGCTAACTTGGGAATATTACTCTTGTCAAGAGAATAAATTTTAATTAAGATAATCCAGAAAGCTGACAAATTTTAACAAGTACTGAGTATAGTTTGTGCCTCAACATTTTTATTTATTTTGCATCTTTTTTTCTTTCCCCCGACTTCGTGTCAAATACGCAGTTTACCATTTTCATGTCATCGTGGGAATTGAGAAGGAACTACGTTTCATTTCATGAAATAATAATCAAATTTACCATTCTTCTTTATATACACTCAAAGTTTAAGTTTTATGTTATTCCTTACATTCCTATTATGATGTGGATATGATTATGAAAGCGCAACTTTCCCTCTTGCTAGTCTAATTTGTTTGATGAAACACGAAGCAAAAGTTTTATTGAAGTAGTATTATATCACGCAAACATCCTACAAATAACGTTTGCTGCAAGTCCCAAAACTTGTTGTACTATCAAATATTTTAACATACTGATGTAATGCTAAATTTGCCTCTCGATAAATATGCATTAGATAAACGGTCCATTGGCGGAGCAGCAGCAGGACCTAATTATTTAAATCAAACCATAAATAGTGTGCAATAAACATATCTCCTTCCCGACATCATCTACTATCATCTCCGCGAAACACTCTATTAATAGGTAGTATTTAGGTGCATGCATGTGGCTAATTTTTACTCAAAAGCTCTTCTCCTCCAGAAGATTAATTAATGATCGATGCATACCCTTATGGACACAGTTCTTCTACGTAAACAAAATCCATGCATGATTTAAATCACCGACGTCGTTTACGACCCTCAAAATCTCCTGCATGCGCTTATCTGCACGTTGCTAATTGTGGTGGGCAAATTCTTTATTATTCACACATTAAATTGAGTAGATGAGGTGGTTGTAGTTTGGACTCACCCAAATAATTTCTTTGAACAGTAAATTTCCTTGTGTTATAAGGTTAGGGGTTTCAGAGCTTTGTTTAGTATTCTCAGTTCATACATTGTAAGTTTTAAACATGGCTAGCAATGATTTAGCAGGTACTTTGGAAGGTGAGGTGAAGTTAGAGTCAAAAGGTGATGAGTTCTTCCATGTCATTGGAGGTAAAGCTCACCGGCTTCCGGATCTTATCAGTCATGGGATTCAGAGTATTGGCCTGCATGCCGGTGACTGGAAAACTGATGGCTCTATTAAGAATTGGACTTACTTCATGGGTAATGCGAATTGGATATATATTTCCTTCGTCCCAAAATAAGGGTCTTATTCAGTACATGCTAATATATACTTTTATATCCTTGGTGTATTTTTTGTGTTACTGTCTTGCAGATGGAAAAGTGGAGTCATTCAAAGAGAAACTGAAGGTTGATGAAGAGACTAAGACCGTGACCGCGGAAGCCATAGGTGGAGATGTGATGAAGCATTACAAGAAGTATATAATCACTATCAAAGTTGTTCCCAATGAAGATGGCTCCAAGGTTGCGAAATATTCCATTGACTATGAAAAGCTGAATGAGAATGATCCTACTCCAACTAAGTACCTGGAATGGATTGGTCAAATGATTAAGGATTTGGATGCTTCCCTGGCCAAACCAATTTTCGGAATTCTCTGAAATTCAAATCAAACCACAGTGGACTACGTGAAAATGAATTGGGAAACTGTGTATTATTTGTTATTGTTTGATGAATTGCTAAATCGCAAGGCTTAGTTTGCAATATTGAAGTATTATATAATAAAGCCTTGTATATATATGTTGGTGTGTAACATGATGTTGGTTTGTAATATTTTACCTTTCAAGCCGCTGGATCTTGGGGCCTTCCAATTTATTTTGTAAATGATAATGCACATGTTTTGGTTGCTTCAAGATTGATTTCATACACGTTTATTGGATGTATGATGTAAGTCATTTCAAAGTTAATTTTAAGTTCTATTCTAGGGTCATTTTAGCTTTGGTTCTGATTTGGGTTTATTTGAAGGTTAAAAGTTGCATTGAAACTAAAGTAAAGTAAATTGCTTTAGAATTAATGTAGAGAATGTGCATGTAAGTATGCATGGTTTGAGAGAGGCGGGGGTGGGGGGGGGGGGGGGGGTTGCACTTCACGTCAATCATTTTTTCAATGCAATAATTAGAACTTTATGTAACTGTAGTTACACATCTTCATAGCATGTTCTATCAAGTTATTAAGTTTCACTTCATTTATTGTAATTTTTTTTAATGTAAAATAGTAATTTAGATGTGTAGAAGAATAAAATATGGTTACTTACCAATATCTCTTGGGTTGGAGAACTTACACGTGATCCACCATGGTTTCAAAAACTATGAAGGAATTACTATGCTTAGCCGAAAAGTGTAAAGTTGAAGGAAATTCCTTCAAGTTAGCTCTGTTGACACACTAGATATTGGGGCTTTCACAATGTACTACGCGCGCACTATCATAAATCAATGATGTACATTTGTTTCAATGTATTCTATACTGTATATTGTGATAAGTGATTTCGAAGAATCATGTGATAATACAAACCAACATCATGTAACGAACATATATAAGTTAATTAAAAGTTATTTTTTCTGTCTCAAAAAATAGTTCATATTGTGTTTTATACTGAGCATACTAAACAAAGCTCTAAAACCCTAAACTATATAAAGTGGAATTCAATGTTCAAAGAAATTATTTGGTGAGTCCACTACAACCACCATCATCCACTCTCCATGAATACAAGAATTTGCCCACCCTCAATTAGCAACGTGCGGATATGCAGAAGATCATTTGAGTAAAAAATGTTGTCGGTGATTTAAGCCATGCACGGAGTTTGTTTACACAGAACTGTGTCCTTAAGTACGTAAGCATCATTCTCCTGTAGAAGGAAAGCGAAGAGAGGTTACAGAGTCACATTCACCTTAGAGGCAAGTGGCAGAGTATTGTGGAGATGATAAAGAGGATGTGGGGAAGGAGATGTGTACTCTATGGTTTGATGTTAGCAACAGGGGTTAGTGTGCTGGAAACCATCCCACATCGCCCATATGTGAAGTCGAGATATCTGCATTATATGTAATGTAATAACTAATAAGGAGAGTATTTGACACGATCAAGTTGGAAAAAACTATACTCAATACTTCTGACAAAAAAAAAAAAAAAGAAAAAATAGTCAACTTCTGGATGGATTAAGATTTATTCTCTCGCCAACAGTCTTTAATTTCTTAGAGCATAACCATAAACATTGTGAAAACTTTAAAGTTGAAGCAAAGTTAATTTGGTTATTTGTAGAAACATATCAAAATTTAGATAGATAGTAATGGCAAGTTATCCTTGTGCACTAATCTTGTGTATCATTCCAATCTAATTGAAACCACACATAAATACCATCTGGACAATTTAATTAAAGAAAAATCAAATTTAGTATTTGAAAACTTGAGAGTTGAATCAAAATTAAAATTTACTCATTCTCTCCGTAAATGAGTAAATTTTAAGATCGACCAGCACGTACCTTTCAAATTGAGGTAGGCGAGGAATTAAATCTCGAGTAATCTATTCACAAATTAAATTGGGTAGCTACTTGTCACTGTTACTCATCCCTCGATAATTTCTTTAGAAACACTGAATTCTCTTTTGTATATATAGCTTAGGGCCTTAGATCTGCGCTTTACGTGATCATCGTCGGTCTAAGAAAAGTTGAGTCCAGTTATTTATAAAACCATGGCTACAAGTAGTAATTTAGTAGGAAAGTTGGAAGGCAAGGTGACGCTAAACTCAAATCCTGAAGAGTTCTTCCGTATCGTTGGAGGTAGAGCCGACCAACTCGCCGATCTTATCAATCACAAGATTCCCAGCGAAGAGCACCACGAAGTTGATCGTAAGACCGAGGGCTGTATCAAGAATTGGAGTTACATTATTGGTAATGTCAATATATTCATGATTACTACCTCAAATTTCATACATCCGTTTATAAAATGTTTTGTTCGTCTTAGAAATACTTCGATCAATCGCAACTACACTCTCTGTCCCAAAATTATTGTCTAATTTGAAATTTTACTTTTAGTACAATTTGAATTGAAAATAAAAATTTAAACTGAACAATAATTTCGAGATAAAGAGAATATTATTTAATTAGGTTACAGATCAAAAGAAAAAACTATTGTTTTACTTTCATGCAGATGGAAAAGTTGAGGTATTCAAAGCGAGACTCAAAGATGATGAAGAGACTAAGACCGTGACACTCGAAGCATTGGATGGAGATTGCATGAAGCATTACAAGAATTATGTCATCACATATATTGTTTCCGGCGAAGATGGCTCCAACGTTGTCAAGTATTCCGTCGACTACGAAAAGCTGAGTGAGAATGAGCCGACTCCGACGCACTACCTGGAATGGCTTGGTCATATGTTGAAGGATTTGGATGCTTCCCTCGTCAAACCTTAATTATATGTAAATGTTAATCGCAAACTTTTGCAATAATATATATATATATATATATATATATGTAGATCAAGCCTTTCTATGGTACCGTCGGTTAGTTGAGGATGAAGTTATATCATTCACCCTCGTATTTCAAGCCTCAAGAGTATATATGGGGCTTCAAATTATGTATGATGCGATAATAAAAGAGTGTGTTTGTTTTAATTTCCTTCAATTGATTAATGTCATATGTTTGGTTTGATATATGACAAGTGATTTTGTTGACAAATAAGGACTGATTCACATCAAAGTTTTTATGAAACTCTTGATTTCAGGATATATTGATCAGTCTTTACTTGATTGTACATAATTGTTAAGCTCAGAATAGAATTAATTTAGTAGAAGGACTAAACATGTAAATTAATGATAGTTAGAGTAGTTGACTTGGTTACTTCCTCCCTTCTAATTCAATAGGCCTATTTAAATAATCATGGAGATTAAAAAATGTAGGTATTTTAGTTTAAATGGTTAATTTTGAATAATTCACCTAATTTGCCCCTATTAATAACTAGTAGTTGATAGTTAATTAATATATAGTAAGATTGGGAGTTGGATTCAATTAAATGTTCTAAATTTCAGTGATAGTAATGAGGGTATATCAAAGAATTCAAAGATAAAATTAATATCAATATTTGAAGTGAAAATGAATTTTGAAAAATCCTAAAAGGAAAACTGTCCCTATTAAATTGAAACGGAGGGAGTAATATTTTGTCTATATATTACTTATATATGTTTTGTTCATTACGTACTTTGTTCCCGGATCAATAAAAGTTATGTTTTCTCATATTATAGAATCCTAACTCTATTTTTTCATCAGAGCGATCTTTTCGTCTTGTAGACTTGTGGGTATATTTCGTCCAATCTTACAATTTATGTGATTTGATTTACTTGGATTCGGCTTTTACTTATACGACAATATATCTCAGGAGTTTGGCTTACCCGTATTAAATTTTAATTGACCCGACAGTATATTTGGAGTTTGATGTACCCGTATTGGGTTTTGAATGACCCGAGAATTTACATGAAGTTTAAATAGTTCAAAGAGACCGTATCCAATCTCACCCTTTAGGTTTGAGAGGAGGGCGTTAAAATCTCCTTTGAACTCAAAAGTAGGTGAAAGACACCTTTCTCGTATTGGAAATGGTAACTTATATTGACCAAGTCTTATGTGCTATTTTCCTTATTGCCAATTGTTTTTGAGGTGGAAGCGCATGTGAGTTTACACAGCCTTCAACATAATAATAGATTCTGCTATAGCAATTGCTTTCGCAATTTCAAATATACAGGTTTTGTTGCACATCTTCTGCTAAGGACATCCACGGTTCAATTTCTTGAAATATGACAAGAAATCATGACACAGATGATGATGATGATGATGATGATCTTCAGCGATTTCTGAAAAAGCGGATGAAACTTTTTAATCTAGATGACGAATTTCAGCTTCATGGATCGGAAACTCCTGCTACGGTCCTTGTTAATTGCTTTTGGAATGGTAAGAATTACTTGATTGGGCAAAATGCCATAATTAAAACTTTAGAATGTAAGAATAAGTATGTTTTGTGGATGGAAATTGTGAAATGCCTGATGTTAGATCACTGACGTTTAAGAAATGGAGACAAGTACGAATTGTGTTATTATCCTGGATTAAGAATACATAAGCACCTGAAATTGCTATGGCTTTTATGTTTGTGAATGATGCCAAAGAGTTGTGAGATGAATTGACTTGAACATATGATACTTACAATTCTTTAATGGTATTTAAGTTGAAACATATCTCCATAAAGAGACTAGGGCTCCGTTTGGTTAGATTGAATTGTAATTGAATTAGAATTATAATACTATTGAATTGAAAATGAAATATTAATATTGCAATTCAATCTTAATTCTTTTGTTTGGAAGATCATAAGAATTGACTAGAATTAAGGTTCTAATACTAATTCTTGTGTTTGGATCCTTATAAATTTATAAAATCTAGAATTAGAATTAGGTTTTTATTATCTAACTATAATTTAGTATTTTATTTCATTGAATAAAATAAATACTTAATTTTATATATCAAAACAATTTATTACTTACATATATAAGATAACAAAAATAAATTTATCATATACATTTATATTAGAACTTTTGTTGTTTGAGTAATATATATCAATTTTATAATTTATAGATACATACATATTTGTGGAAAATCTTTTTTTATTATTACGTAAGTATGAATGTGATGATCGGAATTCTCACAAGTAACATGTAGAACATCCTTGTTCCTCTCCTTTTTATTATTTATAAATTTTTAATCTTTAGTTTTTTTTTTGAATTTTAGTGTAAAATTTTTATATAGTTAAAAGTAAAGACCATCCATTTATGTATAAATTATCATTAATACATGGTACTAATTAATTAATTTTTATTTTTAGTATATAATTACATATGGAATAATATATATTTCGACTTCTTGAAAGCTTACATAATTTTTAGTGAAAAAAATTTCAAGTATAGTTCAAAATACATTTGATAAAAAAATGTTAACCAATAGTTAATACCATCCATTTTTAAAATAAATTACAGGTGTCGTTATACATTTGATAGTTTTTGTTAAAAGAATATTAATTTTAATATATAGATCTCATTAATAATTATTAATTGATTTACACCTCGTTTGTACCATAAATAAAAACATATGTTAATTTAACAAAATATAAAAAAAGGAAAAAAAAAAAGAAAAAAAAAAGCCCAACGCAGCAACGCTAAAAGAAAAAGGGGGAAAAAACGAAAATGAAAAAGGAAAAAAAAAGCGCATGTGCAGCGCTACCCCAAAAAAAAAAAGAAAAAAAAAAAACCTCAAACTTAAAAGACCCGTTTTGTTATAACCCGGAAAACGACCCGTATGTGACCCGCGTTTTTTCTAAAGCCCCTAGAGTTCGAATTGCAATTATTTGCTCCCACAAAAAAATTGAAAATAAAGAATTGAGCCTCATCTTGAATTATAATTCTAATTCTGGAACCCCTATTTTTTCAGCCAAACACAATAATTGGAATTGAGGGCCTCCAATTCCAATTCTTGGGTCCAATTCAATCCAACCAAACAGAGCCTAGGAGATTTGACAATCCCACAGTATTATAGTTGAGGTATCTCAGAAATCAATATGGACAATTCAGACCACCTTTGCCAGCAACAAGTTTGCTTAAAGAGAAAATTCATGATCGTAAAATGGAAGATGAAGTGATGATTTATCATAGGATTAAATGAGGTTTATGAACCAGAAAGGAATGCAATCTTGATGTTGGGTCCATCTCCTACACTACGTATGGTTTATTTGAAGTTGCTTGAGGCAAATAAGTGCAATTAAATGTTGACATAATAGGCTCGATGTCAAATGATAATTCAACCACCGTAGTAAAGATACGGTCATGACAGGGATCATGGCAGACCTACATAGGGGCTCGAGTAGGTTCGAGCACCCCCGACCGGCTGGAAAAAATTTTCAGGCAGCCTTTGTCCGCCTCAATTTCAGTGTTCAGCACCTCCAATTTCAGAGCTTTCCACGGCTTTTCAGAGAAGAAGAAGATGAGTCTAAATGTTGATTTGATTTTATTGGTTTTTGTTACCAATTCGGCCTAGCCCAGCCCACCTTACATCCAATTTAATTGGTTTTTGTAGCCAATTTTGCTCGGCCAGCCCACCTTGCCTCCTTCGGGACTAAACCATCTTCTTTTTAAATTGAGATTTATGGATTACTAGTGTTACGCATTTTGTGTTAACATTAGTAAACGAAAATTCAAATTTGAGTAGAATATTTGATTTCGTTTTAAATGATCTTACTATGAAAAATTAGATCAATAATGAAAGAACACTCCCAAATATTGAGTCTTCTCGATCAATAAACCACATCAAACTAAACATAAATTTAAGTGCTTAAAATTAGGTTTTAACTTGATTTTGCATCCAAGTATACAAATAACTACTTAACGATTTTTCCTGTTCCATGTAATAGAGCACCTCCAGTGCTCGATCTCTGGTTCCGCCCCTGGCCCCCTCAAGCATCTAAACCTTGTTTCGGTAAGAATGGCGACAAATCTATTTTTCAGAAGATACGCGAGCCATTTGAGATACAGTCATTCTCACAAATCTGGACATCTCGAATAATTGTTTTGACTTTATAGGATATCGAGAATGGTGGAATGCTATTATACCTCCGAGCCAAGTTATGAAGAAGCAGGCCTATCTAACTGATATACCTTTAGAGAAATAAGAAGAGAACAACAACTTGCATAATCTACTTGTTAATCCTATGCAAGAGGAGGTTAGCAGACTGATGAAAGGGAAGACTCATGCGGAGGAAAGTATTATCATTCAAGGGGGTTCAGTTCACTTTGTGAATCTTTCCGAATTTGAAGAATTTGTAGGTACTTCCATACTATCTTTACTTAGTTTTAATTATACTGATTGCTTAAGTGTGTGATTGATTGAATAGCTGATACAGGAGCCACATGTCACATGAGTTTTAGTTTAGAAACATGATAAATCTTAGAAATGTAAGTAACTGTATAAACGCTTGTGTTTTTTACCTGATAATATGTTTGCAGGATTGTAATCCTACGCAGGATAGAAATGGGATCATAGAATCAGATCGTAAATAGGATCGATAGGATCAAAATAATAGGATCGTAAAATTAATTATACATGTTATATAATTAATTACTTTGATATGTAGTTGCAATTATTTTTAGATAAAGTATTTAACATTTAAAAAAATGTGCAAATTCAATTTTCTTATATGAATTTTTTCATAACTTTTTAATAAAAACTCTTCTCTTACATTTCTTCTTTTTAATTTATTACAAAAACTTTCTAAATTACATTTTTCTTAGCAATAAAAGTTTACTCAAAAAATATTAGCCTCAATTGAATGTGAACAAAAAAAAAAGAGAAAAAAAAATCTCAATAAGCTCAATTAATTTTTTTTTGTAATTGATGAATAGTAAACTCGGGCCGATCTTATGATCCTGACCGATTCCATTACAAAATTCGAGTTTGATCGATCCAGGATCGATTTAAGTACTTGGGTCCGATCCTACGATCCAGGATCACGAGTTTGCAAACTATGATATGGTAGCATCAGGAAAGTGCATCAAATAAGGGGTGTAGTATTATCACCTACCTTGTCTCTCACTAGATGTTTGTTTATACATTCCATCTCTGCCATGCATCACAAATTTCACTGAACGGAGGTCTTATCAAACACTCAGATTTTAAGATTAGTATTTAGCTCTAACACCTTTCTAGTTTTGGATACAATCATTGAGTCCCCGTTTCCTCTAAATATAATCCAACTAGGTCTTTTAGGTGTTAAGCATTGATTGATTGGCTCTCTATTAACCTCTGCTTCACAGCTCTCTTCCATTCTTTGTACAGAAGAATGATGCTCACTTTTATGGACACATTTCCTCTACGCAAGCAAAATCCATGCACGTACGAATTAAATCACACCCACGTCTTTGTGCGTTTAGATCAGCACGTTACAAATTTGTGGTAGGCGATCGAGTTGTATCTTTTCACGAATTAAATTGGGTAGATGGGGTGGTTAGTTGCTGTGCTCACTCAATAATTTCTTTACAAACCGTGAATTCTCTTGTATAAATAGCTTAGGTATTTAGAGCTTCGCTATATGTAATCTTTTCACAAAACTTAGTCCAATTATAAAACTATGGCTACAAGTAATAATTTAGTCGGAAAGTTGGAAGGTGAATTGAAGCTAAACTCAAATCCTGATGAGTTCTTCCATAGCATTGGAGGCAAAGCCCACCAACTCCCCGATCTTATCAATCACAAGATTCCCAGCATAGAGCTGCATGAAGGGGATTGGAAGACCGAGGGCTCTATCAAGAATTGGACTTACGTTATTGGTAATTATATCGCTACATCTGATTAATTTCATAGATCAAGTTACAATGTCTCGTTCGTAATGATAGTCTGTTTTGTTGCTACTATTCCTTCAGTCTCTAAATTATTGTGCAGATTGAAATTTTATTTTTAATACAATTTATACGCTCTAAAAATAAAATTTCAAACAGAATAACCATTTTGAAATAGACGAAGTATTAGAATATATAATATATTCTTTGACAAATAAAACTCTTAGTTAGTTACAGATCGATATATACGTAATATTTATCAGAAAATTTTTAATCAATTATTATTCTCTTTCATCCAGATGGAAAAGTTGAGGTATACAAAGAGAGAATGAAGTTTGATGAAGAGACTAAGACCGTGACAGCGGAAGCTATAGACGGAGATTGCATGAAGCATTACAAGAATTATGTCGTCACCGCCAAAGTTGTTACCAACGAAGATGGCTCCGGCGCTGTGAAGTATTCCGTCGACTATGAAAAGCTGAATGAGAATGAGCCGACTCCGACAAAGTACCTGGAATGGATTGGTCATATGTTGAAGGATTTGGATGCTTCCCTCGTCAAACCTTAATATATTTAAACGTTAATTGCAAACTATTTCAATATTAATAAAGTCTGATAAAGCATTTTCAAACTAGTAATATTCACCCTCTTTAAAGCCACAGGAGTATGGGCTTCCAAAATATGTATTGATGTGATAACATATAAAAGAATATGTGTTTAATTTCCCTTCTATTGATTAATGATATATGTTTGGTTTGATATATGACAAGTGTTTTCAAAGTTGCGATGAAATGACAGTGTTCATTAATTACAAGTTTTTGAACCATTCCTTTCTTTCTAATTTTGGAATACTTTACGGAAAAAGAAAATTGTTCATGTTGGACCATTTTGGTTGGTGCCGTGAAGCATGACGACTCCTTTGATAAACAAAAGAGAATGCAAAGTTAATTAATCACCATGGATTAATTACGTTTAGGTGGTTTTCCACGAAGCCATTAGCTAGCAACCGAGCAATATTGTCACGTACTAGCTAGCTTGTGGCAATGGCTAAATTCATTAGTTACGGAATGTAAGACAAATTTTACGAAAATGCTTGTCTATGTAAAATCAATTTTCTTCTTGAAAAAGAAAAAAATAAGAAGACTATCATGGGCTTGGATCTTCGTTCTCACCATACATTTATAAGTGTTTGATCATGATCAGTCGAAAGCCAGCGTGAGCGCCATTCATGTTACTGCTCTGGATTTTCAACGGTTGAATCGATAAATCTGTAGATCAAGAAAACTGGGCTTAAAATTCTTTGCGGAAGAATCAAATTATGATCGACCAATACCTATGTAGTATTAATTATATGTGAAGGTGGTTTCTATAGTATAATATGTAGAAGATATATATATATATATATATATATATATATATACACGTTATAAATTTGTAACTAACCTCCCCCACCCCCCCTATTTTTTGAAATCTAATTATATGAATTACATAACCATGGTCGTGCATCGTGATTTTTCGACTAAATGGAGACATTTACACATTCAATGAAATTTCTTATGGATGAGAATAATAGTATATATTTTTGGCTAATAATATTGCTAGCACAATATTTAGTCTGCCGAGCAATTTGAACATATCGTTCCTCAATTACCGCTATTGAGTAACTTCCTAAATTGACTTATGTCTCCCTAAGCCTGATTCATCTCCCTGCCTGCCGCTCATTAATTCTTCCCGCTGTACTAACTTAAATCAGAAAAATAAAGCGTTCCATCCTCAAATCATTGGGAATAGAGTCAACAATGTTTTAACATATATTAGCTTTAACTTCCTCCAAGTTAACTTCGATCGAACTTTTCCATCATATAAAAATGTGGCTGAGGACCTGATTGAGTATTCCATCCATTCTTCTTACGTTTGTAAGGGGTTTCGAGCAAATAAAAGTTCAAAATTGCAGCTAAAATATTGTCCCAAAAATTGGTTACATCTCCAAGACAAGATAATTTGGATGCTAATTAAATGAAAATTACATCTCTTTCTTATCTATCATTTCCTCCACGGGGGTTACTTTTCATTATACTTGGCAGCAGCCATAAAATCTAAATCATTCTTGTCCTTATATTTTTAATTGTTTGAAGATGCATCGAAAATGGTTGAGTTTAGGTTTGGGAGGGCGGATGATTGGTGATAAAGATGATAACAATGATGGCTGCAATAAACTTGTTGGGTTGACTCGTTAAGGGCCATTTAGGAATAATAACATACATAAAATGCTGTGGAGGCCAAATATTACACTGCTAACATTACTAGTCTATTTTTTTTTCTGTTTCAAAAATCAGGCCGACACTCTTGTATGTATTTGATTAATCAATATCATACAGTTACCTCACTCGTGTCATATGATCAAGTTACCTAACATATTTACGTGATAATTAAGATAGAAGTACTAATTTACATTTCTAGGGAACTGATGTGTGGTGGTTTTTTTTTTTTTTTGGTTTTTTATCCCTTTTGTTCTTGAAAAATGTTTAATTTTTTAAACTTAGTGAATTCTTTGTTTGCAAGATAGTGACTTTAATAAGACTCGGTCTGTAGGCGCCCAACCAGCTGAATACAAGTTTCATGGGTTTTTAACTCATTATTAATTATGTTTTATTTGTATGTCTATGCTGTCTTATGCGGCCTTGAAATTTTTTTTTAAGAAAACCTTGAAATGTTCGAAGCAAATTTTCTTTTGGGTTGAAATAGAAACCTAATGGACTAGCTAGCAACACGAGATCCGTTAATAATACAACAATCTTAGCTATCTACTGTTACATTACAATTTCTACTTTTCAAAGAGTTTTTCTCCCTACCTCCATTTTGCAAGAGGAAAAATGAAGTCTCAACTTTTGTGCAAGTTGACTGTTTCATCTTTTAACGCATTATTCCCTATATACTTTTAAGTCACAGTAACATGTCGATCTATAGAATTTACAAAAAAAATACAAAAAAAAAAAACTTGTGCAATTACTCGTAGCCAAACGCAATATGCACTTATTTTTGCTGCTTTAGGAGGAGAATATGACTTTTCAGCTACATGAATACCCCAAGAAAAAAATTGCTATCCTCGACCTTCCATTTATTTAAAAGTACATAACAGATCACTAACAGAGTGGAGCAACAAAATACATAGAAAAAAGCAAAAGAGATTTATTTCACTTCGTCCCAATAGAAATTCCAGTTTATTATCTATGCTGAAATAATTCAACAGACATGACTTTTATTTTGGGATGAATTATAATACCTTAGACATCACATCATTTTTCAACACCCGTGAATTTTATCAGTTGGGAGCATTTATTTGACAATTTTAGGCTCTGTTTGGTTGGTTTTTTTTGGTAGTTTTTTCATATTTTTATTATTATTATCTGTCCCATCCCAATATATCTTTTTACATTTTCAATGCACTTTTTTACATTTTCAATATAAAAAATACCTAACAACACATACTAAAAAAACAATCCAAACATACCCTTAGCATCCAACACTTTTATGGCAGTGATAGCCACGTCCATCACAGAAGTAGGATCTGGGGTGGTTGGCAAAAGCTTCACATAGTCAAATGTCCAAGTCACGATGTTCTTCCCATTTTCAGTTCCAACTTGACAGGAATTGACCTAAAAGTTGAGTACAATTCAGAAGCTCTCCAGCAACGACCAAATAGGTCACTGATTTGTTGGCATCGTCCATGGCCACCACTGTGGCTCTTTCCGGTTTTGATTTCTCCATCTGGAAGACAAAAACCCGTGGATCGATTATCAAATAGGGATAGCGAATTTGATCTGTATCAAAGTCGCAGATCCCAATGAATTCAAAAAAAAAAAAAGAAGAACGTGAAAAAGGAAATCTTACCCTGAACAAATGTAGCTGAGAAGGAAAAACCTAAGACACCCCAAGCGCCATCAACAAGATCAGGGGCAGCGTTCATAGGGTTTGTGGGCAAAGATATCGTAAAACGAATCTGGACTCGAGGTTACTTCTGTCTTGGAAACAAGTTTGCCTGCAAGAATCGCCATCGATCAATCTCTCTTCGAAATTGATTATGTTCTTAACAAAGTATATATTGCAAATTTGGAGGTGTTTCTTATGGGGGAGCGAGTCAAATGTGAATGTGTCACGTTTCCTACATTTTGATAAGAAAACATGATTTTTATTGTTTTACAGAGAGAATAAGAATGACGAAAAATTTATTACATGGGCGTGATTCACTCATGAAAGATCCTTTTTTTTTCCCTTCTATGGCGGTGTAACTTGTGGTTCTATGCAATAAGTATACTCATGATCAGTCAGTCATCAGCAAAATCTTCCCTTCCTGTTTGATTGACTAATTGCACTGAAATGATTTCCAAATTTTCGTAACAGACCGAGGAAGGGCAAAAAGTTTTTCGGGGGCATGGGGCTTGTTGACTTAAGAAATACTATAATATTATTGATTTAATTTATATTATCCTTGCTGCCCATTTTGGTGAAGCATAAAATAAAATAGAGATTTCTTATTGAAAAATGAATGGTTAGCATATCTTGTGAAATGAACAACAACGATAGATGCACCTACTCAATTATTTGATGCATTATACTCATCCCGATCAACCTAAATTCATTTATTGAATTAAAATAATATAACAAAGAAGGAGAAGAGGAGAAAAAAAAATTAGCTTACCATTTTGTAATACATGGTGCTGGATCAACCATTGCTCCAAAGAAGAAGAGGAAGAAGAAGAAACAAAAAAAAAGATGGTAAGGTAGATAGTTCGTGTGATTAAATTCTGCCAATCATAGAAAATTTAGACAAAGAAAAAAAAACAAATAAAGAGGGACCAGCCAGGAATCGTACGTCGTGATACATATAGGTCATGAACGTAGAGCATAAAAATTAAACCCAAAATTTCAATCCTCCCAACATATTCTTTCGTAAGTTATACCAAAGTTTGTGGAAGAAACCTCGAGTCTTGAAGGGAAACTGGTTAAAAAACACACACACACACACACACAAAATGAAATCCAGTACAAGGTTTATAATCTATGCTCACAACCCATTTGAACCGCGCAACAAATTTAGCACCTGATAAATTTTTTAGGGAGTTTAGACCTTATTGGTGGTCTGTGGGGAGTCTTTGGCCGTATCCTCTCCCTTGCCTAAGTTGATTGTAAATCTCCCTTTTGCTTATTTTTATCAACTAAATTTTCGAGGAAATACATATAAACAACATCAACAACGGACATATTTTTTTTTTCTTTATGAATCAAACTTCATCATTGTATTTGATGTATTTGATCTCCAACAATTTCACTAGCAGTGAGAGAAGCATTTGGATTTAATTCAACCATTTTAATGATGATTATTCACGTTCAATTCCGTTGGCAGTGAGAGCAGAGAGCCGCAAGTGTACACAAAATTCTAGAAATCAAAACAAAAGTACCTTCTTTTTTTTTTTTTTTTTTTTTTTTCAATGAGTGACATCGAAAAACCACAGCAGATCTTGCGACGAAGTTCTTTGTTTTAGGACCACAAGGTGAAAGTCGTTACTATATATGTCACCACTCAAATTCATGTTCGGGTTTCATCATCTCTGTAAGTAATTTTGGTATTTCAACCCTCGGTTGATTCATCATGATCGAGACCCTCTAATTCGATCTTGAAAAGTTGGATTTGAAGATCAAATGGCCTCGGTGAAAAAAGATACTGATTATGTCTTAAAAAATTGTGCAGTTTGAATTTTTATTTTTAAAATACTATTTGTTTTTAAATAGGCTTTATTTATTTTTTTTTTTTGGATTAATTTGTACATGCACATGTTAAGCTCCCCTGATTTTGAACATATTTACATCCTCATTGGTTTGATTAATTTTTTTTCATTTCATATGGACGAACATTAAGGCTTTCAAAGTGATATTCAGAGTTATTTCAAAAAAGAAAAAGAAAGAAAGTGATATTCAGAGTTATGAACTCCCCAGTTAAAGGCAAATAGATTGATGATCATTCAAAATCAGATTGGGCCCAAGGATCGGATCCGCCTCCTTCTTATATAATATCCCTCCATATTTTATTTATTTATAAAATATAAATTTAACTTACGATATGACCGTCCATGTTTTGCAAAGTTTACTTGGGTCACAGTCATGCATTATCATAAAATTATGACTTGTAATTAGTTTTGCTATCGAATTCATCAAATTATAAAACTGCCATGAATCATGTGGAATCGCTCAACAGTGTACTGATAATAATTAATTAAGTGGGTGGAGGGATTAGTTGATGACTTTATGTATCTTGCATGCCACGGTTGTGATATCATTTGCTTGAGAATCTGTAGCACAATGATATTACTTCTTTTTTTTGGTCATTCAACTGTGGTTGACGGGGGAAAATTAATTAAAACAAACCATTATCAATTTTCTCTAGGCTGTTCCTGCGAACGAATTTGAACAGTGATTAATTAATATTTAAGGTCCTCTTCTTAGTAATACAGGGGATCGTTTTTCATTAACACAATAGTGTAATCAAAACAAAAATAATAACATAATAAAACTCCGGTCATATTAATTTAGATGTTTTATGATGAAAAGCCCGAGCCTCCTCGGTCCTGCTCCTTACTCACTTAGTTCTTCGGTTCCATGGACTTCTACTCCTCCAGTTCATGCTCAGCCTCCATTGACTCCCTCTTCGGTTCAGCCCCTCATTGGTCCTCAACAACATGGACTCTCCTCCCATTTTGCAGGCGCTTCTCATCTATCTGTTGGGAACCAGCCCACTGATTTAGCAAGCCTTTTTGCAACCATGTCAGTGCAACAACCTCGTGATGATGATTGGTACATGGACTCTGGTACAACTGCCACTATGTCATCACCTAACGGTAACATGATTTCTTTGAAACCTTGTGATACATCTAAATCAATTATGGTTAGTAACGGTGCTGTACTTCCTGTCCATTTTTTAGGAAATTCTTTTTTCCCTTACTCTAAAATTCCTCTTTCTCTTCGTGATATTTTAGTCTCTCCTCACTTAGTTAAAAATTTAATTTCTGTGCGTAAATTTACTAGAGATAATTTATGCACTATTGAATTTGACCTCTTCGGTTTCTCTGTGAAGGACATTAGGACCGGTGCCTTAATTCATCGTAGTGACAGTGATGGAGACCTCTATCCCGTTACTCCTTCCAGTGTCAGTCTGCATTCCTCATCAATGTCTCTTGCAGCACTTTCTCCACAAACTTGGCATCGGCGTCTTGGCCATCCTGGACGTTCTGTTTTTGATTTTTTTTCTTCTCGAAAGTTCATAGATTGTCTAAGTAAAAATAACTCTTTGTGTCATGCCTGTCAACTAGGCAAACACACTCGTTTGTCATTTTCTCCTTCTGGATCAAAAGCATCATGTCTTTTTGAACTTATTCATTCTGATTTGTGGACATCTCCGGTCAGTAGTATGAATGGTTTTCGCTATTATGTACTTTTCTTGGATGATTTTTCTCATTTTCTTTGGGTTTTACCTCTTCGCACTAAATCTGAAGTTTTTAATGTCTTTCTTACATTTAAAGCTTATGTCCACAATCAATTTAATTCTACCATCAAAACTTTTCAATGTGATCATGGCCGTGAATTTGACAATGAATCCTTTCATCAATTTTTCAAATCTAATGGAATTGAATTCCGTTTTTCCTGCCCTTATACTTCTCAACAAAATGGTAAGGCCGAACGCACAATTCGAACTATCAATAACATTGTCCGTACTCTCCTTTTTTCAAGCCACTTTACCCTCTTCTTTTTGGGTTGAGGCTCTTCACGTGGCTGTTCACCTTCTCAATCTCTTACCTACAACAACACTTTCTTATTGTACCCCTTTTGAAGTGCTCTACAAAATTTCTCCTTCTTACTCCCATCTTCGAGTCTTTGGGTGCCTGTGTTACCCCAACCTCTCTGCTACCACTTCTCACAAACTTGCACCTAGGTCCACAGCTTGCATCTTCTTAGGTTACCCTTCTAATCATCGTGGATTTCGTTGTCTCGATCTCACTACTAACAAAATTATTATCTCTAGACATGTGATTTTTGATGAAAATGTCTTCCCGTGCTCTTCCTTTCATCAAACACCGACTTCTGAAAACTATGATTTTCTCTTCTCTGATGAGGATCCTCCTCCTCTTATTCACCAAGAAATTGCACTCGGTGTTTCTCAATCTTCTATACAGCTGTCCTCTTCTCCATCTTTAAGTCAACCCACACCCCCTCAACCACCTTCCCCACCACTTTTTCCTGTACACAACTCTCATCCCATGATGACGCGGTCCAAAGGTGGTATTTTCCGCCCACGTCATCTTCTCAATCTCTCTACTATTACTAGCCAATGGTACATGGGATCTTGTTCCATGTCCTTCTAATGTCAATCTTGTTGGCTCTAAATGGATTTACATACACAAGTTTCGTTCTGATGGCTCTCTTGAGCGATACAAAGCTCGGCTTGTAGCTCAAGGTTTTACTCAACAACCCGGTCTAGACTATGATGAGACTTTTAGTCCTATCGTAAAACCAGCCACTATTCGTACTGTTCTTAGCCTTTCATTGTCGCGTGCTTGGCCAATTCATCAATTGGATGTCAAGAATGCATTTCTTCATGGCCATCTTTCTGAGGTAGTTTACATGAAACAACCACCTGGTTACACTAGTCTTCTATTTCCCCATCATGTATGCCGTCTTAAAAAGGCTCTCTATGGTCTCAAACAGGCTCCACGGGCTTGGTATCATCGTTTTGCAACTTACATCTCTTCTTTGGGTTTTTTTAGTAGTAAGGCTGACACATCTCTTTTTGTCCTCCGTCGTGAGTCCCACACAGCGTACCTTCTCCTATATGTCGATGACATTATTTTAACCGCCTCATCTCATTCTCTTCTTACATATGTCACCACTCTTCTCTCTTCTGAATTTTCAATGACTGATCTTGGTCCACTTAGTTTTTTCTTAGGCATTTCTGTTACTCGGTCTTCGTCCGGCCTCTTTCTTTCTCAAGAGCAGTTTGCTCGTGAAATTATTGCTCGAGCAAACAGGTCTTCCTGCAATCCATGTGCCACCCCTGTTGACACTAAGGCTAAACTCTCCTCTTCTGGTTTTCCTATCTCTGATCCTACTCTTTATCGTAGTCTTGCTGGTGCACTGCAATATTTAACAATCACTCGTCCTGATATTGCATATGTTGTCCAACAAATTTGCCTATTCATGCATGATCCCCGAGAACCTCATTTTAATTCTCTCAAGCGAATTCTTCGCTACCTCCAAGGAACTCTTTCAAAAGGTCTTACCATTCGTCCTTCCTCTACAGATCACCTTATTACTTACTCTGATGCCGATTAGGCAGGTTGTCCAAATACGCGTCGTTCCACTTCTGGGTATTGTATTTTTCTTGGTGATAACCTCATTTCTTGGTCATCTAAATGACAACACGTTGTCTCTCGGTCTAGTGCCAAGGCAGAGTATCGCGGGGTTGCGAATGCTGTTGCTGAGGCTTCATGGCTCCGTAATCTTCTTTTAGAATTACATTGTCCCCTTCCTAAAGCTATCATTGTATATTGTGATAATATTAGCTCTGTTTATCTTGCCTCTAATCCTGTACAGCACCACCGTACCAAACATGTTGAAATAGATATTCATTTTGTCCATGAACAGGTTGCTTTAGGTGATGTTCGTCACATGTCCCCTCCTCTCATCAGTTCGCAGACATCTTCACTTAAGGGTTGCCTTCATCACTATTTTTGGATTTTCGGTCCAGTCTGAACATTCGAGATTCTCCTGCTCCGACTGCGGGGGCGTGTTAAATTAAGAAATATAGATTAGGTTTGATATTGTATTTATTATTTTGATTTGTACTTATCTTACTTTCACTGTAATCTCGGTTATATTTTATTGTAAACATACTCATGTAATTTGTATAAATTCTCAGTAATAACACAAGTTTTCCAATGGGGACTTTACCCTAAACTTGTATCAGTATGATCACTGGAATAGAACCATCTATTTGTTGGTTTTGGAGGAAGGGGGCATACCTTTGATATTTGATGGGATTTGTTCCTAAAGATTTCAGACAAGATATTACTTCCTCCATTTCAAAATAAGTTCGTTTTAGTAAAAAAAGAAAATTTTAAAATAAGTGTTGTTTTCTGATTCAATGTACTTTTTTATTGGAAATTTCTAAATTTACACTCAAAAGAAATAGTATTATTGGCAAGCGCGTTTATTTTAATGGGGTTGTTTGATGATATTCTAGTAATTTATCTAATATATTTAATTGTTTCTTAAACCATGTGCAAATTATGTTATGATATTTATTTTGGAATGGAAATAATAGTTGAGAACAGAAAATTGATTACCCTCCCCGACCAAAAATCATTTTTCATTTTTAGTATCCTTTTTTTTTGTTAATTTAATACTCTCCATTCCAAAATTTTTGTTTAGTTTAGATTTTTCTTAATTTTAAGTTAACAATACTTTGTTTTAATTTTTGTTAATACTTGGTAATGCTCTAATGCTAACGTGCCCGATTAGTTTTCTAGCTCCACCACTGAGAGTACTTGTTATGATTATTTAAGTTCAGCTGACGAGACTCATCATCTCAACAGGTTAATGATTTTAATATGTGGATCTCTAAGATTATAAATTCTAACTACTCAACTGTATATAATAACCCTTGATCATATCCTTCTCCATACTCCTCTCACACCCGTTTGAGTTGATTTTTAGTCTTCGTTTTTTTTTTTCTTGTTTTTTTTTGTTTTTGTTTTTGATTAGCAAAGAAAAAACAGTCAAGATGACCCAAAAGATGGTGCGCTCCATCGAGATCAAGTCAGGTGGAGATGTGTTTCATGAAATCTTCAGAGACAGGCCACATGACCTTTCTACTATAAGCCCAACTAATGTTAAGAGCGTTGATTTGCATGATGGTGAATGGGGAAAAGTTGGGTCTGTGACCTTGTGGAAATATAATCAAGGTTAGTGAATTTTGCTCAACTCAAGGTGACACCAAAAGCACATGCACTAATTTGAAGGGTTCTGTTTATCGTAGTTAAAGGGTTTGTTTAGAATCTATATGGACATTGATCATACCGTGGATTCATTAAATTATTGATTTTTCTTTTCTCTTTTTGTTGAACATGTATCTTATTATATATATTAGATGGAAAGGAGATGAATGGGAAAGCGAAGATTGAGGCCATTGATGAGGCAAAGAAATCAGTGAGATTCAAGGTGATTGAAGGTGATCTGGTGGAGGCGTACAAGACCTTTTTCATAATTTTCCATGTGGACACTGTTGATGAGAACAACTTAGTTACATGGACGCTTGAGTATGAGAAGCAAAATGAGAGCAGCCCAGATCCCGATTCCTTCATGGAAGTCTCCCTTAATATCCCTAAAGATATTGAGACTCATCATCTCCAATAGAAATAAAATGGATCGAGCAGCATGAATTAATAATTAATGATGATCATCGAGTCGATCGATCCGGTATTATGTGTATTATATTAATAAAATGCCTGCTTATGATATTATTGCTAATGATTTTCTGTGTATTGTTGTACTATACTATATCAAGAACTGAATAATCTAGCTATGATGTATGATTTCTATTGGTGTAATGAGTAACGTTTATCTATAAATTAATGGCTGAATGCAGCAATCCACTTTCAAGTTGAGGGAGACCTCAGAAGTATGTTGTTTTCTCATTAATTATGATGCACGTTTAGGTTATCACACTTGTATTAGTTTTCGTTAGAGCTGTGTAAATTCTAATCCAGGCAAAGGGGTACGCACGGAATTCCAGTAATTTTTGTGTAGATTTTGTTATTCATTTTATATTTACAATATTTATTACTATCACTTTTATAAGTAAGTTATATATGTAAATATATTTTAAAACTAACGGGTCAACTATCTTATGGTATCAACAACAGGCTGATTGTTGATATATAAAGTTTTATATAAAAATGAAACACAAAATAATGCTTGCCCCAACAAGTGTCGTCGTGTAAGAACGCTGTATGGGCAGTCTTATCCTTGTTGGAAACTAACCTCTACTATGCTCTGTAAACTTGACGAGAGTTAAACTAATTAATTTACATTGAGATTTGAAGTTTGCAATAAAATTAATACAAATTTTTAAAATTTATTTTGTTGGGAGTAAAGAAGTGCATAACAATTTATATTATTTATTAAAAAAAAAAGCATTACCCAACTAGACAAGCCGTTAATACAAATTGATCTTCTTAAGAAAATTACACAAACAAATAACTTATTATTCCAAGAAATGCACTTAATTACTAGAAGAAGAGAGCAAAAGGTACATTTATTTTTTTTTTCCCCACTTCATACATATAGTAGTAGTAATAATTATTCATGCATCATGCCAGCTTGTGATTATTTGGATCTTCATGCAGACGCTAATACGCCCACACTTTTTTTTTAAATTTTTTTTTTATCGCCCACACTTAATTTTTTCAGACATATTAATAACTTGTAATTTATTTGGGAAGATTGGCATCAATGACTTTGACGGCATTGATAGCCACGTTCATGAAGGAAGTAGGATCTGGAGTGGTTGGCAAGAGCTTCACATAGTCTATTGTCCAAGTCACAATGTTCTTCCCATTCTCAATTCCAGCTTGAAAGGTTGCGCTGAAAGTTGAGTATGAGGTCAAAGGGTCTCCTCCGATGATCAGAAACGTCACTGATTTGTTCGCGTCATCCATCGCCACAACCGTCGCTTTTTCGGATTTGATCTTTCCATCTACAAAATTAAAAACACGAAATCATGTAACAAAGGGATGATTGCTCATTAGGGCATTTCCAAGTTTTTTCATTATTTTTTCTTAGTATATTTTATTTCCTGACACAAACAAAATGCACCTACTAAAAAAACGATCCAATAAGATAGATAGTTTGAAGGCTGAGAGTTTACCCTCGAGGTAGGTAGCAGAGAAGACGACACCAATGACTCCCCACAAGCCATCAAGCAGGTCAAAAGTTGGGAACAAATCAGGGGCTACACTCACCAGTTGATAGGGTTTGTGGGCAAAGATATCGTACAGCGCATCTGGACTGGAAGTCACTTCTGTTTTGGAAACCAGTTTGCCTATAAGACTCGTCATCTCTCTTCGTCTTGAGATTATTAATTAATTATTCTCTAACAATTGAAAGAAAATTGGTAGTGAAGTGCTTGCAAATTTGGAAGATTTACCAGTCTTCTATTTATAGATACTAATCATAGCCTTCATTATATGTTGCGTGCAATGAGCGGATGATTCGTGAATCATATGACTATTTTTTGGAAAAAAAATTGAAGATGAGTTTTGCAATAATTTCATAGTACTCCCTGCAGATAATATTGCAATTACAAGTTGTGATTTTATATTCTTTTTTTCTTTCTTAAGGAGGAAGAATTCCTCCAATGAATGTCACAGTATATGGTGGCCATAGACGATCGCGGCGAATAAATTGACCTTATGTGTGATAATCGCGAGGGACCTTGTGAGTTTGTAAACAAGTATTAGAGGTACAATTCTCAAAAAAAAAAGAAAGCAAAAATTAGTATTAGTGTTACATTCCAGCTGGCTGAAAATGATCCAGATAAGAAAGATTTTTGCGACTTGTATATATGGACTTTGTGAAGCTTCTCCAGACCTCGCCGGAGCTGACTTCATCGGTGAATTTATTTATACTAAAATTCCCAAAGAAAAGATGTCATCACTTATCACGCCTAAATAAATGAGGACATATAAATTACATTTCCTTCAGCTTGATTTTTTTATTTTTTTTATTTAAGGGAAATGTATCCCGCAATCTTGATCTCTGGGCCTTAATTAATGAAATGGTTACGGTTAGAGTTTCGTTTCTCCTTTTTAATTGATGGGTTTCCTCCATACATTAAAACATCTATAAATTGATGTGTTTAGGACCGTAAAAAAACAGTTATAGATATTAATTTATCAATAAATTAGTGATTATTAATTTATTAATAAATTAACAATTAGTTAATAAAACTTTTGGAGAATATTGTAACTATTGTCTCATGAAATTTGACTTAGAATGAAATTGATGATTATTCAATGTCCTTGGAACTAACCACAATTGTTACTAGGGCTGGCAATCTCTGACACGACTCGAAATTTCGACACGAACCCGACACGAAATGACCCGACACAAACACGACACGCATATTAAACAGGTCGGGTTAGGGTTGGAAATTTGGACCCGTATAATATACGGGTCGGGTTAGGGTCAACCCGACGGGTTACCCGCAAATATGTAAATTTTGTATACTGTAGGGGTAATTTGGGAATTTCACCGCTATCCCAACCCTAATTTCAGCTCATATATATACTCTTTATTCTTCATCCGGCACAAATTTTCCATTTCCCTTTAGGGTTTCCATCCTCCCGGCGGCGGCGGCTCCGATTTTCTGCAACTCCAATATTGCCCCCTAAAATTTCACAAGCGGAAGGCCGGAATGGGGAGTTGGCGATTTGAAATAGGCAAATAGCCCCTTCTTCATCTCAAGGTAAATTCTTCTCAACCTGCAATTCGATTAAATTCTATTGATTTTTCTAGTTGCGTTTGGTTAAGAAATCTCGAGTTCCATTCTCTCGAATCTGAGCGACACAATCAAAAGATTTCCCATTTGATTGATTGATCTTTTGATATTCTTTGAAATTGATCTTCATTGATTTATAAGCACCTCTAACTTTTTCGTTCCTGAGATCTCTTTCACGGTGATTGTTTTTTCCTTTTTTGCTTCAATTAGTTTCTGTCAGGGGAAAAAAAAAGAAGTGTTTTTGTTAAAAGGATTTAGTGATTTTATGAAATCGAGGATATTTTTGGGGTTGTGGTGATGATGAAAGATTTGAGCTTGTTGATGACACAACTATTACTTAGCCTTTCTATTGAAACGATTTTGCAACCTTGCTTTTCTTTCCTTTTGAGTATGTTTTTGTTTTTTATTAATTTCTGTTCTTCATTAATTTTAGTTCTCGTTTAATCATGTTTTTGTAGATGATGAGTTAATTAAGGATGGAACATGGAAGTGCCATTGGCAAACAAGAATTTGAATGTGATGGAGCATCTGCTGCAAGTAAAGGGAAGAAAACATGGAAGAAAAGAAGAAGACTCTTCAATTCGGCTTGATTGTATATTGTTTATTGTATCAATGTTCTGTTTTTGTTTTCCGGATTAAACAGGTTGAAAACTGTGCTTTTTGATTTTTTTTTTTTTGGACAGGTTAAACAGGTCGATCTGAACCCGACCTGATTATTAACAGGTCGGGTTATGGTTGACACTCCCGACCTGTATAATTAAACAGGTCGGGTTATGGTTGACACTCCCGACCTGTATAATTAAACAGGTCGGGTTCGGGTTAGGTATTTTTTTTCGGGTTCGGGTTCGACCCGACCTGCCAACCCGAACCCAACACGAATTGCCAGCCCTAATTGTGACACTCCCTTTTTAACACCAGCCCCTTGAACTTCCATGAGTTACATCACATTGTCTTCCCCTCAAAGTGCTATAAAATACGTTGAATTAGATCAAAACTCACATAATCAACCAGGTGCAGGTATGTAGTAGTTTTCCCTTTTGTCTCTCGTTGTAAGAACTTCTGTAAAGGTTCCCACTTGTTGCTCAACTTTTTGTTAGTTGTTGCTATTGTATAGCATCATTAGATTTTATGTAAAAATTTTTCATTTGCTATATTTTTACATTTCTGCTCATTGATGTAAGGAGTTGACGTCTATATATGCATGAGTTTTCTGTATTTAAAAGAGTTATTTTTTCAACGGTATTTGATTTCTTAGCCTCATTACCTTGATGTTGCTAATGATTTTTTAATATTTTCCCGACATCTGTATCCTCTAAAGTTCTGATCTAAGAAAACTGGATGGAACTTTTCTAAGATTTTTTATCCAAAAAAAAAGTTGATCTCTCTATGTTGGTGGAAAAGATGGCTGGGAATGGTCGGAATGTTGTCTGTGTTGTTCTAATTTGATTAAATCATTATGAATATATCTCTCTACATCAAATTGAAGCACAAAAATTTGTTTAGTTAGCCACCAAAATATTTATTCTCTTAAACAAATGTTAATTAGTTTCCTTCAATTTTTCATAAAATCTCGTTTGAACCTGGAATGTTTTTTTTTTTTTTTGCCCTGTTGCACACACTGAAATTTAATTCAAAATGTGATTCAATCTGATAAGTATAGTGAGCTATTTTTTATTTAAAATTAAACTACTCTTTTTAAATTGGAGACCCTTCTCTAGGGGGGATTAATTCTGTGCCTAAAAGGAATTAATGTAAAAAGATGAATTTCTTTTCCCCATCTTTGCATTTTGTTATTTTTGCATTGTGTTCTTTCGATTGACAACAAGTTTGATTCCACGTAGTGTTCTCACCTAATAAAATATTGTTTCATTTTCTCATGAATATATTAAATCTTTAATATTCTCTCAATCAAAACTCTATGCATTTGTTTACTATTGCATTGAATATTTGTTTGTACAAGCACTACAACATAAACTAATTATTTCTTCCGTATTTTCAATAATAAAAACTAATTAGATTATATTATAACCAGTTTAAAAGAATCTTACATTGATATGATACTTAGAATATATATATATATATATATATATATATATATATTAGAAATATTCAGGGCTGTCTCTGGTGGGAGGACCCTAATTTTATTAACACAAAAAAGTGTAAAGAGCAGTGCTTAAGAATTATTCGAATAGAAGAATCATCTTACAAAAGTTTCTAATAAATTTCATGACGGTTCTCTAACAAATCATAGTGGGAGGTAAACCACCCTAGGCAAATCCGGGGTGATTAGGTCGGGTGCAAAATCAGGAGTTCATGAGTAGGTTTATTATAAGAAGCTCTAATGGTGTCAATATGAGTAAGGTCCACTCTTGAGAGCAGTGGTGGTTGTATCACTGAACTAATACCTCATTCGTTAGAGTTACATTTTAGTAGTTCCTTGTTTTAATTTTTTTTTATATTGCAAGTAATTATTAATTTATGATGATATTAACATGACATACATTTACATAGTAATTTTCACAAAAATTGTTTTTTTTTTGGTGAAATGTAAAAAATTTCATTAATCAACCAAAACGACCAAAATATAGTCTCTGCTTTACAACTGCTATCATTTCCCTACTACTCTGCTTTATACATTTGGTATTTACACTCAAAACAAAACTATATCAAACTAAGGACATCTGTCTAGATATTGAAAAACAGTTTCAATATATCATGTTCTGTACTAGTCTATGCTCTCTTCTTGCTGCCCAAAATTCTGATCCGGATCTCCTGTTTAATCACCGCAAATAAGTTCTGCACATCCCTTGTCTTGGCCACAAAAATCCTCGTGTTCCTCTCTTCCCAGAGATGATAAACACATGCTGCGAAAGCAGCCATAAATACCTTTTTTTTTTCAGCTTAGCCCCTCTCCACAAGTGCAACACCTGCCTTTGCCATCTCTCTCAACAACAAGCTACTTTTCTATTTCCCAACTAATTTCTCAATTCCTCCAGCAGTTGATAAGAAAAAGTACATTCAAAGAATAAATGTTTCACAGATTCAGGACTCACATTACACAGAACACAAGATCCATCAGAAACCGGGATATTAAACAAAGTCATTCTATCCTTAGTTAGAATCTTTTGTTACCATACCAACCAATTTATCACAGCATGTGTTGGAATATTCTGGGGAGACCAGATACATTGAGCTCCTTGCACTTCCTATCCATTAGCCACTCGTAACCTGAAGCAATGGTATACTTACCAGGAGTATTTCCCTTCCATTTGTTACCAGCAAAACCACTCCTTGCTTGATCTCTAATCTTTAAAACTTGTTTCCAATTCCAGCTACTATCAACCCTTGGTTCAACATCCCAAATACTCGAAGATTTGATGTAGACAGCATGTACCCATTTGATCCATAGGCTATCTGATTTCATAGCAGCTCTATTCCAAATTTTGGCATCCCTTATCCCAAGTCCCCCCTTTGATTTCTTTCGGCATACATATTCCCACTTCACTAAAGCCAGAGAACTCCCACTATCCCTTTTCCCTCATAAAAAAATCTTTACAAATTCTATTCACCGCATTAGTGATACTTTGAGGTAATATAAATACTGAACCCTAATATACATGCATAGCCATGAGAACAGAGTTAATCAATTGAGCACGACCAGCATAGGATAAATTACGAGTACTCCAACACTTAATACGGGCTGTTATCTTACTGATAATTTCCTGACACTCCAATTGAGACCATTTTTTTGGTGATAAAGTCACCCCTAAATACTTCATTGGAAACTCACCTGGTCTGAATTGAGTTTTTCTGCAAATCCAGTCCTTCATTTCATCACTGACACCACCAAAGTAAATCTCTGATTTCTGTGGATTTGGCTTTAAACCAGTAACCTGGGAAAACTCACTAAAAACTCATTGAATACCATCAATTGTAGCTTCATCAGCTTTGCAAAAGACCATAAGGTCATCTGCAAAACAAACATTGATTAGTTTCAACTGAGAACACTTGGGATGATATTTGAACAGGACTGTTGAGCTAGCATCTTCAGGCTTCTTGTCAAATATTCTATTGCTAGGACAAATATAAGGGGAGATGTGGGATCTCCCTGTCTCAATCCCCTCTTTCCATGGAAAAAACCCTTTATAACTTCCATTAATCGACAGTCTATATGAAGTGGTAGTTATGCAAGACATCACCCACTGTCGAAATAAATCAGGGAAGCCAAACCCTTCTAGTAACTCATCTAAAAAATCCCATTCAATTGAATCATAAGCTTTCTGAATGTCTATTTTCATCATAACTTGATCACTTATCCCTTTCCTCCTATAAAGCCTAATAAGTTCTTGACTAGTCAAAATGTTGTGCAAAATGAGCCTGTTTTGCACAAAAGCACTTTGATTCTCATTCACTAAAACAGGCAATAAAGGCTTTAACCTATTACACAAGATCTTTGAAATGCATTCATACACTATGTTGCAGCAGACAATAGACCGAAATTGCGATGCATTCTGAGGTACAGGTACTTTAGGAATTAAAGCTAAAACAGTAGAGTTTAACTGAGGGAGTACCTGACCTTGATCAAAGAATTCCATCACAGCATTAGTCACATCCTTCTCCACTATACTCCATGTTGATTTAAAAAAATCGGCACCAAACCCATCAAGACCCAAACTCTTCTTGTTATCCATTTCCCACAACACTGCTTTCACTTCCTTACTGTCTACAGGTTTAATCAATTTCAATTGTTGTTCCACTGTCAACTTTAAACCACAAAGGAAGACTCTTGGATCAGCCTTTTTCTTGTCAGAAGAATGGCCTAACTGCTGCTTGAAAAATCAATGAAATGTTCCTCAATCTTCTCCTAGTTAGTAACAACTTCACCATTCTGATCCACAATCGACCATATCCTATTTCTCATGTTTCTGACCTTCAACTTTTAATGAAAAACGCTGTGTTCTCATCACCTGCTTTCAACCAGTCTTCTTTTGCTTTTTGCTTTAAGAAACTTAGCGCTGCTTTTGAAGGCTGTAAAGACATCTCATATGCTTCTCTTTCTTCCTTCTGTAAAGCCACATTGCTAGGAGATACAGCCAGTTGTTCCTGAAGGATTTGCAGCTTCTTCTGGTCACACTCAAACTTGAGGAGGATATTAGAAAAATGATCCCTATTCAAAACTTTCAGACAGGGTTTCAGTCTTTTTAATTTAGCACATAACTGAGACATATAAGAGCTTGCTGCAGGAGCTTCCCAACTTCTCCTTGCTGTATCCATGTAATGAATGGACTGACTCCATATGTTAAAAAACCAAAAAGGCTTTGGTTTTGATGTCATCACTTCACTAAGTTTAACTTAGATCGGGGAGTGGTCTGAAATGCCTTGAGCCAACACAGTTGCAAATGACTCTACATGTTAAAAAACCTAAAAGGCTTTGGTTTCAGAGAAATTGTTATTTTATTATTTTATCGATTGTCTTTATCTTTTGTACCAGTCTCGATTTAGGACCGGAAAAATGATCATTTATGAAGTTATTAATTTATAAATTAAGTTAAAGAATACTCCACATTAATTCTTTTATATTAATGCACATAATAATAAATTTTCAAAATTAATTATATCATGTCCTTTGAAATAAAATAATTTTCATCAATTAACATTTTTATAAAGCAAAATCAAATCATATTATTAATCATAGATTAATTTTTATTTATTAACTTATGTTATAAATGATTTACTTTCTAAAAACATCTAAATTGTATGATTTATAAACTATGGATTGAAGGGTATTTTTGATAATTTATACAAAATTGATGATGATGTTAGTTTGATAATGGGGAGATTTGGTAGGTTGACTATAAGCCAATAGGATATGTGGTAGTATTATCAAAACTCGGGCGATTCATAGTAGATTGGGCCAAAACTGGGGAGGTAAAATGTAGTTCGGTCTAATTTTTTTAAATAGTAAAAAAATAAAAGAATACAAAGAATACAAAAGAAAGAAAGAATACAAAAGTGAACCTCACACACACACACATCTGAGGTCTTCAAATAAGTCCCTTTACTTTTACCAATCAAAGGTTACCATCAATTGTTGTGTATTTATTGCTATATAATTGCTGTTGTACTTTTTGAATTCTCATTTAGATAACTATTGCTCTAAAGTTACATAGGTATGAATGATTTGATTCGAGTTAATAACAACTTTATTAGGTTTAACTCTATGTTTTCAAAACCGAATCGGCCCGGGCAGTCGCACCAGTTTTGGGGGGCCTCACCGGTCCGGTTTCCATAAAAAATCAGATTTTGTATAACCCGGTAAAAAAATGATAAAACCCGAGCAAAACCGTGGTTTGACTAGAAACCGGTACCGATTAAACCGGTTTTTGCATATATTTTTTAAAAAATATTTTTTTAATATTATTTTAATCGGTTTTCACTGGTTTCGAGGAATGAACTAACCGATTAACCCGGTAAATCCATCAACCTGATCACGCTAACGGTTCACCTTCCGGTCCGGTTTTCAAAACATAGATTTAACTAACTCAATTGGTTAAATACGATCAAGACCAATCCTCATCAGTGGACAAACCCGATTTGTGAACCTTTTATCCAAATAATTTTTTGGGTAAACTACATTTAATCCCTGAGTTTTTGACTCGATCTACCATAAACCTCCTAAGTTTTGGTAATAATACCATCTCACCCTAAGCAGGGGTCAATCATTACAATGACTAAAATGACAACGTACACTTCATTTTCTTTTTTTCAGTTTTTTTTTTCCTTAACATTGTAAACTCTACATAATACTCAAAATAAAACCAACAATCCATATCAAGAACAATAATACGCCACCTATTTTTGAATATATGTCATTTAAGGGTTTGCAAATTTCTTTTAAATATGTCGTTTTGAAAAATTGAGGTAAATTCCAGCTTATTTTTCTAAGATTAACATTGTATTAAAAAGAGAATAGTATTTAACATGAAATTGTGTGATGAGTTCTATAAATAATTAATAAGGATAATTTTTATAATTTAAATACATTATTTAATGTTTCATTGGTATTAATGAAATTATTTGAAAAATATATATTTTGAAATGAAAGAAAAGATATACTCTTTGACGTTTCATGGGATAAGGTAATTAATTTCAGACAAGCCGGTGGTTGGCCACAAAAAGGATGCACATGTGGCTTTGATTTGGCCCCTCGCAAGAAAATGGAAGCCCAAAATGAACCTTATAAATTACTATTAAATAAAAAAATCGCAAGGTTTTTTCCTCATCCCTTGATTTCCAAAATCTCTGAGCTAAGGGATAATTCTCTTATTCTCTTGCCATTAAAGAAATGAGTACTACTAGTTTAAGGGGTAAGCTAGTCTCCCAGATCGAGATTAAGTCAAGTGCGGACGTGTTTCATGAGTTGTTTCGACACAAAACTCATCAACTGTCCAAAACAAGCCCTCATAGTATTCATAATTGCGATTTGCATGATGGTGATTGGGGCACTGTTGGATCAATCATCTCTTTCGATTATACTCACGGTATTTCATTTTTTTCTACATCATTTTAATTTTTACCCCAAGAGAAAACACACACACACACACACACACAGAGAAAAGATGGAAAAACATACTACTTAATTATTAGTAATTATATTTAATTTCTTTGGTTTGTCTAGATGGAAAGAAATGTGTTTCAAAAGATAGAGTTGAGGCCATTGATGAGGAAAAGAAGCTTGTGAAATTCAAGGTAATTGAAGGAGATCCACTGGAATTGTACAAGAATATCAGTATAACAGTTCATGTTGATACCCATGGTGAAAGTAATTTGGTGGCGTGGACCATTGAGTATGAGAAGCTTCATGAGGGCATCCCTGATCCCAACACTTTGATGGACCTTTGCCTCCAACTCACCAAGGATGTCGAGTCTCACCATCTTAGCAGGTACAATTAATTGATATACTGTATTAATTTCTAGTTACATAATATTAATTACCAAATTAATTAAGCTAATTTTGTAAGAAAATCATGATTTGTGTTTGTTTATTTTGTTGGTTAGGAATGCCATTGAAATAAAAGCTGGTTTCCTCCATTGAAATAAAATCAGATGAAGATGTGTTCCATGAAGTCTATAGAGAAACGCCACAGGTTTCAAGTATGAGCCCATCTATTATTCAGGGAGTTGATTTGCATGATGGTGATTGGGGAAAAGTGAGGTCTATTATTTCCTTGAAATATACTCGTGGTAGATGTGATCTTCTTCCTTTAATTTGTACCAATGAACAAATTAAGCTTAGTAATTAATGGTGGCTCTGATATTTGTTCATGATCGATGATGTTTTAATTATATTAAATTGATGTATTCCCTCCATTTTGAAATATATATCGTTTTAGAGTTTGATGAATTTTTTTAAATATATATCGTTTTCATAAATCGAGTCACATTTGACCACTTTTTACTAATGTTACTCCTGCATTGGGAATGAAACAATATATATAATGAATTTCTATTGGTTTGTGATGAATTGTATATAAAATAAATAAGAATATAATATTTTAACAATATTAATTAATGTTTTCTTGATTTTGATGAATTCTTTAGAAAGATATAAAAAAAAAATGGAGGGTGTCAGGGAGAAATTCATTTGACTTTTGGATATAGACGGAAAGGAGAAGGTGGCTAAAGAGATAATCGAGGCCATTGATGAGGAAAAGAAATTAGTAAGATGGAAAGTGATTGGAGGTGAACTTATTGAGTTGTACAAGACCTTTGTAATTACAGTCCATATGTTGATACTGTTGATCAGAGCAATTTGGTCACATGGACACTTGAATATGAGAAGACAGATGAGAGGGTCCCTGATCCCCAATACCTTCATGGAACTCTAGCTTCAGATTACTAAGGATATTGAGACTCATCATCTCAAATAAATCAATCAATCAAGAAGGGGGAGATGAATGATGATTTTCAAGTCATCTCTTATGCACTGTGATTGTGTCTGAGTTCAAGCACATCATGTCAAAATATTGTGGTGTGTGTAGAATGTTTTCTTAAAAACAAATTGTTAGACCTCATGTCCAAATTAAATGATAATCCATTGATCAGTTCTTATTGTTTGTGGGCATATGATAATGATATCTTATATTGCAGACAGAACTTTCACTTCTATTTTCTTTTTTAACCACTTTCCCTACAAGACCCTTCATTTTTCCCACAAATATTAGTGCAATGCAAGTGAAAAGAAAGGTGGTATCAAGAAAATAAACAAAGACTTCAATCGCAGGGGGATTTTTTTTTTTTTTTCTGGGATATCTGGAGTAAATAATTTTAAAAGTAAAAGATATATAGATGGTAATTTAACGAGTGTATCATCATCACACTAAATTCCCAGGTATTCACGACTGAAAATTTCAAAGATTGCTGGGTCCATTTTGATTTTCTCCTTGAATGGGCTGAATCATATGAACCATCTTTCTCTTCCTTTTTCTATTTTTTTTTCTTTTCTTTTTCTAATAAGGGTCTTGTATTGATTCTTTCTTCTAAACAAAAAAAACTTATCTGTTTTTTCTAATAAAGAACATAATAATTAAAGTTCATTCCACTAAAACAGAATAGGAAAAAAAATGACTTTCTTTCATGAAAATGGGAAGAACATTGTGACTTGGACCATGGACTATGTGAAGCTTTTGCCACTCACCCCAGATCCTACTTCTTTCATGAACGTGGCTATCAATGCCATCAAAGTGATTGATGCCAATCTTCAAAAATAAAAAGACAAAAGTTAAATATCTCATATAATTAAAGGCTTGAAAGTGTGGGCGTATATATTTGCGTCCGCAGGAAGTTCCAAATAATCAGAAGCTTGCATCATGCATGAATAATAATAATAACTAAGTGGGAAAAATAATGTATCTCTTGCTTTCTTCTAAATAAGTGCATTTTGCGCAATACTACGCACCGTTTCATTGAATTGTTTGTGTAATTTCTGTATGAGGATCGATTGATTTTTAATGGCTTGTCTACTCCTTGATAGATCATTTGTATATACATATTATTTTGACGGACCTTCTTTATAATTTAAAAAATGTATAATAAAAGATGCATAATTTTGACGGACCTTCATTATTATAAATTTCGACTGATTATGCGATTAATTATAAAAGACTTTTTCTTCGACCTCCGATTTAAAACGGGATGAGAAATGGGAGGGGATCCACCGGTCATGTGGTATATCTGGAATCACCATGTATGTTCTCAATTCAAGCTAGCCAGAATTGAACTTAATCTCTCACTCCAATAATAATGAGTGCGCTTAAGTACCTTAAAAACTTTATAACGGCAAACTCATACATGAACTCCTAATTTTGTATTTGAGGTTATCATTCTGAACTTGCCTAGGTGATTTATCTCTCATTAGGATTTATAGGCTATTACAGTAATCGGGGATTTACACACCTCTAATGGAGTTAGTGGTGTTACAAAATAAATAAATAAATAAATAAATAATTCTAACTACACAGTTTGTATGATTTCTGCTCGTTGTTTCATTGAAAAAAAGGGCACCTTTTTGTTTTGGTAACACAACCAAAATACAATAAAACATCTATATATCAATAATTTTGTTTCGTAAATTCAATCATCACGGGTTGAGACAAGCAAATCTAATAGTAATTTTTGCATTCTTCACTTTTAATCTGGATGAGGCAATTTTAAATGAACAAAAATCACATTCAAATTAATTTTTACCCTCTTAGAGTGACGATCTTCCAATAATATACAAAGACTTGCACTTGAAGTCGGTCAGCTTAGGAAAGAATAATGACCACAAAAGTTGTATATTTGGCATGATGCTATCGATTCATGTGGCATTTTATTCATCCATCGTTCTCAAAATATTCAACCAAAGTGGTTGTAGTGGAGTGGAAGGGACTCCTCCACCCTTAACCATAGGTCGAGGGTTTTAATCTCGCCATGGACATGGAACAACCTTAAATACTTTGTCCAACTGTCCTACCCATTGAGGTACCTACAATTCAGCGAGTGGAATTAGTCACTGTTGCCAACGGTGGACACCCTGCAAATATGAAAAAAAAAAAAAAAAATCGTTCTCAAAATGTTCAAAATCAGTCATCAATCTCCCTTTTCCAAAAAAAGTCACCGATCTCCAGTTCTCGTTCCAATTAATTAGCCATGAACAGAAGATATCGTAAAGACCGGACGTAACTTAGATCCATTTTATTCCGGTTTGCGTAAAAACTCGTCATCTCTCTTCGGGATTATGTTCAACAATTGAAAGAAAAGGATTCTTGAAATTTTGCTAGTGTTCCGGGGTTTCTATTTATAGTAAATCATAGGGGCTAGCATAGAAAGTAGAAACTATAGGTGCTTCAATAATACTGTATATTTTTTTAAAAACCAATTCCTTGTGTGGGCGATATTCGTGTATCACATGACTCTCTTTCAGAAGAATTTTAAAATTAATTCTGTTTACAAGTAATGCGTTTACAAGTTTTTTTCTTCCTTATAAAACAAAGAGACATTTTTGTTGTTCTGTTTTAGCCGAACATGAGTGACTTCTTATTTTTAAGGGAAAAAGAATTTCTTTTTTTCTTTTTCTCGTTTAACATAAAACCGAAGGATTATATGTTAGGAAGATGAAAGATGGTTCATGTGATTCAGCTTATGCAAGAAGACATCATCAAAATGGACCCAACGAATTGTCGCCTCTTTGGCCTTGGATTTACCCCATATAAAGTATAAACCCCCCCTCAGTGCTTCATTCTTCACAACACTCTTTTATCACAACCTTTCTTTCATTCGTATTGCATAGCAATCTTCACAAAAAATGACGAGTCTTATAGGCAAAATTGTCACAAAAACAGAAGTTAAGTCCAGCCCAGATGCAATTTACGATATCTTTGCCCACAAACCATTTGAACTCATCACTGTGGCACCTGATATTTTTAAGAGTTTAGACCTTATTGATGGCTTGTGGGGAGTCTTAGGCTGTGTACTTTCCATCACCTACATTGATGGTGAATTCCGTTTTTCCCAGTATTATTATCCATGCAAATCTTAATTTTATTTTTTAATGGATCATGTATAATTAGTGTGTGAAATGTTGATGTGTTTATCAATTGTTTTTACTTTTTATTCTTTTTTTAGGAGGAGGAAGTCATGAAATTAGGGACACAATTGTGGCTATCGACGATGCGAAAAAAACAGTGACCTATATGATAATTGCGGGAGACCTTTTAAGTTTGTACACCACAATTAGTGCTACATTCCAGGCTGAAACAGATTCTGATGGAAAGAACTTTGTCACTTGGACTATGGATTACGTGAAGCTTCTACCGACCTCGCCGGAGCCGACTTCGTTGATGGATGTGGTTGTCTCTTCCGTCAAGGAGATTGATGCTAAGATTTCCTGATGAAAGAGAAGTCAATTTGTTAATCACATATGAAGAAGAAGGGCTTGAAAAATTCCGACGTGTATACATATTCCGAGCATGCCTTGATGAATTGGAATTGTAATAAATAAAACAGAGTTGGTTTTTTTTTTTTCTTCATTTTCTTGTTTAGAGTTTCAATAAATCAATTCCGTGGTCCATACTTATTTGTAAGTTGGACTGGCTTTATAATAAAACGGTCATTTTGTATATTTATTGTCATTTTGTATATTTATAATAAAACGGTCATTTTGTTTCGAGTTTCAATAAATCAATTCCATGGTCCATACTTATTTGTAAGCTGGATTGGCTTTATAATAAAACGGTAATTGTCTCATTTCACTTGATGATTTCACACTACAAAAAAGAGGGGTTACCCTAACACAGGTATTAAGACATTTTTTTTTGTCACTAAACCAAAGCTCACTTAATTAATGAAAAAATCCGCACAACATATATATAGCCCTCTATTATAATTGTGTAAAAAAAATAATAATATTGCATGTATGTTGATCTCTAAAGAGTTGATGTTGTACTTTTGTGCTACACATCTGATCCTTCTTCTCTTGTAGATTTTTTTGTTTTATAAATAAAAAACAATTTTATTAATAGTAAAGAAAAAATATGGCAGCGAATATACTAAATCATATATCAAATACAATTTTGATCTTAAAATAAAGTGGAATCCTTGTTCCATCTAGTAGACCGACGAATTTAAACTTTCTTTTTAGGCTTGACTTTTTTCCGAACGATTGTGATATGTTGGAGCAGAAATTTCACTGTAAAAAGACTCTTGTTCCATTGCATATTCCATATCGAAATCTTCATCATCAGAACCATTGAAAGTATGATTTAGTCCGCTTTCAGAATATATTTCTTCAACGAATAAATTGGGTTAAAAGGCTCGGTATTCTTCCCTACTTCCTTATCGTCTTTGTATAAAAACTGGTTGTTGTTTTTTTTCCCATAATTGGGTTTGAAATTGGAAGTAATACTTGAAGAATAGGGACTTGTGGGCTGGGGGAGAGATTAAATACTGCAGTAGCGGGATTTCATTGCTTGGCAGAGACAATATTTTTTGACTTTTGAATGGAGCTGTTTAAGGAATTATTTTGTGAAGATTTACCTTCCGTATTTGAGGATTGGGGAGTTAAGAACTCTGACTTTGACTTATCAATATTCAAAGATTGAGTATCAAGATTTGATTCTGCTGAGTGAATTACGCCCTCTATCTCTAGAAGTTTTTGACTGAGCAAAGGACTCAGTTGCGCAGAAGACGTAGACTGATCAAGAGGCGCAATCTCAGGAAGCTGTTGCGCAGCAGATGACTGCGAAATCAGCAGAGATTGTGACTGTTGCTCACACCGGACTTCCAATGGATCCGGCCAACTCATCCCTTCCGATGGTGAAGAATCCTTACTTCCATTGCCTGAGATTTGAGCAGCATCATTGTCCTCATCAGAAGTTCGGTGATCGGGATTAGGCCGCGCGACAACAGCAACCATCGCATCAGTATGAGGTATCAGCGCACCATTCAAGTTTGAATGAATTTCGTTTTGTTGAATTTTAGCGATTCCTTGTGGCGCTTCCGCAGAAGACGGTGAATCTTCACCAGCAGCGCCGTTTTGTAACAGCGGCTTCACAACAACAGTAGAAGCAGTCGGATTTGCAGCGACATTAGGGAGGGTTTGTAAAGCAGCATCGACATCAATTGCTTGAGGTGCATCTTCCGAAGACAGTGAATCTTCACCGGCATCGGCACCTTGCAACAGCGGCTTCGCGACAACAACAGTGAGAATATCCATGGCTGCCTTCAAGGGCTGCGCGACATTAGAGGGGATTTTACCTCCTATTGCCGGAGCCGGCTTGTCTATATTCCGGGATGTTCGTTGCTTTCCTTGTGAATCTTGTTTTGATTGTTGTTTTGAATGGAGCAAATCAGACTTATGCAATTATATGTTATGCCGACAAGAATGAAGATCATGACCTATCCTTTTGTATTCAACACAGTATTGTGGCATGTTCCCATAATAAATGGATTGGAAAGTAAGTCGATCCTTCTACCCCCAGCCGGATGCGAATGGGATGCTCCTTGAGGAAATCCAACTCTACACAGACTCGTGCCATAGATGGTCGGAACATGTTGAGGGTTGAGACGTCAATTTGGAGAGGAGTTCCAGTAATACTAGCTAATTTTCACAGATAAGCCTTGTTGAATCGATGAATGGGAAGGTCTTCAAAGGCGATCCAGACTGGAACAATGGAGCTTTCTTGCGCTGTATTGAAATCTGTGGTCCATTTGAGAACTTGCATCCGGTGCTTGTCAAAGGTCCATAAAGCTTTTAATCAGCAACGATGATAATCCTCCTCAAGGTCGAAACAGACGAGGACATGGCAGTGATCGATCGATCCTAGTGAGAAGTCTCCTTTGAAACCAATGGTTTGGAATTCTTTCCCCAAATAATCTATTTTCGGCCGGCCTTTGGTAAATTAACCGACAAGGGCAAGTTGAAAGGGGGCTGCCAAACGTTCATCTTCTTCTTTTGTAAGAAGAAAAACTGGCTTTCCTTAAAGATAGTTGGTTCTGATTGAATTACAATTGGGGTGAGAGATTGTTTTTTTGCCGAATGGTTGTGGACAGCTTTTGGATTAGATCCTAGAATTTGTTTGAGGGAACGTCGTTGGGGAGGTTGAAATGATGGTTTAGGGTGGCCATAGGAATGAAGAGAAAGAGGTTTGAGAGGGAGAGAGAAGAACCGCGAGAACTATTTGTTATAAAAAATTAAAGGTTGTTCACAGAGTTATTAAGACATATCTAGACAAAATTGAAATCAAACAAAACTCAATAATAACACCAAAAACTAAAACTCAATAATAACATATATTACTAAGAACTATCAATCTTTTCCTTCAATTTCAAATTTTAGTATAGTCCCAATACTTTTAATTAGGGGAGAGAAAAACACATATCCTAATACGACAAATAAAAAAATAAAAGTAATATATTTAGTGTTAATAAAAGTAAAACCAATAAAAAGTTAAACAAGTATTTACTCACTTCCATTTTCACCACTCCATTTCCCTGCGTCTTCTTCCCCACTTACATTTTTCTTTAACTTCCCTAAAATCCTGCACAATTACATTTACTTAATCTCATCGATCAATTTTCATAAGATTTATTGCCAACATGATTTATTTCTTATTGGGAGTAACTAGTAAGTACAGAATCATTGATTCCTTTTTTTAAAAAAAAATATTTCCGATGGTAGGTTTTGTTTTCTTGATTCATTTGAGAAACTTATTTGGGCTAAACTTCTAACCAAAACATTAATTAACAATTGTTGGTGTATAAAAAAAGGTTCTAAAAGAATCCACCTGTCGAGAGTAAAAAAAACTTGTTCAAATATTAGGATTAAAACCAAATATTTCAATACTTTGGGACTAATTAACTAAAATCTTCTAAACCTTTGGACTAAAATGTAGATTTCCCAGAAAGACTTCCTGCATGCATGGGCGTGAATCACATTTCTTTTAGAAAATTTTCGAGACCAACTTTTTTCACTTTATAAGTAACGTAATTGTAATTACGACAAGTTATCATCTTCAAAAATAGTATTAATATAAAATCCCTTAAGAAAAGAACAACAAAAAAGAAAAGAAAAATAAAGGAGGAGGAAGAAAAAATGAATGGAAAGATGGTTCATGTGATTTAACCAATGCAAGAAAATAATCAAAATGGACCCAGGCCTTGGATTTACTCCTTATAAAACCCCTAAATCTTCATTGTATTTTCGTCTCCACCTTTCCTTTCACTTGTGTAAGTACAAGATTAATTTGTGGAAGAAATGGCCAGTCTCATAGGGAAACTGGTTACAAAAACAAAAGTTAAATCCAGTCCGAATGCAATTTACGATATCTATGCCCACAAACCATATGAACTCATCAGTGTAGCTCCCGATGTATTTCAAAGTTTAGACCTTCTTGATGGCTTGTGGGGAGTCTTCGGCTGTGTCTTCTCCCTCACCTACGTTGATGGTAAAATTCCCGTTTTCTTAGTTAATTAATTGAATCTTTGCAAACATACCAATTATAATAATATTCATTTATTGTCTCTTTTTTATTCCTTCTTTTAGGAGGAAAAATCCGGACAATGAATGTCAAAGTTGCGGCCATAGACGACGCTAACAAAACAGTGACTTATATGATCATTGCGGGAGACCTTCTAAGTTTATACACAACTCTTAGCGCAACCGTCCAGGTTGGCACTGATCCAGATGGGATGATGAACTTTGTGACTTGGACATTGGACTACGTGAAGCTTCTGCCGACCTCGCCGGACCCGATTTCGTTGATGAACTTGGCCATCACCGGCGTCGAGGGTATTGATGCTAAACTTGCCAACTAGAAGATATATAGCCTTTTGCTTGCTTTCTTTGTACTCTCTCCATAATCCTTTGTAAGTGAAGTGTACCGAGTGTACTCATCGTATAACTATTGTTTGCAAAAATAGAAAATACTCCCTCCATATATCCTAGAAAAATAGTTCACGTCCTATTTTCAAATTTGCACAAAAAATAATACAAATTTAAAACTCAATGTGGACTTTTTTTTTTAAGAGAAGAGATAGTGAATAAATAAATAACATAATACTACACAAAAAAAATAGAGAAATGTGTGTGAAAAAATGTCGTAATTTACATGAACATACATATATGTGGTAGTTTTTAAAATAGTATTTTGATTTTTACTAATTTTAAGAGTCATTATCTCATTCCAGAATTTTACACAAATTGGAATGGGTCATTTTCATTAGCTTGTACTACCTCTGTTTCAAAATTAATTATTGTTGCGCAAAAATTTTCACTTTTAGTTTATTTTGTACTAAAAATGAAAAATCCAAATTGCACAATAATTTTGGGGCGGAGAGAGTACATAACTTTCACTAGCGGTTTTAGGGTGGGGCCACAGGTTCATGTATGTAATAAAATTTAATTATATTTTCGGACTTTGAATAACTTAAAAAAAAAATAGTGAAAACTTTTGTTTGCGAGCTTATAAAGATATAATTTGGTTAAGGAGCGCAAAACACTGATATGATTTCGTGTTTGTACTATTTACTGTTGAATTTGAGCCATTCACCCGGTGAAAAGTCATGAGAAATACAAAAATTTTGAATGAAAGATCACTTATTTTTACACAGCGAAATAGGATAAATGTGGCAATAGCATATAAAAATTAATTTTTTTATTAATTTGTTTGTGGCTTAATGCATTTTTGTTCTAGAACCACGATCAATTTAAAGAAAATGTTTCGTGTGGTTTTTGGTCCACATTCTGATAAACAAAAGTAATTCCGTATTCCAATTTATAAAATACAAATTTTGACTCATTACTTTTACTTTGGACTTTATAGTTAGAGGAGATGTGGGAGTACGTATCCTGTTAACAGAAACCGAACAAGACATATGAATCAAGTTTAGATCAAAGAGAGACTGAATAATAAGATTGGGAAAGTTTTGTGTGTTTACTTACTCCTTATCATAAGATATTTATAAAAGAGATAATTCTTATCCTAAATTAAATCAAATCACGGCATTAATTACCGGATCAAATCAAATCATTCTAACATATCAATCATATCCCTACATTTATTCTCACACCCCCACTCAAACTTGAGTTTGCTTAAAGGCAGAGCACGCCGGAAATTAGGCCGAACAATAGCGGACAAAAGAAATAGTACCGGGCAAGAGAGAACAGCATAGGCGGATAATGGCGCACGACATAACTCCAAGGGTAGAACTCTGAACAAACAGGAATAGATACGATTGCAGAACACCGGACATGAGGAAGATGGTGTCAGAACACCCCCAGACTGATGTAACAGGATATGATTACAGAACATCCAAAACTCGAATGGGGGTAGAACCAATTATAATATAGGGATCCTAGGTACACCTAGCAAGGTGTACCTAGAGCGAGTCTCACGCGACTCAAAAATGGACATCTCTCAATATTTACAACAATTCCATTTAATTCTCCATTTTGTACGATTTTAGAATTTCAAATCCCACCATTTCTTCTTAATTTTCAGCTATTAACCATATCCATTTTCCACCCCATTCATCACAATCCGTCTCAAACAAAAAATAAAAAAATAAAAAACTAAATTTTCTCTACAGCAATTTGGCCAAAAAACCTCTCGTCGGCTGGATTTTTTGGGACGGAATCAGATTGTGCATCAAATCCAGTGGAAATTGTGGAAATATACTCTGTTTAAGATGCGATTTAAGGTAATACATGAACAAAATTCATCCACGCAGAAACCATCGATTGAGGATCCTGAACCGAACAAAAGCAGTTCGAAAAGTGAAGATGAATGAAGGTAATACTATTAATCTTTTGGACTATTGATGCGTTTTTTGATGGGTTTTGTAGATTTACTTTATATGCATTCGATTATGCATATTTGTTCATCAAGTTTAAAGTTTTCTTCATATTCAACCATTGGTGTTTTTTTTTTTTTTGTTTGGGTTCTGTAGATGTAAGGTATATTCACTCGATTGACGATGTTTGTTCATCAATTTTAGAGTTTTGTTCTTCTATTGGATGTTGTTTTTCGGGGAAATTGGTAGATTTTTGTATTATTCATTAGGTTGGTATAGTTATTCTTTGTTGAAATTGTCAGATTCATCGTTTACCATAACTATGTAGTATTATTTTTTTGGTAAATTAGTAGATATTTGTATTATTCATCAGTTTGGTATAATTATTCATTGTTGAAATTGTCAGATTCATCGTTTACCATAACTATGTAGTATTGTTTTTTTGGTAAATTACTAGATCTTTGTATTATTCATCAGTTTGGTATAATTATTCATTGTTGAAATTGCCGGATTCATCATTTACTATAACTATGTAGTATTGTTTTTTTGATAAATTACTAGATGTTTGTATTATTCATCAATTTGGTATAATTATTCATTGTTGAAATTGCCGGATTCATCGTTTATCACAACTATGTGTTATTTATTCGTTAAATTTGTTCATCAATTTGGTAATTGGTATTCATCATAATTTATTGTAAAATTTGTTTTGGCATAATCATCCGTAAAGGGATGTTATTCATTGGGTCAGCAATTATTATTAATTTTCCGATTTCATAATCCCATATTATTCATCATCTATATACATTTATTCATTAATTCATCGAACAATCATTCATTAAATTTGTGATACATCTGATACGTTGATATTACAAAACACACTGAAAAATTCATCACATCTGACAAGTTATTCATGGAATTTGTAAACATATTGTAGTATAAGCGATTAATATCAAACAGAATCTGAAAGAAGCATGAGCGAAGAACAACAATCAGAAGCCGAAAGAAGTAGGATATCTGAATATGCAAAAAGACCAAACCACAATAAGTGTAGACATTGATATAGAGGGTTATTCAGCAGTTTTGTAAACTAGTATTAATTTTTTGGTAAATTAGTAGATCTTTGTATTATTCATCAGTTTGGTATAATTATTCATTGTTGAAATTGCCGTATTCATCAGTTTGGTATAATTATTCACTGTTGAAATTGCCGTATTCATCAGTTTGGTATAAATTCATTGTTGTATATCATCTACCTCATGAATTTTTTACTCCTTATTTGCTACATGCAAATTGATTCCAATATACAACACCAGATTTGGACATTTTCCAATCTTTGAACCTTTTTATTGAAAAAACAATGCGCTAGAATTATAAGCAGCAAAAGCCTCTTCCTCATATTTGAAACATCGTCCAATTATTCATCAATAAGAACTTTTATTCATTAATTAACGTAAGATATTCATCATAAAAACGTAATAAGATAATACACAATCAGTCAGAAAACAACAATGAAATTCCTGTTCATCATTAACCATATAATACGCATTACCTTACGCATGTATATTCATCAATAAAACGAATACATTCTACATCAATCATCTTTCAATAATTGCATAATATTATTCATTGTCTAAACGTTGGTTATTCATTACTGGGAAAATACACATTGATTCTCCATATTCATAAATCTCAATGATTAACCATAGTCAATTTTACTAAAATAAAATCCATCGTTATAAAAAAATTATCTCATAAAATAAAATAATATAAAAGCTAACATCATAAGAAAAAAAAAAGGTTTAAAATTAAACGTGCGTCAAAAAAAAGGGGATAAGATCAAGGAGTTAAATGCCAAAAAAAAGGGGGATAAAATTATGGGGATTAAATGCCAAAAAAATGGGGATAAAATTCGATGATTAAATGCGCGTGTGAGAACTAAAAATTCAGACTAAAATAATCATTTGCCGTGGTAGAACACCTAAAACCGAGATGGTGACAGAACATCCAAAAGTTAAATGCTGACTGGACGCCGAGATTGATGGTAGCAAAACAGTGGAGAAATCAAGGCGGATAAAAAACAGGGTAACCAGAAAAGGCATGGCTAGAAGAAATCGAAAACTGGAAAAACAAAACTTTCCCCAATTTTATGATTCAGTCTCTCGTTGATCTACACTTGATTAATATGTCTTATTCGGTTTATGTTAACATATCCATTTCGTGCTGTCACGAAGGATTTGGTCAACGAGGTTGCATTAGGAGTACCACACACTTGTTAAAAGTCGTTGATCGAGCTAGGAAACAAGTGTAGGATATATTAATCAAAATGCTTGACAGCATGTGGTCATAGTCACTACATTTTTATATCTAACCAAATCTTTTTTTTTACGCTAAATTAATTTGTGGTAGCTTAATGACCCAACCCCTCAAACTAAATGTAATAATATTGTTACTTACAGATATATAAGATCGGATCAGATCGGGTCGGATCGGATCGGATCAGATGGAATGGTAAAGACGTTAGGTTTAGTTGATGAATTGATTTTGTCCTTAAACTATGGTTGAAAACAATAATTGATCGGTGTTGGGTTGATATTTTATCTTTTTTATTCATCAAGTTGAATGATACACCATATTTCTCTTTTTCTCAAAACAAATACACCATATTTCTCCTTGTAATCCTGTACCTGATGATCACCGAGAAATTAGATATTCTTACATAAAAATGAAAAAAAAAAAAAACAACTTTTTCTTTCCTTTTTATTCCCATCAAAAGAAAGGATGACTTTTAATATATGCTGGGATTTGTTCAAATTAATTTTCAGACAAGGCGATTGTTGATATCTTGATGGCAGTGAAATGCCCATGTCACTTTGATTTGGGACCCATCCTGCTCAAAGTCAAATGCATACCCAAAATGAACCCTATAAAATTCCTCAAGTACCAACGACATTTTTTCATCCCTTCAATTTCCAAAATTCTCTAAGACTATCTTTCCTCCTTTGGTAGTGGTAGTTAAAAACGATATTAATTTTCCCCAGAAAACAAAATGAGCAGTTCAAGTGGTAAGCTAGTCTCCCAGATCGAGATCAAGTCCAGTGCAGACGTGTTTCATGAGTTGTTCAGGAAGGAACCTCATCAGCTGTCAACAATAAGCCCTGATACTGTCCATAACTGCGATTTGCACGATGGTGATTGGGGCACTGTTGGATCTGTCATCTCCTTCGATTATACTCACGGTATTCATTTTCCTATAATTGATTTTCATGTTTTTATCCAAAAAAAAGAAACACACACCCACACAAACAGAGAGAAAAGGGGGGAGAAATAATAATTGCTTTCTCTGTTTCAAAATTATTGTCCGATTTAGAATTTTTTACTTTTAGTTAAATCTGTATTAGAAATGAAACTCCAAACGGGGACAATAATTTTGGGACAGAGGGAATAGTATTAATTATATTTTGTTTTGTTTAGATGGAAAGAAGTGTGTTGCAAAAGAAATGATCGAGGTCATAGACGAAGAAAAAAAGTTGGTGACATTCAAGATAATTGAAGGAGATCTTCTAGAATTGTACAAGAATATTAGTGTCACAGTTCATGTTGAAACCCACGGTGAAAGCAATTTGGTGACTTGGACCATTGATTATGAGAAGCTTCATGAAGGCGTCCCTGATCCCAATACTTTGATTGACCTATGCTTCAAAATCACCAAAGAGATTGAGGCTCATCATCTCAGCAGGTTAATTTTGTAGATTTGAGTGTACAAATTACCAAGTTGTCTTTCGTTAATTATGGAACCAACAAAGTACATGATGTTTAATTTACAGTTACAAGTTGATTGTAAAAATATTAACGAAATTTATTAGAAGCCATTCACCCTTTTATCCTTCGGCTAAACCCTTTGCTGAATTGATTTTTTGTGTTTGTTTTATTGCTTAGCGACGAGATCTCGGGGAAGAAGACCAAGAAGTTGGTTTCCTCCGTTGAAATAAAGTCGGATGGAGATGTTTTTCATGAGATCTTCAGAGACAGACCACATCACATTTCTACAATGAGCCCAATTGTTAAGGGCGTTGACTTGCATGATGGTGATTGGGGAAAAGTTGGATCTGTTGTCTTCTGGAGATATACTCATGGTGCGTAAGCTGGAATATAATGACTGTTATCTTTTTGTGTGAATTGATTTCGAAAGTTACTGACCATATTACACTCGTTCAGTCCCGAAATAATTACTAGTTTAGATTTACTTTTAGTACGATTTGAACTAAAAATGAAGACTCAAATAAATAATTATTTCAGGATGCAGAAAACATTATGAGTTCAATCATTGACTTATAGACACTATAAATAGAATTGGTTAGATGTTGACCATATTATATTATGATTCATTCATTGATAAATAAATTTTGTTAAACTTTCTGATAGATGGGAAGGAAATGGTGGCAAAAGAGATAATTGAGGCCATTGATGAGGAAAAGAAATCAGTGACGTATAAGGTGATTGAAGGAGATCTTATGGAGTTGTACAAGAGCTTTGCCATAACTGTTCATGTTGATACTGTTGGTGAGAACAACTTGGTGACTTGGACATTTGAGTATGAGAAACTTCATGAAGGCATCCCTGATCCCAATTCACTCCTGGAACTTGGCATCCAACTCACTAAGGAAATTGAGACTCATCACCTCCAATAAATCAATCATTATATGGGGGCATGATTTGTGGTCATCTGGCTTAGTTTGAATTTCTGTTGTTTTACCGGATATGGATAAATCAAAAAAATAAAATAAGCTGGAGAAGTGAACTTTGCAATGATTGATGTACAATTTTTTCTTGGTGTAACGCTAAAACATTAAGAAATGTCGGATTTAAGGTGAGAGGATTGTCGTGGTTCGAATTTTTGTTGAAAATTCTATATATGTTCTCTTTTATTTTTTTTTCAGGGAAAGTTAACTATTATCGTTTATTTTTCTTTTTCTTTTTTTTTTTGGTTGTATTTTCCGTTCAATGCACCCTACAAATTTATGTGTCGTCCATCTTATTCCGCTCTTTGGGATGGACTGAAATTCACAAAGCTGCCTACAAAGCTTAACTAAAACAATATTAACAATGGCCGGTGATAGTTCGGCAGCGGTGATATAAGGTGTTCCCCATGGTGGTAGATACATTATTATTGTGTTTTAAAAAATTGTCCATTTAACTTTTCAAACCTTTACTTAAACTAGATGCCATCGGCCCGGGCGATATCTTGGAATTAATATTTGTGGTAAATTTTATTAATAATAATAATAATAATTCATTTATGTGGGTAAAAAATAAATTTATCAAACTCTGAAGGTAGTAAGGGTCCATAATTCATTTATGTTGAGTCAAAAATAAAAACAGCAAACTGGGAGGGTTGGTAGGGTAAATACTTTTTATGTTTAAAAAGTAAATAAAAAAACGGGAATCATTTTCTTCATTTTGGTCTTTGTTCATATCGAACAGATCTGGAATCTTCACCAAAGTGCTTTTTTTTTTTAGAAAGTCTACCGGCCTTTTGGTCTTTCGATCTCATATTCGGTGTCAAATTTTTCCAAGTACAAATGAGAATCTCATTTGGTTGACGTTTTGTAATCAATCTAAGATTCATTGAGCACTATATTCATATTCATTCGGTTTAAATGGGGTCTGAACCATTGAATTTTACTGATTCATATCAATCAATTGAAGGTGAAGAGGGTGTTTAGATATAAGTTCGTTCTCCATTATGGGTTGCTATTCTGTGGTTTACTGTGTAGCTATTATCATTGGTTATAAATGGGTTCGTGAAATAAAGGAGTGTTTCATTGAAGTGTCTGAGCTGGAATTGGGTGTATTAAGATTCAATCGCTTGTTGATGAGGTAATATGCCTATTGATATTTCCTTTGGTTTTCATTAGTTCGCCCTAATCAAGAAAATGATTAATTTTTTGATATTGATATTGAAATTATATTTTTCAAACAGATTATGTTCCATAAACGACCTAGTTAAGATTCGTGGTTATTAAAGCTATCTGTATATCCAACAACATTTTCTTCATCCAAACTTCATTCTACTGAGGTAATTGAAGATTTGATTGTGGTCTTTAAGTAATATATTATGTATGAAAAATTATTTCTGATTATTTATTCTTGTTGATATATTAACAGGATATACAATCAGGATGATAATGGTCCGGTGGATACTGTTAACCAGAAAAGGTAATTTCATATTCATTCAATCTTAGATAGTATGCTAGATGCAATTGATAGTATGAGCATGATCTGATGGAATAAGCAATTTTGTTTGATTTGTTTTTTGTGCTTTCTGTTTATAGTTTGTTTTGGAATGTAAAAATAAAAAAGTGAAATTGAAATGTCTGAAAAAACTATGACCATAGTGAAAGTTGATAATGAAAAGGAATAGTATGTACCATGATTAAATCATTAATGAAAATAAAGAAATTACCTCAGCTGACATTTCGTAGAGCTTCCTTGTAAACGACATTCATGGTTTGGTTGGATCTTGTGCCATGACGGTCACAAATGAGAACTTTCAACCCTTTTTTAGATGTCACCCTTGACAATGCCACATATAACTGTCCATGGCTAAAAACTGGCTGCGTTAGGTAGAGTCCGACTGTAGATAGGGACTGACATTGACTTTTGTTAATGGTCATTGCGAAACAAATAGCTATAGGAAACTGCCTCCTCTTCATCTTGAAAGGAATGTTGCTGTCAGTTGGAATTATTTTCATCCGAGGAATAGGTACAAGCTGACCAATATTACTACCTGATATGATTTTCCCTTCTATGACATAACGACCCATACGTGTAATCTGTAGTCTAGTACCGTTGCATAGTCCTAATCTTGGATCAAGGTTACGTAGTAATATGACTGGAACATTCTGTTTCAATACCAATCTGTGATTGGGAAGTACGGAAGCTTTCACACTGTTGAGAACTTCAGGAGTGTAGATACCCTGATCTGATTCACCTCCATGTTCAGAATTACACATGCTGTCTGAACTGAGGTATTCACGTTCTTCTCCTGGTAATAAACCTGTCATGTAGTCATTTACTTTGTCAATGACTTCATGTGTTGGTCCTAAAATGGCTCTTTCCTAAAACCAATCTTGGTTTTCCAGATTAGCTAATAAGTCTGGATATATAGCCTTTACAATTGCCTCGATAGGATCTCCTGGTTCATGTATGATAACCTTATCTGGGAATTCAATTTCTGCTTCACCATCATTTGGCTTGTTGATCTTTCCTTCTCCAATTTTTAACAACCATTCAGCAAACTCACGTATTTCATCAGGATTATTCACTGTATTTCCTACCCTTAATCTCATGTTCACAGTCAATCTAAGTACCTTAGAATGCCTCCATAGGTAAGAAGAATTTATTGCAGAACTTACAATGTCTGCTCTAGTACCTTTTGGAACTACTGGCAAAATCTGCCAAAAATCCCCCCCAAGAACAACAACTTTACCTCCAAAAGGTTGTTCTGCAGCATCTGGATTTGTTCGCCTTAGAACGTCCTTTAAAGTACGATCTAAAGCTTGAAAATAATGTTTATGTACCATTGGTGCCTCGTCCCATATAATAAGTTTTGCCCTCTTAACCAAAGCAGACAAATCACTTCTTAGTTTTATTCTACATATCGATTTATTGGTCACGTTAATTGGTATATGAAACCTTGAGTGAGCCGTTTTTCCACCAACTAACAATAATGAAGCAATTCTACTGGAAGCTACATTTAGTACTATTTCTCCTTCTTTTCGAATTGTTGTTGAAAGTGTGCGCTAGACATAAGTCTTTCCAGTTCCACCGTAACCATACACGAAGAATAATCCTCCACTCTCTTTTTCAACTGCATCTAAGATTTCTTTGTAAATTGCCCTTTGTTCGTCAGTTAGATTACCATAGAGGACATCATAATCTTCCCTCAATGAGGACCTGTTGTAGTCTAACTCATCGCGGATCATGGTATTTGTCCCATCCTCAATGAATACATCACTAGGATATGGTATACTTGGGAAATCCTTCAAGGTCCTATCATGAGTTCGTAAGATTAACTCAATCTCCTTCAGAGCGTGCAATTGTAGCTCGCCTTTAGACACAATGTAATCTGTATATACGATTTTATTATCTATGTATATATTAACAAAAAAAAAGAATGTGTACTAATTTAAATGTAAAATATAATTGAAAAATATTTTCATGACACACCTTCATTTCTGAACAACCGTTTCAATTTCAATGGGATATCTTCCGTGTAGCATTCCCAAGTTTGATCCAACACATTCTCAGGCTTTGACAAAATATCACCATCCAATAGTTCAGCAAATAGATGTCTGCAGTAGGTTGTTGTGCCCCAAGTAGATGCTTCAAGAATGCAATCAATATATTCGTCATCTTCTAGTAAACCCCTTGCAAAGCAAGCATCTTTGAATGTCATATGTTGTACACCATCTACTGTCATTATATCTTCATAACACGTCGGGCCTTTAACAATATTAAGCAGCATCCTGAGGTAATAAGGTTCACCAGATGCTACAAGTACCCCATGAATTCTTCCAATGCTTGAACCTCTTTGTCTTGGCTTCCAAATTCTATTTTTTTTTTCCACACAAATTTGGAAGGAAAATTAATGTAAGTAAGATTCATAGCTTTAGGGTAAATGGCATTACATTGCATCCAACCAGTGAACATCGATTCTCTGTTGGAAGCCCTGCTTATTACTGTTTCCACAGTCTAATCCTCATCGTATACGACGCTCTGTTGACCAGGCATATAGAAACTTAGCCTTTCAACATGATGTGTTCTATGATGTATTGGAAAGTTACAGATACGCCATGCAGCCTCACAACCTGAAAGATATCTACCTTCATACCAATCTTTTACTTCATCCTTTGGGCGCTTATCATAATCTTCTCTAATTACTTCTCCGTTCATTGTATATTTGAATGAAACTCGGTCGAATCCTTTATTCAAGTATTTGAATAAGTATTTTATAGCACCTGCTTGATTACACCATTCTACATTGATGTGTTCATGAAACCTGAGTGCCAAATACCGATTGTAACCAACCACCCATGTATTATCTATTGTGCCACCATTCTTTTCAAATTTATTTCCATCATTACGTCTCCTGTAATTAGGGAAACCATCATCACCTATTGTAGTTTCCTCTTTGAACTTTTTAGGGAATTTTGTTGAGCATTCATCTTTCATCATGCAAGGACTGTAAGGAAACTCTTTACCACAAGGACCATGAACCATCATCCCAGTAACAATGTTGTATAGAACAGGATTGTTATCTTTGTCTGGTAGTTCAGCACATATGAAGTTATCAATATCCTCTGGTTTGGATAGTTTGTCATCACGATGTAACCACACCACTATATGTGCATGAGGTAGACCTCTTTTCTGGTACTCAACCGTGTAGACAGCTGCAAAGTTATTATACAATATTAACTGTATGGAATAATTACTATTGATGTATAAATACAAAAAAAAATTTAAAACAAAAAGATGTAAATGATAGTTAAAACAAACCTGCTTCCTGACGGCCAAATACCTCTTTAGTTTTTATCTCTTTCATCAGTCTTTCAAGCTTCATCATGAACACTCTTGAAACTATATTTGGCCTATCTTCGGGCCTCAATCCTTTCTTGTCGCAATATCTTAATATTTCTGGCCACTTGTTATTACATGTAAATGTTAAAAAAAACATCCGGATAACCATATGTCTTAATTATAGTCATTGCATCAATGTAATTCTCCATTTTCCATCTTTCACCTCCTGTGAACGTAGAAGGTATTATCACTCTCTGCCCAACATCTCAAGCTTCAGTATTTCCATGGTCAAGCTGTTTTCTACTGTTTTCATAAGTGTCACATCGAAGATTTCTTTGATTTCTCCTGACCCAAAATATCCTATCAGCTTCAACTGCACTGTATCCATCAACTAAAAACTGTTGAAAAAGTCTACGTCCATATAGCAGCATTGATCCATCCATGTCTCTGTCCTGTATACGGTATGCAAACCACTCACACATACTCATCCATTTACGCGGGCCTTTCCTTTCGTCATCTACCCCTTCAATATCATCACAATACACATTTTCATCTTCGTCAGAATCTGATTCTGGATCTCCAAGTTTTATGTTGATTCAAAAACCATCTTCACCATAAGGAAACAACAAAGGATATTGAAGTGAGATGTACGATGGGTGCAACTCATTTATACGCTGAAGTTGTCCAGATTTATACTGAACAATTATGTCTCTTGTCTCAGTTTTATTTCCTTCATCGCCTGGTAATATAGCTGCGACTTCGTCAACAGTTGGAAGATTGTGCGTTCGGGCATCAGTTTCCCTTGTCGAAATTAGCTTTAGTCTAATCTCACTCGAAGAATCTGATTGGACAGTGTCACGCAATTTTCTGTATGTTTTAACCAAAACATTGTGTTCATCCATCGTAGTCTTTATGTCGTTCACAATCTGACCATCAAGCTCCTTTGTTTTTTTTTATTTTTCCCTGAACTGCATTGTCAAAAATAGTACACAATATAATAGAATGGTTAAAAATGTGGATCATTGATGACCATATTAAATGTAAAAGCTATTACAGTAAGTATGTAATCATTGAAATGTACCTTAAAGCTCCAATCTTATTGCTGACTTCATTATGGGTGTCATATATGTATAATTGATAAAATTTGGGTTTGGAATCATCCTCTGGAAGTAAACTATCCATGAGATAGCTGTTGTGTCCGTGCATTTTGAAAACATATGGGGCACGTCCATCATTAATTGAATGAACTATGTTACCACCCATAGAAGTAAACGCGAACATGTTATTATACGCTCTGATATTCTCCAAGAAATGTTTGTTTTTATCATCATTTGAGATGAACAGATGTTTTAGTTTAAGAGGCGGTTCTTGCAGGAAGGGTAAATGTATTTTTCCTTGCTTGCAACACAGAGAGAATTGAGGTTGCTCAGGTCTCCTTTGCTTGTTCACTCTTTCTTCATACCACATGTTAGATCCACAATATTCACATACATAAATTGGATCTCCCAAGTCATCGTACTCTGAAAAAAAAAGTATATTTACATATCATGTATTATACTGGTGAAATAATTGTTGTATGATAATTAATACAGTATGGTGTACATGGATTGGTAGAATATTACCTGTATTTATGCATGTTAAATTCCTGCTAATGACTTTGTATTTTCCAGGGCGGAATTTTTCTTCGATGCACCTGTTGAGGTCTGATGGAGAATAGACGGATTTGATGATAATCTATCATCCAAAACAGCTTGTAGACGAAATCAATTTCACAACAAACAATAAATCAATGTTAGATTTTAGAACTTCAATTACTCTATATCAAATTTCTTTCATATACGAATTATTTGTACGATGGAAGATCTATATTCAATTGAAAAAAGAAATTAATAAATAAGATGATGGCTTACATGTTGCTTTATCATTACTTTTACCCTTCTGCAATTGTGATCTGCATATTCGATTGGAACTAATGGATTCCTTCATGGGTTGTGAACTTGTATCCCCGGAATACATGAATGTGAGATTACTTGATCCATGAATAGCAATACTACCCATCGTAACAATTGGTTTTTCTAGGATAACTTTACCCTTCCTTTTATCCAAAATTACCTTCCTCTTCAATCTGTAAGATCTTCCACAACTTGGTTTAACACTGATCTGTGACCTTTGCTCACCATGGATGGTTGACCTGTTTCTTTTCATATCTAACAACTCTTTTCTAACAATCCTGGACTTTTTCGCAACAACTGGATCAGGACAGGGTAATTCCAATATCTTTTTTCTATGAATTCTTTTCCTCTTACCATTGACTTCATGAGGTTGTGGTATTACAATTGGAACTGGCGGATTACTAGTAATTACCGGTTGATGAACTCTGAGTCTTTTTTTTTCTGTAAAATCTCCTTTCTTATCAATCTGGCCTACTTTGCATCCCACTTAGTTTTCATGGTGACTTTAAGTTTCTATGATGTTTATGATTGGAATTTATCAGATGTGTTTAAATAAGAATGTTAACAGGAATTGAATCTTATGTTTGATTTATTTGATAGAATATATTAATTAAATTACACTATCACTAAGGAATGTTTTTTGATAAAGATCAATGACATTGCCTAAAAAATAGGATATAAACAACCAATTCACAGTGAAATTGTCATTAGTGTATCTATAATTATATAGTCGTATGAAACTTTAAAACTCAGTAAAGCCAATTTACTGCATATACTATTACTTTCAATTTACTGATTGGATGTTTAATGCTCCATTATTAAGGACTGGTTATTTGTTATATGTATGATTACAAGAATTTATGCGATTATAAGATCAAAGAAATTGAATTATGGCATTAGATTATAAAAATCAAAATTACTGTGGGTAAAACAATGGAAAACAACATTCAATGATATAATAGATAATTGTGACTGAAAGTTGGAAAACAATAAGTTTATGATTAATTATTCCAAATAACATAAACAGCTAAAATAATTACAGGACTTCCAAGATCAAATGTTCCTTATTAACTCCCTTCCTTGTATCTAAATGAAATCCGAGCTTGATACCAGTAGGGATCCTTTTTAAACCCATCATGTACTCAATGTCTCCTTCAACAAGCGATTAGGATAATCAGATAAATAGACACGGCCCATTCTGATAGCAGGTTCTTCATCGTAGTATATGATCAAACTATTGTTGTCTTGAATCTCAAGTCTTCTGACAATGTGCCATGGTATTTCCTTTCATACAAAAAAATCAAAATCAAATATCCATAATAATAACAGTAACTGAATGATATATAAGTGAAGGTAAAATTTTGTTTTTCGTAAGTTACAAATGGTAACCATTATCTCACCAGTCTACCACGTTGAATGACATCAGTGTTCATGACTACGTTGAAAGTATTCGGATCACTATTAGACCGTATGTAGTCAATTGTGTCAACTTCACCTGCAATAGTGAATTAAAAATTCAGATAATGTATAAAAGAATAAATTTAATCAAATAAACTTCTTTTGCATATGAAATGTAAATTGATCAAACCTTCAGATGAATCTGAAGCAGATATATCCTGGTCACAGCAGTAACCTTCACTGTTGAAAACCCTTAACTTAAAGTATAATTGCCCTGTGTAAATGAATATTACATTTACACCTCGTAGATGATTAAAGTAAAGATCATGAAATTCTTCCCACATGTTGCCTTCAAAACCTACAGGTTCACCCTGTTGTGTATATATATTAAAATTCCACTGTTTGTGTTTATCATCAAGGACCAGTGAAACAGTTTGATTCAAAGGCCAACCTATAGCCCTAAAGTACTGTGGGTTAATACCCTACAATTGAAAAACAAAGACAATCAGGACAATAAATTTGTGTACTAAACAGATTTTAAAAATTAACAACCTAATTAGAAGTTGAAGGTATAATTTAAACTTACACATCGGAGAGCATTGTTAGGATTTAACTCCAAAAGGTACCGATGTCCAATGTTTGCATCAAGATCAGGGGAAAATCGTTGGCATCCATCGTGATTAAAATTAAATAAATGTAGAACGTTAGAAGACATGTGATAAACAACATGAATCTTAGATTGAGGAAAAACACCGATGGCTGCAAAGAACTTCTCAAGTGCAGATTCGTATAATTGACACCTTTTTTTTCTTATTAATATGCATATTTGCAAAAACACTGCGAATCCCTGGTACTTCAATCATGATTTGCTGCCCAACATGTCTTAAATTTGCAGTGAGGTTACTGCTAAGTATCTGATAAAAGAGATAAAAATTACAAATCGTAAAAGTCATTAAAGTAAACTCATAATTGAGATTGTATTATATACTTACCAATCCTTTTGTTCGAATGTTTGCTGGAACTGAAACCAATTGATCATAACCATAATCCATTTTGTCTGCTGAAATTCAACCTATTCTGTTTCTCAAACCTGCAAAGTACTTTTGCTTTTATGTTTTGTTTAAGACTGAATTTGGGTTATACGTGAATATATGTTTTTAGTCTGTATTTATATACCTATTTAAGATCCCTTGTAATTAGGAGTTTATTAGACTTAACTGTTAAGGAATGAAACTCTGTATATAAATTTTTATTTATTAACAACCAATCAACTCCCAAATAATTGATTATTTTACCAGTCTTTTAGGGATAAAATATTTCAGTTATCTGTCCATTGTATCCACATTCACATAAAAGTCTTTCAAATTTGATCAAATTTAAACTTTTTAAATTCCAATAAATCTACTAATTTTATAGAGACTTTTCAGGATATGAAGACTCAGTTCACTTATCCAATCTGAAATATTCAGTTCAATCCGTGTGTATCTTTACCATTTTATCTAGATTGAAATATTCAGTTCAATCCGTGTATATCTTTACCATTTTATCTATATAGTATTAATTCAGCAGTGAAAGGATAATTCTTCATATTCCTGATTTCTCGTATTTCAACATGTAAGAAACTGTAAAAATATGAATGTTAAGTATCAAGTTAATACTACTCTTCATTATATTCATTTATAAGTGAAGCATTTAGAACACATTTATGTAACTGATATTTACACATGACCATCAGTTATTCACAGAGACAATTGGTTTTCATCTTGAGAACTTTAACTCTATGAAATTACTTTGATAAAAAAAAAATTAATGTTGCAGTTTGTTAAACAAAGATTTACATTCATAACAAACACATTATGATAAACAGGATGAATGGAATTCAAATGTAACATAACATAATCATCAAAACAGATAGTTGAAATCAAAAGCAGAAATGATAAAAACTTATGATTTGTAAAAGGATAATGTTCCAAGAAAACTTGAACGAAATAATGAAAAGTTCTCAACAGAATCAATATTCTGGACCGGGAAACATCTAAATACCAAAATGTGTAAACTTTATTATGAAAACAGTAAATTGCTGCCATTTCTTTTGCTTATCACAGCTTCCTGACCCGCTTGTTAGGGTGAGACTTGACACTTTCTTCACCTTCATGTGCAATTGTAAACTTTTTAGACAGAGGACTATCGGCCGAATCATCTCCAAGCAACACCAAATCAGTTTCATCAGTGCACGAAACAGCTGTTTGGAATTCCAATATTGTGGTAAGTTCGCAAGCATGTCTTTTCATTTAAAATAATAAACATTGTGATATTTTAAAGGTATTCAAACATATAAAACACCTTAGCATTGCTGTCCTGATTTGGAGTCACAGAGTGATAGAATTCTGCACTTAGCTCTGGGTCAATGTCCTGGAACATTTAAAAAATTGTCACATAACTATAATCACAATATGTATGTATATGTGTGTATTGGTAAACAATGAAAGTTAACCTGATCATCAGAAACAATTTCGAGGTACTTATTTATAATTTCATGATCAGTAGCAATCCTTGCAACAGATATCTCACTTGTACTGTTCGTAATATTGTAATTGGACACATCCAGCCTGAACAAACACTTTCTCCCCACAATCTCCTCTAGGATATCAGGGTAATCTTTATTTCCCTATATAGGTTATCAATAGGCATCTCGTGTAAGTAATCAACATTTGTATACTATTAGATGCATCGTAATCATGAAGTAAAAAAACTTAGTGAAACATATTGAAGTATACCTCCTGAATTAGTTCGGCAGCACTCTTGTTCATGAAATTGTAAACCATCCTGTCCCAAAGTGTAGCAATCCTACTACCTGAACCATCAACAACATATACCTGCAGTCTGAATCTGAAGTAGATTGAACAGATAAAAATTAATAAGTGATTGTATAATTAAATTGAATAATAATTGAAACTAAAATGGATAAAAAAATCTATAATGCTTAGTATATTGTTTATACTTTGGCCCAACAGCAGAAACAGGTCCATGACTGCTGCACATCCATTTTTTTGGACACAAAATTGCCTTTCCATTATCTGTCCTTCTGCTTTTTGCAAATGATGGCTTTTTATTTCCTCCATTGTTCTTCTCAGCATCTTCTATCTCAAAAACCTTTCTATTACAGAGGCTGCAACCTGTGTATGACCATTCATTTTCCTTTGCTAATCCACTTATCTTAGCAAATACCACAACGTTGCAGCCCTTTAAACAAAAAGATTACAGAATGATTAAGGTATACAAATTATAATTTGTAATGATATTTTATAATATCAACTCATTACCTGATCCAATTCGCTAATTCTAGACAAAGTTAGCATCTCTGCATCACGGACAAAGTCTTCGAACATTGTGTAACCTGAAATTGAAGACAGCAGGGAGATCTTCTGGATTCTTGCACTTTTTATCTCTTCTTGCTCCATCCTATAGAGGTAAGTATATTGTTAAATTATAGCATGCATTTATGAACATACATGTTTTGAAGTCACTGTTTTGACTTGTGTATGCAAAACGAGAATATTTAACATTACCTGTGTTTGTACTCGTATATGTCAGCAATGTTCATATCATTGAGGTATATCCTACCATCAAAGAGGTTCGTTGTAGCCGAAACTTTTGCTACATTAACACAGCAAACAGTATAAGGATTACTCCATAGACATTTATGATAACTGAAATCTATGTCTTGAAAACTTGTAGTAGTACTTTTTACACTTGACATACTGCACAATCAAAACAACAGGATATTCGGGATCATTATTCATACAATTGAGAACACGGTCAGCGTGTTCTTCCTAAAGAGTAACCTTCAACGTGTCAGCTCTGCATATATATATACCCTGTTAATAATATATAGACTATTTATATGTTGGCTAAAAATCAAAAAAGAATCATGTATTTTAAGAAACCATGTAAAAATGTATACTTTTCATCCTCCAGTTGCACAGAAATCCTCTTCTTACCCTTTTCAACAATAGGATCACTGTAGCCAATGATGTGTCCTATCAAATCTGAAAGAAAGGGGTAATTTGTAAAGGTATTTACTTACAAAATAGTTGATTAAATGTGAAAGTTATACATGACAAAAATATGTAAAAATCTCATTACAAATTATAATTCATACTCACCACAACAATAATCAAAGTTGGCAACAAAATTCGTAATTTCTGCAAAAGGAGTGTACTCAAATACATGATTAGGTATGTCAAGGTCAACAGCTTGTTCAACCAAAGTGTCAGATCCAAATACAATTTTATACTCGTGTTTGGAACAACGGTAACCTCCATTTATGTTAAGACAGTGATCAAAACGTGACAGCCTCCTGCAAAACCTTCATCTTTAAAGTACTTAACAAAATCTTTCATGATTCGAGCAGGCATGGTAGCCTGGATCTTGGAACCCTGCATGGTTAAAAAAATTTATATATAATGTACTTAAACATACACATAGAGTGGTGTACATCAAAGAATGTTTTTTAAAAAACAAAGAAATAAAAATACCTGAGCATCAATCAAAGACAATTCAAGTGATTTGACATCCTTCTTATTTTGAGTATCATACATTTTCCATATAGTCATCACACGAACGACAATGTTGAAATGGATGCTTTTGGTTGGCACCAACCCATTGATGTCCACAATGTACCTTTGTGCAGCAAGCTGTGGGACGGGAGGAGTAACAGCAAGAGTTCCACTTTGAGCAATTGGATTCACAGCAGGAATTGCAATATGGGATCCATCAACAGGGGTTTTGATGAAGCCACTGATGTTTGAACGGGAGGAGTAACATATGCTTCCTCTGGGACTTCTTGAACATCATTGGGCTTTTCTGGAACAACAGGATCAGCTGATCGAATCATAGCACCTTCAGAAATAGGGAGATTTCTTTTTTTGTGCAGTATCCATCAGAAAGGATTGTGATTTCTTTTCTGTGAGTGATAGAATTTTCTTGTGGTTCTTTCATAAAGGCTTTGATTTTGATTAAATGATCCCTATGGACGTATTTATACAGATATTTTATCACGATGTGAAGATATGCCATGGATATATGAAGGTAAGTATATCTTTGAGATTTTGAACTTCCCTGCAAAACTGGAAAAGATGGAGAAGAAATATACACACACAGTCTGTTGTAGAGATATAGACGAATCAATCAAAATTCAAAAGCATGGATGATTATCTTGTAGATATTTCGTTCATAAATGCATCACATCAAGTGAATTGATTTTATTTTGATTTTCAAATCATATAGTTGATTGTACTGTACATTAATTACAGGAATTATAGTTAAATACGGATGCATTGCTTAATTTTAGGAATGGAGAATATTCGATTTCATGTAATTATGGTTAATTAACCAGTGTAATCCATGTACATTTCCTTTTTTTACATTTCTGTTACTGATAGTTCAGTAAAATCATTTGTATATATGAAGAGATGATTTTGATTATGTAACTGCAAGTTACAGGGGAAACGTGCTTATCTCCCTGATTTGTTAGTGTAAATTGGATTTTTTCTAATTATCTTATGTAAATTTAAATTAGCTATAAGTTTTCATGTTTTATCTCAACATGTTTTGGCGTTTTTTTTTTATGGAGGGTTTTTTTAAGACTAATTTTTATCTCAAAATCTAAAGCGCCACATGTCAGTTTTCATTTTGTACTGAAAAAGGCTTTTGGAGGGAAAATTTTCATTGTGGAGCTGACATGTGTTCTTTTTGTTTGCTGCTTTAATTAAGTACAATGGATTACATTTTAAATTTCATTTTAATGCAAAAAAGCCAAAAACCTAAATAAAAGTTGTCCAATAGAGTGAGTTTTGACTAGAGAAAAAGTATGACTACATACTACTCCTGAATTTCTGCTTCCTTTTTTCTTGATCAACCTTATATTTGTCAAAAATAAAAATAAAAAAATCAACCTTATAAAATTTCCAACGGTTGTTCTTCTTCACTTGTGATGATGCTTTGGGGATGGAATTATACTCCTTGGAGATACTTGTAATTTTTTATGACGAGCAGCCATTACCAGCCCGTCTTCTGTCCATGCAGTTATGTCAAGCTTGTCACTGGAAAACTTTTTGTTTTCAATCACATGGCTGCGATATCTACCCTGGGTAAAAAGGTTTAGACAACCCTAACAAGCCTTTTTCTTCACCCTCATTGTAGTAAACAAGTAAACTTTAGCTTCCCCTCTGCATGATTAATCATTGCACCAAAAGGAGAGTGCAACTATGGCGATATTTTCCTAATCAAATGGATCAAAACCGTCATGAATCATCATGCGGTATAACGTCGCTATATCTCTTCTATTTTTCTTAATTAGAAAATGATTATTAACCATAAAAAAAAAACCGATAAAAACCACAGGTACATATAGCAAATTAGGTTGGGTTGATGACTTTTGCGTATATGGTCGGCCATAATTGCCACAAAATAATTGATCGATCAGAAACTCAATCACGTCCGATTTACCACAAAAATAATCTATTTATTTTATTAAAGTACATAGGTCAACAAAATTAATTATGCTCCCCACCCCCCAACCCCCACGTCCACGTGAGTGGATGGGTAGATTCAAGAACAGTTTACAAAAGCAGGAAAAAATATTTTTCTCTTCTTCAAATGGAAAATAGTACCGGTTGATTTTTTTCTTATGGGATTTTGTTCATAAATTACAGACAAGGCGGTGGTTGACCACACAAAAAATTCCCCAATGCAGCTATTAATAGTGGTGAAGAAGGGAGTATACGGTTTCATCAATCTATTCCGCTATATCTATTTTATGCGAATCCATTAATTAAATTTTTTAAAAAAATGCATTCATTCTAGTTGTAATAGACTAATATTTTTCCTCCTCCAAAGTGGGGATTTTTACACCATCCATTTTTAAGACATTCCATTTAGAATTTAAATATTTAAGATTAAAACGTAGTTTTAATAATTTATACGTCATTCACTATAAATTTTCTTTGCATGTATCACTGTTCTTTACTTTAATGTATCGTGATCAAATTTTGTATGATTCTAAAAGGCTTTGTATCCTCTGAGTGCTCTAGTCTCTTGGAATAAAGGGCTTTGCAGATTGCAGTGTAGTAATTTGTTGAGCTTCAATTAAACTAAGGATAATGATTTGTACAGAGAAAAAAATAACAAAGAAAAATTACAAGGAATTAATCATGACCATTCATTTTTAACACTTCCCATTTGGGGTTTAAGTATTTAAGGTTAGGACATAATTTTGATGATTGACAACTCATTACTTATAAGTTTTTCTTGTAAATTTTCCCGGTACATATCATTACTCTTAAACTAATATGAAAAGTATGACTATATTTTAGGACAAAGAGGTGTGTATATAATGAATATTTTGAGGGGAAAAAAAAAGAAATATTCCCACTAGCAACCAAAAAAATAGGGCGTATATGTTTTCTATTTTTACAAAACATTTAAATTCTAACCTATCATATTAGGTAAAGGTAGAACTGAAAGATATAATAAATTAATCAATTATTGGGATCAAGGGATGCCCTCATGAAGCTCCTCATACTCGATGGTTCCAAGTTACTCCATCCGTCCCAAAAAATAGTTCACATTGAGTTTTTAAATTTGTACTAAAAAGAGTACAAAACTCAAAACTCAATGTGGACTATTTTTTTGGGATGAATGCAGTAATAAATTCACTTGTATTCTTTCTTTTCTTCTTTTTTCTTAGGATACAGTTTATAGCCATCAGTTCTAATAAATTCACATAGTGATGAGGAGTTTAATTTTCTGTAGTATAAATGTTTCTCAAAGAGTTCCTTGTTACTCCAACAAGCAAGCATGTTAGAGTTCACCAAAACACAGTTTCAAGTAGATAGATGGATACACAAACCTCCCATTTCAAAAATCACATGAGAGGAAATGTTAGAATTGAGAAACGAAAATTGGTTCGAATGAGAGATGAACTAGATCGTTAATTAGTGTTGATGTGTAGTAATTCCAAAGGTAGGGATGATGTTTTCCACAGTTTGACGTTTTATCCTTTTATTAGTGAAGCCACCGCCTCGTAGAAATTCCCTTTAGCGTCAACGAACTAATATGCCCATTAACTTTTCGTCGACTACATTGTCGGTCAGTATATATGGATGCCAACGTCGACAACGTGTTCTATATTTTCTTATTTTCTTTGTTCTATTGGAGTGGTACGTTGTTCAAACTGGAGATTCAAATTTCCGTATTTGTTGACTGAATCTTCGATTTATATATCGACGCCAAAGTCGACGCGTTCAATTTTTTCCTCCTCTTTTTGTGTTTAGTTGACGGCGTGGAACTGTGTAAGCGTTTTTAAAATTGAATATTCCGTTGACGTTGTCATCGTCTTAGTTAGCGTTCAAAATTTTTCTTTTTTTCTTTTTTTTTTTTCCAAGGCGAGATTTACAAAAGGCGCTTTCCAAATTGAAGCGTCAAATTTCCACTTTTGTCGCCATCATTGTTGGTTTAGATATCTCGACTCAAAGTCATTTGATACAGAGACGAGGCAAGGGTGTTGAGCACTCAAAAGTCGGCGTACGTAGTGTTTAAAATAAAGTTCTCTAAAACTATTACAGAGGCATAACAAAACCAATATGTGAGGATATTGCAGGTTGGAAAGATTTCCTAGTGTATAAGGAACTTTTCCTTCAAAACCAGGACTAGAGATACTCTAGATTTTTTATAAGGTAGCCGAAAAATGCTAGAATTTGTGCACCTGAGAAGTTGTTCTCAAAATCGTTAAATCAGTCATCCAACTCCAGCTTTCGTAAAAACCGGACGTAACTTAGATCCACTTATACTTACATTTTTAAGAAATCAATTGCTTGCGTTGCTGCGATTCGTGTATCACATGACTCTCCTTCAGAAGAATTTTGAATATGAATTATGTTTTTTCATATTCCCTACAAGTAATGCATTTACAAGTTTCTTTCTTTTGTTGTTCTGCTTTAGAACAAGAGTGACTTCTATAGTTCTAATTTTCTTTCAAGGGGAAATGAAATTATTTATTTGTCGTTTAAAAGAAGAAAAGGGAAAAAAAAAAAAAAGATGGAATAAATGAGGAAGAGAAAGATGGTTCATGTGATTCAGCTTTTGCAAGAAAACATCATCAAAATGGACCCAACAAATTTTCGCCTCTTTGGCCTTGGATTTCCCCCATATAAAGTATAAACCCAACCCCCCCCCTCCCCCGCCTCAATGCTTCATTCTTCACAACCCGCTTTTATCACCGCCTTTTCTTTCATTTGTATTGCACAGCAATCTTCACAAAAAATGACGAGTCTTATAGGCAAACTTGTCACAAAAACAGAAGTTAAGTCCAGCCCAGATGCAATTTACGATATCTTTGCCCACAAACCATTTGAACTCATCACTGTGGCACCTGATATTTTTAAGAGTTTAGACCTTATTGATGGCTTGTGGGGAGTCTTAGGCTGTGTACTTTCCTTAACCTACGTTGACGGTAAACTCCATTTTTTCCGGTGTATTATTATCCATATTACTTTTAATTTTCTGTTTCTGAATGGTATTATATACTAGATACTTGGCCCGGGCAGATGCCCAGAAGCCCCTCTACTTTAATTTTGTGTTAATAGATAAATGAATTTTTGCTTTGGAAAAAATAAAATAGCTACTTATTTGGTTTTTTTTCCCTTTTTTAGCCAAAAATAAAAATAAAAATAAAAAAATCATCTGCCAAAGGAGAAAAAATATTGAAATGTACAACGATACAGAAATCATACAAAATAATGTGAAGTAATAAAGGGGATAAGTTTATGGGTAAATTTAAATGCTATTTTAATTTGATTGATAAATGATAAATGTTATGAGTTAAAATTGTGTAGTTATTTTTGTAAAGTAGATTTTGTTTTTCCGGATAAGAATTTTTTTTTCTTTTAAAAAGAAATGACACGTGGTAGAATGGTTAATGCAATATGGTGCATTTGGAGCCAAAAATTTTTAATAAGAATCTGCCACATCAACATCCTGTATTCTACTTTAATAGGGTAAAAGGGATATATATATATATATATATATATATTAATAAATGTGAACTTTTGATGTATTTCTAAATTTAATTTTTTTTCAGAAAGAGGAAGTCATGCTATAAATGTGACAATTGTGGCTATCGATGATGCGAAAAAAACAGTGACTTATATGATAATTGCTGGAGACCTTTTGAGTTTGTACACCACAATTAGTGCTACATTCCAGGCTGAAACGGATTCTGATGGAAAGAATTTTGTGACTTGGACTATGGACTACGTGAAGCTTCTTCCGACCTCGCCGGAGCCGACTTCGTTGATGAATGTGGCTGTCTCTTCCGTCAAGGAGATTGATGCTAAGATTTCCTGATGAAAGAGAAGTCAATTTGTTAATCACATATGAAGAAGAAGGGCTTGAAAAATTCCTACGTATTTCCGTGCATGCATGATGAATTATAATTGTAATAAATAAAATGGAATTGTTTTGGTTTGTTTCATTTTATTTTTTTTCATTTCCTTGCTTTCAAGTTTTAATAAATTCATTCCGTGGTCCATACCTATTTGTAAGTGTGTCGAGTGCACTTATTTTACGGGCTGTTTGGATTGGTTTTATAATAATATTATATACTTTATTGTCTCATTTTGATTATTTCATTGTCTCTATTATTCTTTTACTTTTTAAAATTATTTAATTTTTTGGGTACAAATTGTTTTTATCATTTTTTAATAGGTAGATGGAGGGAGGGATTATGTATATTTGATGGCTTAATTACGTATATTGCCTGACCTATATGGTTGCATTAAATAACTGATTGATAATATGTGTCACAGCCTCATTCTTATGTTTATTTATTATTTATTTAAATTGAGGCCGATGGCGAAGATTTTAAATGATGTGAACATTCATGGTAATCAAGTTCAAGATGATCAAGGTGTTTGGGTTCCAAGTACTGTCCAAGCTCAAAGAGTGGCTCAAGATCCATTATCCAGCATTGGAGGCCCAATGACTCAAGCTAGAAGTAAAAGGATGAGGAGTGCACTTAATAATCTTATATCAAATAGTTTAGCCCAAGAGAATGCCAAGTCTGGAAGTTACAAGCCCAAGATTATTAATGTGTTACAAGGCCCATTTGAGGAAGGAAATTTCGGCCCACAAACCAAGCAAGGGAGGCCAGCCCTATCTCCTAATTTTTAGGAGTTGGAATCTCTATCTTTTAGGGATAATATCATTTAAATCTTATCACACTTGTGGAAGGATAAGATTTGGAAGATTTCCTATCTTTTAGAGATAAGATCATTTAAATTTTATCACATGGAAGGATAAGATTGATATGATTCTCTTTTATCTAATTTAGAGTTTATTCAAAATAAGAAGTCTATTCCTTGTTGTCTACTCTCAACCGTTGGATGGAGATTAGATCAAGATTGGATGGCTATGATTACTCTACAAAGAAGATATTGATAGAGTTGACAACTCAGGAAGATTCTTTTCAAGATAAGATTCTTTTGAGAGCATATCTCTTTGTATTTGGAGTTTTATTTTCAATAGACTAGTGTGTCTTAAGTCTATAAAGGTGTCTAGATACATTGCCTTAATAGATAAGACACAAGTTGTCAATTAGAGGTTAAGTTGATTTCTAGTTCTTTAAAGTAGGAATAGAGTTAGAGATCAAACTCTTCTCCTACTTCATAGGAGAATTTCAGCCCCCTCTACTATAAATAGGGGTGTTTGGCCAGCATTTCATTTGTACCTTTGATGAATTATTTCAATATGAGACGAGAGGAAACTCTTTGCTCTTTTTCTACTCTTTTCGAAGATTAGTGCATTGCACACAAGCTTGTGCTTTGTTGATGCATGCGAGTAGAATAGGTGTTTTTCTACTTGTGGAGCTTTATTAGTTGTTCATTGGAGCCTTTTTGCTAGTCGTTCTATCCATAAATCAAAGGGATAGGGTTGTTAGAGAGGTGACCAATTGGGTTGCTAACCTTAAACACTTTCTACATCTTCTAAACCTTTCCATCCCTTTTTGGTGCAAATTTTTGTAGTTTGCATCTCTTCTTTTCTTTTAATTTTCGTGAATTGTGGAGTCCATAATATTGGATTTGCAAGTTTTCAAGTCATGGGTAATTCATAGCTTCCGCGTCGAGGTAAATTTGCCACCTTTGCCTCAAGATTCATATCATTAAACATGTCAAGATCATTGTCACACTTCATTTATTTATTATTTATCATATTGCTCCATTCTGTTCCTGAAATGGTCACAGATATGGGATGTTGGTTCAACAAGGATTGAAGGAACCATATTGATTTCAGAGAAGGCGGTAGTTGAACACAAAAATTGAAATTACCCATTTTCTCTTCCAGATTATGTTTGACAGTTGAAATTCCTTAATTGTGAGTTTGCAAGTGTTTCAAGGGTTTTATGCTTATAAGACAGTAAATCATATGGACTAAACTTGTAAAACATTAAACTAATAGAATACAATATTGGACTATGTGGAGCTTCTCCCGACCTTGCCGGAGCCGGCTTCGTTGATGAACTTGGCCATCACCGGCGTCAAGGCGATTGATGCTAAACTTTCGAATAAAAAGATTTCAACTAGTCGAGCTTATGTGTCCTGGAACGGATGTAAGGCAAATAAGATGGAGGAAAAAGAAGTGGACCGACAACTAACGTATTTTTTGTGCATGCTTGCTTAAATTCCTTTTGTAAGTAATTGTACAGTTAGGGTTTGCAAAAGTAAATAATAAATGAAAAACATAATACTACAAAATAGTACTATAGAAATGTATGCTATCCACCTATGAACATCGGGTGTTAAAATAAAATTTCTGGAATAAATTTATTTGGTTAAAAGAAATAGTAATTGATACCGTAGAAATATTGATATATGTGATAGTTGTCAAGTAGTAATTCGATTTTTTTTTTAACATTTTTAAGAATCATTTTTTCATTTCATTATAAAATTTTACATAAACTGGAATGGGTGTTTTTCAATAGCATGTACTGATGTACACAGCCTTTCGTTTCCATACTACTAGAGAAACGATTTCGTGGTTTTTGGTCTACATTCTGGCAACCAAAACAAAAGTAATTCCTTATTCCTATTTTTCGTGGTTTTTGCACTAGGAGTATCACACTTGCTAGAAGTTGTTGATTGTTGTAAGAAACAGATGTAGGATAAATTAATCAAAATGCGTGACAACATATTATTAGGTTATAGCTAGTCACTATAGTTTTGTTATGGTTAATTTTTGTTGGGCCCGGTGTTCCCCTCAATTGGGCCAACAAGGAAACAAATAAAACCAAGCCAAATTTGGCTTTGGTTTTAGGAAACAAAACCCACTCCAATTGGGTTTTTGTTTTTAGGTTCTTTTGCTTTATAAAAGCAAGGCTTTGGCATAATTTTTATGTGTGTTTTCCAGCCAAGAAGAGAAGAAAAGTTTGGGCAGCCGTGCATTGTTTTTGTACGAGAGAAAAAGAAAGAAAGCTAGGGTTTAGTTTTTGGTTTAACTCTCTTTTGGTTAGATCCTTCCAGTCCTACTCTGTGATAGGTGTTTTGGAAGAGTATTGTTGTAATCCACCTTTGAGTGAAGTCCTGTGTATCCACCGGTTGGTGAACACTGTTTTTCCATTATTATGATAGTGGAGATTTGACTGTTGTTACATTCCCGTAGTTTTTTCCGATTTGGGTTACAATGTAAATTTGTGTGCCTCCTTTATTTTATCAGTTCCTTAATTATTTTTCTTGGTTGGTTGTCCTATTTTATTGGTAGTAGGAAGGGAGATTTTCCTGAGGTTCGCTTCCGTGGTGTGTTGTATTTATACCCTTTCTGCCACAACAGTGACATCAGAGCTACGGTTCGGTAGTTGAGGTGTTACACCAATAAAATGGAAGAGTCATCGGGTGCTGGTACGATGATTAAATTAACTTCATCCAATTATCATATGTGGAAACCTAGAATGGAAGACTTGTTGTATTGCAAAGATTTGTTTGATCCTGCTCTAAGGGATGAAGGTAGGCCAAGTGATATGACTGATAAAAAGTGCGCTGATATGCACAGGAAGACTGTTGGTAATATTCGACAGTGGATTGATCAAAGTATGTTTCATCACTTTTCGGAAGAAACAAAAGCTGATGAACTTTGGGAGAAGATCCAGAATATGTACTGGAAGAAATCCGGCATCAATAAGTCATCTGCGCTGAAACAGATTACTAGGTTGAGGTACAAAGACGGTGCTAGCATGAATGAGCACTTGAGTTCGTTTCAGGGTTTGTTGAACCAAGCTTTGAATGTAGGTTTAAAGTTGGATGATGAGGTGCAGGCTTTGTTATTATTTAGTTCTCTTCCAGACAGTTGGGACACTTTGGTAGTGTCAATCAGTAATTCAACCCAGGATGGTGTCTTGACCTTGGATCAGGTCAAAGAGGCTTTGATGAATGAAGAAGTCAGAAGAAAAGAGCAGAGTATTGAGTCTGAGTCGCAGGCTTTGGTGACAAAAAAATCAGATAGAAGAGGGAGAAGTAAAAGCAGAGGGCCACGTGATCGGAATGACAAGTCCAGGGGACGGTCTAAATCCAAGAAAGATGTAGTGTGCTACCATTGTCAAGGGAATAGGCACTTTAAGAGGGAGTGCAGGGTTCTCAAGAGAGAACTAGCAGCGAGAAAAGGTAAAGGCAAGAAGGATGAATCAAGTGATGATGACACTACTGCAGTAGTAACTACCAGTGATGTATTTGTGTACTGTGATGATGATAAAATTAATGTTGCGAGTCACGACAGTGATTGGTTTGGTGATTCAGGTGCGTCTTATCATGTGACGCCTCACGGACACTTCTTTACCTCTTACACACCTGGAGATTTTGGTCATGTAAGAATGGGCAACCAAGCCTCATGCGATGTTGTCGGCATGGGAGAGGTATCATTGGTAACGAATACAGGTTGTACTCTTGTCTTGAAGAATGTCAGACATGTTCTAGATATGCGTCTGAACCTTATTTCCGTTGGTAAACTTGATGATGAGGGTTATCATAGCACTGAAGGTGGTGGCCGTTGGACAATTACCAGAGGAAATCTTGTTATTGCTAGAGGAAAGAAGTTGAACTCTTTGTATGTGTTGAATGCAAAGTTGAAGCATGGAGAGGTGAATGCGACTCACAATGCCTCCATTGATCTCTGGCACAGAAGGCTTGGACACATGAGTGTTAAGGGGTTGCAGATTCTTGGTAAGAAGCAATTTCTCTCAGAGGTGAAAGGTACTGCTCTAGAACCTTGTGTTGACTGCATCTATGGTAAACAACATAGGGTTTCCTTTCAAAATTCTCCTCCATCTAGAAAGTCCAGTCCTCTAGAGCTAGTTCATACATATGTATGTTACATGAAAGATAGGTCGTTGGGTGGAGCATTGTACTTTATTACTTTCATTGATGACTATGCTCGAAAGGTTTGGTGTTTTTCTTTGAAATCTAAAGGCCAGGTATTAGATGTGTTCAAAGGCTTTCACCTTAGAGTTGAAAGAGAGACTGACAAGAAGTTGAAGTGTGTTCGAGCAGATAATGGTGGTGAGTACAGGGGTCCGTTTGAGAAGTATTGCCGATACCATGGCATTAAACTTCAGAAGAGTGTTCCAAAGACTCCGCAGCAAATGGTGTGGCAGAAAGAATGAACAGAACTATTACCGAAAAGGTTAGGTGTATGCTCTCGAATACAAAGCTGCCTAAATCTTTTTGGGGTGAAGCCATGCAGACAATAGTTGATTTGATCAACCTATCTCCCTCAGTTCCGTTGGATGGTGATCTACCACAACGAGTTTGGACAGGGAAAGATGTCTCATTTAGGCATTTGCAAGTTTTTTGTTGTCGTGCCTTTGTTCATATTCCCAAAGATGAAAGGTCGAAGCTTGATGGCAAATCCAAGCAGTGTGTATTCTTGGGGTATAGAAATGATGATTTTGGGTACATGCTTTTGGATCCTGTAGAGAAGTTTTCAGAAGCAGAGATGTGATCTTCTTTGAAGACCAGACCATTGATGATATGGGAAAAGGCGAGATGCCAGAATCTTCACCTGAGATTCCTGTTGATTTAGATCCAGTTCTTCCAGAATCAGATGATTCTCCTGAAGGGGGAGCTGAGACAGAGCAGGATGGTGAGTTTCATGATGATCCTGTTACTGAAACAGAGACACCACCGGTTTCATCACCTCATGTTCAACCTAGGAGGTCTACATGAGATAAGAGACCTTCCACCAGGTACAATGCTCATGAGTATTTGTTGCTTACTGATGGGGGAGAGCCAGAGTCGTATGAAGAGGTTCTTAGTCATGAGCAGAAAGATCAATGGTTAGCAGCCATGCAAGATGAGATCAAATCCTTGCATGAGAATAACAGGTATGACCTGGTGAAGCTGACTAAGGGCAAGAGAGCACTCAAGAATAAATGGGTGTTTAGTCTAAAAGCAAGTGAGAACAGCTCACAACCGAGGTACAAAGCCAGATTGGTTGTGAAGGGATTCAATCAGAGAAAAGGCGTAGACTTTGATGAGATATTCTCTCCTGTTGTAAAGAAGTCTTCAATTCGAGTTGTGCTTGGAATAGCGGCCAGCTTAAATCTTGAGATTGAACAGCTTGATGTGAAGATAGCCTTCCTGCATGGTGATTTGGAAGAAGAGATTTACATGGAGCAACCAGATGGGTTTTAGGAGAAGGAGAAAGAGAAGCTTGTATGTCGTCTCAACAAAAGCTTGTATGGGTTGAACCAAGCTCCGAGGCAATGGTACAAGAAATTTGATGCCTTTATGATAGGGCAGGGATACCAAAGGACTACAGCTGATCACTGTGTGTTTGTGAAGAAATTCTCTGATGGTGATTTTATAATTCTTTTACTTTATGTCGATGACATGTTGATTGTTGGTCATGATACTGCAAAGATTGCCAGGTTGAAAAAGGAGTTGAATAAATCCTCTGCAATGAAGGATTTGGGTCCGGCTAGACAGATCCTTGGGATGAAGATTTCTCGTGACAGACAGAATGGGAAGCTTTGGGTATCTCAAGAGAAGTATATTGAGAAGGTTTTTGATAGGTTTAACATGAGTGGTGCTAAGGAAGTCTCGACTCCACTTGCAGGGCATTTTAAGTTAAGCAAAACGCAGTGTCCTAAAAGTGAGAAAGAAAGAGATGAAAAAGGTTCCTTATGCTTCGGTAGTTGGCAGTTTGATGTATGCAATGGTTTGCACAAGGCCAGACATAGCTTATGCAGTTGGTGTTGTTCGTCGGTTTCTCTCTAATCCTGGTAAGGAGCATTGGAATGCTATGAAGTGGATTCTTAGGTATCTTAAGGGTACTTCCAGATTGAGTCTTTGCTTTGGCAATAGAAAGACCATGTTAGATGGATATACAAATGCTGACATGGCGAGTGACCTAGATGGTCGGAAGTCTACTTCTGGTTACTTGATGACTTCTGGAGGGGGAGCAGTTTCATGGCAAAGTAGGTTGCAGCAATGTGTTGCTTTGTCTACTACAGAGGCAGAGTTTATTGCAGCTACTGAATCTTGTAAGGAAGCACTTTGGTTGCAGAAGTTTCTACAAGAGCTTGGCATGAAGCAAGAGAGGTATGTGGTGTATTGTGATAGCCAGAGCGCTATTCACTTAGCGAAAAATTCCAAATTTCATTCACGGTCAAAACATATTGATGTGAGATATCATTGGATTCGAGATATGTTGGAGTCCAAGGCGTTGTTTCTTAAGAAGATCCATACGGATGACAACGGTGCCGATATGTTGACGAAGACTGTGAGTAGAGACAAGCTCCTGTTTTGCAGACAGGAAGCGGGTTTGGTTTTACCCCGATTGAGGTAAAGGGGGAGATTGTTGGGCTCAGTGTTCTCCTCAATTGGGCCAACAAGGAAACAAATAAAACCAAGCCAAATTTGGCTTTGGTTTTTAGGAAACAAAACTCACTTCAATTGGGTTTTTGTTTTTAGGCTTTTTTGCTCTATAAAAGCAAGGCTTTGGCATAATTTTTAGGTGTGTTTTCCAGCCAAGAAGAGAAGAAAAGTTTGGGCAGCCGTGCATTGTTTTTGTACGAGAGAAAAAGAAAGAAAGCTAGGGTTTAGTTTTTCGGTTTAACTCTCTTTTGGTTAGATCCTTCCAGTCCTACTCTGTGATAGGTGTTTTGAAAGAGTATTGTTGTAATCCACCTTTGAGTGAAGTTCTGTGTATCCACCGGTAGGTGAATACTGTTTTTCCATTATTGTGATAGTGGAGATTTGACTGTTGTTACAGTCCCGTGGTTTTTCCGATTTGGGTTTCAATGTAAATTCGTATGCCTCCTTTATTTTATCAGTTCCTTAATTATTTTTCTTGGTTGGTTTTCCTATTTTATTGGTAGTAAGAAAGGAGATTTTCTTAGGGTTCGCTTCCGTGGTGTGTTGTATTTATACCCTTTCCGCCAAACAATTTGTTATAGCTTAACGACCCAATCCCTCAAATTAACTTAAATTGTAACTTATTGGTATGATCGGATCGGATTGATCTCATAAATAATTAGATGGTGACGAGTAGTTGATGAATTTTTTTGTGTTAACCATGGTTTAAAACAATAATTGATTGGTGTCGATCGTGTTGATATTTTATCTTTTCTATTCATCAAGTTGAATGATACATATTTCTCCTTGTAATTCTGTACCTGATATGATCATTAAGAAACAGATTTTTCTTAATATAAAAGTGGAAAATAAAATTCTTTCTCTTTCCACTTTTTTCCATTTAAAGAAAGGATGACGTTTTAATATTCGATGGAATTTGTTCACATTAATTTTCAGACAAGGCGGTTGTTGATATCTTGATGTACAGATAAATGATGCCCATGTGATCACTTCGATTTGGCCGATTCCGCTACAAGTCAAATACATACACAAAATGAGTCCTATAAAATTCCTCCGGTACTAACGAATTTTTTCTCATCTCTTCAGTTTCCGAAATCTCTCAGACTATCTTTCCTTTTTTGGTATTGGTTAACAACAATATTATTTTCTCCAGAAAAAAAAAAATAATTTTCCTCAGAAAACAAAATGAGTAGTTCAGGTGGTAAGCTAGTCTCCCAGATCGAGATCAAGTCCAGCGCAGACGTGTTTCACGAGTTATTCAGGAAGGAACCTCATCAGCTGTCAACAATAAGCCCTGATTCTGTCCATAACTGCGAATTGCACGATGGTGATTGGGGCACTGTTGGATCTGTCATCTCCTTCGATTATACTCACGGTATTTCATTTTCCTGAAAATGATTTTCATGTTTTTATCAATAAAAAAATTTAAAAAAAAAACACACACACACACACACAAAAGGGGGAAGATTCCACTTACTTAATTATTACTATATCTATTCTTTATCTAACGTTTTAAGGTTTACACATATATTATGGAAATAATAATTGAGGTTTACATTTTCTAGTATATTGTCTTTCTTACCTCTAATTAAAAGTATTTATACCATACAAAATTTTGAAATTAAAGTAAAAATAATATGTAGTTGTCATTAACATATGCTATGGAAAGTAGAGAGAGATAAGGGTGAAATTGAAAAAAACTGTATTTGATGTTGAATTAAAAATGAAGCGTAACAGATAAAAGAAAGAAAAAAATATTGGATTTATCCTAGATAAAAAAAAAATAAGATCCTACTAATTATGTTTTGTTTTGTTCAGATGGAAAGAAGTGTGTTGCGAAAGAAATAATCGATGCCATTGATGAGGAAAAGAAGCTTGTGACCTTCAAGATAATTGAAGGAGATCTGCTGGAATTGTACAAGAGTATCAGTGTAACAGTTCATGTTGAAACTCACGGTGAAACCAATTTGGTGACTTGGAGCATTGATTTTGAGAAACTTCATGAGGGCATCCCTGATCCCCATACTTTGATGGACCTTTGCTTCAAAATCACCAAAGATATTGAGGCTCACCATCTCAGCAGGTTAATTTTGTAGTTTTGAATGTACAAATAACCAAATTAATTTTTTTGTTATTACTAAAACCAGAACAGTACCCGACGTTTACAGCTACTAAATTAATTATAAAAATATCATCAAATTCTTTAAAATCCATTCATCTTTTATCCTTTTAGCTAAACCCTTTTGAATTGATGTTTGTGTTCGTTTTATCGCTTAATTAGCGACGAAATCACAGGCAAGAAGATCAAGAAGATGGTGTCCTCCATTGAAATAAAGTCGGATGGAGATGTGTTTCATGAAATCTTCAGAGACAGACCACACCACATTTCTAACATGAGCCCAACTTATATCCAGGGAGTTGATTTGCATGATGGTGACTGGGGAAAAGTTGGATCTATTATTTTCTGGAACTACACTCATGGTAAAGTGAATCCACAATCATCTTTTCGACTAATATTAATTCGTTTCCCAATCAAAAATAGCCATTTGCTAGTTTCTTCTAGAACAATGAATTTACCTCTTTATCTCTTTTCCGACATAAATGAATTAGGGCGCTTTCATTTTGTCCTTTCAACTCAAGTGCGGTTAAGGGATGCAATAGGGAAAAAAAGAAAACATTAGTTATTAGAAAAGGTTAATCATTTGTGAGACATTAATGTATGCTGATCATATCATGAATTTAATTAATGTATTTGTTGAACTTTGATAGATGGAAAGGAGAAGGTGGCGAAAGAGATAATTGAGGCAATTGACGAGGCAAAGAAATCAGTGAGGTTTAGGGTGATTGAAGGAGATCTTATGGAGCTGTACAAGAGCTTCGTCTTAACTGTTCATGTTGACACAGTTGGGGAGAACAACTTAGTGACTTGGACACTTGAGTATGAGAAGCAAAATGAGAGCGTCCCAGATCCCGAATCACTCATGGAATTCTGCCTCCAAGTCACTAAAGACATTGAGACTCATCACCTCAAATAAATTGGTCAATCACCAGTGGCAAATAAAATGATGATCGATCATCAAGTCATTTCTTTTGTGTTATTGCTGTTGTTTTTCCTTTTTTTTTTTTTTTTTTTGTGTGTTGTTGGTGATGACTTGAGCATGAAGCTACTGTTTGAGTATAATTGTAGTTTGCTTATAATGTTCTAAAATGAACCATTTAGATTTTTACAGCCTATAAGGTCATCGACTTTTATAAACTTACTAAAAATAAACGTGTTCTTAAAATCGGCAGAAGCGATTTCTGTTTCCGATTGTATTGCATTAAGATTTTCTTTTATTCTTCAGTATTAATGCAAAAGTCGTAAGTATTTTATTTTTTGTTCAAAAAGTAAGTGTCCGTTGTGGAGACTACTTAATTACAAACGCCGACAGCAAAGTGGACGAAAAGCAAAATTCTTCATTTTGTATCATTTATATAACTTCTACATTCTATGGCTAATGTAAATGTCCACGCCGAGAGCTGATATAATGAACTTAAGTTTCTACTTGTTCTTTAGCTTGGAAACTCAAAAACAATACTCAAAAGATGATACGGAGGTTGGAAAAAGGATAGAATCTTCCAATGCAATCTTTTCGGTTGAACAAATTCATTCTGACGCAGATCAATAATACGCTTTTAATGACTCAGAAGATGAAGAATTTGACACGAAACGAGAATTGGAGCGAAAGTCCTTCTATAGTCAAGTTTCTACTCCGACATATCATAATCGTTCGAAGAAAAGCAAGACTAAATTAAAAGTTCGAGTTCATCGATCTTCTAGATTAAATAAGGATGTAAATTTTCTTTAAGATTAAATTTGTACTTGATATAGGGTTAAGTATATTCGTTGCCCTATTTTTTTTTCATAATTTATAAAACTGTTTTTTTTATTTAAAAAAAAAAGGCTTTGTAACTCATAACTCAACGAAAAGCTAGATACAATGCAACCGAAACATCTATTTCAAATTTCTTCTATTGATCTTTCTAAATCCTATAATTGCTTTGAAAAACTATTTAATTTGTTAGATCGCAAAGTTTTTTTTTTTTTTGGTTAAAGAAAAAATTGAACCTGGTGTCGACTTGTTCGTCTTCTTATCAAACCTGACGAACAGGTCGACGAAAGTCAACATGCGCTGTTGAATATACTTTTCCAAATTCTTTTGATGATAGTACTAATGGAAATTATAAAGTCAGCTTTGTATGGCAAATTGAAGTAAAGGTTGACATGGATGAAACTTGACACAGTACACTCTTTTTCTACTTGCTCATCTGCTTTCATAACTAGATTGAAAAGAAGACAATCCAAAAATATTCTTTAAAAGAATCTTCTCTGATTTCTCTATATCAATAAAATTGTGGCAATATATATATATACATTGAAATTGTCTGTATCGACTGCGACGACGGGTTTGTCCATTCATTTAGTAAAACAAACAAATTACTGACGAAATCTAAATCCCTGGATAAGTATTATTTTCTTTTAAAAAAAAATGATGGTAGAATTGTAAATTATCAAGTGTTTTTAGAGGCCAAATGTTTTTATCCATTCATGAGAATTCAAGTGAGACTTGATCACTTATTCCTAAATCGTAAAATCAAATCAGCCCATACGCAATCAAAATTAGATTAGACAAAAGGGGGTTGGTATTCATTTTGAATCTTGTTATATGTATGCTACTTTACGATCACCTCGCTGTTCATTAATTTGACAAATTTCTAATTAAAGAAACATAAAGGCAGATTTTTTGACAACTCTGATTAATTAAGGTCACAATCATGTATCATAATGAAATCATGACGTTCCATTTTCATATCAAATACACTAAACTGCCATGAATCGTGTGTGATAGCGTTCCATATATGTAGAAGAAAACAAAAACAAAAAAAAAAAAACGGGTGATTGATTTTGTGGGGAAGGGGTTGGTTGATGACTTTAAGTATTGCCTGCCAGGGTTGCTTCAAAATAATTGATCGATTGATGGAGAATCTGTATCATGTATCACGACATCATAATTTTTTTTCACCCTCTTCTTCTCTCTCTCTTTTTTTTTTTCAAATATGGTGGATAGGGAAGATTTTTAAAAAAAAATCAAGAATCTTGTACTCGGTGCAAACAATTGATTTATTAATTATTTCTTTCAATTCTACCTGTACCTAAAAATGATTGGTGAGATTTAAATGCTTAGTAGAAATGGAGGAAAGCATCTTCCCCCTCCCCTTGAAGTGGAGAAAAAATAGCCAGCCCTAAAAAAAAAAAGGCATATTTTCGTACTAATTTAATTTAACAAACATGTTTTTGTTTTTACCGAAAAGTAATTAATTCCTGATCAGGAAATAAATGATCTTAGAAAAATCTGCTAATTGATATGACGACTGTACGTAAAATATTCAATGCATACCCAAAATGAACCCCTATATATTCATACGGGCTTTAGTAGTTTTTCCTCACTCATCCCTTCCAAAATCTTTAAGAGACTTTTTCTTTTCTGTTTCTCCCTTGGTTAAATCAAGGATTACTCTTATTTTTCCAGCACAAAAAAAAAAAACAAAAACAAAAACAAAAATGAGTTTAAGTGGTAAGCTGGTCTCCCAGATTGAAATAAAGTCGAGTGCAGACGTGTTTCATGAGTTGTTCAGATACAAACCTCATCAGTTGTCTAAAATAAGCCCAGATAATGTTAAAGATTGCAATTTGCATGATGGTGATTGGGGCACTGTCGGATCCGTCATCTCCGTCAATTATACTCATGGTATTTCTTCTGTTTTAATTCTTTTTTTAATTAATATTTTCTCATTATTTTACATTTCTTGTGTCTTTGGTGAAAGACTCTTTAGATCGGATGTGGGTTTTAAATTTTCTGTATACTTTCAAACACCAAAAAATAAAAATAAAAAAATGATGTCCATCATCATCACCTTATTATCTGTGTTTTGGTCTGCAAAAGTCACTGAAAATATTAATAATGGACAACAGTACGCACAATTATTTCAGTTGTTTAATTTCCAAGTACACTTGCTCATTTAGGGCAAATGAGTTGAGATTTTAATATCAAAAAGTCATGGTGTTACCGTCCGAATTCGACTAAAAAGAGGCCCAAAAAAAAAAAAAAAATTGCAACAAAGCTTAGCCCAAAAGTAATTTACTCCATGGTCATTTTCTTCTTACCCGGTTGTTTTCAAAAAATTTGATTGTCCATTTCCTTAAAAGAAGAAAAGATGGAAAAGAGAACAAAAAAAAAAAAAAGGCAATCATTTGATGAAGAGAATGTGAATATGTGATAAACTATTGAACTCCACCTAATGGCTTATCTAATATTTTTCATTGGTTTTGTCTAGATGGAAAGGAGTGTGTTTCAAAAGATATAATTGAGGCCATTGATGAGGAAAAGAAGCTTGTGAAATTCAAGATAATTGAGGGAGATCTACTGAAACTGTATAAGAATATCAGTGTAACAGTTCATGTGGAAACCCATGGTGAAAGCAATTTGGTGACTTGGACCATTGAGTATGAGAAGCTTCATGAAGGCATCCCTGATCCCAACACTTTGATGGACCTTTGCCTCCAACTTACCAAGGATATTGAGTCTCACCATCTCGGCAGGTAAATTAAATTTACGGCCATAAATATTAAACGTTCCATACGGTTCGATTGAATGGTAAAGTTTATCATACGAAGGTCAAAAAAATTTTTACATGAATAGAAATCTATCTATCTATCTATATACTATACTAAGGCAAAAATCAGAGAGAGAAAACTAAAGGCATGGAACACATGACACATAGGATTTAATTCTATGTGGCATTTTCTTAATTTCTTAGACTTAAAAATGCACAAAATAAAATAATAAAATCAAAAAAAAAGCAACTAAAATAATTTTTTTTAAAAAAAAGCAAAATAATAAAAACCAAACCCTTATTTTCATGAACCAAATCCTAACACAGAGATTGATTGGAGAGCATACCAAATCGTAACAAATTTTAGAAAGATCTGCATAAACCTTATCACCAGTGAATTTAAAATGTCATTTAAAAAAAACAAATTCATGTAAATCCAGAGGTAATCATGTTTAAAACTGAAGTCATTACATATTTTATAGAAATACAAATGTCTAAATGTGTATACTTTTCCCGTCCATCGAACGGGCCTAGTTTTTAATAATATAATAAAGTACACTTCTCGGGAATACATAAACAAAATTAAGTGAAAGCTTCATTAGTTGATCACACCATTAAAATAATTTAACATATTCTCTCTGCCCCAAACTAATTATACAATTTGAATCTTCAATTTTAATACAATTTAAATTAAAAATCAAAATCTAATCTGAAAATTTTCGGGATGAAGAGAGTATATCTTATTTTCCTTACAAGAATTTGACAGAAGTTATTTCCTAAAATTTCACGAAATATATGTTTCTCCGCATATGTCTAATTTGGACTAACATAGCTATAACCTTAAGTCTCCCCGACTATTACGCATCACCAGACGTAGGTTTGTCACATTAACTAAGCGACAGTGATCTTCAGCGTACGTATTAGTATTTTGATATTGAAAGTAAAACTTTCGACAAAAACCAGACAAGAAAAGAAAAGAAAACCAATAATTACATTGAAATAACAAAAGCTAGCACGTTGAAGAAAACCCCGAATCATTTGTTCAACTGTCGAGGATATCGTTTATATCAGACAGGCTCCATCAACCATAATTTTTTTATTTAATTTTATGTTTCTCTTTCATTTGACATTATACCCTGTCGTTCCTAAATCATTATATGCTTAACTACGCCACTATAAAAACCCTTAATCCTTCCCTCATTTTCCCCAGCACTCTTTGAATTAATCTACTGCTTAATTTGTTTTCTTGTTCAGCGGCGAAACATCAGGCAAGATGGCCAAGAAGAAGCTGGTGTCCTCCATTGAAATAAAGTCAGATGGAGATGTGTTTCATGAAATCTTCAGAGACCGACCACACCACATTTCCAACATGAGCCCAACTTATATCCAGGGAGTTGACTTGCATGATGGTGACTGGGGAAAAGTTGGATCTGTTATTTTCTGGAACTACACTCATGGTAAGTAGAGATTTTAATTTATTGTATGTATCTTCTCAGCTCAAGTAGCTAGGGTTTCGCATTTTTTATAGACAACTCGTGAAATTTGAACTCTTAACAGATATATAGATCGGTATAAACATTAAGTAAAAGTACGGTCGTCATGTCACTACTCGATCTCATTGTATCGAGTTCACTTATCTTGAATGATATTATTGTGAATTTAATCATTTATTTCTTTTGCGTGTATTGGTTGGAATTCTGATAGAAGGAAAGCCTAAAGTTGCGAAAGAGATCATTGAAGCAATTGATGAGGCCAAAAAATCAGTGACATTTAGAGTGATTGAAGGGGATCTTATGGAGCTGTACAAGACCTTTGTGATCACTGTTCATGTGGATACAGTTGGTCAGAACAACTTGGTGACCTGGACGTTTGAGTATGAGAAGCAAAAGGAGAGCGTCCCAGAACCCAATTCACTCATGGAATTCTGCCTCAGTGTCACTAAGGATATTGAGACTCACCATCTCAAATAAAATCCATATTCAATAATATATGGGGGGAAATGAATGAATGGATCGATCGATCATCATCATCATCATCAAGTCGTTTCTTCGAAACATATGTATTGTGAGTGTATTGTGGTGTGAATAAAATGTCTCTCCTGGACACAATATATCTATGTGTATCAAATGCTTAAGTTATTGGTAAAGGTTTGTAATTGAATGTTTTCTCTCTTTTGGTGATATGTTAATAAAGTAATTATTATATCTATTTACTGTCGGTTTGTTTATAATTGTTTTCTTTGTTGTTGCTGTTTTGTGGTGTAAAAAAAGAAATCCCTCTTTTTTATTTAATTGTCTCAACTATCCTTTCTGTTATTGTCTTGATACGTTTCATTCCATTTTTCTACACACAATTTTTCACAACTGAAATTCAAACTCATGTTAAAGGGAATTTGTGTTAAAATATAATGGCGGTATCTTTAAAGCTCGATCTAGTATCCGACTAATATTTAATAGTTGTTTGGGGAATTACTCTTTCTTCGTCCCAAAATGATCCTTCTCATTAAAAGAGAAAGAGTAAGAAATTTTAATGATTGAATATATAATAATAATATTGTAGTAATTCAAAATAAATAAGAACTTTTCTGAATAGCCATTTCCTTCCGAACTAATTATAAGATTTTCTTTCCCATTGTATAGGGTCGGTGCACCTTTTTTCCCCTCTCTTTTTTCCCCATAAGATGAGATGAAGCTACAGCTTTACAGTAAAATAGATACCCTCTAGCATTTCGGCCAGAAAGTATGAGAGCAAGTAAGTTGTAGGACAAGCCAATCGCCAGTAATATTAGTTTAATTTGACCTTCAATAAATACTCATCAAATTATGCAATTACAAATGTACTGTTTGTTAATGTCACTGAAACAATAACCACACAACATGGTAAAAGACTTTTACATGTGTGCATCCAAACTACCAGTGCATTTGATCTTGTGACGTGATTAATTAATATGGTTGAATCATGTAAAAAGAAAAAAAAAAAATCAAAAGTGAACATTTTTCAATGTTGGTAAAATTCCAGTTCAAATAATTGTCCTTTAATTTGTTATATTTATCGAATGAATACTACATTTAAATTAATCTTATTTAATTATCACATGCGACTGACTTTTTTCATTAAATGATCGTTATTATAAAAATAGTAAAATTCATACGAATCATATATATATATATATATATATGTCTTGTCATAGAAAAATCAAGAGGATTGATTTTTAATTTTGCCATGTGGCTTTTGTAAATAAATAAACAACCAGCAAAAAATTAATGTAAAAATCTTTTTAAGAAATTAAAAATCACAATTAGGAAACAATAATATACTGTATATTCAATGCAAGTAGTAAGTTCTAACGTAGAAGTCATTTGTGTATCATAATTACGTCACAGAAAATTTTTATGCATCTAAGTCAATGTAATCAAATGATATGATATTCAGGAAACAAAAAATAAAAAATAAAAGAAAGAAAAAGAGGGAAGATGATTTGATAAATTTATAATTGGAAAACTAGTGATTTTCTGCCCACATTTCTCACCCACTCGACAATGCACATATTATATCTTTGTCTATTTTGATAATTTAATTTTAAAAAAATTAATAAGACACAATGGCGCTGTTCATAAAATGATTGAATTTGAAGTATCAATCAACATAGTTAGAAAAATACTTGTGACAATAGAATTGAAGGTAAATGTGTAAAATGGTAAGTTAAAATAAATAAATTTTAAATCAATTACTTCTTATGGATCGAAATGATTATTCATCATATTAAAAGTGAAAATTTAAATTAAAAATTAATTTTAAGAGAAAAAAAGAGTATTACTTACAGTAGGTGCTTTGAATATTTATTCGAGAGTTCATAGAGGTTTGTATCTCATATTTATAAGTGAAGTCTAACGGATAGAAATAATTTTTATATCAGAATTTGATGAATTAAATAGCATATATAACCATGATCAAGTATTGATATGTGTAATCTTTTTCCTTTTAATAACTTAATAAACAATTCATAATAAAAATAGACGAACATAGTAAATGAGGACACATTTCCTATAAAAATGTAATAAAGAAACACTAACTGAATGTTCTTATCATAATTATTATTACCATTGTTATTAATTTAGTCGGCCCTGAAAATCATCTCCAGAAGTTAGTTAAAGTTGTGGTTCTTGTGGAGTTTAATCAGGCAGCCAACCTTTTAAATTGACATATGTCCTTGGTTTTCGTAAGTGAAAAAAGGGAAATGTCAAATAAAGAAAAGAAAGAAGAGCTTGAGGGGGGAGGGGAGGGGGACGACGAAACTACTGTAGAATGCCCCCCTCTCGCTTTTATAATAGTAGTAGATGTGTTAAAGAGACAACAATTATTATTACTATTTTTTTGGGATCAAATTGGTTATACTAAAACGGGATCCCAATGGGTACTGGGAATCCCAAATCCCAAACCTATACAGTCCCACCCAAATAGAATTTTTAATGGAATAAGTTAAACCCATATTCAATAACTATCCACCCAATAACTTTCTCATCCAACATCCACCCTTCTCACCCAAATACCAGCTATATTATTATTTCTATTACAATTAATTTTTTTTAATCGCATACTTAGTTGATCCGTTATGTCCAATGAAAATGGAGTTAGAAGCGTCATAATTAATACTCTTTTGGCTTTGTGTTAGGAGTGCATTAAATCAAAAAGACTTTTTTTATGAAATTTCAATGCATTTTCAGTTAGTGAAATTGTTAAAAATCAATACTTCAAATGACACAATATATCTTTGGTCGCAATAAAAACAATCTCTTTGTAAAATTACAAGGCAAGACCATGTACATCTGGCTCTCAAGATCCCAACTGATCTGTTGATGTTGATTTTGTTGATCCGTTCACCCCCTGATGCCACTTATTTTAAATTTGTTTCATTACTCATTTTCACTCGATGTATAATTTACATTACTTACATATTGACGGTTGAGTTTCATTTGGTTAATTTTTTGACGTTATCCATTTAGTTGGAATTAGGGTTAAAACTCCGACTGAATTATTGCATTGTGAAGAATCATTTCCACACTTTGACACGCTAACTACACAAAACGCATTTTCATTTAGCAAGGCAGGCACAGAAAAATAAATCGTGTTCACCCTCTTTATCCATTTCAACAGTGTGATCATTGAGGTCCTCCTGATTAACGTGTTAGGACTTTGGAGCACCAATCATGGATTCTTCAGTAGGAAACAAGCACTATATACATAATTAACAACGTAAGGCAGTTTACGTCAAAGACACCATGCCTTTGTGGTTGAGATTTAATCCCACTTCACATAAAACAAAAATAAAAACCAAAAAAACTCCTACACCACACACCTCTTCTTACATTACTAGCCAGTAACTTTTGTCATTTGTCAACCCAATTATTTGCCATGTTCTTCACAAATTAATACTTCACCATCACACTATACATGCATAGATACAAAAAAATGGTTCTTTTTTGGAGAATAAATCGGGAGTATTTGCAGCCATTATTTAGTTATTCTATGCCATTAATGATCATTTATTTTCTTCTGGCAAGATAAGATAAGGAAGTGATACGGCCCCATTACATATGAAGTTGTTGGAAAATTGATCGAGATCATAATTGAGGGGGTTGTTCTAGTAACTTCTGAATCATGTGATATGGGCTTCAATCAAGGTTTACCAAAAACCATTAATTGACAAGGACAGCATATATTTTTAATTTGTAACCATTAACATCACCGATCTCTGAGAATCAGCTGAAGATTTTTGTCTGATAACTGACCGGATCAATTAATTAAAAGTCTACATTATTGAATCGCAATTTCATCTACTTAAAAATACAGCAATTGTTTCATTATCGACATCATTTAGTCTGGATAACAGCACCACTAGGTTATAAAAAATTAATAAAATTATTGGGTAGCTGGCGCAGTCGAAACATCTAAATAATGACAGAAATGTTTCAACTTTCAATAAAATCGGAATCGACCTACAAGTACAGTACGCACTTCCCACTTTGTTTACTCATTAAATATAAATAAAATCAGCCAGCGATTTTACCCTCGTCGTACTTAATTTTTAGTTCTACAGAATTCTTCTGGAAATTAAATTGAGTAAATTATATTCCCTTTGTCCCAAAAGTTCAATTTGTAATTTCACTTTTAGTTCAATTTGTATTAAAAATGAAAATTCAAACTGGACAATAATTTTTGGGACGGGGGAATATCATTTGATCTCTCCCTTTTAATTTTGCTACTGTTAAAACAAAATTAATGGATTTGTAAGGGAAAATAATAAAGCAAACTGTGGTCAAACACTCGGGAGTTGGAGATGTGTTTCTGGAGTTGTTTAGCGGAAGGCCACACGATATCGCCACCATCACTCCTCAGAAAGTTCAAGGCTTCACTTTGATTGGTGTGGTGCAATCGGGGTTCCAGGATCCATTTTCGTCCGAAACTAATTGTTCTGTTTATTCCTAATTGACAAATTTATCGATTATGTATAGATTTTGTGACCACAGATGGTAAGGAAAGGTTTGGCAAGCAGATAATCTGATAACTTGGACTCTGGAGTGTGAGACGCTGGAAGAACTCGGCCCTCATCCAGGAACCTTGCTCAATTTCTCCCTTCACATGGTTGAAGACATTGAAGCCCATCATTTAAACACCGCTTAATTATCCATCAATCATTCACCGGAGAATATCATCGGTTTGGGTTGATGTATAAATACTGTAAGCATATACTATTTCCGTCCCAAAAAATTAGTTCACACGATATCGCCAAATTTGTACTAAAAACAGTACAAAACTCAAAACTCAATGTGGATTATTTTTTGGGGACGGAGCGAGTAATAATTAATGTTTGGTTTTGTCATACATGGAAATGATTAATGCAATCCCTAGTGCGTGAAAGCTATCGGCAGTGGTACGTAGCTTCCGATCAAAATAAATACTATTTCTAACTAGTCCACGTCAAGTTTTTAATACAAAATTCAAAGTTCATTATGAATTTTTTTCGGGCGGACAGAAGGAATATTGTATGGCTCGAAGCAGCTTCATTCATTGTATGTTATTCCATCGGTTTATATATGTAAATATTCAATCTAATTCAAAACATATGTGTGTATGATAACTCATTAACATAATTTTCAAGACTTTTGTTTCCTTCCCCTTTTACCTTTGTTATCTTGTTTATTCAAGTAACTAAGAAGGTCATCCTTCTTTACGCACATATCCTTGGATCCTTGGGTCTCTAAAATGTCGACTTAGAAACATGTTTATTACTTTCCTTGTCGATTTTTTTTTTTTTGGAGAGAGTGATCATTTTAAAATGCGTTAATTGTTCTAGTTGGGGTACGTTGCAGGTTCCATCCTAACGTTAATTTGGGGTACAACTGAACTTATTCGAACCTATTAAGCTGTTGAGGTTTCGTACCTAATATTTCTGATTTAGTCCTACCTTTGCATTTGCCTTTTTGAAAGAAAAACTTTATTATTTCTCTCTGTGACCATATTGACCTCATAATAAACATTAGAGACACTACCATGAGTATCGTGAAAAACAAAAAAAAACAAAAAAATAACGAAAAAATAACAGAAAATATAGTACACTAGTGACGATTGAATAAGTATACAAGAAAAAATTAACGGGAGGAACGAAAATGAATTCCAATTGAGATCCTTGGTTGCGAAAACTTAATTAGCACCTTAATAAATTTAGAAGAATTTCGAGGTGCCCCCCAAACACGGACAGAAAATGTAATTTGGCCTTAATTTATTGGTTTAATTCCTTTTGGCAAAGTATTTCAAAAGCTATAATCTCTTTTGATATCACTTGCCAAGATTTTTTACACATAATTTCTGAGAGGTTATCAAATGGTGAATTAGGGTGTTAATGAAATTTTCGAAATAGAAATAATACGTGTCAAATTAAATATCATATGTTGATTCAGAATGTGGTATATGATTATTGAGGTGTAGAAAACCTTTAGACGTCCTTAAAATTAGAATATATGTGATCCATGTGGAGAATATGTATGTATAACAGAAATTATGCGATCCATGTGGAGAATTAGTATGTATAACAGAAATTATGCGATCCATGTGGATAATTAGTATGTTTTAGATACGCTCGCATCTGAAATAGTACTATGTTTTGGCGCCATAAGTTTTCATAAAAAATTTTTGATGAAGAACAAGGTTTCATAAATTAATTGTACGATCCTTAGAGAAGTTAGATCACGACATGGAACACGGCTTACTAAGAAAAAAAATTCATATTGTAGGGTGTCCACCATCGGCAACAGTGATTAATCCCCTCGTTCATGATAGGTACATCGATGGTGAGAATTTTTTATTCACATATATAAGTACTAGATGTTAAACTCACACGATGTGCGGGGTTTATATATATACATCTATTAAAATATATTTTTAAATTTTAAATGTGATTAATACAAATAAAGTAACTGGTTTGTAATAATAAATATATGATTAAAATTAAATTAGATCGTGATAAATAAAATTATTATATATACTTTGAAATGACAATATTTTATAAATTGTATGCCAAAAATGTAATTAAATAATGGAATATGTATAAGGATTATATACAAATAAAAGTAAAAAAGACCACCAAAATAATAAATCAGATGTTACATGTCATATAAATCAAAACAATTTATGTCTACACGGTTAAAAACGCATGTTAATCAAGATTGCACACAATTGGAGAAAGAGACACCTTACATGTTAATAAAACATGATCGGAGTGAGGTCGTCGCCGCAAAGATGTTTTGTAAAGTATATAAGATGCTTCGCTTCAGTGTTTCACCGGTTGTCATTGTACATGTTAGAGTTAGACCGAAGTGGATATTTATAATAAATGTCTGAATGAGATATCATAACCAGTAACTAAAGTAAAATTCATAACTATGGAATAAAGATGATAACGTCACGTTGATTAAGGGATAAGATTGGTGGGGAAATGACTTCCATCCATTGCATTAATGTTGATTAGTCTTTTTCAATTAAATTTGATTAGTTTTTAATCACTAAAGAATTCCCATTTTCCCGCACGTTGAACTTAGGTTTTAAATCAATCAAGTAGTGATTTTAAGGATTATTTTGTAGAGGGATTTTTTTTTATTCGAATTGGCTGGAGTAAAAAATTCCGGTGAATTAATGTCGAAAATAATAAATGCCTTATCCCTTTGAACTTATAATTTAAATCAATCAATTAATACTAATTGTGGATTATTTTTGGGAGGGAATAATTTTGGTGCATTAATGTTCATTAATCCCGTCTATTAAATTTAATTAATTTTTATTTTTTTATTTTAAACTATAATTTTAAATACCATTTAATAAAACTTTATTTACATAAAATTTGAAGGACTATTAGTATAATAGTATTGATTGATATAGTTTTTTTGGCTTATCCTTCAGTGTTACTAAGAAAATATATGACTCACACATGGACAAAGTGATGGACACCACATATATAGGTTCTCATCGATCAATACAAGGGCGACCTTGAATTTAAAACCAAATTACAAAATTGGAAATTGCGCCGGATAGAAATCAAAGTAATGTATACTTCACCTGGTGAAAGTCCTGTCTTATGAATCTTATTATCTCAAAATAAAGTTTTTATTTATTTTTTCTCTAAAAAATAGTTAATGTTAAAAATATATTATTTTAATTTAACACAAATCACAATTTACAACGTCGACTATTTTTTTAAATAGAAAAAATATATAAAAATAACACAAAAAATATAATTATTTTTAGGCAGATGGAGTGTAAAGGGGCCTACATGTGCAGTACTACTTAATTGCCTTCTGTGTGTTTACTCATTATAAATTCTTATCTCGTCATCCCTAGTTCAACACAAAACAAAAAAAACTTTGGAAAACAAACCATTGTGATAAACATTTCAATCTAGTTTTCGCATCAAATAGTTAGAAATGGGTTTGAAAGGCAAAATGATAGGCCAAACTGTGGTCAAACACTCTGGAGTTGGAGATACGTTTCATGATGTGTTCAGCAAAAGGCCGCACGATCTGGCCACTGCCACTCCTCAGAAAGTTCAAGGCTTCACTTTGCTTGATGGTGCCATAGGGGTTCCAGGATCCAAGATCTGCTGGCACTATACTCATGGTACGTGCATCTTTTATACATATATGTATCTTTTTCCTCTTCCCTTTTGCATGCTAGCCAAACTTATAACAATCAAATCTAAAACTTTATATTTGTCATGTTGGGACAGAGAATCCCACAACTTAGAATAGGGAAATTGTATTGAATTCATAATGTGTTGTGCACAATATACAGACTATATATAGACAATAACAAACCCTATAATAGGAAATATACTAAATATTACAATACCACAGCACTATTGTAAAAAATTTGTTACTTGATTATAAATTTTTTTGATCTTCCCATTCATTGTTAATTAGTTTTGAGATGGGAGTCGTTCAAGTGACTTTAACAAGTCCTAAATTGTAGTGAAAAAAAAAAAATTGTCTTTATCGAAGTAGATAGCTCCTGTACTCATTTTGGTGTTCCATCTGGAAATATGTTTTAGATCAATTTTCAAGTTTTAATCAGTTGTATTTTTTAGCACTTTTGTTTTAGGAGTTGATAAAAATAAGGTTGGTTGATTATGGAATTTGTTTCCTATATATAGATGGTAAGGAGAGGATTGCTAAGCAGATAATCGATGAAGTTGATGAAGTGAAGCAATCAATCAAGTTCAGGATGATTGAAGGAGATCTGATGGAAATCTACAAGACCTTCATCATAACATATCATGTTGACACCAATGGAGAAGATAATCTGATAACTTGGACTCTGGATTATGAGAAGCTGGAAGAACTCGGCCCTCATCCAGGAACCTTGCTCAACTTCTTCCTTCACATGGTTGAAGACATTGAAGCTCATCATCTCAACCAAGCTTAATAATAATAAATCACCAGTGTTATAATTGATCTCCATGAGTCATGCATACTTTTCTTTTTCGTCCCATTATGACTCTACTGTTTAATGTACAATTCAAGTATGATAAACCGGATAGTGTGTATATTAAATGTTTGGTTGGTTTCAACTTGGAGATCTTGTTAATTAATGCATGGTGGAAGTGGCAGTTGTAGCTGCCGATCAAATACTTTGAGTAAATAAAGATTTGAATGTGTCTTGTAGAACCTTCATCAAGTGACGTTCGACTCGATCGTTTGATTGAATGTTGATCATGTAAAATTTCAAATAAATATAATATATATGTGTGTGAGTGAGATATTCTTATTATTTGCTGATCTTTTCTTTTTCTTTCTTTTGCTCCCTATGTGTTTTGTTTTTTTCTTAATTTCATTTCTTGTTTTATACATAAACGTTGGAATTTTATTTTTTTTTTTCTAAAAAACAGAAAGCTGTGAGCCTGTGACGTATACAGAAAATGCACACAGACGGACAAGCTAGCCTACTATATGTACATGTATATATCTGAGGTTGGGCTTGAAAATGAATCCCTCTTGTAAGTCGACAGTGACAAATATCTCACATGCTTTCAATTTGATTCGGAAAAACAAAAAACCAAAAAAAAAAAGCAATCGGGTATTTCGGTAATGTAGTTGTTAATAAGAGTTTTCAATTACCAAATTCACTAAAATTTAATAATCACTCTAACAGCTGACTGCTTAGCGTACGTATCAACATAAGGGGTGGGGTAGCTGAATTAGACCATCTATGTATGTTTTTTTTACTTAATCTTGATATAACTATCAGATTATTTATCCACACAGCAAAGTAATTATTTACTACTAACATTTTAGGTCCCTATATCTCTTCTTTTATGTGTCGAATGAAAAAAAATTAATAAATAAACTAAACTATCACTCAAGAACAGCACATTACCTACATTTCAAGTAAATTTCATATAAATTTCAACTACTCAAGAATAAGGAGGTGGCTTTCTGATGAGTTATAGGAGTGGCTAAATGGTCCACAAACATATATTTCCTTGAAATGAACATTGACCAATTCGAAGCGCTAAAGTTTTAGATTTGTTGGTGTAGCTGGTTCTTTTTTTAATTATTATTGGCGTTTAATTGGTCAAAAGTTAAATAAACTAGTAAACTCTTCCTCCAATGTTTAGTAGTTGCAGAAGCTAAGAGGCTCTTCACGATAAACGATTCTTTGGGGAGTTTGTTTTATACTCCCTCCATTTCAAAATTTAAGTCACTTTAGACTTTATACGTATTGTAAGGAGACAATCATTCAACAATTAATTTATATATTAAATATTTATTTTATCTCTTATTAATTACATTAAAACTATAAACAAGATTAAATGAAAATAGATTGATATCATTTATTAAAGGTAAAGTTAGAAAAATAGCCATTAATTTACCTAAAATTTGTTAAACCATTTATATTTTGAAAAATCTCTCCAAACCTAAAACGATCTACAAATTGAAATGGAGTGAGTATGACACTGGTTTAACACTTTATAATTCACCCTAATGGACCCTACTTAAATGTGAGTAAGACCCTCCTTACAACCCCTGGTGGAATTCAAACCTTTATTACCAGGAAAGACAGCAACCTAATCACTAAGATGTCATTTAATTCCCAAATTTATTAATAATTAATTATAAAGACAAATATTAAAGATTAAACTAATGTTAATGTTAGTCTAATACAAAAGTGAAACTCCTTAGTAACCATTAATTTTAAGAGACAATTCCAATCAACCAACTCTCATTATTGGAGAGTGCAGACACTGGGACTTGGGAGAAAAGAAAATTAATTAAATACTAAAAAAAAAAAATCGGTTGTTGAATTTGGTAAATCTGTTCAACATCGAAATCCGAGTAATCCGTGGATCATGATTCATGTGAGATATGGCACCATCAGTCACAAATTAAGACTTTAAAAAAATAAAAAGAGGTGTGAGACATTATATTTATTTCATACTGTAAATAAACCATTGGGAAATGATAGCAAACGTAATTTGGAAAAGTCAGTAGACGTGATTCCGGACGGGGTGCATACGTCGGCTAATAAAACTCAAGGCTCAAAATTGGCTCTTTGGGTTAAGATTTACTAAATATAGTATACTTTAGATTTATTACGTTGTCCGATGAGATAAATAATGTGCAACTAGCTAGTAGAAATGTAGGTGAAGCATTAAATCTATAATTTGGAAGGTACTGTAAAATACCCCATATCCTAACAACTATGAATAGTGACACCAATGTCTATAGGAACAAATTAATGAGGATTGGGATAGGGATGAGTTAGATGAGATCGATAAGAAATGCATCATCTTTTACTTTTAAGAAGGAGATTAAGCTACAATAGACCTCAAAGTTACTTAACAGAATAAGAATGTTTCATATGAGTTACAATCAAGATTGTCATGATTCCTATTGTTATTTTAGGAAGGTAACTAAATTCCACAGCCCTGTGATTGGTAACATTGAAGCTGAACTCCAACTGGTTTCTTTGCTCAAAATCTTGAATTGATTTCCTATCATAAACGAAGATTGATTGCAATAATAAAGGACACCCATAACCGGCTGGAAGTTATGGGTTCCCACTTATATCAATCAACCCCAAAATAAAAGAACTGAAACTCATTCAGTACATTATTATCTCTTGCAAAGATGGGGCGTTTAAAGGGAAGAAAACAAAACCATTATTAATTAGGTTTATCCGTTGTATTGCAGCCATCGCAATACATTTTTACATACACCGAACATGAGGGTTCCGTTTGGCTCTCATTCATGTTTATTGCTATGCACAATTTCACAAGGTACAGTTGATGTATATTGGTCAACTCTCTAAGGATTAGGAATGATTTTTGTAACAAAAACTCCAATGTGAAATTTAAAAAGATGTCATCACAAAGAATGTAAATTCTACACTCGCAGTTCACAGTATTAAGAGGCTCCATGGCCTGGGTTGACTGAACAATTTCAAGCTAGTTATGTTCTAGGCCCAATATTGGGTTATCCATACACATTAATCTTTCAACAGTTTTTATAAGTTACAAATTTAAACAAAATTTAAAATAAATTAAATTACTTAAAAGTATCACATAACTGTGTATTATATCCAAGTCTTCCGAATAATTTTTTGCACTTAAGTTTGAGGAATGAAATAATTGAACCTACGATTATGTCCGCCGTAAATGCAAATCAATTCATAAAAGAGAACGAAAAGAGACATAAAATCCCAAACAAAATTGCACTTTTTTTTTCTGAAACCAAGATGCAAAGCTTAAGTAGTAAGTCAACTAGTAGTTGTTGCCAAGTCTCTCACTCGTTTTGAGAGCGGAATAACAAGAATTGATAAAGAAAAAACCACGATCTTGGGACGTTGAATATACAATCATCGTCGGTGACAATAAATCGAAAAGTACAGAATAATAATAATGATAAAATAAATAACTTAGATGTGGACTGCGGAGTACTTCCCTGATATCCTTCTTTATTTGCACATTATAAATTCAGCCCGCTTCTAAACCAAATCATCATCCCACAGAATACTTGAGGAAAAAAAAAACCATTTTTCTGATATAATATCTGAATTAGGAATCAAATTCTGTGAGGAAAAAAGAAAAAGATGGGTTTGAAAGGCAAAATGATAGGGCAAACAGTGGTGAAGCACTCTGGAGTTGGAGATGTGTTCCATGATTTGTTCAGCAAAAGGCCACACGATCTGGCCATCGCCTCTCCTGAAAAAGTTCAAGGCTTTACTCTGCTTGAAGGTACCCTTGGAGCTGCCGGATCCAAGATCTGCTGGCACTACACCCACGGTATATATGCCTACGACTTTTTAATCCATGCTGTTATCTTCATTTTAGTCTTTTTACGTGTTTAATTTTTTTATCCCCTTCAATTTGCGTGTTATTCAAACTTATGTTAAGCAAATACGATATTCTCATTTCGTCACAGATTTTAATACGACAAAGTAGATTGTTTTCTTGATACAAAAATATGTAACAGCATGATTATTTGAAATTATACTGGTTACTATCTCGTTTTAGATTTTATGTTTTCGTTAGAGTTGGAGGATTCAAACTCGATTTGATGTTTCATCTTGATTTGGACTTTGATTGATTGTCAGTCCAGTCAAACACAGTAAAGTCAACTATATATTTCATTTTGTATAAAGCAATTTGTTTCGCTTTCTTTTATGATTTATAACTAAATTCATATGATTGGACCATAGATGGTAAGGAAAGCATTGCGAAGCAGATCATAGATGAAGTGGATGAAGTGAAACAATCCATCAAATTCAGGATGATTGAAGGAGATCTTATGGAGTTTTACAAGAGCTTGATAATAACCTATCATGTTGACACCATCGGGGAAGACAACTTGGTAACATGGACTCTGGACTATGAGAAGCTGGAAGAACTCGGCCCGCATCCCGGAACTTTGCTCAGCTTTTTCCTTCACATGATTGAAGACATTGAGGCTCATCACCTCGATGGAGCTTAATTAAACAATTTGTCGTGCGTTATCATCTCCATTGATAATTAATATATTTCTTCCGTTCCATAATAAGAATACTCGTGATCGAGGTTTTTTTTTTTTTTTTTGGTGGAAACAGAGAGCAAATAAATTAGCATACAATTGATGTTTGGTTTGTCAACATGGAGAAATGGAGATGAGTAATGCATGGTGGAAGTGGCAACTGGAACTTGCTGGATCAAGTATTTCTAGTGAAATAAATATTGTATGGCTTTGAAATTAACAAAGCTTCATTATGTTATGTTATTGTGTGTTGTTCGATCGGTTGATCATCCATGTAATATTGTACTATGTGTGTGAATGCTGTAATTTTATCATTATTTGATGGTGTGTTTTTTTTCCTTTTTTCCTGCCGTCTTTCTGCACTAATCTTTAGTTTTAACTTCATGTCCTAGTTTTTTGTAGAGAAATCTTATGTTATTTTCAGTGCTCTCAATTCTTTTTCTTTTTAACAAAGAAGAAAGCACGTCCGGGGAATGAACAATGCAATACCTACAATCTTGTTTTAGTAATGATTTTAATTGTGTTTTATCATTTTTGAGTTCTAACATTTAACCCCCAAAAGGCCCCAAATATTGCAACTTAATTTGCGAAATTTACATGTGTACTAAAGCTGCTATTCGACTAATCAAAACTTTTAAGACTACCTGCTTTCAATTTGATAAGAACATTCCAACTTTTAAATGTCTAGACTCTAGAGTATTGTTTGTTTAATTTTAATTAGAGCTAAACTTTTTTTAAAAAAAAAAAACTCTAATCATCACTCTCATAAAAATATATAACAAGTATCTGTTTTTCATTTAGTTTATATTTATTCAACTATGTTAAATAAATATTTCATCAACTAAAACTGATGTGACCATCAAACGTAGTACTAGAGGCAAAGTGCACAAAACATATATATATATATAGGGAGCGGTTAGAGTCTCGTTACGGGACGATTTCGTTTTATGATAATAACCATAGGATTAATTCGACTAATTGATAACCGTAGGATTAAAATGAGGGTGCACCATAACTAAATACACCTAAATTCACATTATTAACCAGAAAAAATTTAAGAAAATGGTCAATTTTACCCAAAACTTCAAGTGTTTGGCCAATTTTGACCCAAAATATTTTTGGAAAGCTAAATATATAATCTAAGTTTCAATTTCTGGCCAATTGACCAAAATTTAGTTAGATTTAATACCTATGCTAACATTTCGTTACTTTTTATAGTTTTTTTATTAGAAAAAGTTTTTGCGGACCCCATAATTTTGGCATCATTACCCCCAATGATTTTAGTTGTTCTAAAATATACCCATAAAATTTTTAAAATCAATAAAATTAAATTAAATTAATAAAAAATTATTTTTAAAAAATTAAATTAAATTTTTTAAAAAACTTTTACTTTCTTTATTTTACCCAAGTCCATCACTGTAAAATTTTCATCCTATATTTTATCAATTACAATGAAAATATTTATTTTCTAACAAATTAATATTAAATAAAATAATACTAAATTAATTAAAAATTGAAATCACAACTATAAAATAATATAATATTAATAAAAAAATTATTTTTAAAAAATCAAAATTTAATTTTTTTTAAAAAAAATTGACGTACTTTTTAAACTCTAGCCCATCACTGTAGAATTTTCATTCTATTTCATCCTATATTTTGTAGATTCTACATTTTTTTGTTAGATTCTACTAATAGGTAAATATAACTCACAACAATTTCATAAATTAAAACATATCTAAAATAAGAAACTAGATTAGAATATAATCTTAAATTTTAACTTAATTATTCATTTTATCAGAACTTGTCGTAAAAGTAATATTTTTACTTTATTCTAAGCGCACCAAATTAAAAATTATATCAAATTTGTGCAACGAAGGTACGTTTATTTTTTAAAAAAATTTCATTTGAGTTTCAAAGATTAAAATTTTTAAATTTTTATTAATTTAATATTTATTTTAATTCGTAATTATTTTTATGAATATAATTATTTTAATATTTTTATTAATATTTTATTCAATATTAATTTTTTTGAAAAATAAATATTTTTTTTTCCGAAAATACCCTATTGACTTAAATATAAAGATGTTCAAACTCTGGGAATAAAGATGGTCAAAATCAAACTCTTGGAATAGTGCCAAAGAACAAAAAAAGTTACAAATAAAAATATAAAGGACTATTTTAGCCAAATATTAATTTATAAGATCAAAATATGCATTTGGCTTAATATAAAAGACCATGATACCAAAAAAGTAATTAGTTTGAGAAATTGTAGAATGTATCTCACCCCATGATTACATCTTATATCCTCAATATTGATTGGTTGAAGATAAAACGGTACGGTTCCGTAAACTTAGCCAACGGAACTCTAGATTTTTCCATATATATATATATATGCTCTTTGTATGAATACTGGCTAAAAAAAGGTCTAAGTTTGTAAAAAGGTTCGTTGGTGAAGTAATATTACTTCTCTTCAAAAAAAAGAAAAGAAAGAAACTGTGAAATTGAATGGAGAAAAAGTTAATAGAAGCATTGTACGGTTTTATCTTTCTTGGATATATATAATTGTTCAAAATTCATCTGAAGGAAAGGGGAAAAAAAAATCCGATGTGTATGAATTATTTTTCCCTTGATAAATTTATTTAAGAGTCGCATATTCGGCCTTTCCATTTGAAATTGACACAACGGTCACAAGTGAAGTTGAAATAATTATTTGTGCAGTCAATAGTAAAATTTGAGATTAGACCAAATATATATTCGATTCACTTCTTATCTTATAACGACATTTCATACATGAATATTTTTTCCCCTTCAAATTTAACAGAACTTCCCTAAAGTCAAAACAATGTAAGTTAATAAATTTATTCAGTAAGAGTTTGATTACTCTGTACTACTGTAATCTGTAGCGTAGAAGATGCCATATCCTAAATTATTGTGCACTTGTACCTCTGCGTGCCTCTAAATTACTGTTCACTGATTGTAGACAACTAACTGCTTATACACATTAATGCATACATTTGGAGAAAAAAAATATTAAAAAGATTCCGTTGTAGAAATCCTAAAAATCTTGAAGACATAAAATTTTTTTCTAAAAAAAAAAAAAAAAAGGTCAATACTATTATGTGAATCATATGATATGGTTCGATCACAAATCTGTTAGAAAATATATATGTAAGAAGGGATATTTTAATTCATAAACTATTGCGAAATAGCAGTAGTACATTTGGACCATATATATTATGTTGATGATGTTTAGTACTTATCCAATGCCTAATTCAAGGATATTTCAACCTAAACATATATACTTTGCCTAATGATTCGTGCAAAGAAAATTTACAGAAAATTTTAACTATGAACGAATCATAACCGTCTATACTTAAACTTTTCTTTTAGAGATTTATCTATTTAAAGTATAGGAGATTATTAAGATGGGGCCAACTCATTCCTTGTAAATTTTTTTGTCAAATTTTCCGTGCATTGATCACCACACATATACTTTACTAATGTAAACACTAAACACCGCCAAAATTGATTACTATTGGGTAAAGGATTAATTGCTAAGTTAGAAAGATGATTATAGATTTATAAATCACTAATTACGAAGAAAACAACTAAAGAAAAAAATAACCATATATAGTGAAACTCTGGTGGTGGCAGCCTAGAGTTGGAAAAGGGATCATAGCACCAACTTCAATAATAAAGGTTCAATAAGAGCTCTCATGTGCCAGTTTCCGTGATCGACGAATCAACCAGACTTAAAAAAAGATGCACACCTAATTATTTTTATCAAAACTATCGTTGGTGGTTAAGAAAAGAAACCCAAGTGATCCTTCTTGATGGCGTCAATTTTGTTGTTGACATCAATTGGCAGCCTCCGGGTTTGTTTGATTGCAAGTTAATCGACTGCAGTGTTTGGGATAGTGAATACTTATCGAAAGTGGATCCACCCGAATATTTCATTCTCTTTAGCCCTGGATTAATGTTGACCATGTTTGTGTTGTTAGCTCAGGAACTTTCTCCTACATAAATAGAATTTGAGTATTTTCATCAAGACAGAGTAGCAATTGAGCACCCATGCACAAATGAGCATCAATGGCAGCGGTCATTGTTATACACAAGGCATCCTTCTCTCACCCAACATTCTCCACAGAAGTCTTTAACTCTCAACCCAGCTGCAGGCAATGAATTGGCATTGCCGCAAATGTTGAATCAAGAGATGTCAAGATTTTGTAACAGCAAAAGCTGATATTCTCTTAGTCACGAAATGATTATTTGATTTTGGATTTTTATTTGAATATAAAGTGTGCCGAAAATAAAAACAAAAAAAATTCAAATTGGATAATCATTTTAGAACAGAGGAAATACATGTAACGATCGATTACGTAATATATGTGTGACCCCCCCGGGGCTTTTGCCCTAATATTTCCTTTTAGCTTAACTGCCTGGTTTTATGTGAGAAATCTTATGGTTTTTAGTGCTCTCAATTTTGGGATGACTCATACGTATAGATCGACTTGTACCATGCACATTAATTAAACGAGACCGATAACGTCGTCTTTTAACCAAATTCTAATAGTGATGAACAGAGGAGCATATATATCTCGCAGCATGTTACACCATTTTGGTTCTTTTATTAGTTCTAAGTTCTAGCATTTTAACCAAAAAGTTAAAATAACACAGTTAAATAACGAAATTTACATGTATCCGAATACGAGGCTGGCTCTAACAGTGTGTTTTAGCATTTTAACCAAAAAGTTAAAATAACGAAGTTAAATAACGAAATTTACATGTATACGAATACGAGGGTAGCTCTAACTGTGTGTTAAAACTTACAATGATTAAAGGAAAAACTTTATTTTCATTTCGATGATAGAGGAATTCATTTTTCCTTTGTTTTATTATTTATAACTAGCTTCATTAATTAGACTTCTGTAATCAAAGAAAATGAGTTATTCTCTTTATTACCAATTAGTTTTAGAGTGGAACCTCATTTGAGCTTACATATTGGGCTTGAGGAGTATTGGGCTAGGAAGAAAGGATCCCAACAACACCAAGAATGAAATTCTTCCCAAAATCTGGTCAAACAATGAAGAAAGAAAAGATGGTTCTCTGTGTCTCTCTGTTTCTTAAGAAGTTGTTTTTCCCCTTGTGCAGCAAAAATGAAAAGTCAAAGCTGAAGTTTAGAGAATTTTAGAGAGAATGGTTTGCAAATTTCATGAAGTTTTCCTTCATTAAGCAGGATGCGCGCTATGTCTCAACTAGTCAATATATATATTATTCTATTAAAATAACTGTACAACAGAGAATTCTTTGTTGAGGTGTCACACTCTCGTGCATTGTTTTCCCGCCAAAAACATAGCACCATTTTTGGAAAAAGAAAAAAAAAGAAAGAAAAATCCCTCTTAAAGTAATGAGAGATCTAGAACTTCCTAATTTCACGAAATTAATGTTTCTACCTTGCTTATTCATAAATACATATGCTAATTTCATCCCTTAAAATTAAATGTATGTAATAATTCCTATTCTTGCTATATATTATAATATGCATACATAGTCCCCCTTAAAATTATGAAAAAGTAGTTGAAATCTCACAGGTAAAATTATGAAAAAAATATCTGTGAAACATTCTTTTTATATTTAAATTCAAGAAAATTTAAATTATAATAATATTATACCACTTAATTATCACCGTGTTTTTTAACTCATTTTTTACCGTTGGCTCATTCTTTTATATCACATGTTCTTTTTAGATTCTATTTCACAATCAACCATTAATCGAGCACGTCATATATTTTTTTTATAATTAATAATCATATTATTGCACATTTTAACATGTTCCGTGCAACGCACGGATGAGATCCTAGTTTAATTGAAACAGGACAAGAAACTTAACCTTTTTTTTTTTTCAGACAGATGGAGTAGTTTGAACCAATTGTAAATCACACATTTATTACGATCCAATACTTTGACCAGCTTCATAGATTGAATCTATTATGATTATCAGAACGAAAAGGCCAGATGTATTGTTTCATGGAAATTCACAAGGAAATTTTTTCTAAAATTATCGTTCAATTGAAATTATTACTTTTCATACAATTCAAATTTAAAATAAAAATCTAAAATGGACAATTATTTTGACATGCAGGGAATAATACATATGAACTTTTAAACTTTCGTATTCATTTCTAGACCTTTTGGTGCATATTGATTAATTAAAGTGAAATTGTTCTTGCATACACCCTTCGGAACTCAAGAGGTTCATTGTAAAATAAACTACATTATCTCCAGTAGTAAATTGGTGGCGCTATTTTCTAAAGGAAGAGACAAGATTTAATACTAGTATATAAAAATCAAAACCTAGAACCCTCTAATTAGATGCCTTAACTGGAATTTTGGGTACATCGTATGATTCCTTTGACATGAAATGACAAATTCAGTTGCTCTTAAAATGTCAGACGATCGAGTTGGAGGAAACAAAAACACTTGAATTTGTATTTTTGCTTTGGTCATTGATGACAATGAGTCTTAGCGGTAAAGTACAAGTTGCCCAGGAGATCAAGTCCCCTAAAGATGTTTTCGCTGAAACATTTTATGGCTCCAACAAGAAAATCCTTCCCAAACTCTGCCCAGACAAGATTCCTGTTCTTGAGTTGCTTGAAGGAAACTGGCGTGAAGTAGGTTGTGCTATTTGCGCTCATTACCTAAAGGGTAAGTTTTCAATGTCGAAGTTAAATGCGAAAAAAAAAAAAAAGAACTATAAATTTCGTTCCATTTTAATAGTCCGATTTCTTGTAGTTGGTGACGAAGGGAGTATTAGTTTCCTCATTTTCTTGTGCTAGTTGTATTTGGTTATTCGATTCTTTGATGTGAATTACTCCTATGTGTGTTTAAGTTACAATATTAGGAATGCATTATGATCGGATACAAAACATTTCGGATGCAACCTGAAAACATGAAGAAAAATATATTAGTAAGAGATCAGTGGCCCTCTCACAAATCTTTTATTTTTGTGATTGTTATATTTCAGATTGATGTCCGAAACTAAAATTACCGAACTATTCAAGTCGGATAGGTTCCTATGTTCCTTTTATTGCTGCAATATGCTTAACATATACTCCCTCTGTCCCAAAATTATTGTTCAATTTGAGATTTCACTTTTAGTACAATTTGAACTAGAAATGAAAACTCAAACTGGACAATAATTATGGGACGGAGGGAGTATATTTAAGTGTAGGTGGAGAAAGAACAATTTCGAAGGAGAGAATCACGGCGGTGGATGAGAAAAACATGTCCATAACTTACGAGTTTGAGGGTGATCTCATGAAACTTTACAAGATCTTCAAAATTACTCTCTACGTGGATTCGCAGGGCCAAAAGAATTTCTTGAACATTAACTTGGAATATGAAAAGCAGAATGAAGATGTTCCTAGCCCTGAACCCATGACTGCCTTTATGACAGAAATCGCCAAGGTCGTTGATGCATATGTTCTGAACAACATCCACTCATCCCCCCTGCTCAAGCTTCGAAAAGCACGACCTTAATTCTTCCATCCATCCCGAAATGATTGTTTCCTTGTGCTATTGGGCATGGAGGGGTCCTTTTTATCTCTTATATTGTGAGTTTTGTGGATTTAAGAAATGGTTATTCAGACTTCCATTTGTAGGGATGTATTGATCAATAGACATGGTTATCGCTATTCTGTGCTAAAGTTGTACAATATCAAGCAAACATAGGATTTGTTGACAGTCCTTTTCCTTTATTACTCTCTGATGTGTGGCAATCAAATGCCTGATTTTCTTTTCCTTTTACTGTGACGCTTTGCAAATTGTCATATGTTTCCCGTTGAGGCAAACTTGTCAATCTGACTGATATCAAGAGCTTTGTCCATTCCACTGGCCAAGAGAAACCTGAATCAAATGAACGGATTGATCAAGTCAACTCATGAAGCAATTAAAGTTTTTGAGGTATATATATATATATATATATATATATATATAGGGCATCCATGAAATCCATATTAAAGTCATGAAGCAACTAAAGTCAACTCATGAAATCCATATTAAAGTCATGAAGCAATTTAAGTTTTTGAGGTATATATAGGGCATCCATGGAAAATGATTCTTTGATACTAGTGTGTGTATACGTATCAAAAGTTTAACTAGTGTAACAAGATTTGTACCAAGAAAGTGACACCGAAAAATAGTGTGTATAATTAATTGAGTCATGTAAAATTGGTACGGTGGAAACGGATCAAAATTACATTTTTTTTAATAATAACAACTAAGTTGAATCTGAGATTCAGGAACATTATTCCCTAAGATTCACGTCACGGGGAAAAAAGAAACTTTAAAAAAATTCAGCACAAAACATACAACATGCAAATTTATGTCACCCCCGAGTTCCATATTTTTATTATCCCGCAAAAATAAAGACATTCAAATTTCTGGTCTATATTCCCTCAAAGAAGTTTGGATGCAGGTGAATTGGAAACTATCATCTTGGATAAGATAGCTTACCACCAGTGAATTGTACACATATACGCACGTGTACAAATAATTCAACTTCATGCAGAAAAAAATCGCAGATTTCACCACTACAAAAACGTCGAAGAACATCCACAAATTAATGAGGCCAAACCAAAAAAAAAAAAAAAGTACAAACCTGAAATCCTTCAAGAGGAGTTTCATAATGCAAGTGGTGATATATAACTCTTTCCTCGATGATGTCCCGAAGGTGTTTAGCATAAGAAGGAAACAAAAGCACTTCAATTTCATTACGTTCTTTTTGGTCATTGAGAACAATGGGTCTTAGCGGAAAGCTGCAGTTTAGACAGGAGATTAAGTCCCCTGGAAATGCTTTCCCTGAAATATTCTACGGCTCCAAGAAGGAAATTCTTCCCAAAATCTGCCCAGAGAGACTCCCTGTGCTTGAAATTCTTGATGGAAACTGGGGTGAAGTGGGTTGTACTATTGTTGTTCATTACCAGATGGGTAAGTTTTGATTGAATTAATAATGTTCAAAGTTCAAACAATGAAGAAAAAGATGGTTCCCTCTGTTTCTTAATCAAGTAGTTGTTTATCTTATCCCCTTTGTGCAGCAAACGGAGAAACAGTGATTTCAACGGAGAAAATCGTAGCTTCGGATGCGAAAAACATGTCGATAACTTACGATCTGGTGGGTGATCTGATGAAACATTATAAGAGCTTCAAAGTTACTCTCCATATGGAATCACAAGGCCAGAAAACATTCTTGGTAATCACATATGAATATGAAAAGCAGAGTCCGGATGTTTTAGGCCCTGATGGTATTGGTATGGTTGACTTTGCAAGTGAACTTATCAGCATTGTTGATGCGTATGTTCTCAACAACATCACCTCATTCCCTTCTCAAACTTCAAATACCATAACCTGAATTCCTCCCTCCGTTCCAAAACGATTGTCGTCGTACTATTGGCACATAGGGTCCTTTTATCTCTTATCTAGTGAGTTTTGTCACCAAAAAAAAAAGAAAAAAAGAAAAAAGGGTTATTCAGACTTCCATTTGTAGGGGTGTATTCAATATACATGGTTGTTCATTTTGCTGTGCTAAAACTGTACAATATCAGCAAACAGAGAATTTGTTGACAGACTTTTTCCCGTGTTACATCGATATATATGTGGCAACAATAAGCCTGATTTTTGATTTTTTTTTTTCTGTGAAGAATGAAGATTCGCAAATTGTCATATGTTTCCAGTTGAGGCGAACTTGTCAATCTGACTGATATCGAGAACTCTGTCCATCCCACTGGCCAAGAGAAACCTGAATCAAATCAACAGATTGATAAAGTCAACTCATGAAATCCAAATTAAAGTCGTGAAGACAAGTATAGAGGTTGAGATATAGGGTGCATCCATGAAATGATTACTTGTCTCTGAGAACTCTTGACATCAATTGGCAACCTCCAGGTTTGTTGGACTGCAAATTGACTGCAATGTTTGGATTATGAATGCTCTGCCGAACGTGTATCCACCCAAATTCTTCATTCTCTTCATCTGAAACTTTAGCCCTAAATTATTGTTGGCCAAGTTCTGATGTTAGTGCAAAAACTCTCCAAAATAAGTACTGATTATTCATCAAGATATTAACTGATCACCTGTACATATGAGCATCAATGGCAGCTGGATTGTCATTGGTGTCCACAAGGCACCCTTCACTCACCCAACATTCTCCACAGAAGTCTAACTCCCACCCAGGCAATTGGCCTTGCTGTAAAATTCAATCAAAACCTCAACATTGTTTACCAGCAAAAATACTGATATAAATGATATGATCATAGAAATCGTACTCATTTTTCTGACCTCAATGTAGGTTCTAAAAGTTTCAATAGCCTCAACTGCTTTGGCTTTTGCAAACCTTGGTTCAGAGATGACATTCATCCTCAACTCCGCGGATTCAAAGGGTTCTTCAAGGTCTTTTATAAGGCTTCCTATCCCTTCACTTGAGCCTTCAAGTTTCATTCTCACCATTTCAATAATGATCTTCACAACCATGTAAGCTCCTGAGAGAACAAATTACTTTGTCAGTTTTGAACAGAGGAAGATACTCCATACATCGGTTATACTTCCTTCGTCCCAAAATAATTGTCCAGTTTACATTTTCATTTTTGGTTCAAATTATGGTACTCCCTCTATCCCAAAATTATTGCCAGTTTAGATTTTCACTTTTAGTTCAGTTTGTACTAAAACTGAAAGCCTAAATTACAATAATTTTGGGATGGAAGGAGTACAATCTTTATACAACGGATGCATGAAAGAATTGAAACATTTGAACATTTAAATGACCAATGCATTGAAACTTAAAAATAGCTAGGAGTTAGTTTGATGAAAAAAAACTAACCATCATCAAGGAAATAATTTTCTTTGAGGGCACCATGACCAGAAGTTTCCATCATAAGATGAGTCTCAATCCCATCCTTATTAAGCTGAGCTCCTTTGTCAATCACATTCCTGTATCCAACCCTGTACAAACAATGCTGACCTCCTTTGCTCGTAATGAACCTAGTCAACGCCATACTCGTCCGAGCGTCGGTAACGATCGTCGTGCCGGGATGCTCTTTGAGGACAATGGCCGACATCAGGGCAATGAGCTTGTCACCATTGATGGGATTTCCGGCGCTGTCAACAACGCCGCTGCGATCCACATCGGTGTCGAAAACTATGCCGAGATCAGCTTTGTTTTGAAGAACAGCTGCCCTTGTTAAGGCCATTGCGGTTTTGTCCTCAGGGTTGGGAATGTGGTTTGGGAACATTCCATCGGGGTTAAGGTGAAGCGAGCCAAATGTGTCTGCTCCTAGCTTGTCTAGAACATCATAGGTGAAGAAACCTCCTGATCCATTCCCAGCATTCACGATTATCTGCATTTTTTAATCAGATAAGTTGATGAATAAGGTACCAATTCCAGAAATTGACAACACTGTAACCATGCATAACAGTAGTACAATTATAACAGAACAATATTATTTCAAGATTTTGTCACTACTTTTTCCCGAGTTTGTTGTAATGGAACAAACAAATTGCTGCTACATTATTGCTAAAAATGCCTAAATGGTTTATAGAAATAGAACTCGGAAATAAATGAGAATTCTGTTTGGGACCCTTCTCAATTTTTTTTTTCTTTTTTCTTTCTGGAGGAAGCTATTTTGGGCTTGATCTAGGCTGGTTGAACCAAATACAGTTGGCTAATAATAGCCCTAAGTTTGGTCTGGGCCTGCTTATAGGCTTGTCTATTTCCATGGAAAAATTCTTAATTGAGAGATCCAAGAGGGCAGTAATAAAAGAAATTCAAAATGTGATTTTGAACATTCGATAATTAATTTTCTTTTTCTTTGTTTTCAAAAAGGAAATTTTTCTCTTGTTGCAAAAATAATTTGTAGCTGGGACGGTCAAAGATATTCTCCTAGACTTTAGTTGCATCACTTCACATTTAATATGCACGTGTCTAACGCGTCACAATACACATACGATTTGGTAAGAGAGTAAAAAAAATTAATCAATTTGAAGTGTCATCGAAAATGTAACACAATACCTCAACAAATTCATAATATGATTTTCAATATTCGATAATTAATTGAATTAATCATGTAGAATTGGTATTTTGTATAGTTTGAATTTTTGCTTTTGATATACTAATTTAAACCGAAAATGAGAATCCAACCTGACAATCATTTGGAAACGGAAAAAGTATATATATTAACAATAAATTATTCAACATCTCAACTAACTGAAATGAAAAATAGAGAAATTGTATTACTTAAGATTAAGGCTATCGTTTTATTCACGAGCACAGAAACACGTTATTTATGTTAATTTATGCTACCGCACATGCAATTTATGTTACTCCTAGTTTTATAACCTTATTATCCCCCAAAAAGTACATTCAAATTTTTATGGTCTGTATTCCCTTAAAATTTAGGTGCACATAAATTGAAAGTGTCAAAAATTTGGATAAGATAGCGTGCAAACACCAGTGAATTGTACACATATACGCAAGTGTACAAATAACTCAACCTCGTGCAGAAAACATCAATCATAAAATTTCATTTCCAAATATTAATAATGCAACAAAGCAAAAAATAATAGCACAAACCTGAAATCCTTCAAGAGGAGTTTCATAATGCAAGGGATGATTGACTCTTTCCTTGATGATATCTCTAAGGTGTTTAGCATAAGTACTCATGAAATCCACTCTTTGTGGGGAAGTCTTGAGTGCGGTTGAAACCTTGGCAAGCCGATTAGCGTACTTGCGAGCAGCTCTGTCACATATTTCCTCAACATCTGGAGATGTTAGCCCTCCATTCTTGGTGAAGAATTTCAGGCCGTTCCTTGTGTAAGGCAAGTGTGAAGCTGTCATCTGCAAAGGCCATCATATATTGCTTTTGTTAGAGTTTGTTAATCTCTAGCATTTTTATTATATACCTTATTACAAAGTATGACTCAAAATCGGGTTTTTTCCGTCTCATCTATAAGGTACAATTTCTTTAAAATTAAATTTTGTTTAAAAATTATGTGATTTAGATAGGATAGAAGGTTGCACTAATTCCTTGGCTAAAAGATAATACTTATAGTCACCAAATTAGATAGTTTGACTACTTGAAGGGAAATAGAAGGAAAGGAAAAAAAAAAAAAAATTCTTCCATCAACTTTTGCAAGTGGTTACTTTTTATATCAGAGTTTGTTAATTAAAATAACGTAAAAGAAATAAATAGGATGTTCATTTTCAGACAGAAAAAGTATATATATATATATATATGTAGAATACCATAATTGAAGCATCATATTGAAAAGGAGGCAACAATGTACTCATGAAACAAGCCGGAGTAGTGGCCAATCCCATGTCAAAAGCAAGACAACCTGCCCGAGAAAGTCCCGCAAAAACAGCCACACTCAAAGCCGACCCTGAAATTCTAGGGTCACGCCCGAGTGATACCCTAACATTCTCAACTTTTCCACCATTTTTTGTCTCTTTCTCCAACTTCTCCACCACCCATTCACCGAAACTTTCGGCGATCGCCTCCACCGCCGGAGGCGTTAAGTCGACCGTCCGCCCCTTTTCGCCTTGTAGAGCCACCCCGCGGACGTCGGAGCCGTTCTGTAGCCTCCTAATTTTGTCCATCTCTTCATCATGCACAACCACCTCATTGTAGTTGGCTGTGCTTGAAGATTCTACTCGAAGAAACGTTTTATTTGATGGGAGTGAGTACAAAATATTCAGGTTTATGGATTTGGGCTTATTTGTTGGAAATGTTGAAGATAATGGGGAGTTTATTTTTGAAATTAAGGTTTGAGGAGATTGTAATTGTGCTGTGGAAGCCATTTTTCCTTCCCTCTTTCCCTGCAGAATTGGCACTCTTAGTTTTGTTTCAATTTGATATTTTGTTTGAGAAATTGAGAAGAAGAAACCACAACCGAAGATAAGATATTAGTGAAGAAATTTTGGCCTTATATGTTGCATGCATATGTCCATGCAAACTGTAAAATATCTTTAAAAATCTTACACACTAAGAGCCAAAAAGTTCTTAGATTTTTGTTTTCGTGTAAGGATATCTTTTTTTTTAATGGATATTTGAATTAAACATAAACAGCATATTCCCTCCCCTCCCGATATCAATATCGCTTTCAGGTGATGAATTTAAAGTAATCAATAAACACTTCGTTCAAGTGATAAATAATCAAAAATATTAGGTAAGTTTAATTATGATACGAGTTCGAACTCGCGAATAGAAAGCAATAATTAAAATATTTGTTGATAAAGTTTTGTTTCTCGACAAAAGTTTATCCGGCTCAAATCTAAATTAGAATGAAAAATAATTTTAGAAACCTATTAAGTAACAAAAAAAATTAAAATGATATAATATTTCTCCAAGTCTAAAACCAAATGCTTCAAAGTCAATGTAATATGAGTTCGCTTCAGTTGTGAGGCAGTGTTGTTAAGCTCGGCTCAGACCGGCCAGTTGAACCGGGTTAACCGGGAACCGGAGCTCAAGCCGAGCTGAGCAGGTGATAAAATCGTTTAAATAAGAGTCGGTCAAAACTGGTCAAGATTCCGGTTAAATAAAAAATCAGTCTAATCCGGGTTGAACTGGGTTTTGACTTTTGAGCTCATTTTTTAAATTTTAAAAAAAAATTTGTACTACTTTTGAGGTTTATTGAAGCTGATTTTTCACTTTTAGTCCTCAACTAGGTTCCTTACACTTTTAATGACCCCCTAACTTTTATAATTGTAAATTCAAACTCTTAATTTTAAATTTATAAGTCTAAATTTTTGGATTAATCATTCATCCCACATCATACCTATCAAATTGAGTTATAATCATTATTTAGAACAAAAATTAAATATTTATAACTCAAGCAATATTGATCATTTTAAACTAAAGTAAAGAAAAATTATAACCAAATATATTTTTAAACATGCAATATATTTTTTTAATTGATAAAAGTCAATAATGTATCAAATTTATTTATTTTTTTAATTATAATAAGAGTTAATTTAAACTAATAATTTAGCTAATGTCATAATTTTGTTTTATCAAAGCCCATTTGAAAGTTATGAAGCACTAATATGATTTTAACAATAAACAAATGTATATAAAAATTATAAAATTTTACTAAAATATATTTTTTATTTATTAATATTTATTACGTCATTATGACGTCATCCGAGTCAATACCCGAGGCGACCCCCGATTCACTCGACTTCTTACCTGTGCCGAGTCAAGCTCCGGTCCGAACCTGGCAACACTGTTGTGAGGTCCTTTTAAGTTTTAATTTTTAAAGGTTTGCAATTAATTTTATATGTAGGTTGTCGACAGTAACTGCAAAGCACTAGGGGTGTGATGATGGTACACGGGCACGACGAGTTAACGACACATTTGGAAATCATACAAGAATTGTTCGACGTATATTAAGAATTTTGTTAGTAAGAATGCGCTGTGAAATTAAAGCATATCTATGAAAAATCGCAATTTCTCAAAATTTTTGGCATTTCAGGTGTAGACAAGTAATTTGAAGCTTATGAACTTCTTATTTAAGTTTCATCGTGGCTGCAATATAAATACATAATGTAATTAGAGTTTCACTTCCTTTATTGTTATTTTGAAGAGAAAACAAAAAAGTTGTGTAATATCTTCTTGAGAGGATATTGGAATATTCTTGAGGTTAACAACGTGGTCATCAAGAACAATATATCATAGTTTGAGCATTTTCATTAGCAAAGCACATTTCTTTTAAGATATTTTCTACCAAGGAATTGGGTTTTATTGGTCTCCCATCCACTCTAAACCAACAAGTAATGAAACTCTAGTACACGTAACGATCAAAGTAAACTATAAAAATAAGTTGGACAGTCATTTCAGAACAGAAAAAAATATTTGTTTAGATCAAATAAATACATAACTGTAATATCATTACACTTCGCATTAGTAGCGAGTTCCAATAAACCTATTATATTGTTCTCCTAATTACTCCGTTAATGAGTAATATTTTTTTTCCACCCCTGACAGGCGTCAGGCGGAATTTGCATTATTATTTATACACATAAACCTTAACTAATAGAATTCCACGGGGCTTTTCAAACCGGGGAAATCGAGCCATTCGATTTGGATCTCTATTTCACCACATTCAACATTTCTTAACTTCAGGTACATCTGTTGAGCCATTTTACCCCTGTTCCAGATAATGGCACTCTCTTTGGAGAGGCAATTGTTCTTGGCTGGTTGAACCCTATCAACTTTAGTACCATCTGGGAGTTCTCTCAATCCCATTTTCAAGCACTCCAAAAATGGTTTTATGTTTACGTCAGCATCCCCCATCTCATCATCTTCCGTGAATGTGTCTTTATCGAACACGCGCTGTGACATACCAAGAAAAAAAAAACCCACGATTATATTTTTTCCGTCAAAAATGACCTTTTTTTTTTTTTTTTTGCACTGAAACAGCATATGATGGAATAGAAGAATTTGCCAAGCACATGAACAACCCATAACAATGTTGTTCCCCACAAGAACGGCTATTAATCAAGTTGCTTACCAGAGTAATTGGGACATTGGGATCCTTGAGTGGAAGAGTCAAATTTTCATTCCATACTGGTTGGCAATTTTTGGGCACCACACTTGTCCTTACTTTCTGCAAAAGAATACACAAGTTCACATCATGAGTTGAAGGTATTTCGGGCATTTTCCATATATATCATTCTTTCCGGTTCTTTTTCTAAGTCGCAGTTTTAAATGAAAACAAAATCTAGAATTTGCGTATAAATTAGCTGCATTTGTCGCGTAAATAAAAAAAAATGCGTATAAAAATTAATGAAAATGAAAGCGAAATGAACATGTAGCTTTGTCTCACGAAATTTATCATCACCCTCATTTCGAGAAAGATATATTTAGGTTTCCGGTACAATGAAAGAGATAGTAATAAAGTATAGAACACGGACCTGGCCGGCATGGCTGATGACAACATAAGGGTCACTCGTATGACTAACATGGTCACGAACAGCGAGGTTGATTCCCCTACGAACCTGAATTCTAAGAAGGCCAACAGAATTCATAACCGTCATTTTCCCAGTATATATATAGATGCAGCCTCCCCAGAAAACAAGACGAAAAGAAGAAAAGAAATGCTAGCCGCGGTAGAGAAACAGAGAATCAATGGCACTTAGAATTAAGCTTGATTTGATGTGTATGCATGGAATGGAAGATGTAGGAGAACTTGGATGACTTGCCTCCTCACGATGTAGAAAAACAAGGACAACCCATTCCAATCATTAAGTTCATAAATTTTTGTATAATATTTTAGATAATAAGTATGAAGGAGATACGGTTAGAAAATGAACAAGCATTTTTACCCACAAAATAATTAAAGAAAAACAAGCATATATCACCGCGTTAGCCGCGCGGTTAAGGTCTTAAGGTCCAAATTTTTTTCTTATATTATATTTCTAAGATAGAAAAAAAATAAAATAATAATAAAATGTAAACCACGTTCATATTAAAAATTATGGACATATTTATTACTAGCTAAAACTTGTTTCAGAATGTTTAATGCTCACAACTACGGGAGTTGTTGAAGGCGAATTTTTTAAAAAAAAAAAAAAGAAAAGAAAAGAAATAAAGAAGAAAAACATAACCATTAGGCAATTAAAAAAACGAGGAAAGATCTCATCATGAATGAAAATATATCATACTTTTAGGAAGTGGAATAAGATGGAAATATATAATTTGCTACTTACATGAATCAGCATATAGAATAATGAATCCGTAAAAAAATAAAATAAATTGAAATCGCAACCAAATCTAAAAGAATATATATCACAATTAATAGTTGGATTTTTTTTTTCAATATATATAAGAAATAGATAAATTTTGTGCTAAATTTTTTATACAAGTATAAAGGAGATTTTAAATTAGAAAATAAAAGTGGAATTAACATTAATTAGGAGCATTGGGCTTGTTGGGTTTGGGAGGTTTCCTATTGGACCTGGTTACAGAGATGTAATTGTTAGATTGGATATGAAGATGATTGGATTCTGGCATCCATTCCCATCAAATTCATTTGGATGGGATATCTGTGAATGACTGCAATGTTAATGGGCTATACTAATCCATTGTGGCGATTGGTGAACAAAGAACAAGTCAAATTGCGGTCAAATCCAAAAAAAAATTAATATAATACGCACTTAGTGTACATAAATTTTAATTCCAAACCTTCAAAATAAAAAACCACTAATTTCTCCCATTTCCTAAATTAGAAAAAAATCTAATAGTGATTTCAGTATTTCAGTAGTAAAAACAAGTTAGTTCATGGAGTTTAAACCCAATGAATAATCGTTGAAGACAGACAAAAATCTTTTATATTAAGTTGTAATAGTAAAATTTTCTGATGCGTGACAGAATCTCTAACATTCTACATCTTAATTTCTTTTAGTAGAAACATATAGCAGCAATAATACATAACAAGCAAACAAGAAAACAATATGCACATACATTATGTCATACATAGGACCGGCGTATGAGAAGTCGAAGTGGTTGTAAACGTTGGTCCTCTGATCAAGCACAAAAATTGTCTGAAATATGGTTTAAATAGGGGGGGAATTTGATCGGAGATTTATATAAATGATGAAAACCCCAAAAGGGGAGGGGTTATGGGAATTCCTTTTGTAAAAGTAAGTTAAATGTGAAGAAGAAATGGAAAAGAGAACTAGGAAGAATATTGTCCTCATTTTTTAGAAAAATAAGGAAAATCACGTATTCAAAAAAATATTAATTTTATGTTAACCGTTTAACTATGGCCCTAGTTGGCTTACTTTTTTGACTATCTAGAGGATTTTATCACCTTGCTCCAAACAATGGAAGATTCATTCTCATTATCTAATTCTTAGTTTTCTAGAAAGACCAACGTTTCTTGTCTTTTTGACATAACAATTTTTAAGAACATAAATTCAGAGATCAATCATTTATTTGAGGGATAAGAATTAAAATTTCTTATGTAATGTGGTTGTTGCATGATTGTTCGTTATTCAATTACTACAATTTCATCCCTTTAACATTATTAAGTGTACTGTTTGTGGTGAGTTGTATACTCTTCGTGAACTAATCATTTACTCCGTGGAAAATATGAAAGGCTGCACTATTTCAAACATTATTTTTCCATAATATTTGTCAACCATCACCAAACCACTTCCATCACCGGCTTACACCGCCGGCTAACCAAATTCCAGCCGACTTGTCAGAATTTGATCAGACGGCCTGCCGGTGGTGAAGAAAAAATTAGTGTCGATGGTCACTAAATTATTATAAAGTCTTTAGTTTGATCACTGTACTAATTTGATTTCATAAATTGTCACTTACTCTAATAATCACCAAATCAAAAACTAAATTACCTTTTAAATCTCCTCCTAAATCCAAATCAAAAATTAAACAAAACGTTGTCCAAACACCAACTATATTTTACAAGTCAAGTTTGAGGGTTATTTCAATTATTTCAAGAGTCAACTATTAATTGCCTGGGGAAGCTACCTTAATGGACTTATACAACCTATAATACCTACCATAAGGTATTGGATAGGAAGATTCCATTATCAACTCGCTTTTTCTTCTTTCCTGAAGGACCATTCATCAACTTGTTATGGCATTTAATTAAATTTCCGAAGCAAAGGGACGAAATATCACACAAGAAGGAAAACAGTGCAAAAAGAACGTGGGAATATGAATAGTTTAACACTCGACAACCCAGCTGCCCGTACAAATATTTCATCAATATACATGTGCATTACTGACACCATATGATTGATTGAGACTTTGATTAATTATGAACAAAGGGGAAAAAAGAAAAAAAAAATCTACAATTTGCAAAAGGAAAATACTCCCTCCGATCCATAATTATTGTCCAGTTTGGATTTTTATTTTTAGTTTAAATTGTACTAAAAGTGAAATCTCAAACTGGACAATAATTTTGGGACAGAGAGAGTAGAAGTTATCAGAAGTATATAGTTTCCTCAATTAATCACACCTTCAGAGCAGAAAAAACAGTACCTTATGAAGATACCTTCTTAATGTTTGAGCGAAAATTGAACATAATTTTACGTCACGGGTATGTTAGATTCTGAAATTTGTTGAATCAAATTGGTCACTCCACTCTTTGCTGTTGCAGAATACCACGTGATTCGTTGAATGAAAATAAAAACACATGCTTTTGGTTTTGGAGGATCAAGTTGTACATTTACTACTATTATTGATCAGCTTTATTCCCAGGGAGAAAAACAAAAAAAAAAAAAAATACGCACAGCAAAATATTATTCTCATAGTTTATATTGATCAGCAGCTGCTCGTATTGACTTTAGTACACTCGAGTCCGTTGAAGGAAATGTCCAAATCAATAATACTACTCCTAATTCAATGAACAGCAAGAAGAAGGCATGATATATGCTCCATAACTTATCAGCCCACTTCTCAATTTGACCATCTCGAACAATTTTTCTTTCTTTTTTTTTATTATTTTTTAAGCAGAGCAATGCCCATCATTTACCTACTTAATTGATGATTTTTTAGGCAAAGGAATATCCTAATGGTTGTTTCCTCAAGATTCCAAGAAGACCCAAAAAGAAACAGACACAGCAAATTGATGGAGGAGTAAACTTCTCCATGAAAAACTTGGGATTTTACTTTTCTTTTTTCTTCCTGCCTAGATTGGTTTGGTTATTTTTGTGCATAGAGATATTTTGGGTAAATATAGATCGTTGTTGCTTACTCGTGAAATATGACTTTGGATTGCATCATTCCGTCCATAACATAAATGACTTATCAAACCAGGAAAAGGGGGACATATGAATCAGAACCCCATGTGTAAACAAGATTTGATTACCACGTTAGGCTGATCAGTGATCAGTCGTTATCTCATCAATTGCCTGCAAAAAAAAGATTGGATCTTTTAACCTGTTCTGTCCACCGATATTGTTTTTCTTTGGAAAAAGAAATAACCTTTACGTGCCTGCATTTAATAAATAATTCAGTCCCGTGTTGTGTTATTCTAGGGATAATTATGAAGTGAAAGGAATAAAAATCACTCTTATACCTATTTTAATAATCCAATTTATGTTATCATTTGAACTTAGCATATTATTATTCGACTATTAAATTTAGATGGAAGGAGATGATACCACTATAGTAGTCAGCAAACAGTAGTACAGCTACTATAACGCCCATGCTGGGCTACTACTACCAGAACAAGGGAAAGAGGAGGGAAAGAGGAGGGAGATGAAGGATGAGAGGCAGTAAAGAAGGCGGGGGATAAGAGTTTTGTTCTTCCACACCAATATCCGCCCTTCACATTATGAACAATACTAATGTTGGGAGTTCATGATTTAGCTGGTTTTATGTCGATTACGCGTTAGTGTCACGGACAGTTTTTCTTCCCCTGGTTTGCTGCGAAATGGGTTATTTTCGTAGACGGACATGGGACGGAACGGTCTAGAGCCTTGTGGAATTCTCCGGTCAAATCTTGAAGACTCTGGAATTCTCTTGAGAGACTCGAAATTCTCTAGAAATGGGTGGAACCGTGTGGAAGTTACCCGGGTTTGCTAGAACCGTGTGAAAGATTCTAGAGACTTATAGATATTTTGGACTTAGAATATTTTATGGTAGGAATTCTCTAGAATTCCATTATTTTATTATATACGTAGAATTCTCTAGAATTCTTTGGAACTTGGGGTTTGCCTATAAATACCCCATGCCCCCTTCATTTGTAAACTATCTTTTGTTTGAGTGAAGCATTCTCAAGCATACTTCAAGCTCTCCGTTCTTTCTTTATGCCTACATCGTTCTTAGCTTTCTTTGTCTACGTTCTTTGAGGCTTTGTCTAGCTTTGCACGAATTGTGGGTCTTAAAGCTGAGCTAGCACGTTCTCGTTGGTTGTTTAAGTGCTAATGCCGCACGGTCGTTACTTTGAAAAAATAAACCCGTGACACGTTAGGATATTTCTAGTTTTATGTCGATTACGGTATTAGGATATTTCTAACTATGCAATTCCTGGATCAAAAGAATGCTCCCTCTATCTCAAAATTAATAATTATAGGATGGAGAGTGTATAACAACTAGGGTGCTTAATCCCACAATAAATTCATTGTCAGGAAAAGTTTATGAAATTTAGAGCATAACTCGGAGGAGGTCTACATAGTATCAACATTGAAAATATTGAAGATCGCGCTGACATTTGCAATGGGTACATAAAGATCGACACAAAAAGCTCATTCATAAAACTCGCAAATTCATTCACCAACAATGTCGAATGGAATGAATATCAGCACCGAAAAGCTGACATTTTAGGGAATTGTCACACTAATAAAACAACACCAGAGGGCAAAAACGAGCAATGACCCTGCCCTTATTACATAATCTTAAAACAACTGAAACCCGTTTTCTTAAAAGACACAAAGAAACAGCTAAACATCCAACAACCAGCATCTTGACAGACACCAAAAAGCAACAGCAGCTGGAACAATCTCTTAATAGCCCAGAAAACATCAAGTTCCTTAAGTCTACAGCTGCCGGCGGCATTATTTAAAAGCTTCAATAATAATTCTTCAATGAGAGGGAACCTTCAGGTTGTTGTGTGATTTGTGGAACCAGGACTTCCAAATTCCAGAGCCAGAGCTCTTCCTAGTGATTGGAGCAACCGGCTTTCCAGCATCATCGGTCTTCTGCTCCTGTGGCTTCTTGCAGAGCATGAAGTTTCGGAACCCGAGGGAACCAATTGTCTCCCACGGACTCAAAGCTGAAAGAGAATACCAATTGAACATCAGTAATTTAGCCCAACAATTCTGACTAAACCAAAACCACATTCTCATAGCAATGCAAGCATGTTCGTTCAGAGCTTCAATTGAAACAGACAGAACACAACACAATTCATGGATATCACAACTAATTCATCTCAATACAAATGAAGCAACCAATTAAAAAAAACCAATCCAGCAGCCAAACATGCCCAATTCCAGATACCACATAACAATGAGAGACAAACAAAAAGGGATAAATGTGGCACTAATTCAAATAATACAGCAAAACAGGAATTGGTTCAATTTACCTTCAGTTGAAGCACATGGGCAATAAAGCACGAAGTTGTCGAGATTGGTGCCAAGAACAGGAAGGCGACCCTCGCGTGCGTAAGATTTCAGAGCGGTATCGATGACAGCAGCTACAAGTTCCCCTTCGCTGACCACAAAACGGATCGGCCCGGCCGAACCCAACACCGTAATGCTTATCAATAGCCTATTCCCCTTGGCCGCCGCCGCCGCCGCTGCCTGGCTCTTCTTCTTCTGCAGCAACATCTTTCTAAATTTTTTTTAAAACCTTTTTTCTCCCAAATCAAAAGAATCCCAAAAAGATCTACCGGAAAGATCAGAAAAAATTGAGCGAAAACAATCGGAATAATTTAGGGTTGTGGATGAATTATTGAAGAAAAACAAAAATTAGAAAAAGAAAAATCCCAAAATTGTAATCTCGGAAAATCGGTCTACGGGTCGACGCCGAGGCAGCGGTAGTACCAGCCTTCTTTGCAGCAACCGAAACCGAACAAGAAGGAAGCCAATGAAGAAGAAGAGATCCCCCTTCTTGAATGAACAAGGGAGATCATTAACAGATCACTAGAGATTTCCACCATTCACAATAACCCAGATGAGGAAAAAAAAGGATCAGATAAAGGGATTGGGATTTCGTATGAAAATCAACATACAAAGAACACCGAATTCTCTCCGGCAAAATTGATCGGAAGAACGGAATAGAATATAAAAATAATGAAGAAGAGATAGGGAGGTTTTCTCTGGAGGAGGAGGCGATGAAGAACGAAGGTTGGGGAAAAAGGCAGAAGACTTTTATAGTACTTGCGAAGGGAAACGAATTTTAATTAGGGTTGTCTAATTTAACTCTTAACAAACAGTTTTTTAATCGTGTTGTTTCTTGTTTTCCTTTTTCCTTTGTGGTTTATGAGTTGGGATTTTAATAATTTTTAGATTTTCACTTGGAGTTGGGTTTTCTGTTTTGTTTCTGTTTTTTTTTTTAATAAAAAAATTATTTAATGCGTTGTTTTTATATATTTTGGAGGTTTGTCGAGAAAAATGTGGGTTAATATCAGCCGACCCTTTCCACGGTTTAGCTTTAACCCGCCGCCTTGGCTGTTTTTTAAGGAAATTATAAGAGACGTAGGGAGTTTTTGGTTTTTCAGTTAATGGAAAATAGAAAAGGAAATTGGATTTTTAGTATTAATTCGTCACAATGCATTTTTTTTAAAATTCTTATTTTAATTTATTAACCTTTTTTATTTTGTTAAAACATTTAATACAGATTTTTGAGTAGTTGTTGTCAGATTAAGACATCAAACATATCGTGACACTTCGATCCAGCTGAAAAGAGGGACAATCGTAATACATCTAGAAAAAAGATGCATATAGTTTGCAATGGGTTACCAAGCGATTTCATAAAAAGCAAAAAAGAACAAAAATCAGAACAAGCTCTTAATAATAACTATCAACATGATAAGAAACAATTAAAATATTGTCACTTTCGTTACAACGATCATTATCTCACTTCACTGTATATAATTTCACAAAATATATCATTCTTACAAAAAGTAAAAAAAAAAGTGATACTCTTGAATGCTCATGTCAAATGAATATCAAAATGAAATGATATAAAATGCTCTAAAAACTAGTATTAATATTTCATCATTTTGTATGTCAGTTATATCATTTCATTATGTATATACATGCATTTTATTGTCACCACTTTTTCTTTAATCATAAAATTTGGATATTTGCTTAATCATAACCTCATATTACCATAAGTGTGCTGTTTAGTCCAATTCTCTAAGCATTCTACCAAACAAAATTCCTTTTAACCCAAATCCAAGTTTCAACCCAGTTTTTACCAAACAAAAAGAGCCCAGGTCCCATGGAAAAATCCAACAGAAATGAGAACTCTATCTAAAGGCCCATTTTATTATTATTTGTAGATGTCCAATTCTTGGAGCATATAAACAACGCACCGAATAACAACAGAGTTGGATTGATAATAAATCAAAGGAAACCTCAGAAATTGATATATGCTTTTTATAAGCGCTCGAGTCTTGAGATGTCGAAAATCAAATTCTTAGATTAAGTACATGCATTGCAAGAAAATTGGTTCAACTTCTTCTAATGTGTCTATCCTCTTTTCTTTTTTCTTTTTTTTTTATAAAAAAAAGTAGGTTCCGCAACGAGATCTCCATCCAAATGACGCGTGTGGAATAATTTTATTTTTTTTTTTGCTCTAGAAATTATATCAGACGCTATCACTGTTTGCGAAGTGAACTATTGATATTAAGTGTAAATTAGCCCGAATATTTTAGAAGGAAAATCACATCAAAGACTAAAAAGTCAGTGAGTTTCCCGACATGTCCAACTATTGACATTGACCATCCACCAAAACCACAGAGATGAGAACCACCACCTCTATGGTCGCCTATCTGATCTCCTTCCGAAATCTGTGATCCTACAACTTGCGGCTTCATCCCATAATAATTACAATACATTGTGTTGTGGGTACGAGATTGTTACACTTGATTTAGGATTAGAGAACATTTGTTTGAAACCTCCAACAAAGATATATGAATTTCCGATAGTTACAATTAGTCAGTTATATATAATCCTTATCATTCCACCTAACCCTTCCATCTTAGCGCAACACCCTCTTAACAACTAACAAGGTTTCACATGAAATCGCTCTAGTTTTCAGAGGTTATGCATGCAAGAGAAAAATTGACCCAAAGAACTCATCGTTGTCAAATTTCATTGGAAAACTTGTACAGACGACTTGGTGTTCGATGGTTACTATCTTCCATCACAGCTGATGGAATTTTAGGTTTAGAAAACATAATAATGCCTTCCAAAACAAATGGCAAAGTTCTTCAGATACTGTTTGTTTCTAACAAGGTCTTTGCATCTAATAATTTCCCTCTGTCACTGTTTACTAAACTATTTTTGTATAACAAATAAGATTCGCTTTTTGATATGGACAAACTAAAATTCACTCAAGTTTATGTTTAGATCATTTTTTTTAATGTGTGTTTTGATGTGTATTTTGCACGAAAATGTGAAAATGTATATTGAAATGTAAAAGATATGATGGGATGGGACAATTAAAAAAAAAAAAACCCCATAAGAAAAAGGAAACCAACAGAGCCTATGCAACATGTTTGATTGCAGTTGTATGCTGAGTTTACTAGTTCAAGAATAGATCATATGTAACATGTTAACTTTGGAAGAGTTTAAGTTTGACATGGCTTCTTGGCAAGCAAAATCTCAAAGACACATCACAAAAATCTTTGAAGGTGAAGGGGAAAAGAAAAGAAGGCAAAGAATTCCAAACTAAAAAGGGCATGTGGGCTTTGAAATGTTTTTATACGATGTGACCTCTCCAGCTGCAAGTGGGCATATTATGCATGTATGGGGCCTCAAATGAAAGCTTAGATACCTAATTTACTAGCCATTTAAAGGATTGATTAGTACTTAAATTCATATTAATATATTGCTTGTTTCAATTTGTAGTATATCAATTTTGCTTAACTGAGAGGCAATCCAATGTTACTTCTCAAATCATTTCACATTGTTGTGCGTTAATCAATTAATTTATGGTCCAATCTAATGTGTTTATAATGGGCTTTTGGTTGATTCAATGCTTTTGTTCATAACTGGTCCTTGAAGATTTTGGTGCTTTTCTTTTGGGCTAATTCTTGTCAATCTTATGTTTACATTTCTCAAAGTTCTCATCATTTCTTATCAGCATTGTCCTTCTCTTGTCTTCTGGCACATCATGCTACAATTTTTCCATTCAGTGGTTGATTGAATCGGCATTTCAACCTCTACCATATACCATGAGAATATTCATACAACATATGAAACCAGCTGTTTCACTTGCTCTGTTCCAAATAATGTTATAAACATGGTTATTATTTTAGGGCAAAAAAAGAAAATCTAAAATAATGAAACTCAGATGAACAAAGTAAAGAAAAGAAAGAAAAAAAACAAAAAAAACAACGTCATAAGAGCATCTTAGGTTGAGTTTAACGTTTCCAAAGCCAAATTGAGTTTGGTACAAATCATCAACTGAATACAACTACACAAGTATATCACGTTTAAATATACCACAATACCTCGTTTATCAGAAATGATTTCTATAATGTATGGTACAGAAAGTATAATTCGTGTTTTGGAACTGATGGAATAAAATTCGATGTAGAGTCAAAGTTGGGTCCAGCCCGCCATAGCACTCCTCTTTTCAGTTTCAACACCTTTCTCAAAATTTCTCTTTAGACTAATTAGAGTTCATGATCATCCTCACCGAGACAGCGACCAAAAATTCTCGGATACAAGAAATTCATGCACAATATTATATTTAATACAGTAACTTGTTTCTACTGCTTGTGCCTTTAGGAAAATATTCATGACCTCCTGTCATTTTCTCCATCTAATTAGGTAATCCTGGTTATCTATCCGTAATTTTCAAGCACTTTTCTTTCCCTTTTCTAAAATTGTACATATCTTCAAGGGGAAAAAAAGAAAAGAAAAGAAACGAAAAAAGCTTCTCTTTCAATTAAGTTTTCAAGTTGAAAGCTATAAAATTCAAATTGGTGAAATCACATCAATGATCTATCTGCAATGTACAATTATCTTTCTGGTATATATGATAATACGGTCGCCAAATTAAAATCGAGTTTTCAATAATTTTAGTTACACATGCGATACATACTAACATGAAAAAAAAATCACAACATATTTATTACAAACTACAATAATGAAGTGTTTGAAATATGGATAATCGTTCACTAACTTTACTTAGTAAAACAATTAACTTATGAAAAGTGAAATCGAATCCAAGTAATACGTTCTGTAGATTGTGCATGTCTTTGGATCGAGTGGAAAAGGTGTTATAATTACATAAATGATGAATTGATTTAGTTGCGTCATTTCTTTTGGCAATGGTCGATACAAGTGACCTTTGAAAGATGGAAGAATTAAACAAGTCAAATTTAACTCTAAAGTGGTAACCTTTTTTTTCCCCCGAGGTTTCTTACGTTTGGATCCTATTGCCAATGAATTTCGAGGATAGTGAATATTTAGTGATTCAGGTTACAAAAGTTTTCACTAACTTTTGTAAAGGTTTTAAGTTTCAATTACGAGTACTTGGTCCAAATGATAAAAATACATAATTAATTTATTATGATATATAACTGTTCAAATTCAAACCATACAATAGCGATTATATTATTTATTGAGAGAAATTTGCTTCCTGAAGGAAACATACATGTACAAATTTTAACTCAGGTTGATCGAAATAATAATTATGGACAACCAACAAAATTTAAATAGTGTTATACACAGGAATTTAAATAGAGTGTGTTTGGATTTTTAAAAATGTAAAAATATACATATATACACCGAAAAAGGTTTCATTAACTTTTTCATCCTTTCTTTTGCGATGGTTCCTAATCTTCATGATCGTAACCTCATCGTAAATTCCACAAGGACCTTTAATATGTTGCCTTTTAGCATTTTCAGATCACTGGCCAGGAATAATTCTCTTGTCGTGGAATTGACAATTACTACTATAATTTAACCACTTTCTCGCTCAGTTTCTACGTCCTAAAAAGCCTTTGGACTTAATTAGGCCCATTCCAGCACAAAAGGGGAAAAAAAAAAGAGTACTAGAACCGTAGAAGTAATAAAGCAGAATTTATTCGTGCAAAAGTTTTTGACAATGTCCGAATTAAGCATAAAGGCAACTAAAGATACTGATTTCTTTTTTTCTTTTTTTTTCTTACGTTTTTTTGGTTTTCTGGTTATAGATACTGTTTTTTTTTTCGGTTATATATTATGGAAACTCCACTCTAGAAAAGTTGGTTAAAGGTTGAAGCTATATCTTATGCTTCGGAGCTCAAACATCGTTACAAAGCATTCGTTACAAATTCGCTAATAGTACTATAGTTTGTACTTTGTAGTCAATTTAAATTTCACATGGACATCATATTGTTACTATTATTATAATTTAAATTATTCTTTTAATGTATTAGCTCCTATACTTTCATCGAATATTTGGACGGCATATTATTGTTAACATCGATGTAGAGAATCACTAGGATTAAGATCTATCAAATTGCTTAGAAATGACAATGACACCTATAAGTACATGTAAATTGTTTAATATATTTTTAAATATTATATCTTATGATGATGGAGGTATTAACGATCCTTAATCGTCCCGCTAACGTGGCCAACTTATTATTAAAATTGTGTATGATCTGTAATTAATCTTGTAAAATATGGTTTGGTGATTACTCACATTATTGATCTTTGATGTGGACCTTCATTAAACAATAATTCTTAGACAGGTGGGTACATGAACAAGGCCAAGATTTTTTTTAGTTAATTATGCTTATAAAATCTATAATGTATATCGTCAGAATGAAGGTAAAATTCAGAGGTATTTGACCATTTTGACCAAAAATTTATCAAACACTAATCCCTCTGTCCCAAAATTATTGCCCGGTTTGGATTTTTACTTTAGTCGTAAAATAAAAATTCAAAATAGATAATAATTTTGGGACAGATCGAGTATCAGTAATGCTTTTATCAAAATTATAAGCCTTTTCTCTTTGTTTAAAGAACAAAAAATGAAAAAAGAAAAGTAGAAACGCGATAATTAGGAAAATGGGAGGATAAAATGTTACAACTGAAATAAATCATACTACCTCCGTCTGAAAAAAAAAAAAAACAGTCCATATTGAATTTTCAATTTATACTAAAAACAGTATAAAACTCAAAACTCAATGTGGACTATTTTTGTGGGAGGAAGGGAGTATTTCATTTACTAATTACCCATTAGGTGAAGTGTATTCTTCTCTACCGAATATGCTAATTAAGAAACTAATCTGAATTATAATCAGCCATATGGAGAATTGGAGACCTGCTAGAGGTAGGTGCTTGAATGATTACTCTTTGCTTTTGTTTAAGAACAAAAGATATTGGTGAATGATAATAATCTCGCATAGTTAATAACTACTAGAACTAAATTAATTGTTTATCGACTATGACTCCTTACATCACATGAAGACCGGCCGGCAGGCCGGCAATGGGATCAATTTAACATTGATTAAATAAAAGCAAGTTCTGTACCATCTCATTGCCTCTTAAGTTGTTGACATTTTTGCAAATCATTGTTTTTTTTAGTTTACGCAGAAGTTGGGGATATAATGGAAAAAGGCACATTCCCTTCTAATAGGGTATAAACGACTGAATCTCAACCAAATATTTTCTCCAATCACAAAGTTGACTTAAATTTGAGACGATTTTCAAAAATGCAAAATTTGAAAATTGTAGTCACAACCGCTTGTCAAACTAACCAAACCATGCTACACCACTTGAAAGCTAGAGAGAAAAAAAGTCAATGTTGTAATAAACTCGAAAATATAACAAACTCGTCGAATCAAAAAAATTATGCTAACTAAATCGTATTACACCATTTGAACTCAGAAATTTTATTTTATTTTTTAAAAAAAAAAAAAACCAATAACAACAATAAACTCATCGAATTAAACATGATAAGGGAACTATGTACCTTCAAACTTGACCTAATTTCATCTTTCTTAAACTCAAGTTTGAGCTAGGATTGGAGTAATTTCTTATCATCTGTGGGCATACATGGTAAAGTGAGTAGAAAGGAGTTAGCATTCCTTAAGAAAAGTTGCGATCTTTTCCAATGTATTCTCAAAGTGTTTATACAACACACACTCCACAAATATCCCATTTTGCCATGAACGTCACACATCACAATCAAAGAATCCACAAAAACAACTAGAGACGCCCCATATCTTTTTATTAGGCAAAACGCTACATACTTATATATACACATAGATATTTCACCTTTTTCTTCAAGATTCACCCCTCAAAATGTTACATAATTCTACCCCATAAAAATGAAAAGGAGATATTCAATTTCAAAACCTACAAACACTGGATATGTATAACCATCTTAATAAAAATTCAAGAAAAACAAAATGCAACATCGGAGAGACAGATACACAATGTGGCCCTCGCAAAGGCACCTAAGCTAAAAGCAGAGACCCTGATCTGTGGTTCGTCCCAAAACTGAGTTAATCCGAGTTCCGATCAACTCGTCAATCGGCCCGTCCTGAGTTCCGATCAACTCGACAAGCCTAAGGACTGAGTTTCCAAGCCGAGGTGGCAATTAAGGGCCTTGTGTGCCATCCCAACATCAAACATCCATTGTTCTCCTCCACTCTATACCCATCCCCTCCAGCAAACAATGCCAGTAACATACTAGCCTGCTTAAATGCATTGGAACCCAAATGAACCGGCGTAAACCCGGATGACCCGAACCGGGCTCTCCATTGATCCAGAGTCTCATGCCTCTCAACCCGGTCAACCCCTTCACAAGCCACAACATTGCAGATCTGTTTCCCTAAATACACCTCAGACATCACCTTATCTTGATCGCTGATGACACCGCCGCTGCCACCACCGGAACTACCATCTTTACCGCTGCTGTTTCCTCCGCCGCCGCCACAGCCTTCTAAGGAATCGAAAAGGGTCGAGTAATAGTGTAATGACTCGGTAAACCGGTCCAAGAAAACAGGGCCATTGTGATTCGCTTCTTGTTCCACCACAGTCACTATTTCAGGCCTTAATTCTTTGATAAAGGTCAAAACTTTATCAATGGCACCGGGCCTTGCTAACAGTTGATGCAAATCGAAGATGGAATTAACAGCTACTGTTTCCCCTTCCCGTATATCAAACATGGATGCATCTAAATCAGCAATAGAATTAGCCACAAATCCTCTGTACTCGAATTCGACGTTAATGGTCTCAGCTAGTTGAGCCAATTTCCACCCAACTTCTTGCAAATGATCAGTGTTGTCATGTGAGGGTGGTCCAATCCCGGTTAACCTAAAACTAGGAGGACCACCTGGCCTCAAAGCCAAAGCTTGGAGTAAAGCTGGCCATTGCATACCTTGTTTCATACTAAAATCAATTACATGTACACGGGTTTTGCCATTAAATGCTTCCAGAATTGCCTGATTTGCAGTAAAATGAGCAAACTTTAAATAAGGGCAAGTTTCATAGAAATGCATCTGTAACATATCTGTGAAAGCGGAATCGTGTTGGATGGGAAGATAGACTCCATATATCCTTCTAGCCAATGCTTCGGCAAAATAAGTGGCTACTTTCCTCATAGCTCCGGCTTGAGACACAGCCAGCATCCCAATTTGATTAACCAAAGCCTCAGCCAATTTCAGGTTTTCCTGTTGGATGGCGTCAGCACAAGCCATCAAAGCATGGACAAGCCTAACCCCATTAGCCTGTGAATCAACCAGAACAACCGGCCTCGTCGTCGGCTCAACCGGACGGGGAGCCGCCGGAATTGATGTCCAATCTCCGGCGACGCCCATTTGAGAAGAGGGCTTCATTCTTTTACAAGGTGGAGGTTGGGCAACCGGTGAATGTGACCGGACCTGCTGAATTGGCGGTGTCTGGACCACCGGGACGGCCGGAGGTGGCCGGATTTTTTGAGGGTAGGCGGCGGTGCCGGCGATGGCGGTGAGATCGGAATCGAAGGAGGAATCGTCAAAAATCACATGACTGGTGGACAGAGCAGCACTTGAACTACAGTTGTCCAAGGAAGAAATCGTGGCTGCAGATGAAGAATCTGAAGGGTTGAGCTCGGAAATCATGGTTTCCAACCAAGAAGAAAGATCTGAAGGGTTGTAATGAACGGTTTCCGCAGCAAGATTGCATAAGCCATCGATTTCCCCATTGAACACATTCTCCAGCTGCTCAATCTTCTGGGCCACTTGAGCCATGTCGGAAGACCTAACGTTGTAGCCCAAAGCTGCTAAAAGCTCATCATTCTCGTCGACCCACATCTTCCCTTTGGTGGAATCGGTGTTTGAACTCGCCGTCGTGAAACAGCTCCCACTGGCGGAAGAAGTCGCTCCTCCACCGCCGGCAGCCCCGCCGGAGAAGGTGCTTTCTTGGGGTTGGGATGAAGTCCTTGGATATTCCCTCTTCATTTTGAGCTAAATAGCCTAAATTGATGAAAAAGAAAAAATTTTCTTACAAGTTTCAAGATGTATAGGTTTGAGGAATGGGAAGGAGGAAGAATCTGGGCATTGGGGATTGGGCAATGAAATTGTTGTTGGGGTTTGTGACTGTGTGAGTGTGTGTTTTTTTGGGGAGAACTGGAAGAAGGGAAAGAAATTGTAATGCGATTGGGGGAGGCTGAGTACGAATAAAGGAGAGAGAAAAAAAAATAAGAAAGGCTCGTGAAAGAAAGAAGGAAGGGGCGCAAGGACCAAAGAAAAAGAATCAGCCACACACACACTCACACACACAGGTAAAATATTAAGAAGAACAGATCAGACTACAGATTGGTTCTGTAATTTTTTAATCCTACTCATAAAAATTGTCATTTTCACAGGAATGCAATTAATCATCTGGTCAAATTGTAAATGGTACCCGAATATTCATTTTTTTAGCTTTGGTTTCTCAGGTTATGTTTTTTGCTCCATGTCCATTTATGCATTATTTGGGCTACACAGTTCACAAAATCAAGGTTTTTATTAAAAAAAAATCATCGTTAATGTACTTTTTTAGATCTTTTAACGCAAAAGAAGACGTTCTAAAAATTTTCAAATAGAGGCTTACTCCAACTTTCATTACAAATAAAGATTTCAAAAAAAAAAAAAAAGAAGTTTTCGATTTAGAGAAGTTCAAAACTCAAAAGTAAATTCAAAGTTTTAAAAACGAATGGCAGATAATATACGATAATCACAACACTAAAATACAACAATAATGGCAGTTTCTTTGATTCAAACTAAGTTAATGACAGTATGCTTTCCTAATTGATCATCATACCATTAATTACACCACGGTTACCAGCAAAACTTACCATATCTATCTGTTTTGCCCCCTTCCTAATTGTTAAGGAGCATTTACATTGGACTTGTCACATTTTCCACAAAACGGAAAAAAAAAAAAGAACTATTCCATCTTCCCAAAATTATTGTCTAGTTTCAGATTTTACTTTTAGTACAATTTGAACTAAAAATAAAAATTCAAACTGGACAATAATTATGAGACGGAGGGAATATAAAAATAATCTTAAACACATTAATTTTGTTATTTGTTTCAATTTTGCTTTGAGAAATACAGTAATTCACATTATAGTACTACATTAGACCATTGGACAAAAATGAATATTAGTATACCCGTGACTTTTCTAAGGTATTTTTTCTACAATTCCAAAATTTTTTCATGAATTTATTTAAATAATTAATTTCCCATTTTTAACCATTGATCTGTGATTATTTTACCTTAAATTATTTTTATTAATGTGTAATTATTGCTTCTTTCTCCTTTGTTTACAATTAAAAAGAATATAAATACAAGTGAATCGCTTCAGTAGAGGGGGAGGAGACATCCAGCCACGTGATTCTGACACGTGTACAGATTCCCCGAGTTTTGGCTAACGGGACCACCCGGCGTTGCGGAGTCGTTACCGTTTTCCTATTTATAGTACCCTTTGCCTATGTATTCCAAGCCATCCCCTATCTCTCTATACCTGACATTTGACAGCCTCCCAAATTTCTTTTTACCTTCCTCATCTTCCCAAAGTTAATAAAAAAATTTTATTCACCCCACCAAAAAAGAAAAATAGACAGAAACATGTTTACGCTATTACTACCTCCATTCACTTTTATCTCTCACTTTAAGGTGAATCTAATTTTTTTTTATTTGTCTCACTTCATTTACAATATAGTATTAAATACAAATTTTCAAATTTCACTCTATCTTTCTCTATTTTTAATAACATATGTATTAATGACAAGTATATTTTTTTTACACTCTAATTTCAAATTTTTATAGAATTCCAATACTTATATTAGAGGGTAAGAAAAACAATATACTCCCTCTGTCCCAAAATTTTTGTTCAGTTTAGATTTTCACTTTTAGTTCAATTTGTACTAAAACTGAAAATCTAAACTGAACAATAATTATGGGACGGAGGGAATACCTAAATTAAAATTTCAATCATTTGTTCCATAATAGTTATGCAAACTCTAAAACCACATATAAAAGTGAATGGAAATAGTAAAATTTAGTTACCAGTGGTGTTTGATTTTTTTATTCTGACAAACCTACAAAGTAAATTTTTGTTCTGTTAATTTGTTGGGAAGGCGTAGTTTTTTTATCCCTACTTTTACACACATGGTGATTTCCAAAAAGCTTACAACCTATTTTGATTCGATCCTCAATAATATATGAAAATGATATGCATGGATACTGGATAGTCAAATTGGATAATAACTCGTGTGGTTCTTGAAAAATATACATAAGTTTTTTTTAGTTGAGTTAGAGAATAGTACTCCTCTTGTCCTAAAATTATTCTCCAGTTTGGCATTTAAATTTTTGTACAATTTGAACTAGAAATAAAAATTCAAACTGGACGATAATTATGGGACGGAGGGAGTATGATGTTATATGCCTTCCTAACTGGATATGTGTTTTATCTCCTAATTCCGGCTAAGAAAATGAAATCGCCACCTAATAATATTAACTTTCATTTGAATATCTTCGTATATAGTAAAACCTATGTACCTGCTAAAAGTTTAAGCTTACGGAATCATTAATTTCATTCGCCAAGTTCCAAATACTTTTACAATCACCGCCGACGTGAGTGTATACATTGAAATGATTTATGAAACATTTATGCTGCATAAGTTATGCAACTCCGATCAAAACAACGACCTAAATCTACAAGAGAAACACAACATAAAAGGTGTTTTTTTTTTTTTTAATCCGTAAATGCGGCGAAATTTATCCCAAAATTTAACTTTACAATGTCATCAAGAAGTTGGAATCTTATATTTTATGATACATCCAATGTCCCTTGACATTGACTAGGTTTAGTTTTATTTTTTGAAAAAAAAAAAAGGGAGTAAACTGATAGAGAAATTTAAACGCAAAAATGCAAGTCATTGGTGTAGAGACCATCGAAACCTGGAATTTGGTTTGGGCAATTGTAACGTTTACTCATCTCAACATCCAAAAAGAAGCATCCACCCAAGAACCGGTCTCCAATTGTATCTTTTATTCCTTTATTCCAAAATTATTGTCCAATTTGAGATTTTACTTTTAGTATAATTTGAACTAGAAATGAAAACCCAAACTGAACAGTAATTATGAGACGGAGAGAGTATAATATTACTACTACTCTACTTAATTAATCTCATTTTCAGATTTCTTTTGATTCCCTAATTCAGCTTCTACATATAAAAGCTAATGAAGTTTCACCTCAAAACCAATTGATAATGAAGGGTTTATATACTGATACAAAATATTTTCAGACACCAATGTGGGATATATACTTCAACACTAGGATAACAATTGATGTTTGGAATATCAGCTCACATTTGAATTATATCAAGGACATTCACCAAGAAACTATATTTAGAAACCAAACGACAAATTGCTATGTGGACAAGGAGAATGAACGAATCATACTTGAATGTAATTGACATAATCAAGTCAGATAGTGAGTATAAGAAATCGTTTTTTTTTTTTTTCCAAAATAAAAAGAGAGTGAAATTTCATTAAATTGACAGGAAATTATTCAGCAAGGATGAATAGAGGATACGGTCATTAAAATTTTACAAAACGTACCAGAGAAATTGTATATAACTCTAGTTAAGTTGGAGATCAAAACGTAAATCTGATTCAAACTATAACATAAGGTGTACCAAAGAAGTTGGTCTTAATTTCTTTCATCTTTGAACGAGTCAGTCGTGGATGTGTTCTAACTCCAAGAGTAAACCAACATGATCCACCACATTTGTTTTCTCGCAAGGTTGAGCATTCGACTCATGAAATCGTTTTCAACGGAACAACGTCACAAACCACCTGAGCTACTATGTAAAACCTACATTTCTGATGATGGAAGTCATTTTGGTTTTTCTCCTGAGTCAAACTAACCTATGAATTTTATGTGACGGTTTTCTTTTTGATACCACGTATTTCTTTCTCTTGGAGTAATTATCCGAATAGTCCTTACTTCCTCTTTAACTCTTTTTTTCTTTTTCTGTTTTTTTTTTCTTTTGAAAAAACAAGATCCAAAGTACGTAGTTTTAAATAAGTAACTCATGAAAAGGAATGGACAATAATTTATTTTTTCTTAATGATTCCGGGACTTCGTTCCATCCCTTACTCGTGGAACCGCACGTGTGATTCGCTACAATTATAAGCTTTTCCTTCATCTCTTGCCTGAATGCCCTGAACATGCATATCTTCACTTTGAGTTCCTTCGAAAGTAATAAAATGTGTTTTCTAGATGTGTCTTAATGTAACCATTCATGTGGCTCATCACATGCACGTATGTGTTTCCCGCTTACATACTTCCTGCATTCCAAAATAATTATACAATTTCAAGTGAATAATTATTTAGAAATAAAAAGAAATATATTAATTAATCTGTTAAACCAGTTGATAATTGTAAGAATATTTCTTTCTACAATTTTGGATCAGTAACTCAAATATGTTTGGTCTAATGTCTCATATTAAATTGTGGACACTCAATGGATAGATATTATAATTTCAAACTTAAGAATGTACACGATGTGTAATGGGGCTACATTTGTTCTGGTGATTGTAACATTTCTTATAGTAATATCATTATCGGTTTTGATTTTTTTTTCCCCCTTATTGATGATAGAATTGAAGGAGCTAATCACACAATGACAAAACAGAAGACAAATCTCATTAACCAAATAAATGATACAAAAAGGGCCAAAAACACATCATTTCCAAAATGGATTATCATCAATCTTTTATATAATGATGCCACATGCCTCATGTATGTATGTTCATAGCTTTTCTTTTTCCTCTTTGATCAAATGATGATAAGATTGAATATTTCATAGGGGCGAAAAATAAAAATAAAAAATTTATTTCCACAATATTTATACTGGATAAAGAGCCGGCTAAGAAAGCCCGTACAATTTAGGAACTATTAATTTTTTGGAGGCACTACTACATTAAATATTTATGTAACATGTTATTTTAATTTTATTGGTAAGCTAAGCCTACAGATAGCATGTGAAAGCTTTGCCAGTAGTGATCCAAGTTTGAGTAACATGCAAAATGTAATAAGCCTTTTTATTGCACTCCAAAGTCCAAACAAACAGTCAATACAGTAACCCAAAATTTGGAGAAAAAAAAAAAAAAAAAAGAAGAAGAAGAAGAAGAGAAATTGGGCGGTGGACATTGCCGACTCAGATGGTTCTTATCATAATTTCTCGTATATTGAACAGGTTGTAGGAAGAATAAGAGATCAGCATTATAGAATATACCAACAAAATTCAGAGATTGATTTCTGCACTCGGCAGGCTGCTGGCCCTGGAAATATATAAAATTAAAGTTGATACTCCATTTATTTTTATTTTTTTTAGTTTTGTAGTATATAATAGAAAAAGAAAATGCATGTATAGTAAGAGCCTCATGTCTGTTGCTCATTGGTGGGTGAATGATCCTAAAGGCCCAAGTATTCATTCA